TTTCTATCATCATCTTCATCCTTCATCATCTCAGTAATAACAATAAAGATAAAAAGTTTGACTTTAAAATGTTTCTGAAAGAGAAAAGTTTAAAATCTTTATGAGAGAAAATTATCCAATGAAAAGAGTACTAAAGATCATCATGGTGATGATTATCATCTTGTTTCATTGAATATCCGAATATGTATTGTGTAACTTGATCACAATGTTGATAATTAAAAGTTTTGTTTCAATTTGAAGAGAGAAAAGATTTCTCTCCGTCTCTTGTTGTTGTTGTTGTTGTTGTTTTCTTGTTGATCACATGTTTTGTAATGGAAGGCTGATTAAAGATGATAAATAAAGTGATAAAATTAAAAAATATATAAGAGAGTCATGGAAATTAGATCTGATTAAATGGGAGAGAGATTTGAAAGTAAGATGGAAGTTGATAACTGATGAAGATGAAGATGAACAAGATCTGGTCTCGCTTGAGATACAATATAATATTTTATCAGTCTTTACATGCTCCTAGTTACTTTAGATGGTAACTGTCGATAGGAAAACGATGATGATGATGAAAGAAGATCGAGCTTTGGAAGATGAAGATCGTAGGAAGATAAAGTAGATCGTTGAAGATAAAACATATGATGGAGAGAGAACGAAGAAAGGAGGACGAATGGAAAGATTCCAGGACAGAGAAAAAGAGAGAAAGAGAGAGAGAAAGATAGAAATCAGATGATAATCTTTACTCTCTCTCTCTCATCATCATCATCATCATCATCTTTATGTGAATGATAAACGATAAGCATCAACATATAAAAACCAGAAATCAGGTTCCGAAAATGGTTACGCTGGATAACATAGGAACTGATAATGATACATGATAAGAACCTGAAAAGATAAGAAGAAAGGAAAAAGATGAGGATGATGATGGTGAAGATGAGAGAATGAGATTAATAATTTTTGATTTAATTGAGACACGCCCGAGATTTAGAGTTCATCAGCCCTTCCACTCTCCCTCTTTACTAATTCTATGGTAATAATTATCCACATTCTTAGATCCACATCCGATTTGATTATAATTTTAAACTTTCTGTTCTGATGAAATGATCAATTCCTATGTAAATAAACACTAGAATCCAATGAAAACATGATTAACCTCAAGAAGATTATGTTAAATTGTTAATTTGTTTCAATAATCGTTAACAAGTTTACTCGAGAAATTGTATCACAAGCAATCAATTTATTGCAATCTTCAAGGAGAAATGAAAACTAATAATAAAAGGATTAATCATAATTAAATAGCGACACAATTATCATGACAATTATCATTTAAATTAATCATTTTCTTGCTTTATCAATAATTATCATCTTTTAACGATAAGCTTATTTTGGAAAGGAACTGATGAGAAAAGGTTTTTATCATCTTTGTCTTTCTTTCTCTGTCTATCAAATCAATCTGGTCTGTCTGTAGGATGATGATGATGATGATGATGATGATGAGTGAGTTTCATGAATTATTATCAACAATTTGAATCTTTTCAGCTTGATGATTACGATAAGATGAATGAATTAGATAATCTCATTTCTGAAAGCTTAAAAACCTTTACACAGTTTTTTTTATATTCAAAGTTAATTTACAAAATGATCTTTTAGATTGTGATGATTAGGATGATAATGATAATGATGATGATGATGATAATTCATCGTCTTTCTCTTTCTTTTCCTCTTTCTTTATCCTTCCCCTGTTTTTTTACCTTTCAGATTATCATGAAGATTATTCAAAAAACCCGCTTGATTGTTAATCTTGATAAGTTTTTGTTTTTTTTTACTAAACTAACTCTTGATTATTAACTAGTCAGATTAAGATAATTAAAATAATTATGACAATTTAAGGTGGTCATAATGAGAGGGTGATGATTATAGTTGACAAAATAAAAATAACAATTTAATTGTCAACTAATATCAACATGATATTGTTTTCAATCATGATTAGTAAATTTAATGCGTCAACCATTTATTTGTTAATCACCACAATCAGTTAATTATGATCATTATGATTGATTGTGTAACATTTTTATCAATTTAATTAGTGTATGATATTGTATTGATCATGTGATTTATTTTTGTTTTTTACCAATTGATAATCAATTACTAATTAAAGTTGGTCTCTTAGTTGATATTTGGCTTTAATTTGATTTTGTTTATTAATCATTTTCATCATAATCACACAATCAATTAAACAATTAATTGATCATTTGTAACTATGATTTTTGATTATAATTATTGATCAGTTAATGGAAACGGAAAAAAAATCAAGCTAATTATCAATTTAGTTTTATCCGATTATCTTGATTGTGATATTAACCAGTTATGATTGTCAAGTTATGACTTATTGACTTTGGTAGTTGATTAATTGATTGATTCAGGTTAATCAATTAATCACATAGCTTTTGATTTGATTATCTTAACAATTAATTATCAATTGATATGAATGATGAAAATACCTTTAATTTTGATCCAATCAAGTTAAGGTACAAATATCAACATAATTTAAGTACAATTTAATTACAATTATATACAATTAGTATAATTATCATCATTAAATTTAATCATTAATTAGATCAGTTAACCAACCAAGAAAAAACAAACAATATAATTAACATACACTAAATATAAATGGAAACAATTTACAAATGATTTCAATTATAACAATCAATTTCTGCTCATACTGACCCTTTAAATGATAAGATTTAATTGTTACAATTAGGTAACAATCATTAGACATGATAATTTACATACAATCATCATCACGATTATCAATTGATTGTCATCATCATTATTATTATTAACTTATTATCATCATGATTCAATTAGAAAGATATTAAATTACATTTCAACTAATTAAGATAAACATCACCAATAATCAATCAATTAGATGATTATTATTTGGCAAATAATTAGAGCAATGATTAAGACAATACTCTATATACACTTGATCCTTGAGCAATTAAAGTTAATCCACAAATCGATCGGATTATGATTAACCTTTGTAATCTTTCATGTTTTATCCTTGATTGGAAACTAATCACAATGATTGTCATGATTACCTGAACTCAATCAGGTTAATCATGTTGAAAATTATGTACCATGTAAATTGTAACCGATTAACATGATTACAATTACGGATTATCAATCGAATGACATTTCAAACTGATCAGTAATAAAAAAAAATATCGATCACATGGAAAAGTGAAAGAAAAAAGTTCTGAGATTTTGATCTGAGAATCGATTTTATTTTATTTTTTTTACCATCAACAAGGAAGAAAGTTAAATGCATCAATTTTTTGTTGTTTATCTGATCTGTTGATTGAGATGATGATGATTGTTGATGACAAAAAGTGACGATGATGTAAAATGATTGCAGTGAAAAAGTATCATTAGAATAAGTTGAAAGAAGAAGAAATTTCTTGATGAATTGATCGATCTTCTTTGTAACAATCATCATCATCATCCAACAGTATCATTATCATCATGTTGATGATCTTCGTCATCATCTTTAACATCATTAGCAACATTATCATCTTCATCCGAATCCATCATTTTATTTTCATTGAGTGAAAAAAAAGAGAAGCCATAACTTTGAGAAAAGTTCATGAATCTGAATCATTATCATGTATAAACATAATTTACACCATTGTTTGAATTTTCATCTTTGATAGTAATGTGATAATGATAATGATGATGATCTGACTTGATGATTAGAGTGAGAGAGAGAGAGAGGGAAAGAAAGTGAGATAAAAGAAAAACAATTAACACCAAAATGAAGGAGTTCGAGGTGTGGGAGATTGTTGAAAGAGGAAGTGAACAAATAATTCTCATCTTCTTCAGTAACTTATTTATATTTCATCTTGTTCATCATCATCATCATCATCATAAACATCAACAAAACCATCATCAACATTTACACATGTTTTTCACTCTAACTGTTAGTCTTTTGTTACCTCAGGCAAAATTGATTTATCATCAACTCCTTTTTTTGTCATCTTCTCCCTTGGATGATAACTAATGTTGTTATGATCTCACTCCCCTCTTATCATCCACTTCTCTTCCTATTTCAGACTTTTGCATCTTCAATGATGATGGTTTTTCTTGTGGTTGCTTTAGATTTCAATGAATCCATTTCATGGTTTGTCAGATTAACATGATACCTTTTGCCCCACCCTAACCCTCCTCATCCTCATCCTCATCTCAGAAATGAGATTGATAAAAATGATCATGAATGAAAGGAAACCTTTAATTAAATAGGAAAATCAGTAATCACTTTCATCGTCGACATCAATTTTTGTTTTTCATTCAGATTTTCACTGAGTTTTGTCATCACATCTTCCAGAATCATTAACGTATTAATAACACTCTAAGATAATCAATGTAGATTAAATCATTTACACTTAAATGTTTGAAATTGTAACAATTTATTACAACCAATTTAAAGATCACAATTAGCTAATCAACTGCAACCATAATTAATAAAACTGTATTTAGATTAATTATTATCATTTATCCAATGAAAAAAGTCCTCATGATAAGTTAATGATATTATTCAACATTCTCTTCAACTAATCACAATCAAATTTCAGGATAATTTACAATTCAATCGTAATCATCGTTATAATTACTATCAAATCTGCTGATTATCTTTCATAATAATATATTTACAATTGAATCCGTGTGAAAAGGTAAGACTAATATTTAATAAACAAAACACAATCTAAAGGTAACCAAAAAACAAACAGAATTAAAATCAAAGTGCAACAATTAATGATTGATTGTAATCATTAATACTCTGAGATTAAACATGATTAGCAAGAGGAAAAATAAAGTTACCAAGAATGAAAGTAAAACAGGATAAAGATTATCTAATTGATAATCATTTTTTTATGCTTTCAAGGTAAACAACCAATATTATCATGATATAATTATTATATTAGCTAATGAATGAAAATTAGTTGATAACAAAATGATAATATAAAACTAATTGTAATCATAAGTTTGGCTCATAATGGTAATAATAATAATAATAATATATTGGCAAATGATAACGAAACCAAAAAGTTAATTGCAAATATCCAAAATCTCACCTTAATCAACATCATCAATTATTATCATTGAGTAATAGCTTTAAAAACAGAAATAATTTACTTTATCAATTGATGATCATCAGCAACATCATTATCATCAATGGGAATCATAAATGTGAAAATATTATCATCTTAATATTGACCAAAAGCTTTGAATCATTTCTGTTCATCATCATGATTACACATCTAAATCTGTGTATCATTATTATTATTACTATTGAATCATCAAACCAAATCAACTGAATCAAAAGTGAATCGTCAATTTCAGTGTATTAGACAGATAACAGGATAGACTTGAAAAAAAGTTCACAAATAGTTTTGATAAAATTATCGATAGTAAATGGTAACATATAAAAAAACGTCAACTGTTCAGATGAAGATGAGATTGTGAAAGTGAACTTTGCAAAATCCGTTATCAGTAAATTGCAGGATGATCAAGGGGAGACATAATCTGATTATTACACTAACTATCTGCTCCTAAGGCACAGAAAATCATAGGAATAAATAAGATGATGATAATAATAATCATCATCATGATAATGTTTGTTGTTGTTGTTGATGACGATGTTTTTTAACTTTGCTCTGGTTCGGGAGTGATAATATAACATCAAGTGAAATCCTTGAAAATAACATTAAATTGTTGTGGGTTATCAGCAGCATTTAGGTTAAATAGCATCAAATGAAGACGATGAGGTAAATGATAAATTTTCATCTTCTACAGCAAATCTTCAATTGTATCTGATTCCAACTGATTAACACCTAAATCCAACATCTCTTTTTACTCTGCAATGGGAAACATTATGATAGTTGAAATGTTTAATCCGAATAATTTGATTGTTATGATATAACATTTTGATTACTTTTCGGAGAGACAATTAACTTACCTGTTGTTTTTGTTGTTTCTTTTGTACAATTTAATTTCTATTGTTGTTAGAAAATAGTTTAATTATCCTTGATTTAACTGCAATGAGGATTTAATGTGGTTGTGGTGATAGTTCATAAGTAATTATCAATCATAAACCAACAATCAGATTTGAACATGATTGTCTATCATCATCAATATAAAAACTCAAATATTGACTATTGAATGAAAACATGAGTAAATGATGAAACTGATAACATAAAAAGATGATCATTAATATTATCATTATCTCATCATGGTGATGATGATGATTATTGGTCAGTTCGATTATCCTCCGCTCCCTTGATTAATCTGAAAACAATAAGAAAAATGAACTTATATTAATATCTATTCATACAATCAAATCAATTGCAACAATAACAAAAATACTTACTCATTTTCTGTCTTTTTTGCTTCTCTTATCAACTTCTTATCATCATCATCATCTTATCCGTTTTGTGTTTATATGTCATCCCTTTCACATCATCACGTCGAATATAATATTAGAATGATATGTATCTTTTGTCTTGTTATCTTCTTCTCTTGGTCTTCATCGTATATGTTGATCTGTCAATTGAAGAGTTTTATCTTCTTCTTCTTCTTCTTCATCTTCCTCGCCATCTTCATAACTTTGTTGGAGAATCGACTCTCATTAAAAATGGAGTCTCTTGGAAATCACTGTTGTTTTCTAATCAGTATGATCAGAGTGTTGGCCCCTATCACATGACAAAACTATTTCCGGACCAATCGCTTTTTGATCACAGTGATTAAGTCCATTGTTGATAATATTGATACTGTTGATGTGTGTGTGTATTTGTTGATAAAGAGAAAGTTAACTTTTGCTGGTTGATCTCTTTTTTATCATCTCACTGCGAACGCAAATCATTGAATGTTAGTCTTTTGTAAGGATAAGGACATCATCATTGATCGATATCATCAACTAACATCATCATCATCATATCGCCTTCAACCATCAATGTATCAGTATCATCAACACCACCATCAAGCCGTTTGTCACTATATTTTATCAAAAAAAGAAGAAGAAAATGAAGAGAAAGAGATGAAAATGAAAAGCAGGAAAGAGAAAAAGAAAAAGAAACAGATGATTATCTTTCTTCTTCTCTTTCTCTGAATACTGAGAGTGAGAGTGAGTGAGAAAGAGAGAGAGAGAGATGAAAGTTATTGCCAAAAAAAGTTTTTAACAATAGAGTTTGCAGGAGATTTTATCAGCTGTTGATGTCCCTGTGATAGGATTTAAATTTGGGTCCAAATTGATCTGGTTTTATGAGTTTTTTTAGTCATTATCATCATCATGAAAAGTTTATCATCATTACATTATTTTTCACTAGAATAATGTCAATGTTATCTGTCTGTCTTGCCACTTTTTCTTCATTCTCTCTCACTTGGTGTTAATACAATCATGATGATTGCTTTCACTTTCTCTCACTCATCTTCGTTATCATTTTCCGTCTTGTGCAGTTTTTGTGTAAAATTTGATTGTTTAAAATTAGAGAAACTAAATCTTCAACAATCAAAAAGCAATGACAATATTTTGATTAGCTAACAATCATCATCATTGGTTAATGTTTACGATGATAATACTCATTCATAGACAAATGAATTCATTTAGTCAGAGAGATGAAAATTAAATGATCATGATAAGAGATAATGAACTAGATTAATTTTTTGTTGTTTTTTTTGCACTATTATTTTATCAATTTTTGTCATCATATTATTATCCTCTTCAAGTATTATCATCATTATTATTACAATGATGATGATGAAAATCAATGAAAATGTTTGTTTCCACATCATGATAATAATAATGTGAGAGAATGGTAAAAACTATCATGAAAGAAGATATAAAAAAAATGGGTTACTGAGCTGAAACTATGATTAATCATTGCTCTTATCGGGACAATCAGTTTAAATTTCTTTGAAATGATAACAATTAATTGAATTTAACACTTTTCAAGAAATGCTGAGCAAAAAAAACTAACCATTCTTTTCATGATCTTCAATGTTTCCAGTTCCTCTGAGTAACTTTACCTTAACAATTGATATCATTGTATTTTATCATGATGAAGTTGTGAGGATGATCAATCTTGATTATAATAATTGATAATGATGATGATTTGATTAAATTTTGCAAAGTCCATAGTACCAATGTGATAGTCTATTGTAATCATAATCAATTGTGGGATCTTCAATATCTAATTGAAAAGAGAGAGAGAGAAAGAGAAAAAAAATCGACATAAATGATTACTGATAATATCAATTGATTTAAACTGATTTTAATTGTTTGGCTTAATTGTTGACTTAACCAATATCACCTTAAATCAAAATCAACTTACCTAATCAAGTGTACATGTGTGTTGAATGTGTAAATTATTTAATTGATTTGATGCCAGGTTCATTTTATCAAATCATATGATTCCATTAACGTAATCATTTAATTATCTTGCGACGTTTAATCATCATTTGATTGTTTTATATGCTTTCCAATCAACCGGATTCTTATGTAATCTGCAAGTCAAAATGATTATTATCCATCAACTTTGGCCCTGTAACAACATTTTAAATATTTTGATCAACTTATCCAGTCTCAAGGAGCATCAGATTATACATGTAAATTTATATTGAATTTAATGAAAATTCAGCAAATCACATTGTTTGATTGAGATTAGTGAGTATAAGTTACATCCAAAGTCACAATTAAACCCATTCAGAGTCCATCTTATCAATCAAACCATAAATTAGCTTATCTCCAGCTCTAAGTGGCCACCACATCGTGTTACCAAATAAATCACAATTATTATAATACTATTAATATACAGTTAGATTATCAGGTGAATCTTTTTTGCCTTTTGGTATCTTGATTATCTCGTTTGTGGTTACAGTCGTTGTTGTGGTTTCCAAATGATTTATGAGCTTAATTAGATTGTTTCACTGAGATGATTGATTTTTTCGCACTGTTCATGTATTCTAATCCTAATAATAAGTTTTCATCGGGAAATAGGTCGTTTGTCTGTCCGGGTCAGGTATCAGTCCACTTCGATTGCTATTGTATCGCGAAAGTAAATCACTTTGTCCAATCAAATTGATTACACAGTTTGTGTTTAACTTTAAGTTTAGATTTACTTTAAGGTTATGGGTAATACTTGATTATTCAATCTTGACGATTTAATCAAATTAGGGCATGATAATGATTTGATTAGTGAAAGTTGTTACTCTGCTTTGGCTTTTTCTTTGCTTGATAAAATGTCACCAAGATTAAGATATTTACTTTTTTTCTTAAGGTAATCATTTTATCATCGTGAAAGTTAATTGTCGCAATAACGATCAATTTCCCAAACTTATTTATACCAGTTTTTGTCCGCTGTTATCAATGTCTTTCATTTGTCTTTTAACCTTAATTGTGAACAATTTATGGTGCCGATTGATTTGCGAGAAAGTCAGTAGGTGTATTTGATTATGCTCAAATTATCAAATTAAATGTTGGAATGTCAGTTTCATCGGTTGTTTTGATATCTCTATCCTTTTCCAATTTCTCCTTTGGTGATTTAGTGTAAAGATTGTCATGATTAGGAAGTTTTTTTTTTACTATCAAATCAAATCAAGGTTTGGTTTTGATATCAAAATGATTTGTAATACTGTTTGGATAGATTCATACATTGATGATAATGATGATTTTTACCGATGATAAAGTTACTTGTGATGATCTGAGTACCAACAATTGAACCCAAATCGTGGGTTGTCAGAGGATAATGATTATGATTATTATGATGATAAAGAATGGTGATGATCATTAAAACAGATAAAATCCCAAAACTCTCTCGAGGTCAATGATTATTTGTGTTATTTGATGTCAAAGACTGATCACAGTTTGAGTGAATGTTGAACAGATCTGATAGTTGATTAAAAGAGGGAGAGAGAGAGAAAAAAAAGAGAGAATGAAAAAAGATATAGAAAAAAAGTATATTAGTTGATAAAAATCAAACAAAAAAAACATCTTATACCTTTTTCCATTTCCATTTTCATCTTGGAGAATGTTAGAGATGATTAATTTAACGTCGATATGATGATCAAGTCTTGGTGATGGCGAAGATTAAGATTGAGATAACAATCATAATGATTGTTCAAGTCTCCACAAGATTGAAGAGATTTAATCAGCACCAGAAATCGTCATCTACATAACATACACACTGAGGATGATGTTTAATTGATACGTAGAAATGGGTGTGATTAACTTTAATCACTTTTATCCATGTTAATGAGGCACTTTTTACCCTCACAAGTCAATAATATCTAACAAGATATTAACAATTTATCCAAAGGGTATTGATATTACAGATGAGAAAAGAAATTTAGATAAAATAAATTCTATTCTTTTCTAAATTAAAATGATCACTTTGGCTCCAAAATCTTCCAAGTTTCCATAGTAACATATTAGGTAGAGACAAAGGAAAAGGAAGACAAAGTGTAACGGATAAAATGGCGCCTAAAAAAAGGGAAGAAAAACAAAGATGAAGATTTAATTTTAATCTAATTAGTAATCAAACCGTTGGAAGATCAATTTTTGAGCACATGATTCCTCTTCTTCTGGTATCAGATTATGATGATTTATCTTTTGATCACCAATATGATTGAATCACTGAAACGATCAAAGAGAATGATTATCATAATTAACCGTCAATGAGAAAAAGAAACAAATCACCTAAACACTGATTGATTTAATTGATTGATTGATTGGTTATCTTTGCTTTTCTCTCAAGAAAAATCATTTTCACTTGTTAATTGTTAATAATTACCGATTAACAGAAATTACATCTAATCACATGGTTAAAGTTGATGAAAAGAAATGAGTTGTAGTTGTTTGCGATCATTATCACAATTTAATCTCAGCCCAAAGTTTAAAAGTGGGAATGGGAAATCAAGAAGAAAATCAAAAAGGATCACCAATGATTAGATAAAGTTAATTAATAGAAAAACAAAAATTAAAAATCTAATCTCAATTAACATCAAAAGAAAACATTTGACATAAATCAAGATGGCGGAAAGAAAAAGATTAACACTAATCAAAAATTCAATTCAAATCAGATTGATTTAAGAAAGAATTAAGATAAACACAATTAGCGAATTTATAATAAGCGACAATCTTCACAATTAAATCAAGAAATTAACTTAATTAAAAGGCCAAATTAATATGATTGATTTAAAATGTGAATTTTAATTAAGAGAAAAAAAAATTCCCTCTAAAAATCAAAATAAACTTTTCTCTTTCGAATTTATACTTTCGCTGTCTATTTCTCTGTCTATTTTTCTTTTTCTTTTCCAAATCAGATGATCTTTTATTTCTGTTACTTCATTGGTCTTTCTAATTTCTAATAATTTATTGTATTTATTCAATAATTTTTTCCTTGTATCATATTTTTGTTTCTTCTTTTTATCTAATCAAAGAATCAACATTCAAAACTGATTGTTATCATCATTTGCCTTTTCCTTTTATCTTCTTATATCATCAAATTGTAAGATTAACCATCGTCTCTCTCTCAATTTTATCTTCTCCTTTTTTGATCCTTCATCTTTGGCTCGTCTTTCAGCTTATGTGTATCTTGTTATCAACATAATCATCTTCATCTTCATCATCTTTTCCTCTTCAGTTTATCTCTTTTTATCATCATTATGATTATTAACTTTTGGGAAAAATTAAATTGTTAACACGATCTCTTTTTTTCTCTTTGTTCTTTTTTCTCTCTCCTATGTTTCATTTACATTTATCTCTTCATATCTCCATCTCTCTCCATCTCCCTCCCTCTCTCTCTCTCTCTCTCTCTTCCGTTTGGTGTGATTTTCATTTAGATAGGCTCTGCAAATGAATCATCTGATGCTACTGTTGGCCAAGAATCGGATTCACCTGGTGATGGAGACAAAATGAATCTCGATGATTGTAATTCTTCCTCTTCTTCTTCTGTCACATCTTCCCCTTCATCATCTTCGTCAACATCCTCACATTCACCATCTTCCAGTCGATCTTCATCACCCCAACCTACAGCAACAAATCCAATAACTGTTGAAGAATCTGAAGAAAAAAATTCTGCACTGGAGGAGATAACAAGTAAAAACGAAAACAACACAGATTATCAACAGAACGATAATCTCATTACTATTGATAACAATAGTAGTCATCTCTTTCAAAAACAATTAAGTCCAATTAGAGAAGAAAGTTTCTTTCCTCAAGAAGAAAAACTTGAATCATCACCACCGTTGTTATCACCTTCACCTTCACCTTCACCTCAACCACAACACATACATAAACAATCATCTTCATCACCACCACCTCCATTATTATCACCATCATCCCTTTCAACTCCTTGTTCCTCTTCTCATCAACCATTAACCAGTATGTCAACCGACCAAATCTTGACCGATTTTATGACAACAACCAAACAAACCTCACCATCTTCTCCCTTGCCTCAAGATGATTCTCCACCTTCTCCACAACTTTCAACACATTCCACTTCAGGTGATGATTCAACTATACCTGACATTGAGAATAAAGTAAGTTTCCTTAATCATCTATTCACAATTACAATCCAATTAAATCATAAAGTAACACCTTTCTTTTTTATTACCAACATTTTGATTACGATAATTACATTTTGTGCTCTTAAAAACAATTTTCCTGGTTATTTTTACCTTTTTCTCTATCGGTGTATGTCCTTCTCTTCACCCGATGCAATATAACTTACAACTTATCTTATAATTACTCGCCGTTTCTCAGAATGTGAGATGAAAAAATTCACTAATCAATTTAACACTAATCGTTAGGAGAGAGATTATAAATTTTATCTGTTGATCAATAACAACAATCATTAAATCATATCTATGGAAAGTAAGAGAGAACTTAGCAAAAAAAAAAGATAAAAATATTTTATTTATTCTAAGCATTATTGTTAAACTGATATGAATTGAATCTCGAATTTCCGAAAAGTCAACTCGTGATCATTATCACCACTTCTCATCATCTTTTGTAATCGAAAACAATTATCTTACTTTTCTTCATTTTCTGTAGTCTTTCTTTTCTCTCTTGAACTTTTCAAGGAGTTTCTACTCTTTCTCTATTTATTATCATTATTATCATCTTGTTATCATCTAAATCATAGTCTCTCTATCACTCATGCTTTTATTGTACTTTGCTCTCTTGACATATTTCTCTCCCTCTCCCATTTGTCGTTCTCCCTCTCCAATCTTACTCACTCTCTCTCTCTATTTATTAGATTTTAATATAACTAGTATTTGAATGTAATTTTACTTTATCAAAGGTAGATTGTTGATTGTTCACTTTAATTAGTTATATCTAATTTAATTCTGTTGTTTTTGTTGTTTCTATTTATCATCATAGGCCAATAACAATTATCTATCGTCTACCGTTGTTGATGTACCAATGGATGAATCAGGAACATCGTCACTACCAAACACTCCGACATCTTCATCGCCATCACCAAGTAAATTAACTAATTTAAATCGTAAAAGAAAAGTTTCAACCACAGATTCCATGATGACAGCAATAGTCTCAGGATCACCAACAGCATCTTCAATACCACCAATAATTAAATCACAATCAACTTTATCTGATTCATTTGTTAAACCTTCACCAACTCCAGAACCCGGGACAACAGCAACCACAACATCCTCTTCCATAGCAATTAAACTTTCTCCTCCACCAACTTCACCTCAACCACCACCACCACCTCCACCTCTGCTACCTCCACCGTTGACATCAAAACTTTCCAATGTTGATGATAAACTGTTGAAAGAATTAAGTCAATCCTCTCTAATTAATTCTCTTATTCAAAATTCACCAACTCCTAGTTCCACATTACCTGGTGTTCAAAAATCGTTACCTCCGCCATTGTCTTTATCTAGTGGTGGACTTGCACCCACCATACAAACAACTCCAACCTCCTCATCAAACAAACAACAACAACAACAACAACCAATTTATGTTGCTATCTCAACGAATCCTCTTATTCTGGTCCCTCTTTCATACAATACGGAGACTGGTGGACTTGACTTATCACTTGCCAATTCATCAAGTGTAGTTAAACTACCAAATGATGCTTTATTAAATTCACAATTAAATGGCTTAATCGCTTCTGGAATTGATAGATCAACCCTCTTAAATAATTCACTGGAAACACATCGTACTGGTGTTGAAAATAATAATCGTGCAAACCTCATTAACGGAATCGATGCAACCAATATAATTAATGTTAATAGTCTAACTAATAACAATATTATCAGCATCAATAACAATAATAATGGTATTATTAGTCCAGGTGATAATGTTAATAATCTAAGAAATTTAAATCTAAATAATATTCAGCAACTTTCTCAATTTTCTGGTCGACCACAATCAACTGAAGGTCCACTTGATTTAAGTTCAAATCCATCAAGCGTTGACCCTAAACTCCATGATAAATTGTCCTCATTTCGTTCACATAATCGTCATCGTGATAATGACCATCGATCATCAGTTTCCTCGTATACAGTTAAAAATGAGACTGACCCAATGATTGAAGAATCGGAATCACCGTCACCTTTAAATTTGTTCAATTCACCTTCAACTTTTGCCAATTTAGTCTCTTCAGCTCATTCAGCTGATTTACCTCAATCAACAGCATCGGTACTTGCAGCGGCCGCGGTTGCAGCAGCGGCCGCTGCATCAGTGTCATCACCTCCTTCATCGTCATCACTTGCAGTCGGTAACAGTTCTGGACGTGTTAGTGGCTCATTACCACTACCTGGACCCGCTCCTAACGCACCTCCATCTTTTACACCTGAAGCGGTTTTCAAGCAATCAAGTTACCATTGTGAACATTGTCACATTGGTTTCTACAAAAAGGAAAACTACAACATTCATAAGCGTTTTTATTGTTCTGCTCGACGATCTAAAGCAGCAGCAGCAGCGGCCTTAGCAGCCGCTTCCGCTGGCGGAGTGAATGCACGTTCACGTAATAATACAAGAACTCGAAGTGAATCATCCCCTGATCTCCTTGAAAGCGATGGATCACCAAACAGTTCACCAGAAATTTCATTAGACTCCGAAAAAACCGATCGTAATCTTACTCATCATTTATCATCCGGTCATCATCAGCAACCTGCATCTTCCTCACTTCGTAAATCATCAACCTCTCGCCGAGTCTCAATCTCATCTAAAACCAATGCATCTAATTCATCGAACTCTCCTGGTTCATCCCCACCCCATCAACCGTTATCTCAATACTATTGCGTTGCCTGTGGAATACGTTTCACTTCCCTCGATAATCTTCAAGCCCATCAAACATATTACTGCCTCAAACGTAATTCGGTTAATGCATCACCCGACAAACTTCAATATATCGTTTCCATACCTGGTGGGACCGGAAGTGAAGTGAGTTGTGTCAAATGTAAGGCAACTTATTGTAATGAAGAAGCATTTTTAAGCCATGTTTGCTCAGCGATGAATTTGGGTTCAGTATCAACCGGAGGATCAAATGGCTCTAAATATAACTCAACATCAACTTCAGCATCTTCATCGGCTGGGAATGCAAGTGGCTCTAATGACGGACGTTGTTCATCTGCTGGAGGTGGAACCACAAGTGGGAATGGTGGAGTTAGTGGGCCAAATATGCGTCGACAAGAACGAGAAGATATCGATTCTGGTCAACAGTGTTTCCGTTGTACAATTTGTGGCTACAAAGGTCAAACTCTACAGGGAATGCGCATACACGTTCGTATGCATAGTCAATGTTTTCGATGCACTATTTGTGGTTATAAAGGTCACACGTTACGAGGGATGCGAACTCATGTTCGTATTCATCAAGACAAAATTCAAGGTCTTCCAGAAGAAACATTCATTGCCTGTATCGAGGATGAAGCGCTGGTTGCCAAAAGTACAACTCGAAGTGGACCAAGTGGTTCAAAGCGAAGGCGTAAAAGTTTAGACGCTTATAGTAATAGTTCAAATGTTCACAATCAATTTGGTTCATCATCCACATTATCATCTCTATCTAATGTTATAGTTAGTGAAAACTCAAAACCCTTATCATCACAATTAATCAATAATTTACTTCCATCAACAATAGCAAACACATCAACGGGACCTGCTGGTATTTTGGTATCAGCAGGTTTCACATCTATGAATAATGTTAATAATAATAACTCTGGTACAAACGATGAATTAATTAGTGCTAATGTTACTAACTCTAATAGAAACAGTTCAAATAATGCCAACAATTTAAATAGTAGTCACTCTGAGATATCAAGTGAAAATGAAGACGAGGCCACAAGTAATATCTCAGAAAATGAAATGTCAGGTCGAGATGATTCCCGTCAAGGAGGATCAGGTGAATCTGTTCACAATTGTCACTTGTGTTACTATTCATCAACTTACAAAGGAAATGTAGTTCGTCATCTTAAACTAGTACATAAAGATAATAGTGGCGGAAGTGGGAATAGTACCAATGGTCCATTTTCGGGTATAAACAAGCGCGACTCTGGTGATAAAGGTAACGATATGGATGTAACATCGGGCGGTGGCAGTGGCGGCGGCGGTGGCGATTCACATGGTTCAATTAGCGATGAATTACCTTTAGATTTGAAAGCAACTCGATCCAATGGATCAACGATCTCAGAGAGACGGACATTTCATAATCGATCGCCGATTGGTAATAATAACCATCGATCAGCTGGTTCACCCATTGACCATAATAGTAATGGCTCGAGTTCTAATAACAATAATAGTAACAGTAATAATAATGGTAGCTCCAATTCATCTGCTCAGGCCAAAAAAGCGGTACCCAAATATTGCCGCTCTTGTGACATATCTTTCCAATTTTTAACTTCGTTTATAGCTCATAAAAAATATTACTGTTCCTCCCATTCAAATGATCCCAATGCAATTCAACATCTTCCTGAAAGTAAATCACCAGTCTAGTCATCATCTTTATCATCTTAATTATTATCATCGTCTTCGTTATCAACATAAGCATTATCATCAATCAATTCCCTCGATCATCATGTTTATTGTCATCAACCAATTATCACACCAACTTTACCATTATAATTACTATAAATATTGATTTCATTTGGATTTAATTAATCTAATTAATCACTGGGTTGCTGTATATCTTTTATTTAGTCTCTCTCTCTTTCTATATCTCTCTCAATGTCTTTCCGTTTCCTGTTTTATTTTCAATTCCAATCACTGTGTTGACTAATATTACTACCAACTAATCAATATCATCATCATTCATTATACAATAGTCATGCTCATTATTATTATCGGAAATATACTAATGAATGAATTGTATTAATTACTTAAAATTACAAAAATTAAACAGTGTAAAATTTGATGATGATGATTGACAAGACAACTAATTGTAGTTAAATCTAGTTAAACATAAACAAACAAACAAACAAAAAATGAAATTGAAAGTAATAATAAGAAGATAAAACATCAACAATTAAGTCAAATAAATTATTATCTATTCCATGATGATTAACAGAATTAACTAATCATTGGTATACGATTAAAACATACAATTAATAAACAAACAACAAATGTATTGACCCTGAATAATTAACATTATTAAATATCCTGGTACAACAACAGTGTACATACAATATGAATATCAAAATGGTTAATACAATTGATTAATTGTTAATCAAATGAAAATGAGAAAACCAAGTAAACAAAACAATCAAATGAAAAGGTAAACAATTTAATTCTGACCAAAAGCTTTCAGAATGTGACTCAATATGATTTCAGAGTAAAAAATGATATCCTTCAACTAATCAACGGATTAAAGATTTAATTTAGATAACATTGACTGATTAAATGAACACACACTCGACCCAAGCAATCAAAAGTAATCAACAACAATCAAAGAGAGGGAGAGAGATGTAAAAATAAAGGTAACATTGAAAAAAGAATAGAAGAAAAAAAAGTTCTGATTGAATCTTGAACATGACACTTATTGTAATCATCGAGTGAGAACTGATTATTTTTTGTTTTTTTCTTCTTCCTTGATCACAATCAATTTTGATTCACTTTCTCTCTTTAAATGTTGATACGTTTTCGATTATTGTAGTTGGCAGCTCAATTATTTCAATGATTTAAGATCAAGATGAACTGATTTCTTATCATCGATTTCACTTTCTCATTGTTTCCATTGTTTTCTTACCTTTTTTATTTCTTTCTCTTTACATCTTCATCTTCATCTTCCTCATCACTTTTATCTAATAGCTGATTAACTTTGTACATTTCGACCTTTCATATTCGAACCCTATTCAGGTCTATTTATTTGTCCTCTTTCTTCAAATGACTGCAATCAATTGATTCCAATCGATGGACATCAAGATAGAAAGTGGTTAATGACAATTTGTTTTCTTCTGTGTGTCTACTTACTCGAGAATTAATAATATTCACCATTTGATAATTTCCCGAATAAAAAATCAAATAATCTCAAGTAGAATTAATAATTTATCAGATAGCCTTAGCTAACCCAATTCTCAAGTATAATTAGCGGTTTTTAATTGACTCGATTTACGTTCTATTGTCATTTGTATGAAAATTTTAGATTTTCTAATGATCGTTCAGCCTTTGGACTTTCGTTGCTTTTTCCTACTATTACAATAAGCTGCAGTTTTAGCTGGTTGATTGAAGCGATTCCATAGATAGCGAATCTGAACCGGCGATAAACCATGAATTGTAATGATGTACGGTGATAGGTAACCACAAATATCAAAAGTCGAACCAATTTCACGAAATCGAAAACCAAAATTATTCATCAATTGAATATCCATTAGTTGATCTTTCGAGTAATAGAAATGGAAGAGAAAAATGTTAGAAGAAGAAATTTTGAGAAATTCGATCATCGAAATTGTTAAAATTATCTCTCACCTTCAAAGTAACGGTAATCATCGTACATTTTAACGGCTTTCGCTGAACAGAATCCGGTTATAAATAAATCTTCGAGAAAAAAATATTTACACTTGTTGGCAAAAGTGGCGGTGATGAAAAGCGATCTCGCCACATCAGCTGACATCAGGTATCCAGTTCCCGAAAGATAATTGGGATAAGTGTTGTATGGATAGACGTTGAAGGGAACGAAGTATTTGCTCCTTGGGTCGCGAACCAATTGAGCTTTTTTGATTAGGCCACCCAATAGAATCTTGTATCCATCTTGTTGATGATTCCAAGGTAGTTTTCTCACTTTAAAGGCCACCATTAGTTTATCGATTAAATTAATCAAATTGTTCACTTGAACAAACATATCATCGTCGACTTTAAATAAAAATATTGGCTTTCGGATTTTCAGATCCACTTCATTGGGAACCATTGGCGGTGGCTTCAGGCGTCCATGTTGTCGGTGAACAGTTGATTGGATTGGTGATGGAGACGGAGATGATGATGAATAGATTGAAGATAAACTAGAAGATGAAGATGAATAATATGAAGAAAATGGCAAAGGTTTTTTGGTTAAATTGAGTATCTCTTGATTAAAGAATCGTAACATTAATAGTGATTTTAGAGTTAAATTGTAATAAGAATCATAAAAATCGTATTGTATGAGATCGTTGAAAGAAAGGCCTTCGTGAACGATTTGTTCATTCAATTTGGTTAACTTTTCATCATCACAATTTGAATCATCATCATGTCGATCATGATGATGAACCTTTGATTTAGAATCAATAGAAATAATTTTAATTCCATTGGATTCTGTGCTTTTAATTGATGAAGATGAATTAACGTTTTTATCGGTAACATTTTCTAAATTTCCTCTCGGCGGTGGCACTGATTTTCCAATGATAAAGAAAAGCTTTTGCTGGTGGAAATTGACCAATTTAGACCACGAATCTCTTATTGCTTGTCTTTGGTCAAAGTGTTGGACAGAAGAACTGACAATCACAACTAGACGAATATCGTCAAGATCATTTAGTTTTGGTTTGATTAATAGCTCAGTTTCTAGAACGAATTGACTTAAATTAACTGACGGGGACTTGAAATAATCGGCCTTTAAACGAGCCTGATAATGAACATCAGGATACAAATGAGGTCCAGTTGGAATCTTGTTGACAAGAATCACTAATAAGGTGACCACGAATATTGTCAGGAAAGCATAGAATGATGGAATGACCCGACGACGGCTCGTTAATTGTGGCCTGCCCTTGATTAAACCATTCACTTGATAAGCCAAATGATTAGGGTAACGGGTTGACTTTTGTGAGATAATTTTGTCAACATTAAATTGAGAACTAGAATCATTTCCTTTGATTAACTTGTAACCATTTTTAGAGACATTTTTCTCCATCTCGATCAAAGATCAACTGGCCAATTAAATTAAATCCGTTCATCTTAAATTAATCAAGTCAATTAACATTCTATGGTCCATAGTAATCATCCAATCAATGTAACAATTTGAAATCACAGTAATAGCTGGAAACATTTCTAATAAACACTGGAGGAAGAGAGAATGAGAGATAATTAATCAATTGGAATTTATGATTAAAGAATAAACAACTTACTTAATTAAAAACAATTAGAGGAATAAAATTGATTAGAAGAAAAGAAAACGAGAAATGTAATCAAATGTCGACATTTGATCAACAAGGAAGGACCAAAATCGATAAAAGAAAGAGAAAAAGAAAGACTATTTTCGAGGAAAAAAGAAAGAGATTTTCGTGGTGACATCTATTGGTTCGAGAGATTTTGGTTAAATCGTTAATTGTAACTGATTTAATTTTTAATAGTTCATAGGTTTTCCATAATGTACAAAAAATGTTTGTGATAAATTATGACAATTTAATTGATTCTCATTGTTGTGAATCAATTTGACAAAATACTTTGTGTTTTTAAGTTTTTTACTTTCTCATCAATCAGTTTAGATTTGATTAAGTTAATCAGAATTAATTGTTTTTTTTTGTTCGATATTTTTCCTCGTTAAATCAGATTCTCTGGGTTTTCAATCAGCTTTTAAAGTATAATAATAATACATATTGCTTGAGATTTTGATAACTGTCAAGGGTGAATTTTTGTCTATTTGTTGATTGCGATTGTTTCATTTGTGACAACTGTTGATATTTGATACTTTTTAAAATCCAAATTTAGGGTTAATAGTTTTTTTGATTTAGTATTTCAGCCAATTAATTATTTTAAAAAATGATTAAGTATTAATAAATCAGATGTGCGTTGATTTATCCTCTGTTGGGTAAATCTTTAACTTTGTAAATTCGTACAAGCCAATGTTCAGTGGTATAAGCTTCTTCCAAAACTTTAAGGCCAAAATCTTTCTTTCCGATCTCAGCGGCTCGAACTCGATCCCAACCAGCTGGTTTACCTCCTTCGGTGTAAACAGATCCGAAACGATAATAACTCATTTTATACATTAAACAATTAAGTAGAGTAGGTGAGCCATCTTTATCAATCTTGAATTCTCCGGAGGAGTATAATAGTCTGATTCTTTGATATGTTTGCCTTTTTCGGTGCTTCCACCAATACGAACCATCCAAAGGAATTTATTGATGTCATCAGATGAGTAGCCCGTTAATCCGCCAAAAATCACCAAAACATAATTGACATCTAATTCTCTCATTATTTCGTAAGCTTTATCTTCATCTGAAGCCATTGCTTGACCAACTCGAGATATGTGAGTGTTATTCCAAGTATTATTGTCCACGATTATTGTTCGATTTGCCATTGCAGAGATTTGATAACCATAATCCCACCAAGACATAATTTTAGCGTCTTCGGGAGTATTTTGACGAAGCCAATAGTAGGCTTCACGGAAATCATCGAAAACAATTCGTGATCCATCATGACTTCGAGCAGAAAGGACAATTGAAGGTGCTGAATAGGCCTCGCTGGTTACCCAAATACAATGATAACTGTACATACAAAGTAAGACAGAAGATAAACCGATGAATAAAGTAGCGATTTCACTTTTCATTGCGAAATTATTCTCGAATCGTTGTTGTTTCTTTTTTTGTTGTGTTGATGAATGATGTTTAGCACCATAAGAGGAAGATGTGACTCCAGTGGTTCCCCCAACTGATGGAGTATTAGATTGAGCGGCTTCAAGTTGTTTACAATATCGAGTGAGCATTGATGAGATTCCAATTCCTGAAAGGATGCACATAACTGGTGCTAGAACAAGCATCAATCGAACCATAACTCCCTGTGTAAAGATCAGAACAAAGTTAGTTAAACTTGGTATAATTGAAATACAAAACTTTTTACTTACTGCAAAATAAATACTTGTTAGGCCATAAAGAATGATGAAAATATTAGCATCGGTAATTTGCTTAAAACAAGTATAAAGACCAACGGGAAAGAGAAAAAGGAGCAATTGTAGATCAAAGTAGAAAGATGACCACGAAGTAGGTTGATGTTCAGAGACCGAAGCAATAATGGGAATATAATTTTTGGCGTATGATGGATCAAGAAGAGAGTAGAAACGTCCAGTCCATGGTGAGATTTCTAGAGAAAATTAACAAAGAATAGATATTGATAATCAGTTGGTTCAATATTGTTAACAGATTGAAAAACTTACTTCCAATGATTGTAAGGAAAAGTCCAACCGCAAAGCCAACGGCAGCTAATCCAAGAACCAAAGATCGAAACAGAAAATCGTAACTTTGCTTGGACAGTTTCCCTTTAAGATAATCGTTGAATGCGATAAGTTGACATAAGCCGAAAACTCCTAATGCAGCCATATGTTCACTGGATTGAACAGGTTGGAAGCCAACAAATGGTATTTGCATTGATAATAAAGTTCCCAAACTGTAAACCTGGCAAAGATGAAATAGAATAAATTATTGCAAAATTTCTTCATGATTTGGTTTACATTAGCCTGTTAACTGATTGGTACTTACAACAGAATAAGCAACATAGATTCGGTGACTAAAGCGACCGGTGATCATTAATACTAAAACATGAAGTGGGATTAGATTTATGAGGAAAACGTAACCACCCCAAGAGGAAACCATATAAAAATAGGCAATAGAGCATAGTGATGACCAAATAATTTTACCAGTTTTCACTGATTTTATCCAGAAATAGTATGTCAATAGCATACAGAAAATGGCGATTCCTTCATTATCGTAAGAACCGGCAACTGAACGTGATATGTAACCGGGGACAATTGAGATCAAGGCGGCTGCCACTAGACCAGCAGAGGGTGTGTAAAGCTCTTTAGTTAAAAAGTAGGTAACTATTGTGGTGAAACTAGAAAATAAGGGGGCGAGAAATACGCAGACATTTCTTATGTCAAGATCAATGTTCAAAAAGTGTAGAAAATGGTAGATAGCCGTTGATGTGACCATAAGACCGGGATAAATGGTCCCTCCAATGATACGTCCTAGTGGATACCAAGCTCGATCATCAAACCAATTGAGGAAACTGTAAAATCCTTTTTCGGTCAAATACTGTGTAGTACGGTAATTAAAGTATGGATCAAACTCATGGATGACACTTTCATAACGAAGTACAGAGAACAATCTAATAGAAAAAGCTTAAGATGAAGAGGAAGAAAAAAAGAAAGATAAACATCATTAGCGATCGTGTTATAAATAAAAGGAGCAGATTCAGGTTCATTTTACTCGGGATAATAACCACAATGTTGCAAAGAAGAATAAAGAGAAAAGAGAAATAAATGACAGGAACTAAAAAAGACAAAGACGATTCTATAGAAAAAAGAAAAGTTAAATATAGAGAAATTAAAGTAGAAAATGATAACATTGAGATTTGACATAAACCAGAGAAGATTAAAAGTAGACATGATGCCACTCAGTCAGATGAAAGATACCAAATTGGAATTCAAGCTACACCAGACTAAAGATGGACAATTAAAAATCAAGTTACATGACAGTTATACTTACATAGAATTGAAGCCATTAACAAAACAATTAACTTTAATAGATTGTCTTGTCTGGCCAGAGAAAAGTGTCTCTGAAGCCAACTGGAAGTCTGATAATAAACCACCGTTGTTGTCATCCTTTTGACTGTTTAATTAACAACACTCACTCTAAACGGTACCCAGAAGGTTTAACACTAAAATCTACTAAAAACTAATTATCAAAAAACAATTAATAGTTACAATTAATAAGAATAAGTAAATTGTCAGTTAAACCGCTCAACCGGTGAGCCAAATTACCGATTCATTGGATCAACAAAACTGTCGATTATTTTAAAAAAAAGTTCGATTCCGATCATTGCAAACAAAAAATCGATTTCGGTTCTCTTTCTTTTCTCTTTCGCTTAATCGTAACTTCCCCTTTTCCTTTTTCTCTTTCTTTTCTCTGTGTCTTTTTCTTCTGTCAAAATCGATTATGTTTGATTCTAATAATCGCACATCACTTATTCGAAATTGGAATCCAAACAAATTAAAGTGACTCTTGTTAAGAAATCACCTTGGTGACAATTAACAAGATTTAAATTGATTCTAATTGTGAATTGAAATGATTGAATGGTGTTTGTATCAATTATGGAATAAGAAAATTTTAATCAATCCGTATGAAATTATTGTTGATCCTTTTGGCACCTCTGATTTGGCTGAATTTTCAAATTTACAGTTTCAGCGAAATCAAATCAATAAATTTTACTCTTAAATAAATTTCTCAGCGATTAAATGACTTGTATGAATTGATGTTAATACGAAATCAAGAATCTTCCATCCCTTGGAATTTTTTCAGAGGATAATGTTCACCATAATGTTTAAGGTGTTCCATCAATGATTCATATTGTTCGGTTAAATGGTCGGGAATTTCATCGTAAACGTCGTTAAACATTTCCTTGACATGGGGCTTGGCCTTTTTCTCGGCGGTAACAAAGGCCTGCATCACTTGTCTCTTTGATTCCTCTTTCCAATTTTTCTCTGATTCATCGTTCCACCAATTTCGTTGTTCCATATACTTTCGTAGGCGAGAAATTGGATGATCCTTTTGATGCCAGAATCGAACCTCATCAACACTTCGATAAGCCGTTGAATCATCGGAGGTTGAATGATGACCAATTCGATAGGTCATCGCTTCAATTAGCACAGGTTTGGACTCTTCAAGAGCAATTCGTCGAGCGGCAGCAGTAGCTTTATAAACGGCCAGTGTATCATTACCATCAACTCTTAAAGTTGCCATACCGTAACCAGGACCTCGACCAGCGATTCCGTCACCACGATATTGTTCAACTGTTGGCGTTGAAATGGCATAACCATTGTTACGACTGTTGTTGAAATAAAATAAAAAAAAAGGATAAGAGGAAAGTAGTAAAAATCAGATTGGTTGTAATCAAAGATCAGAAATCAGATGATCAAGATTAGATTGAGGGAAGAAAAGTTTCAATTGCGAGACACTTAGAATGGGAAATTAGATTAACATGTAAAGAGATAACATGAAATTGGATGAGCCAGAAATTTACCAGAAAAATATGATGGGACAATCTAAGGTCGCGGCAAAATTAAGAGCAGCGTGAGCGTCGCCTTCTGATGAAGCACCTTCACCAAAATAGCAGATGACAATTCGCCCGGTTCCTTGTCTTTTGAGGAAATAAGCAGCACCCACGGCTTGTGGCATTTGAGTGGCAAGGGTCGATGAAATTGTAACGAATTTCAAATCCCGTGATCCATAATGAACGGGCATTTGTCTTCCCTTACCAAGATCCTCAATGTTACCATAACATTGGGACATGAACTGGTCAAGTTTGAATCCTCTCCACATAAGAACACCTTTGAAAAACAAATCAATCAATTAAATTAGAATGTTAGACAATAGAATCATCCAGGACTAATTACCTGCTTCTCTGTATTGTCCAAAAATAAGATCATCGTCCCGAAGAGCGGCACTGGATCCAAAGTGAGTTCCCTCTTCCCCGTAGCTTGTCATGTAAAAGGAAATGCGACCTTGACGTTGAGACTCATACAAAACACGATCCATAGTATTTAACAGAGTCATTCCTGGAACAATTAACAACAACAATGATCATGATTAAAGCCGAAAAGAGATCAACATTAAAGTGACCCGTTGGCGTTAAGAGTTAAATCTATACCTTTGTAAAGTTTTGTTATCATTTCTTGGCCTAAATTTGGATCTCCATCAGTCTCAATTATTTTACCCTCTCGGTCCATCACCCGATAAACAGGAATACCTTCGTAATTTTCACTTCGGATAAACGACAAGGTACTAGTCCATTTCGATCGGGATCCCGGAAACGCTGGTTTCTCCTCTAAATCGTCAAGTTTTAAATCAATTGAACCAACAGTTGTTTGTGTTGATGAAGATCCCGATGGACTACAAAGACCACGAAACAATTTAGCGAAACCATAACGATACTGATTAATCACTAATCTACTTGTGAACATCATAAACTGGATTAAAGTGAACAAAATTAACAGAATATTAAACAGTAAGTAAATTAATTAGCTAAAAGAAATTAACAAACAACAACAACAAAAGTAAACAGGTGAAGATCCAATGGTTTCTATACATAGAAAAGGAAAGAGAAACAAAAACTGGTTACGTCCCGGAAACGGAAAATCTTCTCATCTCGATTTTATCCTCATCCTTTTTTAATTAATTAAGTGAATAAATTAATTTAATTACGTTTTGATTCTGTTTAATTCAGATTATTTAAGCTTCAGTGCATCGATTGATACCTTGGGTAAGTCACAAACTTGTCAAAAACCACCTCTTTTTTACGTTTAAAATTTTGCCTTAATCACCACACCCTAAACAAAGCGTGTCAACAAACATTCAGAATCCAAACACTCAGAAATCAAACATTTAGAATACAAATACTCAGAATATTAACCTGAATTAAACTAATTCACTGAATCACCTTTCTCTTTGTGTCACTCTAATAAAGGTTACGATGTCGGATATTTCCAAATTGATCAGGGAGATTGGCACGGCCATCACCTCAAATATAACGTATGAAAATCTGGTTAACAAGATGACTGAGAAAAGTCTTTGTGAAGCTGTCGTTAAGATTAATTGTCAACTACAAAATGAAAACGAAGTATCATCTTGGTCTCCGGAAGATATTGTTAACGCTAATCAGATTATTAAATTCTTTGGTGACAAAGTAAACCTCAAAAAGACTCCGAGGAAAACACCTCAAAAACAGAAGAATCAAGTACCTGCAAATCAACAAACCTTATCACAGTTCATCGGGAAAAAAAGGTCAAGCGTTTCGATCCTCAATGCCCCAGCCAAAAAGAAGAAAGTTGATCAAGTCGATTTGGCTAGTACAGGAAGTGATAATATGGATGAGGCCACAAACGACGGAGTTACGGACACTGATATTGACACGGAAGTCGATAATGAAACTGATGCACAACAGTCCGAACTGGAAGAATTAAACCTCGATGTAAACGCAGTTGGAGTTACAGTTGAAGACTTTCATCTAAGTAAAACAAAAAGATCAAAGGTAATCTCTAAACGATACAAAGAAGAAGATGAGGTTCCTGAGGGTTGGTACAAGGTTGATCACCTAGCTCCGAAGCCAATAGTTCTAATTGAAAAAATTGAGAACATTGATGAGATTGATCTCATGCTTGAACACGTTAAGGGTGTACTCGAGGTTGAAGACTCAGATTTTGGGGAGATTGATGAGATCGTGACCACGAACAAATTCGTAAAGGTCACCTTTAAAAATACTTATAATAGAGACCTTTTCTGTCGCTACTCTGAGAAAAACCAAGAAGGTTGGACAGTAACAATTCCCACCCTACGAAACCCTTGTATCAGAGTCGTCAATGTAGACAGTCTGATTCACCTTAAAGATGATGAAATCATCGACAGAATTGTTAAAAAGAATAGGTTTACACTTAATGAAGAGACTGTCATGAAAATTGTTCACAGGGTTACCCGAAAAAATGGAATGACCCTAATACTCGAAGTCTCACCGATAATTAGAGAGCTGATTTACCGTCGTAAGGGTAAACTTATGATTGGATACAAGAGTTTCCAAGTATCCGACAGCTTTGCACTTAAAACATGCCACACTTGCCTCTCATATGGTCACAACAATTGTAATCAACAGATCTACTGTCGATATTGTAGCTTAGGTCATTTAGGCAAATGTAAGATTAAAGGTAACAAAAAACTCTACAAATGTAAGTCGTGCTTGCGATTAGGTCATCAATTCAACGACCCCTCTTGTGAAGTCTTCCAAACTAAAATGTCCTTCGAACTCCAGTACATTAACTACACCTATGAGTGGGTCATGGCCGGTAAACTCGAATGAATACCTGAGAAATACAGACTCGCAATCAACCTCATCATCTTTTCTTCGATTTGATTTCATTTCCAATACAATTTTCTTTCGATTCCTCCCACTTCATGTTCAATTCTTCTCTCTCGTTACAAACACTTATCCCTATCATTTGTATCCTCCCAATATTACAGCAACTAAATGAACACAATTATTCGTGTCAAATAAAAGAATTCAGCCTCCATTTCTTACAACTCAATTGCGCTAAAAATAAAGAAGCCACACTTGAGATGATGATGTCCGAACCTGGTTATATATTAATGCTACAGGAAACCAATCTCAACACCTTAAGATCAATTCGCGGTACGAAATTTATAGTAAATGGTCACACTGTTATGCGATTGCCCGAAAAAATTAACATCATCAGGGTCGACGTGTCGATGCAGAGTATAATCCACTGCATAATAGAATTGGGTAATACTCGGGTCAATCTCTTTAATGTTTACTTTCACCCAACTCGAACGCTTAAAACTAACGCTCTCATTCTTGCTGATCGACTGGAGAAAATAAATGGCCCTCTTCTTGTGATGGGAGATCTAAATATCCACTCACTCCTCTGGTCACCGAAACAAATGGTTAATAACACCCGATCGGCTTGGTTTGATCTGCGTATAAAACCGAAATTAACGGGACTAAGCTCAGCGATTCCTCCAATGGTCAAAAATTTTACGAGAACTACATATGGTAATCAGAAGCCCTCCGTTAGTTACATTGACGTCGTTCTGATAAGTAAAGAGTGGAAATCGGAAACCACGATAACGACCGTCAAGAACTCAGACCACCGCCTCATAGAATCTGAACTCTCGATCTCCTTGCCTAAGAAAAGAACGTATTTTAAGCGAATACACAAAATCAGACACTATAAGATCAAATTAGCCAACAAGCTAAACAAATGTTCAATTAAGATGCAAATTGATTGTATCACGAGGAAAATTTTAAATCTCCCTTATAATAATGGCCACTGGATTAAAAATAATCGCAAGAGTAGGAGACTTTTGAAGCTTGAGGGTAGAGGAGACGCTCGAAGTAAGGAAATAATCAAATACAAACTTTCGAAGTTTAATCCTCTGAGAATCATTCAGAACACCAAAGATTCAAACAAAAGGTGGAAGATGATTAACTCCTTCATTCTTAATCATCAGACTAAACCCCAAATTGAAAAGCTCATGACAGGGAATCCTCAACTGAGAGAGCAAGTTCAACTAACTCTGCAGCAGTTTAAGTTCTCAAAACTCAAACAAAGATCTGACGAAAAGCCGAGTCCAGGTAAACCTCTAAGTTTTAGAGAAATCGAAACCATCAAAAAGCTCAAAATCACGAGCTCAGGTTGTGCGGACTCTTATAACATCAAACAGTGGGAAATAATGATGCATGAAAACAGCGACCTAATTATCTGTCTAATTAATCAAATGTTCTTAAATAATTATATTCCGGAATTCCTGAAAGTCTCTGGAGTCTCTTTGATTGTCAAGCCTGATAATGTCTCGGTAAGAATGATAAAGCTTCAAAACCATATGATGAAAATGGTCGATAAAATATTGGCTGACAGATTACAAATCTACCTTCCAACTCTTATCGAAGCCCCTCAATTCGCTTATCAGAATCGCACTGGTCGTATACAAGCTGTGGCCCGTCTTGAGAAAATAATTGGCGACGATGACATCCTGGTTAAGCTTGATTTGACGAAAGCTTTTGATAACATTAACATGTCAGCGGTTTACGACAAACTTGAAAATCTTATTGATGATGACACCTTCAAAATGCTGAAGTCGTTCTGTGAAAATCGATGGTGTAAAATTAATTACGAGAGAAAAACATACTACATGCCCGATAAAGGTACACCCGCTGGCTCGAGTTGTGGCCCCCTTGTCTTCATCCTCGGTATCGATGACACTCTCGTTGAAATAAACTCGAAAATTAAACTCGTAAGTTACGCGGATGATATTGTTTTAGTACTGCCTCTTTCTCAGATAAATGCCCTTGCTGAAATCCTAAAATGGATCATAAATCTCTTCGAGAAAAAGGGTCTGAGTCTCAACATGAAAAAAACAGTCATTCAAACGAGATCAAATATCACCACAACGAGTCTTAAAGTGTTACCTTTTAAAGTGGAAACAGGAATGACCTTCCTCGGCTTCAAAATCAAAACTTCGATTAATCACTTTGCCCTTGAAAATCACCTTAATAAGTCATGCGAACCACTTAAACCCAACGTTACTTTGATTCAAAAACTTGACATCAAAACCCAGAGAGAAATCCTCAATGCTTTTATTGGCTCATCTATTTGTAGCATCTCAGCGGATAACCTGATAGTACAAGGAGGTAATCTTTTTGACATGGAGAAAAGACTAATCCAGATGATCAACTTTACCAATGAATATCTACAAGTTATCACCGGCACCAAGGGCCTCGGTAAATGGTCACAGTTTTACATCAAAGGTATCACTAACCCTTGGTTTTCGCATCTCAAAACTCTGATTATGCATCTCCTGGATGAAGGTGAACTACGACATCCACTTATTCAACTCTTCTCACTTGGGGATATTTGTGTTGAAAACATGATCACTGACCATGTAATGGAATTGAAAAGAGTTTCAGAGCCATCCGAAAATGTCATCGAACTTGTGAAACTCTGTGGGGGGAGAATTGGTGCAACTCTGAATGATGAACTGGTTGAATTTATGGGCGAAAGAAACTCTAATCCATATTTATCTCGTATTGATGTTCTTTACAGTATTGTCTCTCAATTAGGCTCGGACATCGTTACCACCTTTATAATTCCGACGGATATTTGTCAAGCAAACAGTTGGATGGAAGTTAAGAGAATCATGAAACATTACGAACACAAATGGAATTGGATGGAAGGACCCCCGATAAGCAGGAACAAAAGGAGGCCAAATGAACGATTGGAACTACTACATTGGACGACGCGAAATATGTACAAGAAGAGAGTTGAAAGCTCCCTCAAAAGATTCTTCACCTTCATGATGCGGTCGCAAAACTCATACATCATCCACTTCAACCCCTCTCTTGGAAAATTACCACATTATCTTGGGATCAAACGCTTCCTCTTCCTGGTTCGAGGCTGCAACTACGTAGCAGATAAATGTCCGACCAAGGAGCACAAAATAATACATCTTCTCATTGAATGCAAACTCCGTAAAACGCCTCCAATCCCACGTATTGATCTTAAAAAATTCCTTCCCTCCGTAACTGATAAACTAATTTCCATTCTTTTGTAAAAGGCGGCTAAAGCCTTTCCTGGAAGGGTGCTTAAGTGTTACCCTTAGTAACCATCCGGAAACGGAAGGTTACTCTGTATAAAACAGGTTCAATTGAATGATAATACGACTGGTTGTGTTGATTACGTTTCTTTATCAATAATCTTGAGCTTTTCTTTTCATCAAAATTAACTTAATTCTCTGTTTTAATTTCTTTAATCATCTTTAGATTAACTTGTTGTTCTTTCAAATTTGGATTACGAGGTCAATGTAAGTTTATTGTTCATTTGATCTTTGGTCGTTTTGTGATTCAATCATAAGGGTGAGTACAGTTGGTTGTTACTCGTTTTTATTTATCGGGATTTGATCGTTAATTGTTTACAATTAAATTTCTATTCTATTCTAGAAAATGGTCTAGTTATCCAAATGTGTTTAAGGCAATCATGAGCCGTGAACCGGATTCTTGGCTCGGGTTCCAATAGTTTCTCAATCAGATCTTTAACATCTTCGGAAAGCTCAACTTCCGCCGGGTATTTGTATTTCCTTTCTAATTGGTGTTTTAGAAATTTATTCTGATTAAGAGAATCATCGAAAGGTCGGACATGGGTCACCATCTCGAATAGACAAACTCCAAGACTCCAGCAATCGGCTTTCTTTGGATCATATGGAGGAGTCATTACTTCGGGTGCAATGAAAGCCATGGTTCCACAACAGGTCGGTGCCGATGTTGGTTGATTGGTTGTTCGGTCATAAGTAAAACAAGCGAATCCGAAATCGGTCAATTTGGCATTATTGTCACGATCGAGTAGAATATTTTCATTCTTTAAATCTCGATGAGCGATACCTTTAGAATGCATGTAGGTTAAAGCGGACGATGTTTGTGACATCCAAATACGAGCTTCGTCTTCGGGTATTGGTTTACCAATTGATTGGAGAAAATGATGAATCGAATTATTTTCAGCAAATTCCATGAAAATATAAACCGATCGTCGGGTTTTAATTATATCCCAAACACGAATAATATTGGGATGTTGAAGATGACGAATTATCTTCAATTCTTTACGAAGTGATTTATCTTTCCACAATTGGGGCACTTTGTCCAAGGAGATTATTTTCACCGCAATATCTTTATCAAGCAAAGGTGCGTATCGAGCTTTGTATACCTGGGAAAAGGCACCGCCGCCGATTTGATCTAAAATAGTGTAGCCTCGATCTCGCAAGGCCAAGGGACAAAGCATCGAAGCACCGGATTCATCTTTCGACGAGACCTCATGCATTTGTGAGTTCGATCCACTACTCGAACCATCGCCAGGCTCACTTGCTGTAATTGAGAGAAAGTTACAATTGTGTAATTAAGAATATCAATTAACTGAAAATCGATTGAAAACTCACATTGTTTAATCTTATCTTTGTCTTTTTCTAAACTTCGATGGGACATGATTGATTGTCTGGTGAGAAAAATCAATTAATGGAATAGTAGATTAATTAAATTCCATTCAAGTTAAAACCTAAATTGGAAAGAAGATCCAATCAATTGATTTGATGATTTCTCTAACTTTTTGGGATTCGTCATTTTCCAATCATTTTAGTTAATTGTTTGAGTATTGTTGAGGTAGAAATTATTGTTGATGAGTTTAATTTCTTGTTTTTAAATTAAATTGTGTTTATTATTGATGGTTAATTTTCACTTTTTGGATTGATTTTTTTTTTGGTTAGAAAGTACAAAGTGTTTTTTTTAAGATTTTTTCATTTCATGTTTAGAGCAAGAAACAGACCAAAGGAGAGAGAGAGAGAGTGAGAAAAAAAATCGTCAAGTTGAAAGGTTTTAACGGAAAAAAGTGACAACAAACTTAAGATCACATTCCCATAGCTCGAGCAGCAGCGGTTTCTTCAGTTTGAGCTTTAGGGGCTTTAATTGTTTCATCAACTGAGAGTATAAGACAAGCGGCTTCCGTTGCCGCGGTGATTGCATTAATTTTAACCAGCGACGGTTCCCAGACACAGGCAAAGAAATTATCGGCTATGTCTTCAGCGTTAATATCAACACCGAACCAAATACCAGCGGTAGCATGTTTCTGGCGAAGTTTGTTTAATATGTTGGTCGCATCGAAACCAGCATTGTCACACAATTGACGGGGGATAATCTCGAAGGCTTTGGCCATCGCTGCAATGATTAATTGCTCTTTACCGGCGATGGTTCTTGAAAAATCTCGAAGGTATCTAGAAAGCTCCATTTCGATAGCTCCTCCACCGGCAACAACGGAATCATTTTTAAGAGCTCGACGAACAATCATGATGGCATCATGGAGAGAACGTTCAGTTTCTTCGATGAATTGTTCAGCACCACCACGAAGAATAATGGTTACAGTTTTCGACTTAGGGCAACCGGTGAAGAAATTGAACCTGAAATGATAAAGGAAATTTGTAAGTTCCAAAACAAAGGAATCCAAACTTGACTTATTGATCCCACTCTCGAGGAACCTTCCCCGAAGGAAGATTTTACTCTCTCACATTCGTAACATTGCCTAACCGATGAAACAAGGAAAGGTAACTGACTGAATGTGAGGATGGAAAATCAAATTTAATGAATATAATTTACCTTTCACCTCCGATTTGAGTTTCCTCAAATTGAGCACATGTTCCCAGATTAGCATCAGTCAAATCGTGAACGGTGGTCAGTATAGCGCCTCCACATGCTTTCTGAGTTCGAGTTAAATCATCAGCAGGTACCCGACCCGCACAGAACATGTCACGATCGGCGAAATATTGAGTTGCCACATCACCGATTGGCAGCATGGAGAGAACCACCTTAGCTCCAGATTCATGAATTTTTTGTAACTTTTCATACAAAATGTTCCACTCGGCATCAACAATACTTTGGTATTCTTTGACATTGTCAACTCTTATTTCAGCGTTGTCTCGCTCAGCCTTAAGTTCAAGTTCAATGTTAAGTAAAGCGATCTTAGGATTAGTGTATTTTTTAGGTTGCATTTCAAAACCAGCGTAACTGAAGGTCTTTTTGAAAGCAACACCGGTAATCAATTGAGACTCTTCAAGAGAACCACCTTTAACCTTTTTAACACCAATCATGTTAAGAGGTAACAGATCATCTAATTGCATAACCGCATCGACCACCATCTTAGCAAAAAAATCTTTCTGGTGAGCGATCAGTTTAGAGCTTAAGGTGGTTGAAGCACATTTCTCAAGTAAACTTCTCAAATCATCCTGGTTATTCTTATCTATTTTAATTGCCATATCATTGATCTTATCAACACATAACTGGCAACCTTTTCTAAGACTTCGAATGATAACTTGAGGGTGTAACCCATCTTCAACGAATACTTTCACCTGCTTCAGAAGTTCAGCACCTATCAAAGTAACGCTGGTTGTACCATCACCAACCTGTTAAAACCAACAACAAATATCAAATCAAATTTAGATTACAAAGTTAAAATAAAATAAAAGGTTAAGGAGAGAAGAATACAAACAATTTACATGATTGTTCTAGAATAGAAATTCTAAAAAAGGAAAAAAAATGATCAAGAGAACAAAAAAGAAATAGAAAGGAAAGAAAGAGAGAGACAACACCTAGAAAAACACCTCTTACCTCTGCATCTTGTGATCTGGAAATATCAACCAATGCTTTAGCTGCAGGATGGGCGACATTGAGATGAGCCAAGATGGTGGCACCATCATTACTAATTATACTCGACCCTTTGTTATCGACAATCAGTTTATCCATACCACGAGGACCCAGTGTGGTCCTCACAGCTTCAGCAATCAATTGGCAAGCATTGATGTTACTGATTAACTGGGATTTACCTTGTTGACTTTCAGTCCCTTCTTTAAGTAAGATAATTGGTCCTTGCTGAAATTATTAAACATTTATATTAGAACGAGACACATACAAACCAAGGATAGACTATTAAAGAGAAATTACAATTAAAGGTTAGTTACCATTTTTAAAGTGAAGCTCCGACAATTAAATAATCACAATTTAAATACAACTTTAAGAATCACGTTTTTTTAACCAAAACTTTATTTGCCAAGATTGATGGTGATACAGGATCATGCACATGAGTCGTTGCTCATGCGCTAAAGAATAGAATAGAATCTATTCTACTCTTTTTACAAGAAAATAATGTTTGTTGTTTTTAACATTTGTTCATTTTCTGTGATAATATTAATAATATTAATAATAAGTTCTATTTTTTTCTTTCTTGATATTATATCTATTTCATCTAGTGACCATTTCCAGTTCTGTTTTTGGCCAATGATTTCTTCGATGTGTTTTGGTTCGTTTAGTATGTGAGTGATTATATTAACTTGTTTCTTTATTCCGCAGCAGTTGATTTTTCTTTTGATTTCGAATCTTTTCCATAAGCTAAACCATTGTCTCGGTGTTAATGGTTGGTACCAGAAGGGTTTTATCTTCATGTTCGGATTCATTATTGTATCTATTGTTTGGTGTTTTTTTCTTATTTTAATAATAATATTATTAACCATTTTGTCTATTATTTTGTTTATTCCAGATCCATGTGTCCATTTGATGTCCCAATGTATTGATATTCCTGGATTTCTTTTAGTGGTTTCCCATTCACTCACACACCATGTCCATTCGTTGTGATCCATTAATGATATTAGTCCTCTTAGATCATTGCCTGTTGGTGATTTGGAGTAAATTGTTTTGAGTAGTTTGTTGCTAATGGGTACATGTTTGAATCCTTTCTTTTTGGTAATGTCGATTACGACGGCAAATGTAATTATCCATGATTCAAATTCACTTCTATTGTTACTATTATTAATATTAATATTAATAATTTGTTCTTGCAGTTTTATCGAGATGATTAACGTGGTGTCGTTTCTGAATATACTAATTCTTGGGAATTTACATTCACATGTCGTTTTTATGTTGGCAATTTCGTTTTCGGTTATCACTCTTGTTGGTTTTATCGGAATGTATTGATTTTTGGTGAGTTTGAAGTGTTCAATCAGTAATTTACATTCATTTTCATAGATATCCCATTTCATTATTGTCTTTAGTTGTATTCTTATTATTGATGGAATTTCTAATAGCATTTCTTGTGACCATCTTTCCATGAATCGTGTTCCAATTATTGATGCCAATTTGTTGTGAACTTCTCTTTGTATATTATTACCTATTTTCAGGTAATTTTCATTTATCGTCCATGAATAATCATAGTTTTTCATTACTGAATTGACATATGTATTCATTAGAAGTTGTTGTAGTTTTCTCGGCATCCTTTTTATGAAATTCAATACGTGAGATAATGGTGAAATCGCTTTTATCATTAGTTCATTTATCACCTCCTTCCGTTTTCTTTCGCTTTGTTTATTGATGTTGTAACATCCTACTATCTTTGAGCATTCTGATCCTTTTATTATTTTTGTTTTTTCTTTGTTTATTTTCAGGTTTATCTTTTCCAGTTTTTCTTCCATGATTTTTAATGCGTATTTGGCTTCGGTTTCGGAATCAACAATAATAATAATATCATCTGCGAATGCAAGTGCCTCGATTGCTTCCTGTTTCATCGCTCTCATTACTTGATCAATTGCCAGTATAAAGAGTAATGGCCCACATGAAGATCCTTGGCTTGTACCTTTATCCATTTTTTCCCACAATATTCGATTTTTCCAAATCATTTTCGTCCATCTTATTGTGTTCATTGATTCAAGTAGGTTACCCATTTGTTCGTCTTTTTGTTTTATTATTGTTATTGTTGATTCAATATTAACTTCATCAAATGCTTTTGAAATGTCTAGTTGAACCATCCATCGATTCTTCATGTTTTTCTTCAATAATAATTCAAATATTAGATGTTCTCTGCATTTATTTTTTATAAACGCATATTGAGATTCATTGTCAATGATTGATGGAATCATATCTTGTAGTCTATTCGCTACTATTTTATCTATTATTCTGAGTAGATAGTTTGGTGATTTCACTGTTCTTAAGCTTATTCCATCAGGTTTTTTGATTAGACCAATACCGTAGATTCTGATGCATTTGGGGACATATCCCATCATCATAATCATGTCTATTATTTTTATTATTATTATTTTGTTCCGTCTGAAGAATTCGTTCCACATTGGTATTGTAAATTTATCTCCGCTCAGTGATGATTTTTGCATTTTTAGATCAAATATCATCTGTTTTTCTTTAGTGTTTAGTCCGTTGAATTTGAATGTTTTTTCTTCGGTTTCAATGAATTTAGGTTTTGATGTTGACATTGTTTCCATTATTTTCTTGAGCGATTCTTCGTATCTTTGATCGTTATCAAACAGGAATTGATTTTCTTTATATATTATTGTTTTTCTTATTATTTTCCATTTTTTCTTCGAGTTCATTTCCATTAATTTATTGTAATTTAATTTACCATTTTCATGTAATTTTCTTCGTTTATTTTTCATGATTCGCCATCGGCCATGTTTGTCCGGGAAGTTGATTATCCGTTGACAGTTTTCTATCAGGAAATGATTTTTGTTGAATGGTCTAAGGTCCATTGGTTTTGTTTTAAGGTGCCAGTTATTTAGATGTAATGTTCTGAGTAGTTTTGGTTTACTTATTGTTGGTATTATTAATTCACATTTTAGTAACCTGTGGTCATTTGTTTTCACATCAATTATCTCTTTAGTCGTTGCTTTTATGCCGCCATTGACTAGAATAACATCTATCCATGATTTACATTCATTTCGATTGAATGTTTCCTCTGATTGGGGTGAGAAGATACTTTTAATATTGTTGTTAATTATTATTTGATCTACCATGAAGTTGTTTTGTGGTTTTGGTGACCAAAGTTGATGTTGGTAATTTACGTCTCCTATTATTATTGTTAAGTCATTTACAAAGGTAGAAATATCTTGCCATTTTTGTAGTTCTTTCGTTCGAATGTATGAGCTAATTATTCGTACACCATTAAATGGATTTCCCAGATCAATAATAATAATATCATTCTGTGGATAATAGGTCTTTTCAATTTTAATGTCATCAGATATCATGATAATCGTTGCATTATTTACTTTAATTTTCTCATTAGCGGTAAAGACTTGTGATGTGTTTGGTTCGTTGATTGAAATGATTCTTCTTGTTGATTTGTTTATACCTTCGATTATTGTTTTTGTTATTTGACGGCGTTTACCCACATTCATGTGTATTATTTCGAGCATTGGATATGGTATCCGGTGTGGATTAGTAAGCATTTGTTGCATTGTAGGTATGTTGCTTTTGGTGATATTCGTAGTTGTTTATTATTAATAATAATAATATTCTTTTCCTTTTTTATTTTGTCAATTAGATTTATGTTGTTGGTCTGTATGATCGTTAGGAACTGTTCGTTTTTCTTCTTGATCTGTATGGTAATCGATTGTTGGTCACACTGGTCTTGGAATATTTTTCTCACTTTATTTGCTTCGTGTTTGTCGTCACAGATTATCTCGTAGTATCTCCACTTTATATGTATCAGCGTTATGTTTATATCTTCTAGTGATATTATTTCGTGAATGGTGTTTTCCGGTATCTCTCTTGAGAGGGTAACTTGTTTTCTTTGGCTTTTCTCACCTCGAATTTCCGTCATGTACTTTTCGGTAATTATTTCTTTAATCTTCTCTTGTTGCAGTAGTCCTTTGAATGCGATGATTATTTGGTTGTTAACTTTTTCTGTTGTTGATGATTGATTTGTTTTTTCTTTTATTATTTTTATTATTTTTTCCACAGCGTAGATATCGTTTCTCACTTTTGTTGGGTCCTCTAACCATTGGCAGGTGATCAAGTTCAATAGTTGGATTAAATTGTCGATTTTGTATTCGTTATGTTGATCTTTTTGTATTGCTTCAATGGTTGGTATTATGGATGAGTAGTCGACGTATTTTTTGTTGTCATTAATCGTTGTTATTAACCAATTTAACATAATTAACAATAGTAGTAATAATAATACTAGTAATTAACTGTTTGTTTTAGATTAACTTTTGGTTGCACGTTTTAATTGATGGTGTGATTTACTTATTCTGGTTGATTTCCTTCCTTTATCTTCATTAACTAGTGACATCTATGCTATTATATGGTGTTGATTCAAGACAATGTGATAAGTTAAGGAAGGAAAATCAAGTAAGTAAGTTGCTTAGTAAATTTGCAGAAACTTATTAATCTTTTTCTTTTTTCCATCCAACAGTGGCTTAATTATCATTTCATCCAAGGATTGAGTTCTAACGGTACATGTGTTGAATCTCAGGTATTCGTATCCGAAGCCGTTTCTCCTGTTTTCATTGAAGATGAGCCCGATTGGTCTTTACCTTATTCCATTTGGATTGGAAGTCTTATTACAGCCTTGATTCAATTTCGTTAAATGTGTAAAATGTCACCATTTTTTCGTTGTTTTATCAGATATGGATTCAAAAAAGACAATTCAAGAAGCTCGTACATCTCGAAACAGTTCGGACAATTCAATTTCAACAAGAAGACCTCCACCTCCTCCTCCAAGGAAGGTAAAATTTCCTCCACTCGATAAACTAATTTCCGTTGTGTGTAATCGGGTAAGAATAAGCAAAGATGGTTCTATCAGTAATTGTTTATAATCTCTACATTAGAATATTATCCCATTAAGTTTAAACAAGCGAACAATCCATTCTCAAGAAGGGATAATAATTGAAACTCATTTCAATGGTTAGATGATTAGTTTAACTTCTATTCTCTATTTTCTTTTTAACAAATTTACTTAATATTTATGGACTGGGTCATAGTAGCAATGTTCAATGGTCAATGATTCTAATGTTATTGATTTCTATCAATCCTTGAGATGTTTTCGATTTATCTCAACTTTTTCTTCTTACTCTAGATTGTTATTCTCATCTTTGTTTTTATTTCTCTTTTACTCCTTTCTAGCGAAATCGACTTGTGAGAGCTACAACTTACTTGGTCAACAAATGTCCTTATTCATCTGCTATTTCGCCACAATTTGATGAACAATTACTTGCCTCATCAGGGCAATTCACAAATCTTTTAACAACTACTATTGGTAAAAAGTTTTACTCTCAAACCTCAGGTGAAGGTAAAGATGGACAACTCAGTTGTCCTAAATGTGGAAACCCATGTACCCAAGTGGAAACCTTTGTTTGTAAGTATTAATCGTGTTAAATTGCATCATTGATTTCATCAGATTGAATTTTATTTTCAATTTGAAGCAAAAAGTAGAGGTCATTTGATTTTTCACTTTCCGATATTCTCATTCACAAATGACCTCAATCCCGTTTTCTTGTATTTACTTTCTCTTTCTTTTCATTTCTTTATCTTCAATATCATCAGTAAAAATGTTATTGAAATAGCCTCAGGTATCAATTTACTTTCTCTTTCATTAATTTTTCTTCTTTTTTTTTTTTTTTTACAGCCTCAACTCGATTCGTTAAATGTGAAAAATGTCACCATTTTTTCGTTGTTCTATCAGATATGGATTCAAAAAAGACAATTCAAGAAGCTCGTACATCTAAAAACAGTTCAGACAAATTTTATTAGTCCACTTTGGATTACAGTTACATGAGTCGTTGCTCATGAACTAGAGAAATATAAAAATATTCTCTTCAGAGGATACAAAAAAAGAACAAAAAATAAAAAAATAAAAAATAAAAAACAATTAACGATATTTCTCAATATTTTAGAAAGCATGGTTATTTGTTTCTCGTTATTTTGATAAGTCAACATTTCAGTAAGCATGGGTCTACTTGACCCATGCTTACGGAATTAATTTCTAGTCATTCTGATAAATCAGAAATCTTGTATTCTCAACAGTAATATTAATTAATAATAATTAACTGTTTTGGCATTTTAAATACATTTACATGTATAAATTTAGGTTTTGTCACATTGGGCAAAGGTAACGTTTGCCCAATGCTTTCTCAATGATTTTGTAGTCAATTTAAATTTTATTCAATTTCACTTTTCTCTTACCTTTTAGATGATTTTCTATTATTTTTGTGATCCCTAGGACCTCAATAATAATAATATTAACTAATTAATTGTTAATTAATTTGTTTTCACATTCAAAATATTCAAAAACTAAGAACTCACGTTTTTCAACCTTCCTTTTAATAAACCAAAAAGTGACTAACCCATTCGAGGGACCGTTGACTAATTAAAAAGAGAACAAAATATCAACAACAAAGAGGAAAAGTTGCAATTTAATTTTCGTTAATTCTAATCAATTGACAATTAATTGAGAAATTTTCATGCAACCATAATTAGCTTAGAATATTGGATAATGATTAGCAATCAAGTTTAGCTATACTTGGAATATTATTAGATAGAAAAAAGGAATTCTTTTTCAAAATAAATTTCGACTGACATTAAATCGGACGATAATTAATTGATTAAAGTAATTAAAAGGTGAAATGTTTTTTGATTATTAAGTGAATTATATGAAATGAAATGAAATGAAATTTTCATACGATTATTGATCAAATAAGTTGTATTGAAAATCTAATATCAGGTTTAATTGTGAAGAAATTAATTAGATAGGAAAAGATTTCTATCTCTTGATTGTTAGTGATTAATAAATCACGAGAAACAAGCAAATTCACTTTCACTTGAAGATTAATGATTAATTTTGATGGTATCTTAATCTGTCAAAAAGTTAATTCGTTCAGCAAATCATAGTTAATTTCCTAATTGTTATCAATTAACAAGAGGTGATACCTCATTTCTAAATCTATTTCCTAATTGTTGAGAGAGTAAATAAATCAATGAATCATTGGAAAATACTAATCAATTGATTTGGTTAATTAATTTAATACATTTCATAAATGCGGAATTAAACTCAGAATTTTCAATATTCAGACTAATCAAACTAATTGTTCAACTATAAACAATTTAGTATCAGATGAGCAAATTTTCATTCAAATTTTAATTGTTGCGTAAAAAAAATGATACAATTAATTAAATGCACTAAAAAATTATCGTTGGAAAAGTAAAATTAACAAAATTTTACACTTTCAGTTAATTATTACAATCAACTAGATGGTTAAAATTAGCTCTTGTGTTAACAATGTTATTATTAATTGTTATCAACTAATTAACTTAACAATCAATGTAAGATATAAATAAAAGTATTGAAAATGAAATTGATTCTCATCAAGATAATGTGACCTAAATCAATTACAATTAATGATAACTAAGGTGTCCGGGGATATTTTTTCAGTATAATTTGATACGAAATTAAAGAATCAAAGTTAATTATCTTAAGTGTTGATTGTTGATCATTAACGTAAACAAGGAACATCATTTTCCACATACTTCACTCATGATAATTAAAAGATTAATCAACGATTATAAGTGGATCAACAATCAGAATCAACTTGAGGTATCGGCAATAACTTTCTTAACTATTCATATGATTAAGAATTAGATAAATTGGAAATGACAATTACATTGGTTAAACTCAATTGCTAATTAATTAGATATCTTAATTTTTGATTTGACAATTAACCCTAGGAAAAAACAAATTTGAATGATAACAATTACAAAAAGGAATCAATTTCCTTGGATTTTAATTGTTTTCACTTTATTGATTATCTTACGATTAGAATCTCAATTGTAATCACAATTTAACCTTCTCATATGATGATGAATACACTTGAAATTGTTACAACAATTTAGTTGATGATTTGAGATTTTCTTAGTGAAAACAAAAACAACAACAATTAAATATTGGACCAGGTTCATGGTGATTGGTAAAGGTAACAATCAATTTCCAAGGCTAAAAGGGATTAAGTTAATTGTTGTTGATAGTTAATTGTAAGCGAACCTGATTATCAATTGTTTACAAGATGATGAACTATTACCTGATTGATTAATTGGCTCTTCAAATTCATACCTTCATGTAAACAATCAAGATAATTTGAAAGGAGGGAAAAGTTTAACACCGAGAGAGGAGGTTGGGTTGATTAAGAAGACGATGGTAACCTTGACGATAATTAAGAATCAGTGATAATTATCTTTAATTTTTTCGAGAAATTTGAAACATATAAATAGAATTGGTTCTTCCGTCAACAAATTCAGTTTAGTTTGTAAATTGGAACAATTAACTTTGACCAGAATAAATTTCTACTTCCAACTGTATTCGTTTTAATTTGATTCATCTCCAAGGTATTAATTCATCTTAATCATATTACAATGAAGTCAATAATTGGTTTAATTTGTGTTGTTGGTTTAATTGCCACCGTATTATCAGGTGAGTTATTAGTTAATTACAATCGAATTTCATAAATTATCTTAATTGTTTTAATCGATATGATATATTTTAGCACCAGCTGAACATAATCATGATGGACACTCACATGGTCCAATGAACAATGAAACCGCTCATTCTGCTGGTCACTCTCACTCCCATGAACATCACAACCATACCGATGAAGCCTCTCACTCTGATCATCATGCAATCTCCTTCCAACATGGACATGACCATGGGCACGATCATCATCATCATAATTCCCTCTCCTCAAATCATTCCCATGACAATGACCATTACGAGAACGATGGTCATTCGACTCATAAACCCGGTGACAATGTTCATCCACTTGATCTTCACGTCAAATGCCACGGAGAGTATTCACCTTCCACCCAATGTGCCAATGGAACCAACTCTTCAAACCTTTACTGGTTCGATATGGGACGAAAAGTTTGTAACAAGTTCGAAGATGGAAAATGTCCTTCCGCCGAAAGTAAAAATTCATTCACTTCAATGGACGATTGTCTCAAATGTATTGTCGATTCAGCTGCAACCACAAAAGCCGCTGCTCCCGTTACCCCACCTCCACCTCCCACTGTATCCTCATCATCAGCAGCTTCACCAACCGCTCCCGTTACTACAACATCAACATCAACCACAACCACTTCAGCCCCAAGTACTGCCGCTGCGACTGTTGCATCAAGCGCCGCTCCAATGGCCACTTCCTTACCTTCAACCACGGTTAAGGCTTAAACTAAACTTTTCCTCCTTATCGAAGGCTAATTAACAATAATCAATTTCATTCAATAATTTATTTCCCTGCAACTATTTTGCTTTTATCCCATTAACATGAAACCATCAAATCTGTAATCACAATCATTTAATCAACTGCAATAAACTTTGGAAATTAAAAATTTTCACAAATCTATGATCTCTTATTAATACATTAGTTGATTAACTTGAATTGGTTAATCTAATTGATTGACAATCGCTTCTTCAGTCCATGATTGAAACAAATAAGATTTTGATAAACAATTAGAAAGATAATTTTATCAGAATATTGATCGTTCAAGTTGGGAAAATATTGATACATTGGAGATCACTAATCACTAGAATTAGATGCAATTAGATCAATCGATTTCAGAAATAAATTGATGAGGCAAGTTAGTTAAAGGAATATTAATTTTATTGATTACTCTTGTTGATAAATAGAATTGGTATTTGCAATAATTCATGTACTTAAGTTTTTTTAACTAAATTGATGATAGAAAATAAGATTTTTTCGTAAGATTTAATTGTTGATCTTGGTTCTGGTGTTGTTGTTGGGACTTGACTTTTATCAGGATGGGACATTTTGGTGATGAATCTTTCAAGGAGATCTTGGAACAAGGCGATTGTTGAACATTTGAACTTTTTCATTCCACAAGAAGCACCATCAACTATGGAATCAACAAATTGTTGTGTATTTTTATCCAGAACTCTGTAGAAAAATGAATTCTCGGCGAGCGTGTTATTCATCATCGAAGTCCATTCAGGATAGTTTTTATATGCGTCACAACTCAGAGTGTATTGAATCAACTCAGGACATTCTTCACTTTCCAAATTTAGAAATTGAAGAACTTTTTTCACTTGAAAAGGAATTTCTTTTTCTAAATTCTGAAATGAATTCCAAACGGAAGTAGAAGTTTCTCGAGTCACTCGACGAGAAGGAATTTCAAGACCAGGGACACTTGTAAACGCATTGGACAAAATTGACGCGATTATGAACAGAACTGCACCGATCATGAAGATGGCGGAAGCTAATTTCCTGGCGATGAGAAAAGCTGGAATGAGGAGAGCATCGGTTAGGAGTGGAACCATCAAAGGTTCAAGAGTTTCGTAGGTACTGAGAGCTGGCATTTTGACGAAGACACAATTGAAGAGAAGAGAATTGATCGAGGACTGGCAATGATATGATACGATTTGGACCCTTCTATTTATATAAAAAAGTCTCCAAGATTAGGGAGAAAAATCGCCCAATAGATTATTTTATAATGAGGATAATCATTTAAACAGATTAACCGATTGAGACAAACTCTCATTCAGCCTCGAGGTTTGATATCTACATTAAAGGTCGAAGGCACAATGTGAACCTTTGAGGTTGATGCTAAGTTTGAGAGATTAAATTTCCAATATTAATCCGGCAAACACTACAAACGAACCTCTGGTAATTACGGGAAAAAGAGAGAAATTAAAGATGGATACAAAATTCGACTAATTATCAACATAATGAAAAAGTAAATTTCTGAATAGAAATTCAAAATAAATGACTTACATCTTCGTTAATTGATCGACTCGATAACATGGAAGTCATGGAAACATGTGAACGATTATATTTCGTCAAATTTAGAGATCAAAAATCAAATCAGTCAATCGGGATTGAAGATGAGGTTTTGACAGAGAAAAGAAAATTCATTCTAAGTTAATCAACTAGATAACTGGTTGGAATATGATTGACACTCTCTGTGTAATTGTACATTATTTTTAGTCTAAATTGTAACAATTAATGATAATCAAAATAGCTGATTAATATAAAGACTAAATTGCAAGTAACTAAGAAGCACTAGTTGTTTTGATATCTTCACAAAATTGATTGTTGTTTGATAAAATAACAGTTTCGTTGTGATAACTGTTTTTCCAATATAATCAAGTGTTGATTTTTTCATCATTTAAGAAACTATGAATGTGAGTGTAAATGAATGTTAAACAATCATTTCTTGGTAATAAATGGGTAAGAATTAAATTCACTTGTCGTGATGATGTTAACTTGCTACTTTCACAAGTAAGAACAGCTAAATAACTGATAACCTGAGACTGAAATAAGAAAAAAAGACAACAATTAACAAAAAAATTCTCAAGAACAAAAAAATCAAAAGTATTACCAACCATAGTTATTGCCTCGTTGATAACAAAATTAGATGAGTTTATAAATTTGGAAACTTTTTTACCGAGCATATTTTTTGTAGTATAATTTACACCATTGATTGATTTAATTATTTCTAAAGATTCTAAACAAAGAAAAGAAAAAATGACAAATTAATTGTAGATGTGAACAAAAGAAAAAGTTAAATAATTAACACTCACCTTCAACCACATTAAAGTAAAATGTCAACAAACAAGAAAACAAAAGCAAAATGAAACCAAGAATAATCTTAACCAAGAAACTCTAAGAAAGAAAAATTCAGAATAAGTCAAGCATTAATCAAAACAGTTTCGACAAAAAAAATCAATCAATTAAACTTACCATCAAAATAAAATAAATTACAATTGAATAAATAAAAGTAAACATTAAAATTGGTGAAGTGATCACATTGACAAAAGAATCAATCTTAACCAATTTAATCTTAATAAAATTAGTATGACAATAAACATGAGCTTCTAATTGATAACACTGAACACTAATGAACTTACGGTGAACATAATAATTCAAATCATCTTTTAATCGCTTCATTTTAACTAACAATTAAGACCAAAAATCAAACAATTACCTTTCAATGTTTACAAAAAGGACGCCGGGAGGGGGAAGATTAAAAATTAAAAATTCTAAATTCAATTGTAGATTAAAAACGGTCCCTATTCTCCAATTCAATGATGAATGATGAACTAAATTAATTAATTAAATTAATAAATTAAAGTGAATTAAAGTGAATTAATTGATATAATAAGTGAATTAATAAGTGGACGGAAGAGTGGTTATATCCAGGATTAAAGTGATTAATGCCGAAAAAATAGAACATTGGAACAACAACAACAAAGTAAGTAAATGGCAATTTAATGTCTGATTGAAAATAATTAATTAACAGATATTTTAATGCTGAAAAAATGCATTATAAAAGACCTAATAATCAAAAACTTATCAGTGAAATGCTGAAGAAAAGAAGCAAATCGATGAACACGTTTTTTTTACACGTGGTATATCGGAAATAAAATAATAATCTCCATGGAGATTAATCTGAATGAAACCGTAAAGTAACGGAAATGAAATTATTAATGAAGTAACTTCCAACGTGTTAACAACAAGTAATAATTTAAACTGTGTATTCATATAAAAAGTAATTGATTATAATATTATTAATTAAATAACTAATAATTAAATAATATGTCTCTCAATCAAACAGAAATGGAAAAGTGGTCAAGTAAAATTGAACTAATACTGAATATGAACGAAAGTGATTTACCCAAATACTGTGAAGAAATACCAATGGAATCGATGATGAACTTACAAAAGGATGTAACAACAATTCTCAAAGACAGAAAAATAATTACAACATTCAAACTGACGAATAAAAAAGAAAAAATAAAACAATTTGGCCAACAATTAGAAAAAATAATTCGTGATAAACAATCAATTTCGATTCTCAATGAAGCAATAAACATGGAAGAAGAAGAAAAAACGGAGGAAGAACAAATAAAAGAAACAAACAAGAGAAAAAATGATGATGAAACATTGGTACCAATAAAGATGAGAAAAGTGGATGATACAATTCCAAGCTCATGGCTTGAATGGGAATGTCGACCATATTCACCATCAGCAATAATAAAAAGTGAGACGTTAAAACCAAATGAAATTTACATGAAAATTTCACAACTAAAAGAGGAAAACAAATTACATATTGAAAAAAGTCATTCATTCTTTGAAAACAAAGACAACATAAAGATCAAAGCTCAAGATGAAGAAACATTGGATATTATTATTAATGTTATTATTGAGAACTTCAGCGAATTCGATATCACCAGAATGAAGCGGAAAGCACCAAAAATAAAAATAATTAACGTCCCTGGACTACACAAGAATGAGAACTTATATGAGAAAACATTTCTCTTATACAACAAGAACTTTGACCAAGACAATTTCAAGATAACAAGAGTCATCCGAAAAAATAACAATAATAACGACATTATTGCGAAGATAAGTCCAGCGTTACGCTCAGATATTCAAAAAAGAAACGGAATAATATCAAGTGGAATGCAAGCCCACAAAGTAATTGATATATTCGATATTCTTTATTGTACCCGTTGTCATTCATTGGATCATTTTCGCAAACAATGTAAAAATCAAGATTTGTGTACTCATTGTGCTGGTGCACACAGCTCAATATTTTGTGTTGAAACGGCTGAACAATTCAGTAAATGTGCTACTTGTTACCGAAAAGGCCACAAACCAGGAACAATTAAATGCCCTGAATACCGAAACAAACTACAAATTGAAGCAAGTAAAGTGGCATTCGAATACCAATATTTGATGGTTTAATTGAATACTATTGTTAATATTATTGTCGAATTGATAATAATAAACAATAATAATAGAAACAAAATGGTCATGATACAATCAAGTGGATAGAATAACAATAATGAAATAAACAGTAAGTTTTCAAGTATCGGAATTAAATCGAAAGGAATACAAAATGAATATGATGATGGATTACAAATGAATAATAGAAAAGGAAATGAAAATCAAGAAAGTAAAAAGAAAATACAAAATTGTTCCACTGATTTAAAGAAAAATAATAATAAAAGATCATGTAACCATTTAAAATTGAAATAAAGCTCATGGCTCAGTAACTGAAGAAGTAGCTTCTTTATCGGGTTCATTAACAATAATACGCTTGGGATGAGCAGCCAAAATTTGTAAGCGTAAATCTTGTCCTGAATTATTGAAATTACGAGACATTCCAACCAAATTGAAATCAGCACAATTAGGCATAAAATTCAAAAAATCAGCAACAAATTCAAATTGTCTCATTGATAAATGTCCGACATATACGACATCAATTGAAGTTGGATCAAGATTCTTAGTATCAGCAATTTTAACCAAAGCATCAGAAACTTTCATCTTGGTATCCATCAAATATTGAAAATCGTTACCAAGAGTCCGGAAATACATATTAACAAATGGCTTTGGCTTGTCGACTTTCCATCGCAAAATATTGTTTGACACCAAACGCAAGCGATTATTATTTATTATTTTCTTTATTATTGAGACATTAGCGGGAGTTGGAGTGAAACGACGAATATCACCAAGTAAAACTGCTGGTGGATTAGTTGTTGATACTTCTTTACCCTTGCAAGTAAAAGAGTGAGCCAAATAATTATTAATTTCGAAACGCTTTTCACATAATCGACAAGCCACAGTCAAATTATTATAAGCGATACGCTCTATTATTCCAAGTTTCCGAAAATAAGGGGGCTTGAAATTAATTTTACAACCAGCAGTTGGACAAATTGTCTCATAACCATAACGACCAGAACGTCGAAAAACAGGATTATCAGCTCGAGCACCAACACAAACCTCGCAAAATACTCGTTGACAAAAATCTTGTCCATAACCACCATCATGAACTTGAGGTCGGGTTGCAAGTTTATTACACAAACCGCAAATGAAAAAATCAGCATATTGACCACTAAGTTGATGAACAGTTGCCATTATTATTACAATTAGAAACAAAAATAATAACAATATTATTAATAATAGAATAAAACAATTAACTAATTGAAACAACAATCTAGAAAGTACGTTAATCAACAAAAGAAAAAGCAAAAATGAAAAAATACGCCAAATTAGTTTAGTTAATATCAAACAATATAGATGGCGCTGATAACAAGTAATTACCTGAATCAAAAATTAATCAGACGATATTAAATAAATCAACATGCTTGAATGGTTAACATTAGAAATAAAAACTAATAAAAATATTCAATACTCACATCTTATACCAATAATTGAATCGATCAATAGAAGTGAAAAACCAGTGACATCAAATGACAAACTTATTCAACTACTTAATCTAATAACGTGCCAATGGTTAGAAGATGAATCTTCAATTGATATTGACCTGAAAGCAGTGAAAACAATAATAAATTTGATTAGTGAAAAGTACAATGATATAACAATTGACCAAGAAAAAATTGAAAGATCATCTCAAATTGTGATTGCCTACAAAAATCAAATTCATCGAAAATTAATTGATGAAATTGCTGATAAAAAGTGGATTGTGGATGAAAAAGGATTGAGAAGCAAAAGAAAACAAATATTATTATCACCTGAAACACCAGAAAACGTGATCCAACAAATTACCAGTATTTTGGACCAAGATATTGTTATTATTCACATCTCATGGAAATATTATGAAACAACAATAACAACAAAAGAAGAAGCCAATAAAATCGTCTCATACTTTGAATCATTGGAAAAACCAGAGAAAATAACAATACAAATGAAGAAAACATCATCGGAATCATATAAAGTGATAATACAAATAGATGACGAAGAAGAGAATCTAAAGATAAAAGAAAAGAACAATAAAATCAAAATCAATGAATCTTCAACAGTCAAATTAATACCTAAAGCTTCATACAGATTATGTGAAAAATGCAGCCATATCCACACAGGTTATCATGCTCAATGCTTCATTTGATCCACCTTAATACTGGAAAAAGAAAAGAATTAACAAAAACAATAATAGAAAAAATGAAAAACAAAAATAAAACGATAACATCAATAAATGAACCAAACATGAATGTAATTGATTTAATGAACTCACCAAACATTAAAGTGAACATGAATACAATAATAATGATCAGTGAAGATATTGAAATAAAAGAAACAAATTATCCGGATGAAGATACAATAGTAATAGACCTGAAAAAACAATTTGATGGAATAAGAATCATTGCTACGTATATCAGAACCAAAGAACAACAAAAATGGAACAACATACGTAAACTAATAACGAATAAAACAATAATAATTGGTGATGTAAACTGTCAACACAAACTATGGTCACCAAATGATAACGCTAAATTTGATATTAAAGAAATTATCGAGAATAACAACTTTAAAAGTATATTTGGACCAGAATCTGAACCAACATTCACAAGAAAAGAATCTAAATCATGGATAGATATTATTATCTACAATTTCTACATAAAAATAATCAACAAAAAAATAACAAATCTGAGAACAGATGATCATTCAATTCTAACAACTACCATTGAATACACAACAACAATACAAACTCAAAACAATTATCTAAAAATCTCAAAACAAAGACTCAAAATAAAACCAATGTCAACAAGAAACTTCACCAATGAACATTTTCTAATAGAAAATTGTAGAAGAATAATACATTTTCCTACAAATCATGGCAAATGGCATCCATACAACAAAACTATCCATAAAAGAAAAAGAAAGAAAAACAAGGAAGAAGAAAAATGGTCTATTATTAAAAAGAAGATAATAAATAAACAAAACCCATTTATAAATGAAAATGAATCAGAATATCAAGATGAAATCGACAAAATACTAAAAACAATGGTAATCAAAAAACCAAGTTTCAAAGAAAATGTAAATTTAAAATTCACAACAAATGGACTACAACAACATGAAATCAACACACTAACCAAACTAAAAATGAAAACCTCATCATTAAGTGGTGATAATTATACGATAAAATCTTGGAATGAATTTTACCAACGGAACAAAAAAGAAATAATAACAACAATCAATATGATAATGAAACTGTCATATGTACCACTTTGTGTAAGAGTTTATGGCATTGGATTAATCAAGAAACCGGATGGAAAGAGCATAAGGATGGTGAAAGCACCAAATTACCTATTGAAAACAATAGATATGATTGTGTCAAACAGAGTGAAAGAAATTCTACCAAAAATAATAATGCATGAAACTCAATATGCATACATGAAAAACTTCAACAAAGAACAACTAATACTCAAATTATTATTTACTTACAAAATGGTCGACAAATGGATTGTCAAAATGGACATCTCAAAAGCATTCGATGAAGTGGACACAACCAGAGCAATTGAAAGAATAAAACAAATAGATGAATCACTGGGGAAGATAATACAATCAATGAACTCGAAACGATGGCTAAAATTGGAATGGAAAAAGAGAAAATATTGGCAAGAAGCAGAACGAGGAACGAGCCAAGGATCATCATGTGGCCCATTATTATTCATTGTTGCACTAGATGAAATAATAAGAGAAATGAAAAGATTGAATTATGAAATATTCAGCTATGCAGATGATATTATTATTCTTACCAAAACCAAAGAAGAAGCAGAAGAATCAATAATAAGAATAGAACAACTACTCAACGGAATAAGCCTAAAAGTGAATAAAGAAAAAACAACAATAAATAAACTAAATAATATGTACAGAAATTACCATGAAGTGGAATTCCTGGGAATCAAATTATCCAATTGCCACACAATGATAAGATATGAAAGACTGATAGAGGAAAAATTAATCAAAGCAATGGAACCAATATCACATTCATATGAATACATTGGAAGATTAAAATTGAAAATGAGAAAATTGATAATGGATACTTACATCTATTCAATAATAACTAACATCGATTATGGATGGATAATGAGACCAAATTACATGGAATTGGGAGAAAAAATTCAACAAATAATCAACAAAAATACATCAACAATGATTGGACTGAAAAACTTTGGCAGATGGTCACAAGAAATGATATTAAACATAAACAGCGTTCCGAGAAGACAATTAACCAGAGTCATTGAATGGGACATTTACAACAACGAATCGAAAATAATTATTAACCACTTTCAGCTAACAACAGAAAAAATTGAATTTCTACCAACAAAGAACCAACCAGAGATATCAAAAGTAAACAGAATCGAAAAGTGTAACAACTGCACATTTCCAAAAATTGGAATCTACAAAGACAATGAAAGAATAATAATATTATTAATATTAGAAAACCAGAGTCTAAACATGGAGATTGAAGGAAAATTCAGCGAATATGAAGCAAAAATAATAACAATAAAAATATTGGTGGACATAGCAAAGAAAATGAAATTTACACATTTACCTATTTGTCATCAACTCATCAAAGCGATAAATGGATCATCAAAGACAAACCAAGACATAATGGCAATAATATCAACAATCGATTACTGGAACTGGTCATTTTGTGTGAGTGAATGGACCAAAATAAAAAGGAAACCAGAAAGCCAAAAAATAATGAAAATCAAATGGAAAACGAGATCTAAAATAAATAGAGAAGTGGAGACAATGGTGAATGAATTAATGATAAGAATGAGAAAAATACATGAGACAATGGACACAATAATAAACCCAAGAATGAACAAAAATATAAGATTATACTCACCATATCAACTATTTGAATGGCACAAAGAAACGAGAAAATTCATACTCAAAACTCAAATTTGCTGTTGTGACAAAAAAGAAACAATAATGGTCCACATACTGAAGACACCGGAACATGTAAATGAACTTATTGGGGTCTATCCATCATGGAAATGGTCACTGAATGAAAAAGATATAATAACAAATAGACAAAAAATGAAATACATCAAAAGAATTATTATTATTGTTGAGAGAATGTTCGAAACAATAAAAGAATCCAATATGAGCCTATTGTAACATTGGGAGAACAATTGTTCTCCTGCGCAGAAGCAATGACTTCTACGCATGATCACTTGATCTCCCCTAAAACGGGAAAACAAATTATGAATTGAATTCATTTTGTTGATGTTATTAAATTTCTTGATTGTTAATTGATTGTTGTTATTATTTTGTTGGTTCATTCAATTGGAATTATATTTTATTTTCTATTTCATTTAATTAATTGATATGAATACGATTAAAAGTAAATTTAATCCAACCAGTTTGTCTACTCACTGTCTTAAGGTAAAACAATTAGTCTTTTAACATTTTGTAATCTTTATTTTTTTCTGGTCTCTTTCATTTTCTGTTTTATCATCATTGTTATTTATTTGTTCATCATATGGTTTAAATTATTTTCTATTGTGTTGATCATTTATGATTTTCTAAAGTTAATCATCTAATCATTATAATCGTTTATTTGTTCCTGTTTTTGTAATTTCATTAGCTTTTCTTCCTCCATGTTGTTTACCTTATTTTTTTATTCGTTTTGTTATTGGTGTTTAAATGATCTTTATAATTGTTGAGTTAATTTTTAATTCTCTTCGTCTCTCTCAGTGTACTTGCTTCCAACGTATACAATTAAGTTTTTCTTAGAAATGTTGTCAACCTTGGTCAATGATTCTAATGTTATTGATTTCTATCAATCCTTGAGATGTTTTCGATTTCAACTTTTTCTTCTTACTCTAGATTGTTATTCTCATCTTTGTTTTTATTTCTCTTTTACTCCTTTCTAGCGAAATCGACTTGTGAGAGCTACAACTTACCTGGTCAACAAATGTCCTTATTCATCTGCTATTTCGCCACAATTTGATGAACAATTACTTGCCTCATCAGGGCAATTCACAAATCTTTTAACAACTACTATTGGTAAAAAGTTTTACTCTCAAACCTCAGGTGAAGGTAAAGATGGACAACTCAGTTGTCCTAAATGTGGAAACCCATGTACCCAAGTGGAAACCTTTGTTTGTAAGTATTAATCGTGTTAAATTGCATCATTGATTTCATCAGATTGAATTTTATTTTCAATTTGAAGCAAAAAGTAGAGGTCATTTGATTTTTCACTTTCCGATATTCTCATTCACAAATGACCTCAATCCCGTTTTCTTGTATTTACTTTCTCTTTCTTTTCATTTCTTTATCTTCAATATCATCAGTAAAAATGTTATTGAAATGGCCTCAGGTATCATTTTACTTTCTCTTTCATTAATTTTTCTTCTTTTTTTTTCTTACAGCCTCAACTCGATTCGTTAAATGTGAAAAATGTCACCATTTTTTCGTTGTTCTATCAGATATGGATTCAAAAAAGACAATTCAAGAAGCTCGTACATCTAAAAACAGTTCAGACAATTCAAATTCAACAAGAAGACCTCCACCTCCTCCTCCAAAGAAGGTAAAATTTCCTCCACTCGATAAGCTAATTTCCGTTGATGAATAGAAACTAATTTGCTTCCTCTTCTCTTTTAACCAACTCAAAGATTTACGAGTATTTAAATCGACATGTAATCGGACAAGAACAAGCAAAGAAGGTTCTGTCAGTAGCTGTTTACAATCACTACAAGAGAATTTACAACAATATCCCATATAGTTCGAACAAGCAAACAACCGGAGCACAAGAAGGGACAATAATCGAGACTCATTCCAATGGTTAGACGATTAGTTTAACTTCCATGTTTGTGATGATCTAATTTCTATTTTCTCTTTTAACAGATTTACTTAATATTTCTGGACTGGGTCATAGTAGCAATGCTCTTGGAGTGAGTAATTTTGCTCATCATTCATCTTTCCCTGGTGGAGAGTCCAATTCAGAGGGTTTTAATTCTGGACCTCGATCAGCTAATCGAGGATCAGACATACTTGACTCTAAAACTCATGAACTACGATTGGAAAAGTCAAACATTCTATTACTTGGGCCCACCGGAAGTGGTAAAACACTTTTAGCCCAAACAATAGCCAAATGTTTGGAGGTTCCTTTTGCTATCTGTGATTGTACCACTTTAACTCAAGCGGGTTATGTTGGCGAAGATATTGAATCAGTTATCGCCAAATTATTACAAGATGCCAATTTCAATGTTGAAAGGGCACAACAGGGTATTGTCTTTCTTGATGAGGTGGATAAAATTGGTGCTGTTCCGGGAATTCATCAATTGAGAGATGTTGGAGGTGAAGGTGTCCAACAGGGAATGTTGAAAATGCTTGAAGGTACATTAGTCACCTTTCCCGAGCGAAATGCTCGTAAACTCCGAGGCGATGGAATAACTGTTGACACAACGAATATACTTTTCGTTGCCTCAGGAGCTTTTAATGGGCTTGATCGAGTCGTTAGTCGCCGTAAAAATCAAAAATATCTTGGCTTTGGTGCAACTGTTTCCGAATCACTTGGTCGTCGTGCAGTTTCCGCTGCCGATGTAGCCAACAATTATTCATCCAATTCAACGGCTGAAGATTTAGCCGAGAAAGACGCTCTTCTCAGATGTGTGGAAGCTCGAGATTTAATAGAATTCGGTATGATCCCTGAATTTGTAGGTCGATTCCCGGTTGTAGTTCCCTTCCACAGTTTAACGGACGCAATGTTAGTCGATATTTTGACAAAACCTCAAAATGCTTTGGTGCCTCAATATAAAATGCTTTTCTCCATGGATAAGGTTGAGCTTAATTTCAACGAGAATGCCTTAAAAAAGATTGCTAAACTAGCCATGGAAAGAAAAACCGGAGCTAGAGGATTACGAGCAATCATGGTTAGTTAATTGATCTTGTTATCTAATTATCAAAATGATTTAAAATTTTTCTCTTTCCTTCAATTTTTCTAGGAGACCTTATTACTTGATGCAATGTTTGAGATTCCAGGATCTAATATCACCGAGGTTTTCATTGATGAAGATGTTGTCATGGGCAATTGTAAACCAAAATATATCTACTCATCTAGTTCGGAACAATCAAGTGAAAGTGAACCTTTCGAGGAAAGAAATTTCGACGAGAGATTTAAAGATAGATCATCAATCGGCTGATTAAACAAACCAATCTACACTTTAAGCTAATATAAGACAACACAAAATTTCATTTTCTGTCTTCACTTGTAAACATTTTAATAGTCTCCAAAATGTTCAATTGAATTGAATTATTGGATTGAATTGCCAGCAGATATGTAAACTTACCTGAACTAATCATCGTCTCATTACATATCCGGAACCGTGTTGTCATAAATGTAATTATAAGCAGGAAAAAAAATTCTACAAAAAGTCAATCATCATAATCATCAACAATCATCATCGTTATCCAAATTATCATCAAAAAAGCAGCAACAACAAATTGTTTGTAACTGTTAATAAACAAAACAGCTTTGGTCAAATTATTTTTGCTTTTCGTTTTGATTTAACATCAGAAGTACATTAAAGGTATTAAGAGAAATTTTTTTTGGATTAATTTAATTGGAATTGATTTCATTTGTGACAAAAATAGAGGAAAACATTAGTTTTAATCAATTGCTGGTAAAAACAGTTTGTGGTCTTTTCTCAGGTGAAGAAAGGTTAATGAATTACTGATTTATAAATCAATCATATTTGTAAGGGAATCAATTGATTTACCGAATCGTCGTATGCTTATTAAGGTCAACGGTGGTAAAGTTGAACGGCAGGTCAACATTATTGCTAAACGCGTTATCCTCTTTGGCGGTCGAGTAAATTTTGATCTGCCTTATGTGAGTATCTCGGCCATTCTGATGGTTGGATAAAATGGCGATTTGAACGAGAAATGCTCGTATACCTTGACCATTATTGGCCTGACGACAATCGATATGAATCCATCCAGTGGGCTCTTGTAGTTCCATGACCTCGACCTCTTGAAGATCATGAAAATGACTTCCCGTCCGAATAGAGATTCTTGAAGGAGTATAAGACTCATCTAGTTTAAAATCGGCATAAATACAAATATCTTCTATACAGGTTTTCTTTTTAAATTGCACGTTAACCAAATGAGGCTGAGGACCATCTGATTGCCAATAACTTTCTAAATTGTCATCTCTTAATTGGTCCACTCCAAATCCCGCTTTGCATGAAGAAAGTGACCAAACCCCTTGGCTTCCGACCTCACGAACATGAGATCGCCGCTTCTTCAACACTGGATCAATTTCACCTTTACTTGAACTTTTACTCGAATTCATCATTTAATATTTTTCACTTGATTACAATAAAAACAATCAGAACAAAATTTTAAACAATCAACAAATCAACTTACAAGTAATAAGAAACTAACAACTTATCAATTTGAACTTGATCATTCACCAAACTCTTTGGTCCAAAAATTAATTTGATAAAAATAAACAAAAATTTTATTCTTTTCCCAACCAACAGAGGGCGCGAACTGTTCATCGCAATTAAATTAATCATTTTAATTGTTAAATTTGCGAAATTAAATAGTTTCTATTTCTTGGTTATCTTTCATCTCTACTGGTAGATTTGAGTGGTCAAGAGTTAAATAAATGATGAGAAACACACAAAAAGCTCATCTGATTGCCATAGAAAAGCAAATTTATTCAACTTATCAATTAATTGTAAGTAAATACAGCTTTTTAATTACCCTAAAAAAATTTGACAATGATATTAATTGTTTTTGTTTTCCTTTCACAATCTGTCTTTCTTCTTGTTCTATCACAGCCACCAAGATCTACATTTACAATTTAATAGTTATTAGTTTTTTTTCTTAATATTTGGAACAAATGATTTTCTTCATTTTAATTGTAGATCTTAGTAGCTGATGATTTGATTAGTTTCCAATTGTTTTCTGGTTGCTTCTTTGTTTTTTTTTAATCAGTTGAAGTAAAATGTTGTTGAATTTTATCAATCATTTGGTTTTCTCTCGACACAGTTATATATGTACAATTATCTTCCTAAGAGTTTAATGTTTGAATTATCGATGTAAGTTTTTTCTTCCTCTTCTAACTGTTGCTCTGATTGTGACAATTTACACGAAAGCTGTTTACTAGCAATCGATAAAATTTCTTCGCCAATAGATGAATAGAGTTGACCTTTTGGCAAGAAGAGAGAAGTCAATTCTCTAATTGTTATTCCAATTCGACGTGAGGTAATATGTTCCCTCTTAATTGCATGATACCATTTATATCGAGCTTCATCGTAGAGAATTAATAAACTTCGACAAGGTAACGGAATCTCAATTTCCACATTTCGATGATTATAATCTCCATCCAGTTGACTATGGTTATCGTCCTTTCCCTGTGACCGTACAACTGGACTTAATGTTAATCGCGTTTCTGAGATCAAATTAATTGTAACTAATCTTTCACCCCAAAGCCAATCATCATCTGTAATTAGAAGCAAAAATGAAGAAAAAAAAACAATCAAAATTACAGTTATTATTACAGTTAATAACTTATGTAATTGTATGAAAACACATTTGGTAATTAAAACTGATTAACAAGTAATAATAATAAAATCATTAAATATTAGATGAAATTGTTATATGAGAAAAATTTTCATAAATATTATTCAATTAATATTTAATAGATAGATAAAAGTTGCAACAATTAAAGGTAACGAGAAAATAGTGGACTTTTATCATCAAAGGTATTTATAACTCTTGAGGATGAAATTTTTAAAGATTCATTAGAATTTGATTAATTTAATGAATAATTAATTTTAGATGGAAATTTAATCGCTAAACTAACCCAGATGAGGATCAATTGATGAACCTCTTTCAGGAACATATTCCAAGTTACAAAGTTCAACGGGAATAAAATCATTTAAAACCTCGGTGACCATTGACAGTTTACGAAATAATTTATGGCCATAATCAGGTAAACCATGGAAACCAGTTAATTTAACTTTTTGCTTACGAAAATTAACTTTAGGCCCATAATCTTGTTTCCGTCTACCAGATTGTGAAGAGACCCATGGTGATGGGGTTTCGGGATCATCAATTAGAGAGACAATTAATTGCTCCTCATCTTCATTAATAACATTCGATATCAAGGTTATACCTTTTACCGGGACAAATTGAGGTAAGAGTTTTTCATAAGCATCATCATTTTCAGTAACAATTGTAGGATTCAAAATAGATGAAGAAATAGATTTTTTTTGCTGGCATGGTGATGATGATGATGATCCCTCGTGTGAATCATATGTTTTCAGATGATGAGTGCGATGATCATCATTTAACCAAGCTTTAGTTCCACATTGGGAGCAAAAAGTGTAGACAATTGTTTTAGCTAATTGTTGATTTTCAACCAACTCATTCCTTTGGAAAATTAACAAATCTTTTTCACAAAGAAGACAAGTTCGAATGCCTTTACAACCACATGGTCGATCTCCAAACGTTCCAACAACATTATCCAATTTAGTAGACATTTTCTGGTCACTCTTATCATCATTCATATTTGCAGGTTGTTTATGTGAGTGTGTGTTGACTGCGGGGTACACAATATTAATAGTATAAGTTAACAGGTAGAAAAAAAAACGAAGATCAAAATGATGAGAAAAGGATGAAGATTAGTCAAAAAAGAGGAAAACGAGTAAAATGTGACTCGCCAAGTGTAATGTTGATGTTTTTATGAAAATATTGTGTAAAGTGTGATGATGATGGTGAAAATGTTGATGATGTGATGGTTATAAACGACGTTGTATTGATGTGCGAGTTGATGAACTAGCTTCAAGCTAGATGATAACAAAAGTTTTAAATTCGAAGAAAAAAAAGTTGTGATCACAGTAGAAGATGGTGAATATGATTTACATATAAATTGTCCTTTGGCTAGATTTTTGATGCTCGTGTTGAAGACACAATGAGAAACAATTTTATCTCAATTATCCGTAGATTATGGGCTTTAATTATTTGGATGAAGGGAAAATGGATGAAAATGGATTATCCTTTCTTTTTGCTTTGATTTTTGTTTTCCTAAAAATGTTTCTTTTCACAAACTGAAATAATTCTTAATAAGCTTCAACTTGTAGATTATCAACAATATCACACATAAGAAAATCCAATTGAGTCAACAGAGTAACTTGATCAATTTGTTCATCCCTGGAATTGTTAGAATTTGAATCTACATCAGTCTCTTCTTTGTCACTAGTTGAATCATCATCCATATAATCAGTTAGATCAATTGATGAGCCCACAATATCAGGTATCGAGGTAATACTAGAGTTGACAATCTCAATAACTTCCTCAATATGAGTTTCAAGTTTATTAATCATTTCTAGACGTTGTTTCTTTTGTCGGTCCAATTTAACACGAATAGTTTCCCTGGCTTGATGTGGTCTCATCTCGTTTAGAAGATGGTGCATTTGAATGAATAACATTTCGATATCGGTACATTTTTCCTGTCTTTTGGGTGATTCTGGGCACTTAATTAACGCATCTAAAAGGTCTAACATACTCGCCATCAAAGAGACGTTCATCTTTTTAATCTCACGCCGGTAGTCATATTCTTTGGGGTATAAACGTTTGATATCCTGATCTTCTAAAGTACGAATTATCGGCTCATCAACTTTTATCTCAACAGCAAACATAGAATAAGATCCATCGGTAATTGGAGCGGGTGGCTCAGGGTTAAGGCCTTGAGAAATATTTTCATCAGAATACCATTGAATCAATAAGGTAGGAGGTAATGGATAAGACGAGGAGATGGTCGGTGGTGTACTTGATTGTGGAGCTTGATTTGTCATATTACCCGCACAAAACGGGTGCCCAGGGTTAGAGAGGCCACTTAAGGCGACAAAACTGAAATACAAAACAAGTTTTCAGTTTATCACTTTATATTACAGAGACAACAATTAATCACAAGGTTTAAGGTAAAAACACACTGAGTGAGAAACATTCACACAACATCAAACTACAAATGTACCATTGAAAGTAATTTACCTGTGGGGGGCTGGGGAGGGAGGAAAAGGGATCAGGTGAATAAGAAAATCAAGAAAAATTAATATAAAATGAGAAACAAAACAATTTAATTAGATTGTTGATCAGAAAGAAAAAAAATTACATTTTCTAAAGAAAACCAAAAAGCATTTGGATCTCCAATAGACTTACCGACTCTCTTTTAAAAAATTCTCTAAAAAGGAGGTTTCATAACTGCGCATGCGCAGTTCGGAGAGAGGCAAATACGAAATGGTAAACATTTACTCTTTACTTTCTGATTAACCGGATTAATTTTAATTTCTTAGCTTTTGCAACAATTAGTTTGCACTTTTGCACCTTGATTTAAATTCCTATTCCTGTACACAAGTGTGTCTTTTTCCTTTCGATTTTCGTCTCACATGTAACACGTATTCTTTTCTAATTCTGTTTTAAAGGCAACGAGTTGATTTGAGAAAATGATTCCACCATTTTTTTTAATTGTTCTTCTCATTTTCTCTCTTTATTGTTCTTCTGTAAAAAAAAGTTAATCATCTTGTGTTGAATTAATAATGGAATTCTATTGAAAGAAAGTGTCGACAAGAGATGGAGAAAAAGAGAAAGAAAAATAGAGAGAGAAAGAGAGATGATTAGAGTGATGTGAAAATTTAATTCTGCCAGTGATACACCAGCACAAAGGAGAGAAAGGAGAGAGAGAGAGAGAGAGAGAAGAAAAAAGAGAGAGAATGACAAAAAAAGCAGATCCTAAAGAAGAAGAAAAAAAGGGCCAACAAAAATTTCGAAGCGACATAAATTTTCATTTCGAGAAATGAAAAAAGACAAAAAAGAGGATAAATGTAAGATTGACACATGAAGATATTAGAATACAATTGTAAGAATCAATTTTGTTTATCCATTGTGTCCATACATCCAAATGATTTTTGCGTTGATTTCATATTTTTGTGTTTATATGTAACAAGCTAATTATTTTTACCATTTGTTAATTGGTAATTTGGGTATGATTGCGGAAGAAAAGTCCATAGGTAGTATATGTCTTTAGCTTCTCGGTCGGTCAATTAATTAATTAATTTTAGTGTATGTGTAGTGTGTATGTGTGTGTTATATAATGTTTTTTGTTGTTGTTGTTTGCTGATGTTGATGTGCTGGTTGATTGGCTGGTTTTGGTGTTTTTCGTTTTATACATGATTGATAAATTACTGGATTTTGAATGATTTTAATTTTTTAGTTGATTGATTTTTCATCCATGCAACAGGAAAAAAAGAGAAGATTTTGTGAAGAAATTGAAAATTCTGAGTAGCGTCTTTTTGAAAATGAAGAAGCGCGATCAACATTTAATTATTGATGGTTGTGAGTGTGATCAGTAGAATACGAGAAAGAAGCAAACACAATTAATTGGATGCAACGTCTTCTGTAAAATTGATAAAGAAAAAGAAAAGATAAATATTAGCTACTTAAGCTATTCAAAAAAGCGCGAAAGAGAAAGAAAAAAGAAAAAGAAACAAACCTGATTTTTCAGACTCTTTTCTTCGTCTTTCTTCATAAACTTTTTCATCTCTAGGTCGAGCGCCTCCAAAAATGGCGTCTCTGTCTTTAGTATCAGCCAAATCGTTGACTGGTTCAGCTTTGCTACGAGGCAAAAGTTTTAGTTTAGGTCGATTAGCAATCTCCTCGTCGGTTGGCTCTTTGAACTCAGAAGGTTCGTAAGCGGGAGCAGGCTTACGATCTCGATTGTTATAGTTTCGATTACCACCATAACGATTACCAAAATTATTTTTACCACGATCATCAAAGTTTCTGCCTCTGAATCCTCGATCATTGAAGCTTCTATCATTATAACCACCACCACCATTTCCTCCACTTCCTGATCTTTGATCATCTCTATCATTGAAGAAACCACCCCGATTCTGTGGTACAAAACCACCACCACCTCCACCACCATTGCCTCCTCTACCTCGATTGTTCATTGTTTGAGGTCCCCTATTGCGATCGAAACCTGTTAATTTAAAACACAAGGAAAAGAATAAAAAAAAATGTGTGAAAAAAAACTCAGAGCAAACAAACAAGATTATAGGAATAGACAAAGTACCCAAAATTGTTGGTAAATAAAACTCCCTAATTCAATATTAACACAACCTGTGTGTTCATTAATTACTATTTTCACCGAGTTATCAACAATTTTAGGAACTTGATTGTATAAAGAACGATGTAACGATGTTAAATTACCTCCTCTTGCATTTCGGTTTTGATCTTTACGTTTATTATCACACGGATGTATACGTAATACTCGCCCACAATATTCCTATAGAAACAATAAAATGAGATATTAGTAAACAGATATTAAAATTCAGTTCAATTTTGACTACTGACCGCACCATCGAGTTCGAGTGATTTTTTAAGTGATTCTACATCTTGAAATTCCACGAATCCGTAACCTTAAAGAGAGGAAGTGTTCAAGTTAATGATGAGAATTAATTTTCAAAAGAGAAGGAGAGAGACGAAAAAAATGTCTAGTTATTTTCATACCTTTAAATATATCAGATTCTCTATCTCGAACTAGACGACTAGTGCTAATCTATACAAAGAGAATAACATTTGAGTGGAGAAAAAAAACAGAAAGAAATTCAATAAATGAGTTAATTTTGTTTGGCAAAATAATCGATGAAAACAGTTGAATGTGCTGCGATTTAAATACCTTCAAACTTTTAAAGATGACATCAATATCGCCTTGTACAGTATTGGAAGGCAAATTTCCGACATAAATTTGGTAAGGTGGCTCAAATCGTGAAGCTTGGTCAGGATAAGGTGAATTATAAGAATCTTCCTGGAATCTTCCGCCTGATCCTCCTCGGTCTCTACCACCCCTGGAAACAAAAGGAAGGAGAGTTGAAAAGAAACAAAAGAATAGAGATAGGAAAAAGAATTAATGAAATGTGTTCATTTAACGCTGAGGTAGAAACAGAGAGAAATAGAGAAGAGAAAGAGATAAAGATAAATGAAGAGAGAGAGAGAAACAAAAAGAGGAAAAAAGAGAGAGATGAAGAGTGGGAGAGAGAAAAGAGCCAACAACAAGCATGTTAATGTGCTATGTGTTGATGTGATTTGTTGGGTTTTTAAAACCAAGACAATGGATAGAATTTGGTTTTTAAGGAGAAAAATGAAACTGAAACGGATAATTAACTCACCTGGAGAATCCATCAGAATAACCACGAACACCGGAAGAAGCCATAATCAAATTAATTCCAAATTAAATTAAATTGTTGAGATTTTTTTCTATTATTTTCACTTTTCAAAGTGAGAGGAAAAGACAGAGAAATAAAGACGAAAAAAGAAAGAGAGAAAAGGAAACAGTGGCGACTCCATTCGCTTTTCTCTGGAACGACGATCACTTTCTCTTCTCTTTCTTTTCCTCTTTCTCTTTGGTCAGAATAGTTCACATGCATCACGTGTTCCATAGGGAGCGCTCATGTTTTCTGCTCATTTCAGTGGTGATTTCGTTTTCTAATGAACGATAGTTGAGGTGATTAGTTGATTGTCATGTTCATCTAATTGGATGAGACAAGTGAAATGGAGCCAATCAAATTGAACACTTTTCGAATAAATAACCGAATAAGTTTTCGTAACTAATCAGAACAAAGTTATTTTCTATTTTTCGTCGATTGTGATTAAACTTTATTCCTGAGGCTCATTAGTTGATTAATATCACAAGTTCAGTTGAATTGTGTTCTTTTTATACAGCATTTCTCAGTAACTTTCACCGAGTTACCAAGATGTTTAGTCGAGTTCCCATTTGATTTAGTCTACCCGATAGATGGCAGAATTTTTTTCAATTCTTTGTCAACTTCTCGGAACAATTAGTCAAGTAGCTCAATATTACATGAAGATGAATAAAATGAAAAAATTACCCAAAATTCATCAGTGACTACGAAAAAAAATTAAAACAATTTTCTATCGAAACATAGAAAAAAAGTTTACTAAAATAAGTATTTGGAGACGAAAACAATTAAATTGTGATTTGAAACCATTTTTTTAATTGTCTTTTTAATGAGAAAGCTACTTGACTAATTGTTCCGAGAAGTTGACCAAATGAATTGATAATCTACGAAACTCATTGACAATTTATTTGTAACACCCTGGTGGGTGCAATGATTTAACATTCTAACTACAGTTTATGTGCTGTAGCTCCTCCTGGGGAGGAAAGTTGTGCCAGACAACTTCAGGGAGGGAAATTACAATAGATTTGGTTTACAAATTATTAGGTAAAAACAAAAGAAAATTTACAAATTATATTAATTGACTGGTGGTTAGTTTGATTGTCCAAAGGTCCAATTTGATGATTGTAAATAAGTACCAAGGGTTGGGGTGGAAGTGGAGATGAGGTCCAAATAAGTTTAACTCATTAGGTATGATATGAAGAAAAGGAGAAAATAAAATTAGAATTTCAATCTTTTAAAATCTGAAAACACAATTTTGATTATAAATGTGAGGTAATTTTAATCATTTGTTTAATTGTGTTTAAAGTATAAAATTTAAAGTATAAAGTTTAAAGTATAAGTTTGAGTTAGAGAAAAGAAAGTTGTATCAAATTACCAACAAAACTTACCAAGGAAACAAAAATGGTTGAACTTATTACAACGCAATAATAGAACAGTTTTAAGAGCGACAAAAAACAACTAAAGTAACTGTTTAACTATCATAATTTTGGTACCAACTTGATCCGTGTGACAAGATAAACAACAATAACACAAAATTAAATTTTAAATTCACAGGTAAAGTTAATCAAATTAAAGTTTATCAGGAGCGATGAAAATCGTGTAAAAGACAAAGAATTGAAAAAAATTCTGCCATCTATCGGGTTGACTAATCCAAATGGGAACTCGACTAAACATCTTGGTAACTCGGTGAAAGTTACTGAGAAATGCTGTAAGAAAAAGTTAAAAAACTATTAATTGTTCACTAATCATTAAGATCAATGGTTCAGTTGGTCAATCGACATCAAGATAATCACCATGGCTCATAATCTACTCACAACTTTAAAAATTTTCTGATCAAATTGACGAACTGAATTTAATTGTTACCGATTGTATAAAATGAGGACCATTTGTAAATCCATTCAAATGAAGAAATAAAAAAACTCAATTAAGACGCGATGTCCAGTTGAACGTTGACCTCAAGGTCAATATCGTTATTTTAATCAAAAATAGCACAATTTATACAAATTAAATTTGTAATTTATAATTTTAGCAATTAAACATGATTATAATTGACGATTGAAATGACTGATTAACTTTCATTTAATTTCCAAATAATTTAACTGGTTGAAATTTAATTGTGTAATTTGAAGCTTGTTGTGAGATGACAATTAAGTAATCAAACGCTTTAACAAATTAGTCTAATCAATTAACTGATTGGAAAAATAAATGACAAAAGGAAATTGGTTCTTTAAATATTGATACAATTAATTTATGATTTAAAAATGATCACAATTAAATATCATCATGAAAATTGTTGGAAAGACTTAAAATTGATTATCTTGATTTCGAGAACAATTTATTGTACCTGAAATTGAAAGACTCATAAATTAATAAATGTAACACAATTTGCTAATCAAGATTTTAATCTATCATAATTAAGGGAGTAGTTAAATAACAATCATAACGATATTTAGTTTGTAACAATTTGTTTATTGTTTATTTTTACAAATTGAATCTCGAATTCATTCAAAGGCATATATACATCAATCTATTAATTTAATTAGTTTAAATCAATTGAAATAATAAATTTGTTCTCTCTAAATATTGTAACTTCTTTTTTTTATATTTATAAATCAAATTGTGTTGTAAATTCATATTGATCACTACAATTCACACACAAACAATTAAGTTCTCGTTCTTGTTGTATGATAGGTTTATAACCCAAATCATTTAGACAACAATTAAGTCAAGGGGGGAAATTTGGTAGAGAGAAAGAGAAAATATTTCAACAATTAAGTATTGATTCATTTTCATCTCTTAATTGATTATTACTTCGCAAAGCCTAATCTAATTAGATTTGATAAAAGCACTTTGAATCTCCTGAATCTTATTATCAACATTATCGCCATGAGTTATGATTTACCCATTGATTAAATCACAAAGAACACAATTAAGATTATTGTCAGTCTTTTTCTTATTGAAGCTCAAAGGAAAAAAACTGTCCGACTAATAGACAAACTGACCAGCGGGATGGCGTTGATGTTTCATCTCAATCGACGATAATGTGTTAATGCGACAAAAAGAGAGAGATAGAGATAGACAGATAGATAGAGAAAAGGAGAGAGAGAGAGAGAGAGAAAACAACGAGAGCACCAACGCCTCGTCGTTTATTATACAATTAGGTAAATAGAATATAAAAAACCTAATAAAGTTTCAACTATTTTCCGATTTGAGAAACGCTTTAAAAGATTCGTATGCTAACCAGGATAATGCAGTAGATGGAATTGAATAAATAACTCGAGCAGTGAGGCCATTAAAATAGCCTTTAATCCCGCAACATCGATAAATCGTTCCTATGGCATGAAAGAAACCGTTGATTCGAGCCTGTTTAGAGGCTCGAAGGGTTCGAGGATCTTGGGTATTGAGAAGGGTTTTACACACATCTAGTGGGGTTGTTATTGCACTTGCAACGGCACCTCCAATGGCTCCACTAGCGATATGTGTCGTTGGATTGTATTGTCTATTGGGATTAAATAGTTCTTGTGAGTACTCGTAGGCCACAAGGTGAACACAATGAAAGGGAATATTCATTGAAAGTTGGGTAGTGTAGCTTCGGTAAAATGCTTTCATTCCTTCGTTCCTGAAAATGGACATAAAACACGGGAATGCACGACTATATTGACTATTGTAAATTTGTAGCCTTTGTTTAACTGTTTCCGCTGGATTCATCCATGCATCATGAAACACTGTTGCTAAGCATCCAGCGGCCACTGCAAAGTAAAGATAACAAAATGTCATTAAATATCAATATCATATCATTTTTTCAAGAAATTTCTATAAAAACGAGTAAAGCATCACGTCGCCTATTTGCATTAGTAATATTCATTCATCATAAAGATGGATAACGAATTAAATCTTGTTGAGAAAAAGATAAAATTACCACTTTGCTTTACAAACCTCCTTTTCCTCATCTCTCTCTCTCTCTCTTTTCTTTCACACTCACACATAGACACAACATGAATGTTATTTATAAAATTTCATGATATATTCTATTCCTTAGACATTGATGAGAGCTGAAAGCCAGATGTAATAGAATAGAGAACTGTAATTACTTTGAGCAATAGGACTTTGGCCACCGGTCTCCGTACCACTAATAGATCTTTTGACTTTTTCATAGATTGAGAAATAGAAAGCATGAGCTGGTCCAGCGCCAATCAGCATCACAGAGACTCCTCGAAAAGGTCTTTTAATACCTTCATGACGAACAATTTTAAATAGAGCTTCAGGCACCGATTTATATGTAGCTTTAGGACTTGGATAGAGAATTTGCATTCGGGTCTAATATGAAAAGAAATAGAAGAAAAATAAAAGAGAAAAGAAAACAAGAAATGAGATGAGAATAAAATGAAATTGATTTTAAACAAAAGCAGGATTATTACAATGACTCAAGTGAATATCAAATTACTTACTTTAACTGAATCTACTGGAAACATAACACAATGTTCAACTATACCGGCTAAGGCACCAGCGGCCATGTGAATATGGAAACTGTAATGACTAGGAAGAGATTCATATGAATTCTCTTCATCATTAAAAACAGATACATTAGACGTTTCCATTGTGAGAACAGACAATTTACACTAGAGACTTGTCACAATTAACTAGAGGAAACAATAAGAAGAAATAAAATAAAATTCAAATAGAAAATCAAGTTAATTAACATCGAATAACGAAAAGAAAACAAATCAAATGATTAACTAATTTTGATACAAATTTTTTGTTCCAAATGAAACATATGAGAAACTCATGGGTTTCGATTCACAGTGACATCTATTAGAATTTTTTATTTCTTTTTTATTACGTAAAATTTTCATTTTAATTATTACAATTGAACAGAAAAAATGGTTTGTTTGCAATTTTCATTGATTACATCAATTAAAGAATTACAGTTAAGCAGAATAAAAAGTTTAATTGTGATTAACAATAAGAGTGATTCTGATGATTATTGATGAGATTGATTCTAATTTACGATTTCGTTTTCAACAGTTACAACTGTTCACTTTAACATAATAGAATCAAAATTTCGTATCATAATTAAATGGAGACAATTAAGTAGAAGGAAAAGTTTGATTTTGGTTAACAAATGAATGATTGAGATTAATTCACGAAAATCAGGATAAAGATGAGCCATTAAATTTGATTAAGTGAATGTTTTTCAACATATTCTCGTAGGTTTGATATTTTACTTTCGATTTCATCATCATCACAATTGTCAACATCCATTTTTTTAACATAATTCATTACATATTCACGAAGTGCTCTGGTTTTTTCATCGACACCACTGAATCCTTCAAGCTCTTGAACCTTTGCAGATGCATCGGCAATTATGTGCTCTGGAAATTGAGCCAATCGGGCAACATGAATACCGAAACTTTGATCACAAATACCTTTGTCAACTTTATACAAGAAAACGAGTCCACCTGAAGTGGTTTCCGCTTTAACATGGAGATTACCAATAGCGGGAACTGTTTTGGTTAAAGCTGTAAGCTCGTGAAAATGAGTAGCGAAAAAGCAATAAGCTTTGATTTTGGTGGCTATGTACCTATTCAGAAGATTTTGATGAAAATGTCAATTGGCTAAATTTATTTAAGTTACAACAATTACTTACTCAGAGATATGCCAAGATAAGCCGAATCCATCGTAAGTGGATGTACCACGACCGAGTTCATCGATAATAATGAGCGAGTCTTTAGTAGCTCCCTGATTAATGAAGTTTTAATTTTGAACAGATTATGAGTTAAAATTTTACTAACGCAAACATTTTAGATTAATTACTTACTCTGAGAATTGAGCTTGTCTCAATCATTTCTGCCATGAAGGTTGACACACCTTTGAGCTGATAATCACTTGACCCAACTCTTGTTTGAATGCCATCAACTAATGAGATCGTGGCGGAATCAGCGGGAATATAAGAACCAATGTGAGCTAATAGAACGGCGATTCCAACGGATCGAATGTACGTTGATTTACCTCCCATATTTGGACCCGTGACAAGGAAAAATTTGTGTTCAGACTCATCAAGATGAACATCATTAGGAACGTAAATACCATTTGGTTGAGCTTCAAGACAAGGATGACGAACCTGTGAGATGATTATTTTACCACTTCCTAAGAGAGATGAGATATAAAATGATAAATAGTAATTCAACATAAGAAAATACTAATTACCTTTAGGCAACAACTCGGGACGGACAAATTTTTTACCACTACAAGAGTAAAGAGCAAACGAAACCAAAACATCAAGTTTAGCGACGACATCTCCAAGTGTCCTCATGGCTTCACTATAAGTTGCTAATTACATCCAAAGAAATTATTAAATTATTGCAAATCAGTGAATGATTTGAATGATTAAAAAACTTACCAGCAACTTTAATGACACCGCTGACCAACTCTGCTTGTTGGTTTTCATAAGCAGCCATCAATTCAACATATTTACCACTCAAATCGTCAAGTTTAGTGTTAGAAAATCTAATGGCGTCTTTTTTGGCTCGATCAATGAATCGGATTCCTTGACCGTTGCGAACATTTTTCTCTTCTTTTTTTGTAACTCGGAAGTTATAACCGATCTGTGAGTTACGCTCCAACTTTAACTTACTTGGATCGAGGTCAAATTTACGAGCAACTGATGTCGACAAATTTTCAGCACTATTTTCTACCTCCTCCAACTCTTTGTAAATTTTTCCCAGCTCTTCATCGAAATCTGCTTTAATCATCGGCTCACGATTTTCATCAAGACGATTAAAATCAATTGTGCTTTTGATGAGTTCGATGAAGGGTTCAAAATGTTGCTCTGAGGTTGAAAATAGATCAACAAATGTATCTTTGATCTTAGAATCACCACTAGACTCTAGAAGTTCCCGAATACATGGTAAACACTTGATGAAATCGTAAACTTTACAGCAATCAAATAGAGACGCTTTTTCTTGTTCAAATTTTTTGGACAAACGCAATAAATCAGGAACACGTCGCAAGTAGACATTGTTCAATGTTTTACGAGTTTCGGTATTTTCACGAAAGAAATCAACCAAATCCAATCTTTCCTCTGCGAAGCAAAAGATGAACATGATTAAGAATTTAGATTAAACAATTAATATGATACATGAAGTTACTTACGAATATGGTTTAGATCAGTTAATGGTTGACGAATCCATTGGACAAGTAAACGCTGACCAGCGAGGGTTCGACAATGATTGAGCAAATGATAGACACTGAAATTATTGTTAGCCGATGAGTCGGAACCATTAACAGTGAACAGATCAAGAGATTTAATTGCAGAAGAATCGAGACGAACAAATGATACATCGAATTTCTTAAGTAAATATCGTCCATCAGTATCACCATTTGATAGACTTAAATAATCAATAGCGGCACTAAAAGCAGCAGTGGCTAATTTTTGTTCCTCCAAATAATCTGTGAGTAAATTAAAATCATTAGCCATTGATTGATATTTGGAGAAAAGTTTATCATTAATTACCTGTTTTCACTTTGGACGATAGAATTTTGTTCAATCGCATTTGTAATGCTGAATAATCATCAACGTAACTTTGAGGTTTCACATCGGTAATCAGAATTTTATTCAAATCCATGATCTCTTCAAATCGTCGGAAAAAGGATGTAGATCGAAATGACTTGGTAATTATAACTTCTTTGGGAGCACATTGTACAAGAATCGCCTCAAAAACGGACAAATATTGATCATCTTCAAATTGTATAACACTAACACATCTTTCAAGAGTATTTATATAAGCAACACCGATAGTAGGAACATCAGAACCAATAACTTTTATCGAAATCAAACCCGAAGTATTATCATTGACGGAGTACAAAGTATCTTCAAGCGAACCCAAATTACCCGGTGAAGCTTTAATGTCAAGAGTCCAATTAGCGTTACGTGAGTTTTTCTCTTGCTTGTAAATCTCAATTCGATAATGACGAATTAAAAGAAATTCTTTTAATATCATTTCCAATTTATTAATACTCAGGGCAAGTGATGGGATATTATCAATATACTTGATAACTGTTTGAGTTTTCAAGATTTCATTAGCAACAAAAAGAGCATCAGATCCATGAATGGTGAAGAAATCTTTCCGGTCGAAAAGCCGAACAGTTGTAGATGATTTATTTGGTAATTTTCTATAAAAAATAAGGAAATCAGTTTCATGAGGAACATCTAAAAGTCAAAAGAAAACAAAAAAAAGAAACAATTTAAATCAAATCAAAACCCATTAAAATGAGAAATTAAGATGGAGAAAAAAAAAATTGCGCCAATTAGACAATTGACCAAAAGATCAACAGAAGATCATTCAAAGTAAAACTTATCATTTAGTTTTCTTTTCTTTTATTTACTCACCTAAGGCTTGATCATTCCCTTCATCTTCCATGATTAGTGTAAATTAGAAAAGCAATTTATTCAGTGTCACAATCAATTCCAAATCAACGGAGATTTAAATTCACTTTTCAAGTTTTCGTTTCTCTACAAACACATGATTCGATTCCAGTGACATCTATTGGTTCGAATTCGAACTGATTGGGACTCGATACAATCGGATATTCAGCTGATTGTATCAGATATTTTCTGTCGAAAGTTGAACTTTAATTGAGATCGTTTTAGTTGAATCTAATTAATCAGACTAATTAGTGTTTGACTTTATTTCTGTTTCTAAATATTTTAATTGTTTTGTTCAGAACACAGCTAGGTTTTGGTAATAACTAAAGGTTTGTAATAATAATAAATGTCTCATTTTATTGGTCTTGATTCTAGAGTTTTGGTTTTATTTTGACAAAACAATAACATTGCTTTTGTTTTGAATTTATGTTGTTTGATTTGTTGTTTTTTTTTAATTGAATCTATAATTCGATGTTTTATATTGATAGATTTCCATCACTCAGTCATCATGTATAATGGAATTGGTTTACAAACTCCTCGTGGAAGTGGGACCAATGGTTATGTGCAAAGAAATTTAGCTCACATTCACAAATCAAAGAATAAAGTTGAATACAAAACTGAAGATGACATTAAAAAGAATCTTGATGATCTTTTACCCAAGCCAATTAATCCTGAAATATTAGATCATCAAAGGAAACGAAAAATTGAACTTAAATGTGTTGAACTTGAAGCTCAATTGGAAGATGAAGGGTAAGTGATAATCTCACTTCAACTATATTTCTTTTTTCTCTATTCTAATATGTGATTCTTTTTATTCGAAATTACAGTGCAAGCCAAGAAGAAATTGACAAGGCTGTTTCTAGATTACGAGAGAAACTACTCGCCAAAGAAGCAAAATCTAAAAATTAATCAACATGAAAATCCAATTATCGAACAATTTAAATTCCAACTTGAAACACTGATCGATTCTTATTTTCGATTCTATCAGTTCCTTCAACGATTTATTTCCTTAATTTTCTCTATCAAATGAAATAATTGAAATAAATTATCAATCGATAACACAATCAAATTGTTGCCCAAACAATTAAATCCCAAAGTTAATTAAACTTATCATATGTTACATACGATAGAATTCACAGTGACATCTATGGGAGAAATATTTCTCTATATAGAAAATCATATGGAACAAATTTCTTCAGAATTTTCTTCCCTCTGTTTACATAGTTAAAAAGTGAAATTCTATTTGAATTCTTGATTTAATTCCTTTTATATTTTGAACCAATTGTTCTACATAATTTACTGAGAATGCCCCGTGAACCAGTTTCAGGTGATTCTGGTCCAACTTTCGTCGGAATTAGATTTTGTCAAGAATGTAACAATATGTTATATCCGAAAGAAGATCGGGAAAATAAAGTGCTGCTTTATGCTTGTAGAAATTGTGATTATAAACAAATTGCTGAGAATAATTGTGTCTATGTTAACAAGATCACTCATGATATCGATGAATTATCTCGTATTGTTCCCGAAGTGGTACATGACCCAACTTTACCTCGAACCAAAGATCATCCTTGTCCGAAGTGTCACCATAAAGAAGCCGTTTTCTTCCAAGGTCAATCGAGACGAGCCGAAGATGATATGAAGCTTTACTATGTTTGTACCGATTCTAAATGTGCCCACAAATGGACTGAATGATCAAATTAATCAAATTCCAATAGAAAAACAAAACAAAATCTCTTTCCCTTATAGTCAATTTCTATTACATCTTTTAATGTATCTTCAATTAGGAGAGGATAGAAAAACTATTTACATCATTTTCATTTACAATTACAATTACAAAATCCTTTTCACAAGTTTGTAAAATCTCATTTTATCAAAAAAGTATCTCATGACTTAATTACACAAGTGATAATAAAAAAATTAAACTCTTTGAGTGTTAAAACTGTAGATAAGTTGAAATCACTCTCTTTTAGTTGTGTGGAAATTAGAAGATGAACCAAAAAATTAACTGATATTGATTCAATTTTCCATTTCCAATTAAACAATCAATTAATTGATGATTGTGACCAATTGGCAGTTGTTGAGAAGAGGAAAGAAAACATGTTGATTAATTGCAAGAATGAGACCAAATATGATTTAAGGTGAAAGAGTAGAATTCAATTCAAGGTCCAATTATAATAATATAAACTTTTATCCGTTAATGCAACGAACGATGAATTAGTTGAATTACATTGATCAACTTGAGCGATATCAAAAGTAGGGCCAATTCCACCAAGTTTTTGAACAGGTTCGGTATTGAGAGTGTCCCAAACAATTAAACCTCCAATATCCTGATCACCAGCAAAGACTAGACAAGAATCTTCCCTATTAGGGTGAGGAAATAAGCGGCCTTTCACCACTTGGTCGGCATGAATTCCCCCATAAAAACATCTATCGGGTGCACATTTGATTAGAGGTTCCTCTCCATTTGAATTTAATGACAATGACCAAAGCTACAGAGAGAAAAAAAAGAACAAGCAAATGAGCAAAAATGGAAGAAAAACAGAACGGGATAAAACAGTTCCTATCGAAAATTTTGTCTTTCTTTTTTCGAAATGATTTTCGCTGTGATTATCGTTACTTACAGAATGTGTTACACGAGAATTGTGCTTCGATGGACGAGCGCTGTATAATAGTTTTGCTGTTTTACGCTCAAAATGAGAAGACATAAAACTACCAGAAACGGGTAATGGTTGAGTAACAAATCCGTGCGATCCTCGATAAGAAAAAGAAGTGTTTTGTAGCCTGGTTGTAATTATTCCGGTATATTGTTCAGATCGGACAAAGTTAACAGAAACGCAGGGTGTCCCTGTTGTACCTGGTGGGGCAGAAATGATAGATTTAGGTTCAGTGTTGTTTCTTGTGTCGAACTCGTGGACAGTTCCATTTGATAAACCAGCATAAAAGGTTCGAGTGTCTACTTCGTTCCAACAACAAGACCAAACTGGAGATGCACAGGTAAAAGTCGCCACCGCTGTGGATGAGAAGATGTCGGTTATCTTGACTGTTTTGTCCAACGATGCCGAAAGTACAACGGCATCGAACGGGTGAAAGGCGATATCTTTGATTTGTTTCTCATGAAGTCCAATATATTCTGTAGTACGGAAAGTTGATGTACCAATGTTGGTTAATCCAAAGGATTGACAATGACCAGAGCCTTTTTTCTGGGCTATCATAATTATACCGTACATATCAGAGACGGCACATAAACGAGATTCACTGCCAACTTCTAGATCTAAACGTTTATTCACCACCAAGGGTTGAAAAGATGCTTTTTGGTGATAAGCTTTAGTGTTTGCTGAGAATCTGGCATTAGCAGCGGCCAGTTGTAGTTCCATTTCTATTGCCTCAAGCCGTTTCACTTCCTCTGATGCAGCATCAAAAAGTTTCTGCTCATTCATAAAGGTCTCTCTCATTTCTTGTATTTTTTGGTTTATATTGACTACTTCAGCTTGAACTTTAGTTCGTTCGTTTCTTGTAGTTGCAGCCAATTCCTTAAATTGAACTACCACTGCTGAATCTAATTTCTTTATAGATTTTGGCACAATTATTTTTATATCAGTTGCTTTCACTTTAGATTTACAAGTTGGACACTTTGGTCCACCATCTCCTTTAGCTTCACTCAGCCAGCGTCTAATACAAATTTCACCAAAAATATGACCACATTTCAAAGCTGCAACTTGATGGTCACCAGAAGTTACAAAACTTTCTAGACAAATGGAACATGCAGATTCATCTAGATAATCTTCTTTCAGCTTTTCCCAAGAATTTTCCAAACTGTCATCATCTGTTTGTACCTTTGAGCAAGAAAAAAAGAATAAAATAAGACAAAGATTAACCAAAGAGCATAAAAAGAATCGACTAGAAATGGAAATCAAATTAACGCAAATATGACAAGATAAAAGTGACCAGCAAATTATTTTTTTAAAAAAAAGAACAAAAAAATTTTTTGAAAAAAAAAATATTTAACCTACTTGTTTATCACAAATTCCATTATTATTTACAGGTAATCCATCAGAATTACGTTTACAGGGATAACTAAAACCTCCATCACAACCAGATGACATTATAAACCAACAAGCAAATCATAAATTCTTAACCAAATTAAAACAAATTAACGATTGAATTGATAAATGAGACACAAAACAAAAGAAAATTAAATTTGAACTGACAATTTATGTTACAATTTTAGTAAACACTTTCTCTTAGCCAATCACATTCGTCCATAGGGAACACCAGCGACATCTGATGTTTTCTCACGAAAATGTTACTCGAATTTAATTTTTTTTTCTTAATATTAATAAATTGGTGAGACAATTGAGTTAAATGAATATTACTTTTATTAATTACTCTAGTTTATGAATAGAATCTGTTTTAATGAATTTATGCGTTTTTATTTTTTTTAACTAAATTGATGATAGAAAATAAGATTTTTTCGTAAGATTTAATTGTTGATCTTGGTTCTGGTGTTGTTGTTGGGACTTGACTTTTATCAGGATGGGACATTTTGGTGATGAATCTTTCAAGGAGATCTTGGAACAAGGCGATTGTTGAACATTTGAACTTTTTCATTCCACAAGAAGCACCATCAACTATGGAATCAACAAATTGTTGTGTATTTTTATCCAGAACTCTGTAGAAAAATGAATTCTCGGCGAGCGTGTTATTCATCATCGAAGTCCATTCAGGATAGTTTTTATATGCGTCACAACTCAGAGTGTATTGAATCAACTCAGGACATTCTTCACTTTCCAAATTTAGAAATTGAAGAACTTTTTTCACTTGAAAAGGAATTTCTTTTTCTAAATTCTGAAATGAATTCCAAACGGAAGTTGAAGTTTCTCGAGTCACTCGATGAGAAGAAATTTCAAGACCAGGGACACTTGTAAACGCATTGGACAAAATTGACGCGATTATGAACAGAACTGCACCGATCATGAAGATGGCGGAAGCTAATTTCCTGGCGATGAGAAAAGCTGGAATGAGGAGAGCATCGGTTAGGAGTGGAACCATCAAAGGTTCAAGAGTTTCGTAGGTACTGAGAGCTGGCATTTTGACGAAGACACAATTGAAGAGAAGAGAATTGATCGAGGACTGGCAATGATATGATACGATTTGGACCCTTCTATTTATATAAAAAAGTCTCCAAGATTAGGGAGAAAAATCGCCCAATAGATTATTTTATAATGAGGATAATCATTTAAACAGATTAACCGATTGAGACAAACTCTCATTCAGCCTCGAGGTTTGATATCTACATTAAAGGTCGAAGGCACAATGTGAACCTTTGAGGTTGATGCTAAGTTTGAGAGATTAAATTTCCAATATTAATCCGGCAAACACTACAAACGAACCTCTGGTAATTACGGGAAAAAGAGAGAAATTAAAGATGAATACAAAATTCGACTAATTATCAACATAATGAAAAAGTAAATTTCTGAATAGAAATTCAAAATAAATTACTTACATCTTCGGTAATTGGTAGACATTCTTCATGGAAAATATGGGAACAATTAAAAATAATTATATTCGAGGCACGAGACAAATCTGATACAAAAGAGTCAATCAATTAGAATGGAAAATTATAGTTAATCACAATCAACTGACCTCTTCTAAGAACCTTTCTTGAACATTTATTACAAGCTTTATCATCGGCCATTAAGGTTCCCTTTTTTTGATGGCGATTCAATTTCTCCAACAATTTATAACAATCAGTAACTAGAAGTTGTTTTCTAGTCTCTTCTGAGGCAATTTGGACACGATAATCACGAAGTATTTTCAATAGTCCATCTTTAAGTCCTTGAATCTCCATTCGATTAGGTATCCGACTAATAAAGGCCACTGGGTCGGGAAAATGAGTACCAACTGATGAAAGTAGGACGGCAACAAATTCAGGTTTATCGAGTGAATAAGAAATCAAATCCTCCCAGAGATCATTGTCAGCGTGTTTTAGACAAAATTCAATGGCATAATTAATGTTGGACATTTTGTCGATAATATAATGTAAGGCCTCTTTTGAATTACCCATTCGACTGAGCAAATAAACGGTTTCGGGTATAAGATTGTACCTTTCACAAACTTTTAGAGCTTTTTCCAAGAGAAATGATTAGAGCTTTGAAGAAAAGGTAAAACCCTTTCGGGCACATATTGAGCATATAAGGTTATCAAAAGATCGTGATGAACGGCACACAGGTCACCATCTTGTTGAACAACTTTATCGAGGTAAGACCAAAGGAGATCATGTCGATGTTTCAATTTATCAACCACGAAATCGACCTGTATGGTTTTCCGTTGTTCCAATAACAGTTTAGAGGTTCCATTTGGATTAACAGCCATTAGTGATTCTAATTTTTCTAAAAGGAGTTGATTCAATTGATAGTCTCGAATCAGTTCGAATACCTTTTCTCCGTCACCGATCTCTAAATAGATCGAAACTGCTTTCTCGTGTTTACCATCGTAAATGTACAATTGCGCCAACGCTTGAGATAATTTCTTGTTCTCGGGATCTTTGGCATAAGCTTGAAAAAGTGTTTTCGTCATATTGGAAACATTGTAAGCGGTCGAAGGCCAAGTTTCGATGAGATGAAGGAAACCACTGGAATCTCTTACCAAGAAATCATTTAATACCAATTCATATGTTTCCATGTCAAGGAGAATCGGATCACCTATCGGTATAAAAGGGGCCAGTGCTATTAAATGTCCAGATTTGGTGAATTCGTGAACTTGCTCTCGCCAAGCGTCAACAGAATTACCCAAAATCGAGGGACAAAGTTCACCCGCTTTTTGAAAAGCTCGATCAGTTGATTGACTAAAGAGAAAAGCCAAATAAGCTTTACCAATCGACAGTTGATTATGTTGACGGATATTTTTACCCTTTTTAACGAGGTCTAAGGCTTGATCGAAAAATTTATGCTCAATTAACCAGGTTAACCTTTCATCGTCCTCTTTTGGCTTGGCAATAATCAAATCTTTTGGACAAACGACAAAATAAATCCCATCCTCAGAAAGATATTCCAATGAGTAATCACTGTGTTTATAATTTCTGTATCCTCGAGGAAATAGCGAATCATTTGATATCTCTTCATATTCATCATGTGCTGATTCAATTATAATCAAGGATGGATGATTAGATTCTGGGTTCTCTTTAGCTTTTTCATCTTCTTCCCTCGGGCAATTATTGGTATCGATGTCAATAGTAGACGATGATTGTGAATCGGTTAAAGGTGAAGATGATGTGAGAACGACGATTGCATTAGTATCTAAAGGAGCTATTCCACAAATGGGTGAACCAATTGTACACATCGAGGGTATGATAACTTGTTTCGAAGGTAATTTATCAACATCTATGGATCTAATTGATCTTCGAGCAACTTGACATGATTTGATTGAATTGGCACATCCGATGATAAATTCAGTATCACTTTTCCAACAAAGATAACTACGATTAAAATCTAAGGTAATACTTGGCTCTGACTCTCGAGCAATGAAACAGATTACAACCCGTTCATCCATATCGTAAATACGAATACCATTGTCTGAAGCGAAAGCAATTAGATTACCTCGCCATTTAATTGAACGTATTTGACCATAACCCTCATGGAGTAAAGCGGACTTATATCGAGAGAGAAAACTTTTCTCATGAAGGACAACTCTCTCATCGCCGGTGACAATACGACGATTGCTTCCAGGGCGACAAAAGGCCGGATCAATGGCAACACAGTGAACCGGCCGATCAAAGTTGAATGTATTATTACAATCATTTGAATAGAGACCAAAAATGGCAGCCTAAAAGAAAGACAAAAATAAAACAATTAAATCAAAAACTAAAACTATCGACAAACAAATCATTAAATGGCAAATGAATTTTAAATACCTTGTTAACAGAACAAGAAACAATATACTCGCCCTTTGTTTCAATACTGATTGAATTAACTGCAGTTGTATGCTATAGGTATGATGAATAGATAATTAGAGTTAATTGTGATACAAGATAAACAGATATAGTGGATTAAATCACAATCAACCAACCAAACTGAGTTGTGAGAGGCGTTCATGGACACAATTTCCTTGCAGGTCAACAATATGAATTTTACCAAGACGAGTACCGACAGCAATATACTAAATGTAAATGATTAAATTAAGATGAAAATCTCGTAAAAAACTTTATATTGATTGTTGATTAAATCAAAAGAAATTTACCTTCCAATGAGCAGCAACACAGCTGATTGAGTCTTTCTGAAGTACTTGAGTTATATGATTTTCAATCCTCTCGATCTTCAACCTTGGCTCAGATTCCTGTAAGGAAAACAAAAAGAAGAAATAAATTAATGAGAAAAAGAATTATCATTATCAAATTGATTAAATATTCTAAATGGAATAGAAAAGCAAACCAAACTGACAATCGATTGTTCATCATGTCCACCAACATTAACCGGCGATCTTTCTGAATCCCAGACATCATCTAAATCCGCCTCTAACATGGTAACAAAACCTTAGAGTAACTCTTAACAAATAACAGTAACAACAATTAAAAAAAAAATCCAAAAGATTAATAAATTAATTCAAATAAAAAGGTTAACATATAAAAAAACAATTATTAGTACAAAAAATATATAAATCAAGTCATGAAGGTGATGATGGTTAGAGATTAACAATTAACATAGTTGACTATGATTTAATTGATTCCAAGTCATGGTTAGGGCCAAAGGTAGATTTGTAATACGAAAATTTAATTTCAAAGGGTAACAATTAACAAGAACTAAAAAAAATAATCAACAATCAAGAGGAAAACATTGAAGTCAATGTTATGTTTCTGGTTAGATAAGAAATCAGCTGAACGATGGGCGTGGCTTAGAAAATTAAATGAGCGCCAATTGAATGAAACGAAATTAAATTTAATTTAATCAGTGACAATTAACTTGGTATCACATTGGAATATCAACCTAAATCAATAGAAGATAAATCTTGACAATCTTATCATTTATATTAATCATTGAACTAGACAGTTATGGGAATTTCAATCAACAAGAAGATGAAAACTAATTGTTTACTTTTGAGAAATTAATTATTAGAAATCAATGAAAAGTCTTAATTGTCTTAACCAATTCCGGATAACAGTTAATTAATCTATTCCTTTTGTAAGTGATATACTTTTTTTACTAAAGATTCCAATTGATCTGATTATCCATTGATGCGTTATCAATGGTGAAACTTAATTGTTTATATAAATTGTTAGTAATTATTACAATCAATTTATCAATTGTTGATAATGAACTTGACTTTAAACAATTAGTTTGAAATTTGAAAATTATTATTTACAATCAACTGATTGTGATTATTGAGATTTTAGTTTGGAAAATAATTAACCATCAAATTTAAATTGTTTGATGATTAGAAAGCAAAATTTTTCCAACTACAAATTTGCAAACTTTGTTAATTTACTTAATTGTCACAACAATCAAACCCTTACATTTAGGCTTAAGATTTTAATCACCACCAAGTTTAACTATAATTGTTATTGCGCCGTTTAATTGTCATTAAAGATGGCAAGTTTTTGATTTGCTCTAATTAACATGATTTAACATCATCTTTAATATAACAGTTACAATTTATTAACCATCAAATGTTAACAACAAATGATTAAAACAAAAAGTCATACAACAAACTTTATCCATTAGTTAATTGTAAGTAAAATAAGTTGATCAATTTCGGTGATTACAACAATTTACAAATCAACTGATTTGGTACAAGATCTAATCAGTTAAGACTTTAAATTGTTGAGTAAAAATCTCACACATCTCATCATTGATTAACAATCTAATGATTATGATTGTCCTCTAATCACCATAACCTTGATTATGATCAATAGTAATTATGTTTCACTGAATCTAATGGATTATGGAGACAATTTATAAATTGTCTTTTCTCACTATTAAAGGATATACGATTAACTAATCATGTTTAACATTCCAATCAAATCAGATTCATTAGGATAATCATTATTACCATCATCTTAATTATTGTCAATCAAATGATCAATAAATCATAACATTGATCAAATCCGATGATCAAGGTTAATTTTGTTTCATTAACAATTAAAATCTTGTAATATTTTCCTTACCAATTGATTATCAGATATAAATTGTTAGTGATTTTATTCACAATCAACTAACCATTAATTAATCACTAATTTTAATCCAATAGACAAATTTGATCAAGATTAATGATGAAGAGTCAATAATAATAATTTCATTCATCATTTGACCTTAAATCATTTCAATTATTTAGCTTAATTGTTGATCAAATTGAAATCTAAATCATTTAGCAAGTAATCAATTCTATTAATGATTAAAATCAAAGGTCAGTAATCAATATTAATCATAACTATTAAAATACTAAACTTATCCTTGACATATGAGATGCTAATTCAATGTTAAATTGTTGCCCTTAAATATTCAGTCAAACAATTAACTAAATCACTAGAATAATAATAAACTAAGTAATCAATAAGACAAAAAAAAACAAATTGCAAAAAATTAGTAAAACCAAATCAAGTTAATTTAAGTAAATTAAAACAGTTAGTTACATTATCCAATTTGCTAAATCAAAGGCAACAAGCTGATTATTTACAATTAAAATGTTGTCTTTCCAACTTTTCATCATTAAATTGTCATGATTAATATGAAAATGGTCACAATTAACTAACTTTGAGGCCTTTACCATTAAATCAACAATTTAAGGTCTAAATTAATTTTCTTCATGTTAATTACCCGTTTCTGTATTTCTCTTACTGGTTAACGAACCTCATGGATTAACCAAAACTCACTCAACAATGATTAATAATATGACAATTAAATTCATCTACAATTAACATGATTTCCCCTAAAAATATAACTTTCACATGAGATGATTAACAAATTGTTACAACTTCAATTTCTACCCTTTGACCGTCCGATTGTTGCTCTCAATTTTTTTAATTCTAATTTTTTTTCCTTCTCTTTCATGTCACAGATCAGAAGTGATTTAATTTTATGATTTATGAAGTATTTAGGATTATCCCTTTGGATTAGCTTAAAATAGATTGTGTAACCAAATTGTGAGACTTGGTCATTAAGAAAAATTTAATTATCATCAAGTGAAAACATGAATTAGTTTGTAAATTGTCAATTCTCATCATTAACAAGGTTTATACGAGTTAATTGCTGAACCATGAATGAAATTAGCAAACCAAACTAATTTAAATTACTAATTACACAATTTTCAATCAATTTAAGTTGTAGTGAAAAAACAAAAAAACAAACAAATGACAATCAAAAATATGACCGAGAAAGTTAATTGATCAATGATTGAGATAAAATTAACTTATCAATCAGTTTGAATATCAAATTGACATTTGACATGAATGAAATTTACTACTGGATTAAAGTTAATTGTTACCCTTTAAATTGGTCTCATTGTCATGTATTAACTTTTGATTGGTTATCCCAATTGTTGACAATTGTGATTTAAACAGGTTAGGGATTAATCTTGATTATATCAGGTATTGGATTAAGACAGTTAACCTTGAACATCAATTGATCAGGAATCGAGGTGATTAATCAAAACTCATAACAATCAACAAAAAAACTTTTAAATGACAATGAAGTTTTTTGATCAGTAATCCACTGATCCCAATCAAATTTTGATCATCTTTATGTATATGGAAACAATTTGTTATATTTAATCCAGTAAAATCATCATAATCAGACTCAATTAGATTAGTTTTTTGATTACCATCATTAATTTATGATCTATTATTTAATGAGATGAAAAAAAAGGTAAACAAATATTAATGTTAGAGGTTAACACTAATCTTTATCCTTTGATTTACCTTGAAAATTAAGGTCTCAATCTATTGATGATAATGATTATGATGATTTCCAATATGATCATTAACTAATAGCTCGAGTAAGCATTTTATCAGTGCAAGAAATAACTCAATTAACCGTTTAATTGTTGTAGGATTTGAGAGGACGAAATATAATATAACATTGATGGAAATTATCATTTCAAGTTGTTCATCTTTTTAACGATAATCCTTTATGGTGATTGTAGTTGACAACGAGAAGAGATTAGGTGACAAAAAATTGTCATTTTCTCAATCAAAATGATTGACTTTTCAGCGCGTGTTTATCATTTTTCTCACGTTGATATAATAATAATCTTGTTATTATCACAATTATTATTATTGGAGTGTTGATTGTAAGATTAATCAGTTGAGTGGCAGTTGGATCAGGTGAATGTTAATCTTGTATTCCTTCAATGAACCTCATCTTTAATCAGGTTTCAATGAACGTTCAATATTATTGATCAATATTTTATGGTTTTACGATTGGGATAAACACTTCCAAGCCCTAGAATAAGATAAAATCATCAGATTATTATTACAATATGACAAAAAAAAAGATCGACAAAAAAAGAAAGAGAAAAAGAGAGAGACAGAGAAAGCGAGATCTTTTTTGAGTCGATTTGTCGTTAATACGTGTGAAACGGTTCGTCGGAGAAGTGTCACTGATATTGGGAGATGATGATGATAAGGAGGAGAGAGAGAGCGATAAGCTGAATGTGGGGGATGGAGGGCTTCATGTTTTGGAACATATTTTGACAATTCATGGCCCGTTGAGCAGATCATCCGTTGGCCTGAAAGTGATGCCCGTCCTTGCGTTTACATAACATTATGTTATGATTGTATCTTTTTCACTCTTCATCATCTTTCCCTCTCTCTCTCTCTCTCTCTCACTCAAATTTCGTCCAGAATGAGTATATAAACACTTTTGGGGCTCATCCGATTGTCACAATAGTTCAAGTACTGGATTAGTGAAATAACTACAACAACAATTTAGTGAAGTCTTCATTTCAATATCATATTCGGATTAATTTACTCATTACGCTCTTACCTGAGCTTTTAATTTAAAACTTTAACTTTTAATTTTCGAAATTTTCTTTCTTTTTTTTTCGTCACAAAATCTTCGCTCTTTAAATTACAAATCACAATGTTCACCAAATCAAGTATCATCATCAACCTTTTGGTCTGTGGATTATGTCTCATCTCCGTGCAAGCGGCCAATAACAACAGCTCATCAAATGCTTCCCCAGGTCCTTTCATCCCTGTGCCAGTACCAATTCCAGCCTTCCCTGGTTTCCCTGGTTCCAACGGCGGTGCTCCAGCTGGATATGGTTATCCCGCTTATCCATCAGCTTATTCTGGTTTCGGTAGCTATGCCAGTCCAGCTTATGTTTCACCAAGTTACGCACCAGCTTCAGGAATGAGTCCATACGCCTCAAGCCCATACGCTGCTTCCTCACCCTACTCAAGTGTAGCATCTTCAAGCCCATACGCTGCCGCTTCATCACCTTACGGAGCCGCTTCTTCAAGCCCCTACTCATCCAGCCCATACTCATCATCACCCTACTCATCATCACCTTACCAATCAGCATCACCCTACTCATCAAGCTACACTCAAGCTTCACCATACTCATCCTATGGTTCATCATACGGATCATCATATGGATCACCTTATGGTTCATCTTATGGAGCATCAACTTTAGGCTATGGTTCATCATCATACCCAAGTTCATCTTCATTCCCGTAAGTTTCATCATCTAAATGTAATTAATTTCCTTTTAATTACCAATCCATATCACTTCCTGACACCAATTGAATAGCAACAATTGTGCTTGACAATTAACTCTTCAGCCATGATAATCAATCATTGGATTGAAGCCTGAAATGAAAACAATAGAATAGAAATAAATAAACAGACCGAATTAGCCGACAAAATAAAAGGACAATTATGATCACAATTAAAGGGTAAAAAAAGGTTAACAAGCCTATCGAAATATTCAAGAACAATTAATTCATTTAAAGAATTGTAACAAACAAGGAAGAACTTTTTTCTCTTCCATTCGAAAAACAATCTTGATTTACCTTTCTTTTCATTAGAAGAATATTATTGTTACCTGATTATTTAATTATTTTCTTTTCTTTACTCATATATCATTCGTATCATTCAATATACAGATTCTTTGGTTGAGAAACAATTAAAAATAAATCACAGGTAAATAGAGATCACAATCTATCCAAGAGAAAAGATTAACTGAAGATCACAAATGAATTCGTGGCTCCATTGGAACCAAGTTTTCGGCCAAAACAATTGTCCCTCCAAAGAAATGATCCACCAAAAGAACATAATCATTCTCATCAATAATCAATAATCGAATTTAAATATAAAATAAAACGATAATTAAAACAATAAACGATAATTTCTGATTCTAAAATAAAAATTAACGAAATTTCATCTAAATTAATAAACGAAAAGAGATAATCTCATCATCGAGATGAATAAAAAAAGGGAAACGGAAACACAGAATTTGCTGGATCATAAATAATTCCATCTATCAATAGATGATACAAATTATATTATTATTCAACAATCAAATTAACTTTCGAACTTTTTTTCTCACAATTAAACATTTTTTACCTTTTTTTTTAAAGTCCCAAATTCACAATTCATTTACAACAATTAGAGACAAGAGATCGAAACTTTTTTTTCCAATTGTGAAAACTTTAAATTCGTGGCTTTTGATGATCATCATTAGACTTAATTGTTTGGGCTGTTTTAATCAGATTGATAATTATTTTCTGTGAGTATACGAGATTTTAATTACTAATCCTAATCGTGAAAGAGTTTAAGTAATTTAGTTACTTGAAAGGGACACAATTAATATTGTAATTGTCGGGTATTGATTGTGAATAATTATTAGTTAATTTCAAATTGATTACTATTATTATTGATTTGATGATTAACTTGATGGTAAATTAAATTGTTCACCAAATAGAAACAAATAATTATGATCATCTCCACGATTTGGTTGGTTCATTGGATTATCGGGTCGAATCGTTGTCAACAGACAAAATAATTATCGACAGTTAGAATCAAATAAAAAAGGAGTAAATGATTAAGTTGATGATGGTGAAAGAAAGTGTATCAATTGAATAACAATTTACAATTTACTCTTTAATTGTTATATCAAATTGATCTAAACATCGAGACACATGAGAGGGACTATTGAAGCAAAACTTTTACTCGATCATAAAGTTGTCACCATTTTCGCATTGATGACAATAACCTTGTCACTAATTTCTTGGCATTGACATCTAATCATCATCATCATCATTTTAATTGTAACTTCAAATTGATGATGAAATTGTATTTATATAAGTTAATGGGGCGATTGTAATTGTTTACAAATTGATTGTCTTTAAACAGCTGATTCACTTTCCAATGTAACAACAACACCTACAAGAAAAATGGAAAATCATAAACAGTTGAGTTTAATTGTATCTTAATTGTTTCTATTGTAATTTGAAGCAATTAACTTACACGATTTTGCTCCTGAAAATTAATAATTTGCTATATCAATTGATATTAATTGGGAACAATCAGTTGAAAATGTTTTGTGGTAGAAAAAAATTTTAATCTTTATTTCATATTGATTGTTTTTCTCTTGAATTGTTGATATTTTTTTCGTAACAATTTAATTTAGATTTACAATTAGAATAATTTTAAAGAGGTTTTCAGGTCATTATTAAATTGATTGTTCATTTTTCTCTGTGATTTATGGCAGCTACACACATGAGGAAGAAGATGATTAACTGTAAATTGGTTTGATCATGATGATGATTAAAGTTGAAGGAAATTTAGAAAAGTGAATCAAATGAGATTAAAATAGATTGATGGTAATTCTGGTAAATGATGAGTGTTGATTTAGGGAAGGAATTAAACTAATTCAGCTGATCTATTTTCTGAGACCGAAATTTCCGTATGGTGCATAACCATAACCGGCTGCAGGGTAAGTGTAAGGTGAACCATAAACGGCGGATGGAGCAAAAGCAGCTGGAGCGTAAGCTGGGGCAGCATAAGCTGGAGCAGCGTAGGCTGGAGCTGAGTATGAAGGTGCATATGCAAGAGGAGCTGGACCAACAGCGGCAACTGGGGCAGCAACTGGGGAAACAGCGGCTACGGGAGCAGCAGCGGCAACAACTGGAGCAGCTACAGCGGGAGCAGCAATGATAGCGGGCGATTTGTTGATCAAGACTGAAGCTGGATCACGAGGCTCAGTTCCTGGAATAAGAAAAGAAATTAATACAAATTGATTAACTGATTAGTCTTCAATCATTTACCTGGTTCGTTGGTTGAGATTGTGGCTCGGAAACCGTTAGCATCGGCGACGTAGTTGACAATTCGGAGTCGACCATCAGCATCTCGTAATCCATATGATCCAACTTTGGTGCCAAAAGCATCACCACTTTCACGTCTGAAAGTACCACCGGTGGAATGATCTTCATTGTATCCGAAAGCATAGTTTCCAATATTCTGATCACCGCCGATCACAAAAGGATAGAAAAAAAATTAAAAGAAAACAATTAGAAATCCATAGGAAAAGATTGTCAAAATATGGAAGGAGATTAATCCAATCTTTTTGATTGTTGTTCAACTGATTAACATACATCCTGACTTCTGTATTGTGATGAAGCTCCGGTGTTGAGGATGGCGGCGGCTGGGGCATAAGCTGCTGGAGCAGCGATGAGGCCACAATAAGCGGAGGCGAAGAGAGTAACGAATGTAACAAACTGACGAAAACAAGGGAAAAAAGAAACAAACAATGATTAGTATCACAATTAAATCCAATGAAAAAAATTGGATCAACACAATTAATGAACAGTTAACATACTCGAATCATATTTAAATTGTTGAAAAGTGAAAATAAGATTAATAATAAAAGAAAGAAATAAAATTAAAATTCGGAAATTGAAAGACAAGTGAATTAGATTATTCCAATTGGAGTGATGAGTGGTAACGAATGAAAGTGAAAGTCCAAGTCGAACTGTTTATATACCATTCGAGCAAAAAGTTCTAATCCAGAGGGATCAGTATCATGAAGATTAAGAGGTGGACGAAGGAGGAGTGAGAAAAACTGACCATAGAGAGAGAGAGAGAGAGAGAGAGAGAAGGAAAGAAAGAAAGAATGAAAGAGAGACTGGTCACCTTCATTTTCTTTCTTTTACTTTGGCTTTGAATTTCCACTTTCTCTTTCTCTTACCACCCAACATTCTCCTTCAACTGACCACTACGTCTTCCATTTTTATCCCTCCTTCAAGACGAGGCCACTTTCTACTCGAACCTGAGTTATCATCTTAACCGAAGGCGTGTCCACGTTCAGAGGAATGGATTTGGTTCATTTCTATTACCTCCCAATTGAAGGTGAAAGTTGATTCGACAACTTTCACTTTCGAAAAAATTTTTCTTCTTAATTGTTGCCTTGATTTTGACGATTAAGATGAAGGCCTCGCCCGATTAGTTAATCATTTGAACTCTTCCTACATTAAAGATTGAGATTTGTTTATCAATCTAAATCTTACCGATTAGGTGATTTAATTGTGACCATTATTTGAATAATTAATCGAAATTAGAATCATCATTTTGGACTTTTTGTCCATTTGAATTTAAATCCTTATCGTTTTTTTAATTATCTTTTTGATGATTATTTAATTGTTTGTCGATCTTTTCTATTGATTAACTAAATAGTGTTAGTTGATTGTGATCAACAACAAATTGTATTGTTTTTACATTAAAATTAACAATTCCCACTCCTCTAATTTAACTAAGAGCCCAGCCCAAAGTTATTGATTTAATTGATCACAGTTAATTTTATTCAACTAATTTGAATCAAAATCAACTTAACAACTATTCCAACAGAGGCTAATTAACCAAATACAATCTGATAATAAAAATTAATCATCTTTTTTGTCACCAATTAAATCAAATTTGCAATCATCAGAGTTAATTGTTTGAAATAAACAATTTCATCATTAATAACAATGATCAAAGCTGAAGTGAATTTACTAATCATTAAGATTTAATCAATCTTAAAGGTAAAAATTGGTTCATTAATCAATTATAATTATTAGCTATAAACAATTAACTCAAGATTATTAATCATAAACTCGAGTAATCAATAAACTAATCGAATCACATATTGTTTTAATGTAACAATTAACTTGGAACTTAATTGATGGACAATTCTCAGTAACAATTAGCTGAAAAAGTGAAGAGAAATGAATCAAGGTAAGGACAATTTAACAATTGATTAAATTGTCAAGATTAAAATACATGCATGTCATTAGCTAACTACTTGTAATAGTTGGAGAAGTGCAAAGTAAAATTAAGTTGATTAACTCAATCATTTCTTAATTGTTGGCTTTTTTAATCTCATTGTTCATATTTCCTTAAATATAATTGAAAAGTCTGCCACTCAATTGTGATGATCAACAATTTAAATTGTTTATTTTACCACCTTCAAGGTTAATTGGGATACACCACGCTTGTTAATTGTTAATTGAGTCTCCTACTGATTAAGAAAGTACAACAATCAACGGTTAATTATTAATAGTTAAACGCTTATCATCACAATTAATAACTATAAAAACGGTAAATTGTTTCCTCTTTTTTGTTCACAAGAGATATTGTTAATTGTTATGATAATTAGCAAAATTTAAATCAACAACAATTTATTTATTAAATTATATTTTCTGTTATTAACTTAATTTAACTAAAACTATTGTTGAAAATTTCATAATCAGTATCCAAATGATCATGTTAATGATGAAAATTGAAGGAAAACAATTAAACATTAATTAACAATTGATAATAACAAAAATCAAGGGTCATCATAATAATCAATTGATCTGAACAATTAACTTTTTACCAAAATTATTGAATTGATTGTTATTGATTAATTAGCACCTTTTGTCCCAATCAACATGTTAAGGTTACTCCTAAATTGTTGTTATTAATTTAACTATTTTTCTTGATTAATAGTTAATCTAGATTAATTGATTGGACGTAAATTAATCACCAACAATCAAAACCTCACCTTAACAAACAATTTGACCTTACACGGAATTAGCCTGTGTGTTAATTGTTACAATTTTCAACCACAACAATTAACTCCTACTCTTAATCAACAATCAATATCCATCATTAGTTAATTTCAGGTAAAATTGAATATAAAATTAAAACACCATTTAATCAATACAAAATACTAGTCTGATTGTTCAAAGATAATTAATAATTTTAAGTCAATTAACTTGGACATTGGCTCATCATCATAATTAAAGTTGACTGTTGATTTAATTGCTGCATATAATTGAATGAAACAGGTAATCAATTAACTGTGATTATGAAAACATTAGATTGTAACAAAGTGACACATTAATTAGCGGTTTACAATTAAAATGAAAACATCACCAATCAAAAGTAACCATCATCATTATTTGATAGTTAGAAATGATAAATTGTTAGTTTAATCATTAAAAAAAAAGACTACAATTACAATCAATATTAATTGGGGTGTTAAATTAAGAGTGAAAAATAATTACCAATACCAATAGGGCCTAGATAATCAACTGATTGGCATTAAATTGGGTTTGGTGTTGTCAAGAAATCAAATTGATTTGAATAATAATCATCATTATAATTAACAAGGTTTTTTAATCCATCATTTTTAAATTGTTCTGCTTCTAGATCCAAATTAAATTGTTAAGATAATTAACCATTTCCTTGAATGTAAACAAAAATTGTTTCTAATCTTCATCATCTTCCTAAACAGATAATCATTATTATTATCAACGATTCATTTGACAAGGATTTAATCACAATTAACTATTCTTTTTACACTGAATTAATTAATTGTTATATTTTACTTTTTAACCTTCAAAATTGTATTAAAAAGTCACACATAAAAATGAATTTGAAGAAACTTCTAAATATTCATAGCTAAATCATCATCTTAATCATCAGCATCTTAAATTAATCTTATTATCATGATTATTATACAACTTTTTTCTGTGATCAATTAACTACTATTTAAATTAATTCTTTTAATTCTTATCATCACGTTCCATCATCAAGTTAATTGTTTAAAGTTTAGAGTAAAAAAAAAACAGGAAATTTGTTTTTATTACGATTAACTATCAACTATACTTAACTAACCATTACAATTAGTTAGGTTGATAACTTGAAGTTACCTTGAAAAAAGATTAGTGATGATGATGATTTAGTAGTTAATTTAATTGTCAGCTGATGATTATCAGTTGATTACAATGAAACTTTATCCCAGTTTGTTAATCTTTGGTCCGAAATCAAAATGTCCAAATGTCCACGTCTTATTAATTAATCAGGCCTTATCAACTAGATATGCCAGAGATTTTTAATCATTAGGGTTAATTGTTGTTTTTATGAGTTGAAAGTTTTGATTTGATTGTATGACGGAAACGTGATGGTTAATGTATGTAAATTGTTCAAATTAACCACGATTTGTATTTCAGCAGGTTGATTGTTTATCATCATCTTCAATCGTCCTAATCATTTGAAAGGTTAATTTCAATCAGTCAATTATTCACAATTAATCCGTAGGAGTTAATCGATATAACCAAATTCTATTCATTAATCTCTCCAGCTTCTTGGTCAGCAGCATAATTGTTGATGATAATCAATGAATTTCAGTGAATACTTTAGATCCAATCTATTGAATAATAAGCAAATAATTAGATAAACGATTAAATAAGTTGGTTAAATAATTATAATACGAAATAAATTAACTCTATTTAGTAATAAAACCAACGCCCGAAAACGACCAAATATTGATAACAGTCAATAGAATTGAGTGAGAAAAATCAACTTTTTTGATGGAAAATTCAAACTGACCATTATCATTATCAACCACTGACCCCTTGTTGAACCAATTAACCAAATTGTGATTCCTAATCAAATTTGCTTACAATCAAGATACGTTGATTGTGTGGTAATGCGTGAGTGATCATTTTCGTGATAGAATCTTAATTACTCTGGAAGTTTATACACTTTTCGATGATTGTAATTGTTTACCAATATCCGAGTAATTCCAGTAACTAAAAATATGAAATTAAGATTTAATCATGATGGAAATTGAATAGAAATCTATCTCCACCCTTTTCTCACCAATATTGTTGATTAATTGAGTAGAGAATCAATTGATTAGTTTAATTGTTGTTCTTTTATGTTCCATCGTGACTGTAATTACAGTGATCATAAGCTGTATTTAAAAGTGAAAAACTAAAGGAATGATAATTAGAATTGATTTGATTTGAGAATAATTAACAAAATTGTTAATAGTTATAATCAGTGTTACCTTACCTGTTTTGTTTATTCAAGTGTATTGATAATTATTAAATCATTACGTTGAAATAAATCATCAGGTATAGATTACAGTCGACCTTTTACCTAAACATTGAAACTATCAGATGATTAGATGGATTAGTAATTTACCTGGAATTAAATAACAACAATCAAACAAAAGTTGATTATCCGATTACCATTGAATAAATAAGTTTCCCATCTAACAAGGTTAATTGAATGTGTGTGATTATTGGTCAGATAGTGTTGGTGGTTGACCATTGAAACCAATAATCAATATTGATTAGTAACATAATTTGATAACTATGATAATTAATGAGTTATCTTGATACGATTGATGTATTAACAATGTTTCCTGGAGTCTTTTGATTACAAGGTTAGGTCCAATTGCTCAACTACTAAAAGAATCAAAGAAATGAGAAAATATTAATAACAATAATTATTAGACAAATAAATGATCAACATGATGAACGATAACATGATTTATATTAATACCTGGTTTTGGATATAAATCTTCATCGGTTCAATTGTTTAAATTACAATTTTGAAGGTAAATAATACATGTAATTGCTCACTGGTAATATAGACAATTGATTAGTTGATAACGGTGATGATGATGATGATGCTGTGAATGTTAATAAGTCATGTCTGATTGTCTACTGTCAATGTTGAGTTGATGATAAAATTTCTCTATCAACCTGTAGAATGAACAAATTATAAGTTTAGAATAGAAGAAAAAAAAAGTCAATAAATTAGAGAAAAAGAAAAGAAAATGATAAACATTCGACAAACCTGATAAATGTTAATCATTAGAATCCAGGAAGTTACAATTAATCCATTTGTGAGTGAGTGTAATGTTAAACAGGATCTTTTTGTCCACAATTAATAGTTGATCACCAGTGACAATTTTAATCACAATTGCGATAAAAGTGAAACAAATCAATTAATCTCTTCTCTTTTGTCACGCAACGATGTCAAAGGTAAATCAATTTTGTCAACGAAATATAATCCAAACAATTTGACAAATCATTTGGAACCATTAGAGACAATCACCTTGAATAATTAGCAAAATCAAATTTCATCACGACAGTTAAAGTTTAAATGTTCAAATGATCAACAATCAACAGAAAAATAAACAAAGAAATTGATCTCAAAGGGAAAAACGATTGAAGAAAAGGATTAATCAATCAATACAATCAAATATTTAATTCTTTTCTTTTTTTTCTAATCATTAATTGAACTTTTTGCGTTCAGCATAGCGTAATGAGCTTGTTTCGGTGAAACCTCATGTAGAATTTTTTTTCATGTGATCGCTCTCATAAATTACGAGAGTTGCGTCCACAGACTTCGCTCAGCTGATTGAACAGTCTTCCTCAGCTTCATGTTAATCTTCATGATAATCTTCAAGTTAATTTTTTTTTAAATGTTCATGAACAAGTTTTCTAATCTATTGTTACATCTCTGTGTCATCATGACTTCATGATCTCGTTCAACTCATGTATTGAATGATCTTCAATTAATTGAAAGACAAAAGTTGCACATTCTAATTGGATTAACATTGAACATCAACACCTACGATCACATGTTATCATTGGTAAATTTGATTCTCTTTGTTATTGTTCAATTTAATGGATTAATCATCTTAACCACTTTTATTGGAATCGATTACAATTTAATTGTAGTTTAATGTTTACTTTATTGTTTTCACTTCAAGGATCAACTTGTTTAAAGTAAAACAAATCTTAGGCCTTTAATTGTGTTCAACTTGATCTTGATTCTGTTCAATGGGTAAGTGTATTGGTTTATTTTTAATAATAATTGTTTCTCATTATATGTCAATGTTGATTTGATTGTTTACTAATTTAATATTTTTTTTTCTTTATGGGCGATGTCTCCATTAATACTCCTTCTTAATTGTTGTCTATTGGTTTTCAATGGTGGAATAATTAAAACAATGGATCTCTCTATATTCATTTACAATCAAAACACTCATTCTTACAATGGATTAGGTGTTTCCTGACTTTCTTCAATTAAGTAGGAATATATATTTATCTCATCTGATTGTATTACAATTAGATTGCTGTTTAATTGTTCGTTGACCACTAAGCCATCAAGTGAAACTATCAATTGAATCAATTATTGAGGAGGAGTGATGGATAATAACAAACCGTTGACCATAACCAGATACATAATCAAATCATTTACAAAGGATTATCATTGATTGTTGAAGATCATTTATTAGTATTTGTAACTGTCATTCTGGAATTGACCTTGAAAAGGATAATTTAATGAGAATTGAATCTTATTAAAGATTAGTTAATATACATAAGAAGAAAAAAGAAATACTAATCAAAAGGTAAGTGTACAATGAGAACAATTAATATGAAATCTGAAAACAATTAGATTTCTAATAGATTGAAACAAGAAGGAGAATAAGAGATTTGTAATTATTTCATCTTCTTTTTTTTTTGCTTCTCTCTAATTGGGATTTTGATTGTTAACTCAATTTCCAATTAACTGTAAATAATAGAAACACACAAATGATTCTGATTGTATTCCGATTATAATTAATATTTTTATGTATCTTTCTTATTTAGGTGACCCACAAATTGGAAAAACATTTAAAGGGAAAACTATTAATTGTTTATGAAGAGACTAGAAGGAGAAAACAAATGAGAATTGATTAATCAGTTGATTAACAATCAACAGCAGCAACAACATGAAACCTTAAACAATTTAAATTACAAGTGATGCTGATCAAGTTAAAGGGTTAACTGATTTAAAGCTTAATCATATTGTTATTATTGTTTCCATCATGATGATATTAATCATTGTGAGTAAATCTCAAAAAGGAAATGATTTTGTTTTCATTTTAATTGGTAAATTAACTGTTACCTTTCAAGTAATTAGCTGATATCAATTATATTGATGATTAATGTATACGGTCATCATCAAGGTTTACCTTTAATTGTTTTCCAACAGTTAATCAATATTTGTTAAGGTGTCAAATCAGTCAATCATTTTTCTTGACCATCAGTATTTGACCAAACAAAACCAATCCTTTTTTTTTATTATCATTACAATTACATTGTATTGATTATTTTAATCAGAATTGAATTTACTTATTGTGATAAAATTCAATTATCAGATTCAATTAATAATATTTAATCTAATTGCAATTTTGTTAATTATTTTCTTTTTGTTTTCATTTAGATCTAAGATCTTATTTGATTATTGGAAATGATCATCTAGGCCGTTGGCTGTTGATCAATTGAATTGATTGTATTGATTAAGGAAGGGAAAAGATATAACAATTAACAATTAATATTGATATTAATCAATTAATGTTTCCCATTTCCGCCGGCACGGATAGGTAACAATTAGTTATTAATTACTAATAAATAGATCAACCATTAAACAAGATTGAGATTTAGGTGAATTTAATTGTCAATTTTCAAGATTAAATTTAATTTCCTGTTGATCTTATTGATTTTAATCAAATTAAGTTGATTCTAATTTTATAACTGTCACTTTGTTTTTCAGATAGACAAACAATACGGAAAACAAATGTTAACAATTTAAATTGAAAGTTTTTCATTTTAAGTATTGATGACAATTTGATAAATTGTTGAAAATGATTAGCTGATGATTATCAAGATTAACGATTGGAAATGTTATTTATCTTAAATTGTTTTCAAATATTAACATTTAACTGGCCAAATGATTTGAGTGACTTGTCAAATTTAATCAAAACTAATTAGTGTTAATCTGTTAACAGTAACAATTTGACACAGTAGTTAATCAAGTCACGAGTCGCCATCATCATTAATCATCACTATCGTTATACCAACAAGTTGATTGTTAACTTGTCATTTGTAATTAACTTTTACAATCAAATGAAACGAAATGAATACTACAGTTATCACAAGGAAAATTATCAATCAAAAGAGAAACGATTAAATAACTAATATTACTTGAATCGTAACAATTAAAACATTAAAGGAGCAATTTAAATCAACAACAATCAACAATCAACAATTTAACCTTGTTAGGGGTTACCCTGACCATTGAATATCAACATTGATCAAAAATATAACAGATCAAAGTCAACAATCAACTCAGTAAACACCCCCAACAATTTAATCGTAATACGAATAGCAACATTGTTAAACAACAATTAACGGTCAAAATCATTGTTTAATTGTAGATAATCATGTAAATCGTGAAGGAAGCCAGAATTAAGTAGCAACAACAATTAAGAAGCCACGAAAATAAAATCAGATCATGATTAGGATAAGAAATTCAATCATTCTAAGCGTCATAATATAATAAATTTTTCTTCTTAATTGTAATAATAATGAAAACATGATTAGAGATTAATTAACCTTCTATTCAGATGATTTAGACCAAATTTCATTGAAATGATTAAGATAAAAACCCTTGACTATTTATAATTTAAAACTATTTTCCTCATCGTTAATTATTAGCATTCTAATGCTAATTATTTACAAACTAACAACAATTAACTTTTAGTGATCAGTTAATCAACCATTTGCTTAATCATTTGGTTTCAATAATCATTCTGATCAAAGAGACAACAAATAACAAAGTTTATTAAAACTTGATCAATAGTTAATTAATCATTCACACCTTTTGAATAGCCATTTATGAATTTGATTCAATTTTGATAAACAATTTTAATTGTAATAATCAAACTGACCAAATGATTAATTTTGATTCTGAAACAATTTATTTTATAAAACAACAACAACAATAGTAACAATTGTGCCAATCAAGACAAACCCATAAGTAAATTGTTATGATTAAACTTTTCTTAATCAATGAAAATGAGTCTCTTTCATTTTCACAACAATTTAAATTACTAATCAATTTAACAACAACAATTAAAGTATAAAAAACTTTTCTCCAACTATTTCCGAGGATATTTAAGTTAATTGTAGATTTCAAGGTCTTACCTGTTTAATTGTTTGAGTTTAATTCATTTTCTCAACTAAATTAATCTTTTGATTACTGAGAAAATTAAAATTTCCAAACCAATTCAAGCTACTTACTGTCTTAATTATTTGTAATTAAAATTGATTTCAATTCTTTCAACGCCTTAACTTTGATAAATCAATCTAATAATAATCATTAATTTTGTTGATTTAGATCAAATTGTTTAACAAAAAAGCAAATTGATTGAAAATTTTAACCATAATAATTAAGTTAATCAATATTAATGACCGATCGACCCAATCAAATGCAACCTTGTTGTTAGTAGTAGTTAATTATTAGTTAGGATTAGTTTGGTTAATCATCTGAACTTAATTGTTGGTATAAATTTTTACACTTTTCATCAACAATTTAGATCCACTATTTTGCCTTTTAATTGATTTAAATTTTTACCAGAAAATATAAAATCTTTTGTGTTAATTGTTTCGGTGAAAATTAAATCATGATGATGATGGCAACTGATTGTTACACCAAATGAAATTTAATTTAACTATTTAACTTTAACTTTTACTTATTGGGAGTGAACATTTTTGTTACTCAAGTTAATTGTTGTTACCTTGATCATTTACAAAAGTTTAATTTATTTTTACAATTGACCAATTCAATTGACCAATGTAAAAATGGTAAGGTCAAGGTTAATCAAGACAATATTCAATTGGTAATTAATTCAATTGTAAATCCTCAACGATATGTATTAGTTGGGTAACAATTTAAATTAATGGTCTCATTGTTATTGGATTTACAATGTTATGTTTACATTAAGTGTGAGTTTGACAAAATTAGATTAAATTACAATTAGTTTATTCATCATTCAATTGAAATTGAAGTAATTAAGGTGAAATCGTTAAGTTTAAGATCCTAATTGTTTGCATGTAAATGATTGTTACTAATATTTAATTATCTTCCTTGGAGTAATTTTAATTGTAAATATTACGATTTATTTGTAATATTTTTATGTGAATATTAATTGTTATTGATTAGATTTGTTACCTTCAATAATCAAGAGAGATTAATTTTTAATCTGGTTAACAACCTTTTCAGACAATTGGTCAATTGATTTTGAGCATTTTCATTTTGATAGTGATTAGTTAATCCAGTTGATAATTTTCTTAATCATAAAAATAAAAATATCAATTGACTTTAAAACTTGATAATCAATCATTTGGTGATGATGATGATCTGATCAATTTTGATTCAATTCAATTCTGGCCTTGAGCGATTGTAATAATTAACAGATTAACCTGAGCCTTAAATTGTTGCTCAACTGAATTAAGATTATCCAAATGAGAGAGGGATCAATTGCCGAATCAAATTAATTAGATAAGATTAATAGTCGATCCAATTGATTTCTATTGATTGATGTTCACACTTTTCCTCTTACGACTCTGTACTTTTCCTCCTCCAAACAATCAATATACTCTAATTAAATTAACTCAATTAAGGACAATTGATTAATTTGGACCTAAAGCTCATTGATCATCGTCATCTTAATCATTTCGTGTTTGTTATAACACCAAGAAAGCCACTAATCATTTCGAGGATACGAACAGTTAATCCAGAAGCAATTAAATCAAAAGAACAGCTTAATTACAGTTGATTAAATTGTTAAACACATTTCACTTGTTTACATACAACTTTAAACTATTAAATTGTGATTAATAAAACGTAGATTAATAGTATTAGAAGCAAGGACAATTAAACCAAATCAATTGAATCAAGTTGATTAAACAAATTTAATTGGAATCCAGGAAAACCTAAAGGCCTCTAATTGTGAATGAAAATTAAACTAAACAATTAATATCCATGTTCTTGGCCTTAAAATTCAATTGTTAATTAACGAATCAGTTGATTTAATATATTAATACAATAACGCGAAAACATTGATAATAATAACAATCAACTAATTGTAACAATGGTCAAGAAAACATTACAGCTGATGATGTCTCCATCAAGGTAACAATCAACTAAGGTTAAATTAGATTATATTATTTTTTGATTATCTTTTGTACTATTTGGATCTTATTAAACAATCAACACAATTATCTAATTGTTATTAGTTAATAGTGATGACAAGGAAATCGTAACTATTTCTAACGATTAGTGATTATTAATAATAATTGTTGTGTGTTGATTATAATCTTTCAAGTAAATTACCTTGGTTAATAATTGTATTAATAAATTGTTGCCTTATTGTTAAACTATTATTAGCTGATTCTCATTGATTTGATTTAATTTGATATTTTAAGTGTTGTTGTTGATTAGCAATTTATCCAAATCATAACAATGATTAAGATGAAACTTTTCAACAGGTAATCATGAAAATTTGATAATACAAGTTGCAATTAAATGACTCACAACAATTAATTATGTTACAATAATAATATTTTCTTAATTTATATTCAATTCAATGTTGATGGTCAAACTTTTTACCAACAATTAATTGTCATCAAATTAACCATCAACTGATATTTATGACTTTTCAAACTTTGATTAAAGATCAATTTTATGATACTTGCTATTGATTCAATTGATGCTAATTAATAAGACAGTTGATTGACTAAGTTGATATTGATTGTTGACTATTAGATTAACAATTGAATTAAAATCAAGGAATAGAAAACCAATGTCTCTTTAAATCAAATTGATTACTACTGAACAATTATCGTCAGAACGACTAATTAACCTTGAACCTCTCATAAGACCAAAATATGACCTAATTAAATATCGATCAAGTAAATTAGATAATCAATTTGATCAACATAATAAATATGAATAAAAATGTAACCTCACCTTAGAGTTAACATGATTTTCTCAATTAATTGTTACGATTAATATTAATTTCTCTACGACAATGATCACTCATTAATTCACTCTAATTGCTATTCTCAAATTCAATTGATACTTACAATCCAATTGAAATCAATAATTATTTTATTAACTATTGTTATCAAGGTTAATCAGTTAATGAAAAGTAGATAATTCAAATTATTGGGAAAAAGTTAATTGTCCTTTTGTTTTTCTTAATTGTTTATCAACTATTCTGAGTTAATCACGATGGAAAACAAAACTTGATTCAAATTGTTTAAGGTGAAAGATATAATAGATTTTGTTTTTCTTTTCGATGGATTTTTTTTCTTATTGATTTGAATTGTTTGTGAACAAGTTAATTGTTCGTTGGGTTAATTAATGCTAGAAAATAAGACAAATCATAATTTTCTTCATTATCGTGGTTAACAATTTCTTCATCTTCTTCGAGCTGCTCATCATCATCACCATTTATGATTGGATATAATTGATGCTCGAACTGGTCATTGATCAAATCTTCATCATCTATTGGATTAATTGTGATTTTTATTGATGATTTGGTGTTGATCGGTTGATTGTTTACTGATGTTGTTGACAGTGGGACGTGATTGTCTATTTTGTTGGCACTTTTGACGACATTTGGTGACTGTTGATTGTTATCGATTTCATCTGAATCATCAGCATATTTAATCCCTTCTATGTGATCATAACGGGGATCGTAATAATTTGGTCTGGACACGATTCGATCTATCTCCGTGTAGAGGCCATTTTTGGCCAGAACGGAGACCAACGGAGGAAAACAAATCCATTTATTGTGATAATCACGAATTGAAAACACTCCATTCGGGAATTGGACTATCTCATCCTCAAGAAAATTATCATCGACATAATTATCGGCATAGTGATCGGCCAATAGTGAGGCCATTTCCGGGAATTGGTAACTATAATCACAGACGTAATTTGTGTAATCATCGGAAGATATTGGGACCATCGAATCAATTATGATACAACAGTAAATCAAGATGGCTGACCAGATCAAGTTCATTCCATTATCACAATGTAACAATTAATAATTTACTAATCATCATGTTCACCATATTAATAACTGTATTTGGGTTTTCAACATAACAAACAATTTAGGGTTTAGCTGCAACTTCAAATCAAACTATACAATTAGTATTAAATTGTTGATGAGAATCATTAACACTAAATTTTAATGTTCATTTTAAACCATCTTCAAGTTGACTTTATGAAAGATTAGTACAATTTGTTAATTTAGTTACATTTTGCAACTCTAATTGTTAATGGATCAGAGATTATGTGTAACCCTTTTAATTGCTCAGTTTAATAACCTTTTTCAAAGGTAATTTAATTGTGATGATCATTATCATCTTGAAAAAGATATAAATTAATCTTATTAAATGAATTATCATCAAATTGTAATTAACTTGATTCATTTTCATGGCTCGTTAATAACAGAGGACAAAACTTTTAATTTCAATCAAATCAAAACAAAACTAATGTGATCAAACTCAATCAAGAAGTGAAGGTAAATCATCAATTAGACTAATTATTCAAATACCAATTATAACAATTAACCGAAGTTATCAAAGTTAATTGAATTCATTAATCAAATCTTAATTTCGTTGTCAAATGTTTCATTATTTTGAAAGTTTTATTTGTAAGTTGATCAACTTGATTATCGTTGAGAATTTTTTCTTAATTCATGAAAAAAAGTCCAAAATTTAATTGTTTTAATCATAATTAGAAAATCACAAACCAGGTCAAAGTCAAAGTCTCATTAAATGTTAGTACAATTCGTTACACTAATTGACGCAAAATTAAACTACAATTAAATTAAATATCTAAATACAAGTTCCAAGTGAAGGGAGAGATAACTTTCTGTTTTTTGATTGTTGTAATGATCTCGACGATTAACTGTGAATCTATTTAATTATCAACAATTGAATCTCTCTATTTTGGCTTCTCAAATAATCCAAGTTAATGATAGTTAATAAGGTTTCCAATAACAATTAAAGAAATTTAATTCAATTGATGATTAATCATCAAACATGATAAACAAAAGATGTCGCGTCGATTTTGTGATCATGAGCCACTGAGAATCAAGTGATTATCATGAAAAGAAAAGTTAATTGTGATTTGTAAAGATCCTGGAATTACAATTATCCAACCGCAAGATTTGAATTGATTGTATTAATTTAATTGCAGAAATATTCAATTAGATTATGAGCTCAGAAAGGAGTCATCTTCGAGTTGATTCAGATCACTTTGAGTGTTGATTATTATGGTGAATTGTGACTTTGATTGTGATGAAAAATGTATAATTTGTGTCCGCGATTTCAACGTTGATATAAAATGATCTCTCGATTTAGGTTGAAATTTCCTCTACTAGTGACCGTCATTTTGACCTTTTATCTAGTTCGTATTCGTGGTAGTTCAATCAAGTGGAGAAGTTCAGAGGTTTCAGATGCTTTGGCAGCGGCAGCGGCGGTTGATGAGGACGAAGATGAGAGCGATTCTTTTAATCAGATGAAAATGGTTTCGAGTGGACAGATTTCCCGTCGATCGGACGACGAAGAGGAAGAAGATAGTTGGGGTAGTCCATCGGCGAGTACCTCGGACGGAGGAAGTTGGGGCGGTGGAGGTGGAGGCGGAGGTGGTAAGAGTAAGGGTAAGAAAAGTGAGTAACATTTTCGACTTTTTTTTAATCGAATACATTGACAATTAATGTTCATTTATGTCGATTACTTTTGACCTGTTTCACTTTTAAGGTAAAGACAAAGGGAAGGACAAAGGTAAAGATAAAGAAAAAAAGATGAAGATGAAAATGAAGATGAAAATGAAGATGAAGATGAAAGATGAAGGCGGTGGTTGTACACCAGAAGTGGTGGCGATTAAGAAAACCCGAGTTATTCCTGTTGCTGTTCCCGTTAAAGGAGGGAAACGTTCATTCACAATTAAGGTGCCACAATCGATGATGATGGCCGCTCAAGAAGAGGAAGAACCAGCAAAATCTTGGTCTGCCCCCGCACCGCAACAAATGTTGATGCCCATTCAGATGATGCCCATTTCTTATCAGGCCCCTGCTCCCGCTCCAGTCCATCAACAAGCAGCAACTCCAATGGCCATGTATCATTTACCCGCTCCAACTCCTCCGCCGTCTCCCGTTACCATCACGATGCCAATGCCGATGCCTATTCCAAGTCCATCAACGTGTAACACTTGTTCCCACCCAATGACCAATGTCGAAGAAGTGATCGAGGAGGTTGTCGAAGAGCCTGATTACGATTACGAAATGGACTCTTGGGGAGGGACATCCACTTCTCGGGATGGATGGAGATGAACAATTGAATCAACAATTAAACCAATTTCCTAATCATATCACTTTTTCAACTACCACATGGATTCAACGTTACTGGTAATGTTAATAGTATTGTCTACAAATTTTGAAAACCTTAAATTTATGTAAAACAACATAAAGTATACATTTGAATTGAAATTAAATTGTCAAAGACATTTAAAGTTTTTTCATTTTTTTTTCGTTTTATTTTGGAAAAAAATTGGCCAAAAGAAGTCTCCTTTTCGTAGCAATTTGTCTTTTTAAATCATCATAACTTGTTTATCTTTCCAATGTGTAACCTAACAAATCAATCAATACAGGCCAAACGACGATTCAATTTACCATTCATCAGTAGTTGCACCCCAATCTGTGATTGGTGCGGCACTTGGTTGCCAATCACGAGAAACGGGAATAGCTTGAGCAGCACTTCCAGCTGATGGCCAGTTACTTCCTACAGCGGTTCCACTTGCAATATCAACAGGCTCATGAGTCTCAATTGGAACTTTAAAAAGAAAGTAAAATTAAAAAGTTAAAATCATAGTAAGCAAAATGAAAGAAGTTTAATATACCTGATGTAGTCCATTCTTCAGCATAAGCACCATCAACTTCAGCTCGAGCAGTTGGTTTAGCGGCTTCTGCAACGGCAGCTTCTTCCTTTTCTTCTTGATCAGGATCTCGGTAGAAGAACAAATCTACTTTAACAGTTGTTTCCCAAGGAATTTCTCGAGAAAGTTTTCCTCGCAATCTAAGAACTTCTCTTGCGAGCATCCACCACATTAAACCAATCGAAAGAGGAGCTTTGTTATTACATGGAATACCAATGTCTACAAATCTAAGCGGAGAATCAGTGTTACAGAAAGCAATTACGGGGATATTGACATATGAAGCCTCAGTTAGAGGTTGATGGTCTAATCGTGGATCAGTAACAACAAGAAGTCTTGGTTCCCGAAAAGCAGCTTGAATTTGATTGGTAAATGTACCAGGAGTGAATCTACCGGCAATTGGAGTGGCTCCAGTGTAGTGAGCATACTTAAGAATAGCTCGTTGAGCTTGTACTCTCGAAGAGATAACACAAACATCGGCTGGATTTTCAATGGTAACAATAGCTCGAGCAGCGAGTAGCAATTTCTCCCAAGTATGTCGAAGGTTAATTAAGAAAACACCATCATTTCGTCGTTTGTAAACATATTGTTCCATTTGAAAATCAGCATTTTTAGCTCCAATGTGAGTGTGACAGGCAAGAAACTTGGACACATCATCTTGGGTAATTGAAAGAGAAGCTAAACCTCCGGACATGGTGGTAATAGATAATTAAATTACTAACTACACAGAAATCAAGAAAGAAAACAGTTAATTAAGAAAAAGATGAAACAATTAACCTAAACGTGGTAATTAAACCGTAAGGAGACCAAATTCAGAAAACATTAACAACGGAAGAGGAAGTCGAGAGAAGAAACAGTTTCTAGGGACCGTCTTCGAATTACAGCTCGACAAATAGAAGACGAAAGATTTTCATCAACTGAATGAGAAATTAATCGAAATAATTTTTTTCTTTCTAATATTTAATGTGTAATTAGAAAAATTTTAATGGTATAATTTACAACAAACAAGAGGGGGATTTCTGATTAATCAGAATCTTGGAATGGGACATCAGAATATAAGAGTATCGAGCCTGGAGGAATCGGGCCTGGTTGTGGACATAGAACTCTAATCGAGTTTCGTTTATTGTCAACATGAGTGACGCAAACGAATCCCATAACATTGGACTTGGCACCATCGGCAGCATTGTTAGCAAAACTAACGGCAAGGATGTGGCGGGTTATCGATTGATCGGGTGTGATCTGATTGAGCTGCGTTTGGGCTTCTCGAGGTGTCATTCCTATGGGAAGACACGAGGCTGGAGTTGAAACTGAACTCACTTTGTAGATTTTTAATTGTGAAAAGGGAATGTTAAAAGCATAGGGCGAGAATTTGGGTGGACCACTTGATTTAAAAGAACCATAAAAATAACGTCTTATCCGCTCTTCTCTCATTTCATCTCGATAAGCGGCATTTCGACGGACAACACCACTTGATTTCGGTGTGTCGATTATTTTAACTGATTTTGGCAATTCTTGGGTTAAATCGTAGCATAAACTTTTCATATCGAGAACCAAGATCACATCTACTTCGAAAGCGGCAGCGATATGGAGTAAAGTTTTGTAACCATTTTCACTGGCAACCTAAAGACAAAGAGGAAGAAGAGTAAGAGTAATTTAGAAATTAATTATAAAAGGATAATGTTGATTGTCACTTATGATCCGAGAATATTAAACTCACCCAGTTACAAGTGTTGATAAAACCTCCAGAATATCTGACATGTTTATGTTGTTCAACTTTCTTTGCGATAACTTCAGCGACTCGAGTTACCAATGAATTATAATAAGCAGTATTGGCTTCGGGTGTCAGAGCACCGAAGTGAAATATAAGAGGAGCAGTTGGAGATGTTTTATCCTCTAAATCGGATAATCTTTCCATAACATTTACGCCGATGGTTCCTGGTATTCCAATACTATTAGAGGCCACATTAAGGTCTATGAAAACTGGACATTTACCTCTTCTAATCTGTAAACAAAAATGAAATGAATCGATAAGTAATTGGCATAAATCTAAAGAGTAGAAATTACTCACAGCAAAATTACAAAGTATCCGAGATAAAGTGGCTTTCCCTGTATCAGAAGGTCCAACAATTAAAGTGAAAGGTCCTCGATTACCATTCTCTTTACAATCATTTCTCAACAATTCTAATCCACCATGAACATTGGCATAAAATTTCATTGGAGTATCTTGATCAATATAAATACGACTGCAATTGCCAATAACATCAATGGTACATCCATGCCAAGTGAAAACAGCAGCTTTAGTCCCTTTGAAGAATTCATACTTTTTACCTTTAATCAATTCGGTACCAAATATCTCAGCTAATCCAGAGCTTAATTCAATTAGAACCTTTTCTTTTCCATCAATTTCAAATCTTAATTCTTGTTCCTTTTCCAGTTTATATTGAGCCACATTTTGATCGGCAATTTCTTCCTTGACAGTATCACCTTTACCTTCCATCATAAAAGTAAAATAAACACAATAAAAACTAAAGATAATGAACTAGTCAAAGATAATAAATTGTTCCAATAATTGAAACAATTGGAAAATTTTAGAAAACAAAAATAAAAACATATGGGTTTCTATGCGCATGCGCATTGGTTGTCAACAACTGTTCATTTTAATTTGTTGGGTTACAATTGTGTCTTCAGAAATTAACTAATTAGTGATTAAAGAAGAGAAAGTAATTGTAATAAATTCTCGAAATTTCTTGGCTTAATGGTTAATTATCGAAAGTTACTTGATATTTGTATAAAAGACTCCAACGTATCGATATTAAGTAAAATATAAATCCCTTTACTCAAAATTATTTTGGATTCATAGTGTTAATTTGTTGAGAATTTGTTTCTAATGATTATCTTTATTCCTTATTATTATTTGATTATCAACCTGGAATTGTAATAATTAACTGGATGGTTTCTTGTGACTCTATTCAAAAGTTTTTATTTGGAAAATAAGTGACTGATTCCCTTAAAAAACGAGAAAAAAACAAAACCGATTTAAATTGGAAAAGAAAACGATTTGATTACTTTTTTTTCTCAGCTTTAACAACTGAACTAATCAAATATGAACAATAAATAACTAAGAAAGTGTTATTTTCTTAACAATTAAATGGGTAATTATAATGATTAACTTATTCTACACTTCAGATTGTGTTGTAATTTCTTTTCTTTTTTTTCAATTTCTTTTTTAGCTTCTATTTCTTCTGATGGATTTACTCTTGTTAATCGGCAAAAGAAAAGTAGATGGAGAAAGTGTTCCAATCAATCATCATCTCTAAATTATTTACCAATTGACATGGATAATGAGACAATTCCTAATGATTATCAACAATTTACTGGAAAATTAAAGTCAAAACTAGAGAATTGTATTCACTTCCTGAATAAGAGTCGATTTACTGATCAAGTGGCTCAATGTTTATCAAGAAACAAACAAAAGTTTAACTTACCTGATAGAGAAACTGACACAATCAATTGTTTGGCTGCTAATTTAGCTAATTGCTCTTTAAACCAGTTCAGTGAAATAGTATCTTATGGAATTGGTCATTTCTCATCATCAAAAGATTCACTCTATCAACTTGCTTTGCTTTTAATTCTCAAGACTGATTGTATTCTAACCTGTGATCTTTGGCTCATTTACGATCCCGTTTTTACCGAATACGAGAAAAAATTTCTAATCGAAAATGGATTCAATTTGATTGATGTCAATGAAAAAGGAGCTAAATCAGTTACCACAAGAACCCTTTTCTTTATGCCCCATTGTCCACTTCCAATGTACAACAATTTACTTTGGGCTAATTGGTTACCAAACAATTTGAATCAAATTGTCTTATTAGGAACAAGTTTCAATTCTCTGGTCAACTCTTTCATCTCTAACGACCAACAAGCCGAATACTCTTATTTAATTGGCATCACTGAAAGTAAATTAATCGATGAATTTAAATTGGACCCACCTCGAGATATTTACGAAGCTTTTAATGATCTTAGTGTCCATTTTTTTACTCAAATCAACGATGATGATGAACATACGAATTTACTATCGATTGCTAATTGTGATCCAAAAAAGAAACCAATCTATTCAGATGATGTATTTTCCAAAGAAATGATCGTCAATTAACTGTGATTGTCATTGAGAAACCATATGATTAGTTAATTGGTCTCATTAATCTCTTACAACTGTCAGTTGATTGTATCACTTATGCTAATACACTTACATTGATGATGATTATGAGGCAACAACAATTGACCCTGAATAATTTTTAACATCTTGTTAAATGATCAATCTTATTAATCTTAAGTGCTCTTCCATAATCTTAACAAAGTCAATGTACTCAGGCCAATTGCAATTCTCTTAATTAACATTCCTCACCCAGAATCGAATCAATAATCAAGTTTGGCGCTCGAAATCTTGATAACTCTGAATGGAATCAACTTTTGTTTGTTTATCTTTACATCAAATGTTGTAATGTCACTTGTTATCTTTTTATGGAATTAACTTTTGTTAATTAAATAGATTGTTTTCTAATCTAATTTCTATTCTGTTAACCATTTTCATCTCTCACAATTCAAATTCCAGTTAATTTCAAGTGTCTCCCTTATCCTTATTGTTTTCACCTCCGATTACAAAGGTAACTTGGTGATTCTGTTTTTCAATTTATACTTAGATATTTTCTATAAATAATTCCAATTGTTTAAAGGTTTGATTTCTGCAATCATTATGGTTAAACGATTAGCTGTTGTCACTGGTTCTAACAAAGGAATTGGCTTTGGTATTGTTGAGGTTCTATGTAAGAAATTTGATGGAACTGTAATGTTATGTTCAAGAGATTTGAAACGAGGCCAAGAAGCAGTTGATTCCCTTAAATCTAAAGGTTGTAATCCGGTTTTCCATCAATTAGACATTACCGATGAATCAAGTATTGGTAAATTGAAAGAAACAATCGAGAAAGAGTATCAAGGCCTCGATGTTTTGGTCAACAACGCAGCGATCGCCTTTAAAAACGCTTCAACTGTGCCATTCGTTACTCAAGCTGAAGAGACAATGGCTGTTAATTTTTTTGCAACTCTCTCTGTTTGTAAGGCTTTGTTTCCACTTTTACGACCTCATGCTCGAGTCGTGAATGTCTCAAGTTCAGCTGGAATGCTTCGGAATGTAAGAAGCACCGAGTTGAAGACTCGTATCGCTGATCCAAACTTGACTGTCGATGGTTTAATTACTCTAGCAAATGAGTATCTAAATGATGTACGAGCAAATGCTCATAACGACAAAGGTTGGCCTAATTCAGCCTATTCAACCTCCAAAGTTATGCTGTCCGCTTTGACCTTCATCCAAGCTCGTGAATTTGGTAAAGATACTCGGGAAGATATCGTCATTAACGCAGTTCACCCTGGTTATGTCGACACCGATATGACAAGTCACAATGGGACATTGACCATTGAACAAGGATGTCAAGCACCAGCTTATTGTGCTCTTTTACCGGCTAACGTTAATGAACCAAAAGGAGCCATGATTTGGTTTGACTCATCGATAGTTGATTGGCAATCTACTAATTAAAGCAGATCAGCAAGCAACAACAACAACAAAAAAACTCACTAATCAAGACACTTTCAGAAGTAACAACATCCGGAATGTATCCTTTTTTATTTTTCTATCTACAAAAAAAAAGCGGATCCATTTTCCAGTTAATTAATTTTCGCCTTAAATTGTTTTCTAATGATTTATGTCTATCAACACATGAAAATTTTCGTATAATCATCAACTTAATGGAAGACTTTTAATAACCAAGAGTAGCTCAATATACATTCATCTCAATATGTTTTTATAACACTTACACTTTATCGCCTTTAACAATTAATATGATTAATATATAATCTATGAAACAATAGACGAATCTACAATTCCACTGATTGTCTTGACAATTATCTGTACTTTGATTACATTTACAGAGATTTGTTACTCTTTCGAAACCATTTATAATCTCCAAGTTTATTAACAATCAATTTTATTTCAGACAATTAACTCGTCAATTGATTTACTCCCAACGTGCCTACACTTCCATCTGGTTAAACATAGAGAAAAAAAAACAAGAAAACTTAGCAATTAATCAATTGCAAACTTAATTGTGCTTCTAACAAACCAACTAAACAAATATACAACAACAACAACAACAACCAGACACGAACCACAACCCAATGAACCATCACAGTAAAAATTAAAGGATAATCTAAATTTAGATACCTAATTGTTTACCCAATTTGTTACCCAAATCATGATATTGATGGCGATGCAATGATTAACCAGTAAAAATAAACATAACCATTTTCATGGAAACCGAAGGATTAATTGAATTGGACACAAGATAATTAATTAATCAGATTTTTCACCCATAAATTTATTCAGTAATATAATCAGATGTATTTCTTGTATTCATCCAGAGCAATTGACCAGAATTGGAATAGAGAGAGAAAGGGAAAAAGGATAAACAAAAAAGTTCATCGATGGAAGAAAAAAAATCAGGGAGACAGAGGAAGGAAGGAGAAACCCATGTGAATTAATTGCTCGATGATATACACAGATAATTAAGAGTAAATCATAAAATAAGCAGAATAATATAAATACAATTTTGCCCGAAAAAAAAACAAAATCGAGAGAAATTACAATTAGTTAATAAGTTTTGCGATACGAAAAAAAATCCATGTTGAACATTTCGAGCATCGTAATCGTGATGCTTTTTAGTTTTGTGATGATTTAGAATTGAATCACTTTTGATTATCTTTTCTTTGTCTTGTTTTTTTTTGTTCTGGTCACCAAACACTTTGACCAATCAATTAAATTATTATATAAATTAAATTCCAAAACAATTAACATTAATTATCTATTTAAATATTATAATCAATGTGCTGAGAAATAGAGACAACATTGGGGAGGAAAAAATATTGCAGAGAAAAGTTAATTTTCCTCTTAATCTCTTGTATCGAATCAAAAATATTGGGTTAATTGTTTTTCGATTTGATTTCTCTCTATTTTTTTGATTTTCTATTTGATTAACAATTTTGAGAGAAAGAGAGAGAACAATTAAAAAAATTAGTTAATTGAATTAAGAGAGAGAGAGATTCCAAATGAGGATAAAAAATGAATTTGAAGAAAATGAAAAAGGTTTGATTGTGTCTGCATGTGCTTTTGATCATCATTATCATCTTAATCATCATCATCAGAGTGAGATATAGTAAACAATTAGCTAATTGTTGATGATTTGTTTTACAATTAAACAAAACCCAAAGATAGACAGAGAGAAATTAATGATTACCATTGAATAGGGAACCAGGAAAAAGTTTTTTTTTTAAGGAATTGTAATTAGATTTGTTTTGATTTGATTTAGTTTAAATTTGGTTTGGACGGTAAAAATGTTAAGGCATTTTTGTTTTAAATTAAAGTTGTTAATTGTGGTTAAGAGTTAATTGTTTCAGCCCAGAATTAAAATAGTTGATAAATTGTTATGTTTTCTGTGATTGTGATTATGATAAAAATGAACCGGATAAAAAACCTTAAAGCAATTTTGATTAACAATTGATGATTAACGATGATTGAAACTGGATGAATGAAATTAACTAGAGCAAGAATCAGTTGGTAATGAAGATAATGATAGTAAAATAATAGCAATTACAATTGTAAATTAATAATTTACCATTGGCTTGGATAATATTAATAGTTGTACAATTGAATAAACAAATAGCTTTAGTAAATCAATTGATTACTACAAATCATCTACAATTGCTATCATCAGAATATCATCATTGTAATGATAATCATTAAGAGGAATCAATCAAAGAGGAAAAAAACAAATCATTAGCTAATTGTTAATATCATCGACTAGGTTGATAAACAATCAAATCTAATCCGTTGATCATTCATCGTTCATCATATTCAAAAATCATCCATTATTAATCAATGATAACAATCAATGGTTTGATTTGCTTGCAGTGGACAGCAAAGAGAGAGGAGGGATAAAAATGGACAATTAACTGACCAATTGGTCAATTAAAACATACAAACAAGTTAATTGTTACGAGAATAATAAATTAAAAAGGATGGTTGTTATAAGAGCAATCAACAAATTGATTGAGAGTAAGTGATGAATGAGTAAAGGGAAAAAGTGAATAATGAGTTGGAATGTAAAAGGAATCACCTTAATTTTCATGATGATCAAAGATGATTAATGGATTAAGATGATAATCATGATGAAGACAAAGTTACTGTTGTTAAAGAGTTGATTATAATCACCAAGAAAACGCTTAGTTGATCATGTTTAGCTTTTTCTTTGCACCATCAGATCCTCACACTTTTGATTCTGATTGTTGCTGATTTATATCAGAAAAAAAGCAAATAAATTGATGATTAAAATGTTGCCGCTTCTCATGATGAGGGTGATGATTGTTGATGAATTACAGTTGATTGTTTAAATCGTCAGATTGGTAATGATAACTTCCAATGGGAAAAAACAACATGGATGAAATGGATTCTGCTCTTTATACCCGGACCATTGAATCAGATTATCATCATCATGATAATAATAAAGGATGAAAATTGGATGGAAAGATGAAGATGACAAAAAAAAACGTCAATTCTATCATCAATGTCGTTAAAGGTGATCGGTGGTGGAAAGTGTGAGGCTAAGGTGGAGGTGGGAAGAGGTTGAGGTGGATACAATTCTTGTGGGAGGGAAATTTTATCATAAGATGAGGATAAAAACAAACACAATATGGATAAAAACGGATTGAATTACAATCATCATCATCATTTTCTCATCGTTTCTTAATAATCTCATCATCTTGATCATCAGGTAAAAAAACGTGATGATTAAAAGTGGATTTGAGGGAGAGGAAAACAAAATTCTAGTTTATCAATTACAGAATTGATTTTGATGATAATCCAGTGATTTATGATAAAAAAAAGGTGATTAAAAGTACATCAATTATAATCACCATTGATTTAGAAAATGGTTCACAATTAGTTGATTGTTGTCTTCACAATTCCAAGAGTAAATATCGTTGGGATTTTTGTTTTGATTGTTATCGTTGCGTTTTCGTTGGTAGTTGTTGATTAATTGTTTACAGTTGATATTGATTATCTTTTTGATTATCATTTAGATGATGATAATTATGATTTTTATGATATATAATATATTAATTTCTTGCTTTTAATTGTTTCTCCCATTTATTATAATCCAATCGGTGGTAACTTTAATCCATTGAAAAGTTTTGCAGTAATTAAATTAATGTTGATTAAGGCTTTGAATCAAAGGTTAATTCAATTGTTGGTGGTGGTATTGTTGATTGTCTTCCAGGTTAATTAATCAGGTAGACAGTTAAATCATAAAATTTGATTCGATTTGTCATCGTAATCATCATCATTTAGATTCTGTTAAAGTTGATTTGTGTTTTTGATTTGATTGTAAATATAAATTAATATTATGTAGTTTGAAATAGTTAATGATATAAATTGATTGCATATAAATAATTAGTTAAAAATATAGTTAATAAACATAATCTTTCACCAATAATAATTAAAAACGAAAAACAAATGTATTATAATTAACAGTTTTTGTATATCTCTGTTAATAAAGATCAGGTTGTTGAGTCCAAATTGTTAACTAATTGCCGGAAAAATAGACGTTGATTGTGAATAGGAAGTTAATTGTTGCGGTGGTTTGTTGTTTGTAGTAAATTGTTTGTTTGTAAAATCATCATCGTCAGAGCAAGAAGCAAAAGTTTAACCATAATATCATAATATATAAATTATACCTTGTTGATTGTTGATTAAAAATTAACTGCATCATCATCAACATGCTCATAATTATCATCACAATGTATCACAATATAAATATATCTGAAGATGAAGTCGGAAGAGAGAGAGAGAGAGTAAGGAAGGTGATGATGATGATAGACACACAATTGGATAACCAATCAAGCCCAAAAATTAGACAATTAAAATTAATGATAGGACAAAAAAGTTATTATCATGATAATTAAAAAAAAAGCAAAAACATTGTTGACGATTAAAGTTAATTGTTACTATTAGATAGTTGATCCCGTTGTCGTTGTTGTCTCATCTTCCTCAGGTTCAATCTTAATTTTCTTAATCATTGGTAATTCAATTTTAACCTTATCCAATGACATTAATAGTGATTCAGTTGAATTATTAATTGTCGATGATGATGGTGGTGGTGTTATTGTCGTTAATTGTTGAGTTTGTAATGATGGTAATTGTTGATTGGCATTTAAATTGTTGCTGTGAGTATGTGTTGCCTTACATAGACTAAAGTGTTGGAGTAAAGTTTTATTTTCGTTTTCCAATTCTTTGTTTCGTTGATCTAATTGTTGAGCTCTTCTCTCTGATTCTTTGGCTCGTTGATCTAATTGTTGAACTCGACGTTCTAATTCTTCCATATATTCTTTTTTCTTTCTCCTCGATTCTTGAGCTGAAATTTTGTTCTTAATCTTTCGTCGAATCTTTTTGAGACTTCGTTCTTCAGCTTTGGTTAATGGAAATCGTGTTGGAATTGGATAACCTGGATTAGATCATTTGAATTTAATCAAACAATCAAAAAGATAATCATAATAATAAAGAAAAGAATGAAAATCAAATCAATATAACGTGATTATTGTAACAATTTCATGTTGGTCAAAAGTTAATTGTGTTGATTAAAGTGTTGGCCATACAATCAGTTGAATCAACTGGACACAATCAAGTAAAAAAGGTGTAACAGTTTTAACCTGATTTCGTGAATTAATTTTTTTTAAATTTCGCTTAATTGTTGCATTTGATTAATCTTGACACTTGAAGATTTAAAATTTCTTTTTCTTCCATTGATTAACAAATTAATATATTGATTGTGTGTCTATTTCGTTACACATATTATGTGTACTTGTTGGATTGCTCAATATCTTTGATACACTACAATAGTTGTTGATGATAATGATGATGCTTCCTGGAGACGAGGAAACAACAATCACCAACAGAATTGAAATCTTTTCATCATCGTCATTATTATTGTTATGATTATGATATTATTGTAATAATGATTATGATGATGTTTAGTCACATTTGGTGACACTTTCACTTCCACTCCCACTCTCCTCCTGTCTCAATGTTTTCCAAGTTAATTCATTTCAGGATGAGGCAAATGCCCTGAAGCAAGGTTATCCTTTCCATTCACACAACCATGACAAAGTTGTAACTTCTCAATGTACAACTAAAGTGGAAACAAAAATTTCAAGTTTGGTGAAAAAAAAAAGTGAATCTCTTGACAAAAAAAATCTTCTATTATTATGATTGCCTATTATTCATGGAAAATACTGAAATTTAACTGAATTAATCACAATCAAAGAGAGACACAGCCAATGGGATTGTAATTGTTTCTTTAGGGGATTTTAATTGCTGTAATTTAAACGCAGATACAAATCAACAGACAGATTGATTTTAATCAACTTATACAATACATTATGTATTTATAAATATCCACACCTTAAGTGACATGCTGGTGGTGATTATAATTGTTTAATTATAATTGTGATGATTAGAAAACTGTTACAATATAATTTAATGTTGTTGTTGGTATATCACCATTAACTAATTAAAGTTTTTAGTTGATAAACTTGACAACAGATTGTAATAGTTGGTTAATTACAATCATTAGATTAACATTAAATTACCATAAAGAGGGATTAAAATAATTGGACAAATGTTTAATTTAGTTTGACTCACAATTAACAATTTGATTATCGTCTATTAACCATCGTTAACAATTAGTTTTTTTTTAAGTACGTAACAGTAATAAACTGTAACTCTAATTGTTACCTTGATTAATTCATTGACCAAGCCAACAATTTAAAAAAAACTCTGGTTTCTAGGCAAATATTATTTACACAATCAATTGATCATAAATTGTTCAGGTTAATGAATGGAAACTATTAATAGTAACCAAATCAAGAAACTTAATTTTGAAACAAAGTTAATCCCAATTAATCAACTATAGTTAATTAGTAATCAACAATAAGTCACATTAATCAATAAGGACACGTCTTTTTTTTGCTTCAATCCAAGTCTAAGGAAACTCGGGCTTGAAATATAATTGTCACAATTAAGTTAATAACAATCAGTTAATAGGAATCGTTCAAGTTTACCAATCATCATCATCTATGCATGAAATGATTAACTGTTGATAAACTTTAATTGTTAATGATTAACTTGATTGTTGTAAGGTAACATTTTGACCATTAGGAATTATTTTCCTCTCAAAATGATTAGTTAACTTTGGAACACACAATTAACTGATCAACACAATCATCATCATATAATCTTAATCATCATTAAGAAATATAATAGAAAACTTTTTTCCATGCTGATTGTAAACACTTCATTGACATTTCCGGTCATTTCAACCAGAGAAAGAAACTTTAACTAATCAAGATCCTGAGAATCAACAGGTAAATCAACATCAATCAAGTGATTTAAAGGATTTTAATCACTCTTACAGATAATATAATATAATGTTCAACAATCAAACAAATAAAAGAAACTAATAAAGTTTTTGTAAAGCTTAAATTGCGAATTAAAAAAAAAGGATTGTGAACATAATTAAGATGATTTTGATTCTGATGATTAACAAGTAAAATTTTGTTGACTACAATTTATTATCATCATCATGATTTGATTGAATGTTATGTATTCACAGCAGGGACACCTTATTTAATCAATCAGCAATAATGAATGATAATCAAAATGATTTGATTGGAAATAATCAAAATCGATTGATTTGATTTGATCAAACCCATTTTTCATCATCATTTGAAACTCATGGGTTGAGATCGTGTGAGTTTCATGATGATAACATACATTTATCATCATCTTATTCTGGTTCATAAGAATGAAACTTTTCTGGTTTTCTGGTAACAATTAAAAAAAAAACTTTCATTTCAAATCAATTTTGATAACAATCAACAATACAATTTATATATATATATTTACTCAATGTGTACAATTGATTAGTACCAATAGTTAATAATTTGATGATAAGCAAAGTTTCAATTGTTACAAGTAATTTCTCAAATTGAATTAGATTGAATTAACAATAATCTATAAAGACAACAATTAAGGGTCAGAGATTAATAATAAATAAAAGACAACATTTAAATTGTTGATTAGCATGATTGTTAGTAACCATTTTTTGGCTCTTATTCAGTCTAATAAGTTATATAAGATTAGATTTGATTAACTTTATTCCTTGTCCTGGTTTAATAATGATAATAATTAACATCTAAATCAATATAACAATCAAAAAGAGCTGCTTAATTGTTTCTAGCTTTCATAGAGAAACATTTAATTATGTGAATGGCTGTTGTGTCAGTGTAACAATTAACAGTTAATCAATGTTTGATTAGAGTCAATGATTAAAAGGTTCTGGTAGAAACTGAATCAACAATTAACAATACAATATATTCAATGTGTTTTCTGTTGATGTTGTTGTTAAACAATAATAATAACAATTTGATCAAATTATGATCAACACACAAGGTAAATTGAGTATTTGTGATTAAGATTAGCACACTAACTACAATTACAATTGGATTAAGAGATAGAAAAAAAAAATGTTTATTTTTTTCATTACAATCAAAAAAAATTTAGGTTAATCAAGTATTAATATTATATAAAAAAACTAAGTTTGGGTTTGGGAGATTTGATTGTTGATCTACTTTGGATTAATTGTTATGCCTAATCAACTTGAAATTTAAGCTTCTAAGTGATTAAGATTGTGTCTCAATGATCAGTCAGATGATAATTGACCAACTAAATTACAATCAAGGATCTACAATAAATAATATTTATAAATAACTGACCAACAATTTAGCCTGAAACCAATTAGCTTTGACCAACCGGATAAAAATTGTGTTCAGTTAATACTTAACTTGTTAATATAATAATAATTTAATTGTAGTTGTGCGGATTTCAGGTATTAAATCAAGTTAACAATTAATTGGTCATTTTCTGGTTTGATGATTGGTCAAAAAAAGTTAATTAATTTGATCATCGATTGTTATTAACTTTTTTTTTGCTTCTCTCGAGTTAATTTTGTTGTGATTGTTGTAGTGAAGAAAAGTTAATTATAATTGTTGATTTTTGATCAAGTGGGTACTTTGACTCTGATTGCTACACATGTATTTATGGATTATGATTAAGATTCATGATTAAAGCCTCATTTAGTTGATTAATTACTTAACTTTGCAAAATTAGAGGTCCTCTTAAATATGTAATTTAATTGCAGACACACAGTATTTAACTTTCACGATCAACCAGGTTTAATCAGTTGATCATTTGATCAATCCAGTTGAAAACCAATTAAGTTGAATTACAATTAAATTATATATATACGATTAAATAATTTATTATAATTGCTGATCATTTATTTAATTATATTGGTGAGAGTGAGAGTCACAAATTGCAAGGTAAGGTTAATTTGTTGAAACGATAATCAATCTACCTGGTTTACAGTTTAGGTTTTTAATTGTAATCTAACAATTAAGTGATGGTATTGATTGTTGAAGACGATGATCAAAGTGAAAGTTTCAAATGATTAAAAGAGTAAATTGAAAAGCTCAACAGATTATGATGATGATTAATAAATAAAATTGTAAGCAATCAATTGATTAGTTACAATTAATATACTTTTTTTTTACCTACCTAGGCAATTATTTAACAAATCTTGATGGTGATCAACTTACAATCAAATTTAATTGTGTTAGCAACATGGATTTTAATGTGTACATATTATAACACAATCTAATACTTTTGTGTAGTGGATACAATTAAATTTAATTGCTATTAACACATAATATTAGATGTCCTTTTGATTGAGTCAATGATAAATTGTTATCAAAAATCATGAGTTAATTCAGTTTTGAGAAAAAGTTAATCAGTCCAATTGAAAGGAGTATTTTCAAAACGATTGAGTTAATCAAAATTTGACCAACAATTAAGTCTAATCATGAAAATCACCGTTATCAAGATTATACCTCCATCTTGATCATCAACTGGATTAATATTTAAATTGTATGAAAAGTTAATTGTTTACTAGGGTAGGTAATCAAATATCAACATAAATCAACAACAATTTCCTGTTAATTTGATTGAATCATCTTTCCTACTTTAATCATCTTAATTAAACAATTAAATGGAATCTTTTTTGTATTTTCAACAATCAAAAATTCAAGACAAACAATTAAAAAAAAAATTATTCAATGAAAACCATTAACCTAAAATGATAATAATGTTAATTAACACTTTGTAATGTTGATTGTTAACATTTAATTGCAATTGAGACAAAAACATTACTTGATACAATCTAGAAATTAACTCAATAGACCAATTGATTTATGTAAAACAATTAAAACTGGTCAACAATCAGGTCAACTACAGTTAATATTATCTCAAGAGATGGTCAAGCAATTAAGCACAAGAAAATAATTTAGTTTAATTAACTTGAACAATCAAACTTGTTAATCAATGTTAGCAGTAATTATTTTTGCAGGCTAACAGATTGATACAGAGATTAATTGATTAGTTAATTGTCAAGGGCATTTAATTATCAATCATAATGAGCATTGATAACTAAAAACAATGTATATTAATTGAGATGAAATTAACTTTTGCTTTTATGTTTTCTGACAATTTAAACAATTATCATGATGATAATTTGATTGTAATAAACAAAACACAAACATGTGATCAGATATCCAATCAGTAAATCAGTATCATAATACCAGGCCATTAATTGTTACAATTAAAAAGCAATATACTCAATATAAAGATAATCTTAATTTTTTCTATCACTGGTAATTCAATTAAATCACAAGTTTCAAGTCTCAGGTAATTAATTAAAAATCCTGGACAAACCCAATGGCAAACATAATCGCAACATTCAACAGGTAACAAGACAACAACTAAATTAGATTGGGCAATTTAATAAGACGAGTGACCTTGATTTTGTAAGAAGATGTTGATGATAATGATGATGATGATGATGATGATGTGAAGGATGATGAGGAGGAGGAAGGAGGAAGGAGGGAAGTGGTAAAAAATTATCCATCCAAATAGCCTGAGGCAAGCGACAATTCCTATTACATATACACAAGAGGTAATTTAATATAGCCGTAAGATCATATTTCCGTTAATTGTAACTGGATTAAGAGACGGGGAGGAATGTGTTTTGAATATTTGACCAAACAATTAGGAAGAAAATATTTAATTACCATTCTAATGAACAACAATTAGCTGACAATTGAATGACAATTACGTTTTAAACTGATTTTCACCTTTTTTTTTGATTATAATAATACAACAATTAAATGTCTTATGTTAAAGTTACCACAACAATTTAAACATGAATTAAAGATAACCAATACAACGAGTTTAAATCACAATTACTAATTCTTGTTGAACAATTTAGTTTACAATTCTATTCATTCACTAATTGTTATTACTATTTATGAATCACTAATATACCAACAGAAAAATATTCAGATAACAATTAAGATTAACAATTTTCACCTTATACGATGATTGTTGGAAATTAATTATCATCAATTTTTGAAAGAAAAATTAATGTAATTTAATACTGATTGTAATCTAATCATTATTGTTGTTGATTGTTTACCATCTTGTTTTGATTGATGTCAAATTGTGAAAATTAACTTTACCGTAAATAAATAACCATTAACTTAGCCTTGGGTGTAAAAGTTTGTGTATTTAATTTGATTGTTACAATTTAATCAGCAGTTTAAAAAAAAGTGAAACAACAAACTAAAAACAGGAATCTGCAAAATTAAATCAATTTAAAGTAATAAAAATAATCAAACAATCAAATTGTATTGGTTGATATCAATACAAAGTCAACAATTTAAATAGTAGTTAACATTTACCCAAAGACCTTGTGGTTACAATACTAATCTAACTGTAACAATTAAAGTGGAAATTGATTGTGATTAAAATTTCCGATATATTAGATACGATTTAAAATTAATCCTAATCAACAATCATCTCAAGATTAACACCATACAATTGTAAATTGCTACCAATGATTATGATTTGCTCAAGGAAGAGAAATATTAATTTGCTCATTGAAAAATGATTACAATCAAGATTAACCTTTTAATTGTCATCAACTAATCAATCAGATGATTTAAATATGCAATCACATTTGTTAACCTGTTAACCTTTTAAGTGGATTAGACAACAATTAAACGTTAATTGTGGTACAGATATTAGAGTAAAGAAAAATAAATTGAAACCCTAACACTTGAAAAGATTGATTTGATTGTCAATTAAGAGGAAATTGATAAATCAAAATTACTACACATTGAAACAATTAGATTTAATCATCATCATCATCAACCTACCTACATTATGATGATGATGATTAACCGGCATCTTGTTTCCTATTGTTATACATAAATATTAAATTAATTGTTGATTAACAATTGTTATTGATACACAAACATAAATCATGGCTGACAATGGGATCGGTAATTAATTGTTGATAAAAAAACAAAACCAACTGTCTCCTTTAATTGTGTAGTATTATAATTATGTTAATTGTTCTTGATCATCTCCATCATTATCAACCTGATCATCATCATCATATTAATTGTAATTGAAATTAACAAATGGATAACATGAAATAATAATTATAATGAAAAAAAAAGACAACAAATAATCAACTAACAATTAAAGGTGATCTTTACTGTCTAATCTAATCATCGTCATCGTTACATCAATTATAATTAACACTTATCATCTCAGTATTTAATAAATTGATTTGTTGGTGAAATATAATGTAGGTACAGAGAGAGAGAGAGAGAGAGATGGGTAAAAAAAAGGTTGATTGTTAACAATCAAATCTAATTGTGGTTGCACAATTTTCATTAAATCATGTCGATTGAATAATTTGGATAATATTATTGGGATAAAAAAGAGACAATAAAAAAGTTTGAAATGAAACTTGAAACAAGATAAAAAAACTAACTTGAAGATTATTTTAGTTTGTTGATTGTTGATGATGCTAATTGTGTAAAGTTGTTGATTGTTGATTGTTGATCACAATGATGATCAACAGTTGACAAGTTTGAAAGTTGATTCTGTTTTTTTTTGTTTACACTTCAAACCTGACTGACCGAAAACAGTTACCACTCTAATTGCGTTGACTTTAATTTTCGAGAGTTTCATCTTCATCATAATACTTTATCATCATCATCAGTATATAATTATAAGATGATGAGATGATGATGATGATAAATCTGAATCTAATGATAAAAACAATAAGATGATTATTTGGTTTACCTTTAAATTTGCAACTCTTTCATTGAGAATCTTGAAGATACATTTAAATGTTGCCAGAAATATTAATCTGACAAAATCATCAACATTATCATTAAACAACAACAACAACAACAACAACAACATCATCATCATCATCATCATGATCCACCCATGAATATCTATTCAGGTATTAAAAGATAATGATGAGATGAAGTTGAATCTTTGAAACTTTGTTCAGATTCTGGTTCTGTTTAACCAATATAATAATCAATCAAAAAGATTTTGATAAATTGTTGTTAGTTAATCACTTAGTTTTTTTTTAATTCTTTCTTAAAATTAGAACATCAATTTTTTCTGCTCATCAACATCATCATCAAGGTAAATTAAAACATTGGAGTTTAGTATCAATCTTTTATCATGAAAAACCTTTCCAATTATTCATTATGATTATGATTGCACATTGATTACAATTCAGATCATCAAGAAAAAGGCGTCAATCTAATATAACCTGTAACGGCCATTATCATTTACTATCATGTTGATTATGATTACTATTATTATCGTTATTGTTACTATTAACAATTAATGAGAGACAATTCCTGGATAAGGTGAGGGTAAAAAAAAACAGTAAATTGTTGGTTACTTTTTGATTGTATTGGTGTACAATTAAATTCATTTTCTGATTAACTTTGATTGTAAAATCTTTTTACTTTCAATTGGTGATTTGATTGCCAACAATTTGGTTTCTTTTCTGGAGATTTTTTTCTTGATCAACTAATTGGCAAGGTGCTAATGTGTTAATACCTTTGTTATCGTGATTATCATGATCATCATTACCATCATCAACTGATTATATAATAATAATAGTAATTTACTAATTGTTGTAAGTTGATTAGATTTTGGAAAAATAAAAGGCAATCAGAAAAGGTTGAGATCACAATTTGAAGATTCATTTTTTTTTTCCTTCAAAGTATTTACCTTTTAATTGTTCAAGCTAATCAATTGATTTAACCATTTGATTGTGATAATGATGATTAAAATCTTAACAATTATTATTATCATTATAATTAGTTCACTTTTTCAACAGTTAACAATTATTTTTGATTAAAAGGTTAATCAATCTTACACCTCGAGCTTAATTTAACTTTTTTCAGGTTAATGTGAAGTTGAAGGTTTTTATTAAAGGTCTTAATTGAAATGAATTAAGAAAATTTTGGAAACAATTTAAATTTATCTGATTATAAATTAAATTCTCACAATTAGTATGATCAAAATATTGTGTACTTGATTAATTCAGATTATTGTCAAAGAGAAATGAGTTAATTGTTGACCACATAGAGAGAGTTGATTATTAATCTGTGAATCAAGTTGATTGTAATTCAAACTAAAGATTTAGATTATTTTTTTTTTTTGATGAATTAAGATTTAGCTTAATGGTTGTGAAAATGATTTGATCAACTATTAATAACAATTAACTAACGATGCTAATGAATAATCAGAAAAGGGATGAATGAGTGATCATCATCACACAATAATTATTTCATTGAGTTGATATAAATTATATTGATTATTCAAATCAATCGCTGGACTGATTTAGGTAATTGATGATGCAGAAAATGAAGTTACATGATTTTGTTAAATTTCATCTTCACCGATGCAAATGATTTTGATTGTATGTATGAATGTTGCCTTTAACTACTACTGTAAAGATAAATCATCACAATTAAGGCACAACAAGAAAGAAGGGCAATCCTTAATCAATTCAGATTATTATGATTATTACGATTGATATTTGGTAATGATCATGATAATCATTATCGACTTAATTGTAATTATATATATAAATTTATCTTTGTCTGAATTTTTTTAGGATCAGGGCTTGAGATTTTTACTTTTTCTTTGATTGTGTTTCAAGTTGATTATTATATTAATCATCATTGGTGAGTTAATAGTGTAGGCGATTAACTGACACACAAATTTAGTTGATTATTATTAGAATTTCTTACCTTCAGCAATTAAGGTTCTCTTCTCTTCTTCGGTTAATATAACGGCAGTTCCACTGGCCGCATTTTTGGGCTGAACTGATATTAATGTCGAAACCGCTGCCGCTGTGCTCAAGTTACGGACATTTTTGGACGAACCTGAATTATCCCGTTTGGAGGTTGAATTTGAGGTTGTTGTTGTTGTTGGTGGTGGAGGTGGTGAAGCTGAGGGGGTGGTTGATGATGTTACTGGGGTGATTGAAGAAATTGGTGTTGTCGTTGAAGATGAGGACAAGGGTGAAGAAGATGGAGATGATGATGAACCAAGAGGTGAAGGTGCAGCGGAAGATGATGTTGAAGAGGTTGAAGAAGATGATGAGAAAGATGAAGATGAATTGGATGAAGATGAGGGTAAAGATGAGAAAGTAGATGATGATGATGATGAGATCGTTGATGCTGGTGAAATTGATGAGGAAGATGAAGAGGTTGGTGAAGGTGTTGAGGTTGGTGAATTGGTTGAATTATTGTTATTATTATTATTTGAATTACTATTATTATTATTACTATTATTGTTATTTGAATTATTATTTGTTGTTGAGGTCACTGATGATGATGATGATCCGGTGGTTGTTGTTGCCGATAATGGTGAATGAGTTGATAAGATGCTATTATTGTTACGTGATTTACGTCCAGTAGTCCGACCAGTGGTGGTTAATGTTGATGATCGTGTCGTTGATGAGTTATTTGTGGTTGAGTTAGTTGTTGTTATTGCTGCTGCTAACAGTGAAGGTGTTGATTTTAAATGATCACTTGTTAAATTATCAATATTGTTGTTATTTTCATTGTGATTATTTATCCCAAATAATGAAGACAAACTATTATCTCTTGAAAGTGTTGGTGTTGTTGTTGATTGAATTGAAGGTGTCAAAGTGCTAGACTGAAATAAACTATTACCACTGTTACTATTACTTGGTGTTGACATTTCACAATCTGACCCAGAATTTGATCCTGGGGGAGTGGGTGGTAATCCAGTGAAAAGGTAACATTGAATGGACGGTGAACATTCAGATTCAATGTCCAAATCTGTGCCATATTCAATAAATCATACATAAGATAATATATCAGAAAATAAGGAACAAGAAAAAATAATATTATTTTAAATTATTTCAAATTCTATTCAATTAAAGTTCAGGGTGAAAGTTAATTCAGGTATTCAGCACACACACACACACACTGAGTGTGTGTGTGTGTGAGTCTTGGGCATCGCCGTCATCGGGAACATCTCAATAAGTTGGAAATTGTTGCTTGAATTTTTCAAAAGCAAGAGAATTTACTTTTCTCTCTTTCTTTTTTTTTCTCTTTCTTTCTGTTCCTATTGAGAGCCTGAAGTTAATAATCACGTCTGAGACAGGTAGGCTTCTCAGGTAAGTTCTGCTTAGCTGAAGAGAAGGTAACTTGAAAATTGCTGATGATGAGAACTCACGGCGAAGGTTGCTGACCTTCTTACCAAATGTTATTGACTCAAACAGGTCTTTTTCTTTCGGTATCTCTTTCGACCTTTCTTTCTTCCCTTTCTATCTCATATTCTGTCTCTTTCTTTTTTTTCTCTTCTTCTTCTTTCTAAATCAGGACTAAATAACAAAAACGAGTTCTCATCCTTTTCCCGATCTCCCCTTACCCCTCATCACCCCTCTAGCAAATACTTTTTTGCTTTCAGCTTTTGATATTTGCTGGTGTAAAACTCTCAATGTTTTATTGGATCTGCTACACTTACCTTTGAAAGATGATCCATGGGATTCAATGGTTATATCATTTGATGGATAATCATCAGTCAATGTTGAGCCACTATTAAAGTATGAGTGTTCCGATTGCACGGTTTCTGACATGAGTCGATCGTTTAAAATGATCACATTGTAACCACGATTATCTGAATCATTCCATTCCTTTTGATGGTTGAGAAAATGAGAATATTGAGAAGAGATAATTTAAAATGATCGAAAATGTTTTAAATTGAATCATTACGATGGTTCATTTTCAAATTGTTTCAATGTAATTAACGGAAATTACGATTGTTATGTTACAAGTGAAAATGAAATCAATCAAATTGTAATAGAAAACAAAGACAGAGGAAGAAAAGAAAACGCCGAAAATTAAAAGGAAGGATAGAGTTTAAAAGGAGAAAAATAGTTGATTGCAATTAGTTACAAGATTAATTTGCTTTTTCTTTTCTACAAATAAATATATTTTCTTTGCAAAAGAATAGAAGAAACAAAAAAGTTCTACTTACATATTGAGATTGACTGAGAATCTCTGTGTCCATACTAGAATCGTACATGAAGATGTCATTTATTGATCCTAAATCGGCATCCATTTTAAATCGATGGGCTTTGCTTTTATTTTGGTGTATATATTTGATCACTTATACCGAGAGAAAAAAGTAAGAGGGACAGAAAGAGAGAGAAAAGAGCAAAAAAACTAAATCAACTTTTTAACTTGTTCAATGAGAGACACACTTACAAATACTTGTTACCTGTTAAATCAAATCAAGTTGCGCAAACGTTTGAGAAACGAGTTACTCTCAACGTGATTTTACCTGAACGAATTTCGCATTCTTGGCCTGTGCTTCCATCTAGTGGTTGCGAACATGTTTAGGTTTGGTTGGGTTTCGATCGGAAACATTTTCTTCACTTTCTGATGCTCTTTTTGTTGCTGAATGAAATCTTGAAAACTCAAACAGTTATCAAGTATATTGATAATATCCCATCACTTGCCCTGAGTATTGATAAGTTGGAAATGATATTAAAAGAATTTCTTTTAATTCGAATTCATTATCGAATTGAGATTTACAGGCAAGAGAAAAACTCACGTAACGCTAATTGGACTCTTGACATTAAAGGTTCACCGGGTAATTTGGGTTCACTGTTGAAGATACTTTGTACTCCGTCAATGATAATACTTCGGGTTTGATTTCGATAAAAGTTATTGGTTCTGATGTTCCTACTATCGGTGTTGCTTATATAAATAAAATTCCAGATAAACCGATAATTTTGAATCAAGTGATTTATTGTTGAAAAATTTAGTATTTTGATTCGTTATCTTTAGTTTTGATTGTATTATTTAATAAATTTTCATGATGGACACATGGATTACAAACAGCCTGTTAATATGCTGCGGTTGATTGTTGAGTTACAAGGTGGTGAGCTCCATACAACTGAACTGGTTCGCTTGTCGTATTTGGGATGAACTACACGATTAGTTTTGAATATCTCGACCAAGTCAATTGTGTAATCATAACAGGGGAAAATCTCGTGTATTTGTCTTTCCCGAGCTCGACGTGGTTTTGCAAATTGTGCATCTAAGGCCACTATTAACGCATCACCTTTAGCCCAAGAGGGTATCAATTTTCTTGGTCGTTCCTCGTCATCAGTATCATCATCAGACTTTATATCACTTATATCATAATTAACTGGAATTGATTTAGGCTTCGGTTTAGGAGGTGAAATTTGGTAACTGTAAGATAAAGATAAAAGATTGTTATACACTTGTTGATTTGTCAAATACAATTATATTTACCTTTCAAGTTCCATTGGTTTCCGTTTTTCCACGGCTTCTTTTTTTAAAGAAAACGTTCCATTTAAGGGCAATTGTGTTACACATTGGTTTCCACAAGGTGTTAGTGGCACAGGTTGTTTTACTAAATGGCCTTTTTGAAGGTTATTATTATGTTGAGCGATCATCTTGAGAATTTTATCTTGCTGTATTCGAATACGTTCACTTTCTTCCTTTTTCTGTTTAATTTGCTCCTCTTGCTTTACAAGACGAGCCTTTCGCTCTTCTTCTTCTTGTTGTTTTCTTAGATCGAACACTTGTTGCTTCTTTTTAGCTGCTTCATGAGTTTTTTGAAGGTCACGTTTCCGAGTCTCTTCTTTTTCTTTAATCCGCTTTTCAATCTCTTCCAGTTTAGATTGTTCCTTTGCACGTTTTTCTCTCAACTCTTCTTCCTCCTTTTTCTTAATTTGTTCAATCCTTTTTCTTTTCTCTTCGTTTCTCAATTTGGTCATCTGGGCTTTAATCTTGAGATTTTCTTGCTTGTTTTGAATAACTTTCTCCTCTTTCTCTTTCATTTGGGCTAAATTAGCTTTTCTCTTCTCTTCTTCCTCTAATCTTCTCTTAGCGGCAGAAGCGGTTAATTTTGGGGTAGATTTGATCACCTTTGATTTTTGAGGTGGTGAGAAACTTTGTTTACGTTTTTTCAAAATCCATTCACTTTCAATTGAATTTTTAAGCGTAGCAACATGTTGTTTCCAAAATTCATCAATTGAATTCAAAGCTGAATCGACGAAATCACAGCCGAGTAAAGAAGCCCAAGTTTTCATTATAAAATGTCCACTTAATTAAAAACCACTTGTTTGAATAAAGACTTACAGGTTACCTTAAACAAAACAAAGAAACTAAGCGGTTATCGAAAAAGCGCGAAAATAGGGACCATTCATACATTACAATCATCTCTAAATCAGTTACCACAAGAACCCTTTTCTTTATGCCCCATTGTCCACTTCCAATGTGCAACAATTTACTTTGGGCTAATTGGTTACCAAACAATTTGAATCAAATTGTCTTATTAGGAACAAGTTTCAATTCTCTGGTCAACTCTTTCATCTCTAACGACCAACAAGCCGAATACTCTTATTTAATTGGCATCACTGAAAGTAAATTAATCGATGAATTTAAATTGGATCCACCTCGAGATATTTACGAAGCTTTTAATGATTTAAGTGTCCATTTTTTCACTCAAATCAACGATGTTGATGAACATACGAATTTACTATCGATTGCTAATTGTGATCCAAAAAAGAAACCAATCTATTCAGATGATATATTCTCAAAAGAAATGGTCATCTATTGACATGGATAGTGAAAAAATGCCAAATCATTACCAACAATTCACTGGAAAATTAAAATGAAGACTAGAGAATTGTATTCACTTCCAGGTTAAATGAAAAAAGAGTAAACAGCCTGAACTGACACAATCAATTGTTATTGTTTATTGACACAATCGTCATTTATTTAATAACTGATTGTTTAATTTTCGTTTTCTTTGACTCCATTTCTTCTTGTACATTGTGTATAACATCATTGCTGCTTTCGCATCTTGAACAGAATCGTGTTCACCACACTGAATATTAGCACCTAAAAGTTGACTTGTTAATCGTTTAAGTGAAGGTGTTTTACCTTTCAACATTTTCTTAAAATAAATTGCTGTATCTCTGATTCGGCTTTTAGGAATAATATGGTCTAAGATAAGAACCCGAAGATCGTTTCGTAAAGCATGACCAACAAGAATTCGATTTTTAGGACTAACTATATCGTAAACTTCTTTTTGAACTGTCTTGAAATCTTCTCCATTGGCAATGTCCTCTGGTCTAATACCACTGACTGATGTTCGGTAATCGGTAACTGGTTCAAGTGGCTTAACATATTTATCGTAAATACAGTTACCAAATTGATTAACAAGTGAGACTCGAGCTAAAACTGATTGTTTTCCTTGCTCACCAACACCAACCATCTCACAATCCATGCCAACCACGAGTTAACTATTACAAGTTTCACCATCAACTCAGCCTGAGCAGTTTCAGCGGACTGCAACGGCAGCTCATCCTTTCTTCGATCAGGATCCTGTAGAAGAACAAATTCATTTTAACAGTTGTTTCAAGGAATTTCTCGAGAAAGTTTTCCCAATCTAAGAACTTCTCTTTACGAGCATCCACCACATTAAACCAATCAAGAGGAGCTGTTATTACATGGAATAACAATGTCTACAAATTCCATGAGAATCAGTTACAGAAAGCAATTACGGGATATTGACATGAAGCCTCAGTTAGAGTTATACTAATGTGATCAGTAACAACAAGAAGTCAGTCTCAGCAGCTTAATTTGATTGGTAAATGTACCAGGAGTGAATCACTGGCAATTGGAGTGTCCATGTAGTGAGTATACTTAAGAATAATGTTGAGCTTGTACCCCAGATAAAACAAACATTGGCTGATCAATGGTAAATAATAGCTCGAGCAAATTAGCAATTCTCCCAAGTATGTCAAGGTTAATTAAGAAACACCATCATTTCGTTCGTTTATAAACATATTGTTCCATTTGAAACCATATTTTAGTCTCAATGTGAGTGTGACAGAAAAGAAACTTGGACACATCATCCAAAATGAAAGAGAAGCTAAACCAAAACATGGTAATAGATAATTAAATTATTAAATTCAATAGAAATCAAGAATGAAAACAGTTAATTAAGAAAAAGATGAAACAATTCGATTCCAAACGTGGTAATTGGAGCCAAATTACAAACATTTCAAAGGAAGAGAAAGAAAGAGAAAACAAGAGTTGTTTACAAGAGGAAATCAAAGAGGAAGAAGAAAGCAACAGTCGTATGAAAGAAAGGAAATTGTAAAATATTATTGAAGTAATAACTTTCAATGTTTAATTTTCGTTTTCTAACACTTCATTTTCTTGTTAATTATGTTTTCCTTGATTCCGTTTTCCCATTTCTTCTTGTACATTGTGTATAACATCATTGCTGCTTTCGCATCTTGAACAGAATCGTGTTCACCACACTGAATATTAGCACCTAAAAGTTGACTTGTTAATCGTTTAAGTGAAGGTGTTTTACCTTTCAACATTTTCTTAAAATAAATTGCTGTATCTCTGATTCGGCTTTTAGGAATAATATGGTCTAAGATAAGAACCCGAAGATCGTTTCGTAAAGCATGACCAACAAGAATTCGATTTTTAGGACTAACTATATCGTAAACTTCTTTTTGAACTGTCTTGAAATCTTCTCCATTGGCAATGTCCTCCGGTCTAATACCACTGACTGATGTTCGATAATCGGTAACTGGTTCAAGTGGCTTAACATATTTATCGTAAATACAGTTACCAAATTGATTAACAAGTGAGACTCGAGCTAAAACTGATTGTTTTCCTTGCTCACCAACACCAACCATCTCACAATCCATGCCAATCGCACGAGTTAACCGATTACAAGTTTCACCATCAACTTCAGCTCGAGCAGTTGGTTTAGCGGCTTCTGCAACGGCAGCTTCCTCCTTTCTTCTTGATCAGGATCTCGTAGAAGAACAAATCACTTTTAACAGTTGTTTCCCAAGGAATTTCTCGAGAAAGTTTTCCTCGCAATCTAAGAATCTTGAGCATCCACCACATTAAACCAATCGAAAGAGGAGCTTTATTACATGGAATACCAATGTCACAAATCTAAGTGGAGAATCATAGAAAGCAATTACGGGATATTGACATGAAGCCTCAGTTAGAGGTTGATGGTCTAATCGTGGATCAGTAACAATAAGAAGTCTTGGTTCTGAAAAGCAGCTTGAATTTGATTGTAAATGTACCAGAGTGAATCTACCGGCAATTGGAGTGGCTCCAGTGTAGTGAGTATATTTAAGAATAGCTCGTTGAGCTTGTGTACTCGAAGAGATAACACAAACATCGGCTGGATTTTCAATCAATAAAAGCTCAAGCATTGCAATTTCTCCCAAGTATGTCGAAGGTTAATTGAAAACACCATCATTTCGTCGTTTATAAACATATTGTTCCATTTGAAAATCAGCATTTTAGCTCCAATGTGAGTGTGACAGGCAGAACTGGACACATCATCTTGGGTAATTAAAGAGAAGTAAACCTCCGACATGGTGGTAATAGATAATTAAATTATTAACTACACAGAAATCAAGAATGAAAACAGTTAATTAAGAAAAAGATGAAACAATTGACCTAAACGTGGTAATTGGAGACCAAATTCACAAACATTAACAAAGGAAGAGAAAGAAAAAGAGAGAGCAAAACAATAGAGTTGTTTACAAGAGGAAATCAAAGAGTGAAGAAGAGTTGTCAGTCGTATGAAAGAAAGAGAAATTGCAAAATATTATTAGCAATAACTTATCGATGTTTAATTTTCGTTTTCTATCGACTTTCCATTTTTTCTTGTTAATTTATGTTTTCCTTTGATTCCGTTTTCCCATTTCTTCTTGTACATTGTGTATAACATCATTGCCGCTTTCGCATCTTGAACAGAATCGTGTTCACCACACTGAATATTAGCACCTAAAAGTTGACTTGTTAATCGTTTAAGTGAAGGTGTTTTACCTTTCAACATTTTCTTAAAATAAATTGCTGTATCTCTGATTCGGCTTTTAGGAATAATATGGTCTAAGATAAGAACCCGAAGATCGTTTCGTAAAGCATGACCAACAAGAATTCGATTTTTAGGACTAACTATATCGTAAACTTCTTTTTGAACTGTCTTGAAATCTTCTCCATTGGCAATGTCCTCTGGTCTAATACCACTGACTGATGTTCGGTAATCGGTAACTGGTTCAAGTGGCTTAACATATTTATCGTAAATACAGTTACCAAATTGATTAACAAGTGAGACTCGAGCTAAAACTGATTGTTTTCCTTGCTCACCAACACCAACCATCTCACAATCCATGCCAATCGCACGAGTTAAGAGGTTATTCGGATCTTTCGAATTGACATTTTCATCGACGGTTTCATTGGCCTTTTGATTGGACTGATCAATAGACGGTTCATCGGATTGTTTATCAGGCTCGTTGGAATAGTTTTCGTTAAGTCTATCGTGAGATTTATCATAATTTTCATTAGATTTTTCATTTGATCCATTGTGAAAACCATCTCTTTCAACGTTTCTTTTATTTCCTCCAAAAGTTTCTCTGAACAATTCCTCCGGAATACGAAAATTGAATTGACTGTTTAGATTAATAGTGCTGAATTTTTTCTTGCCTTCAACGGATCGATCCTCATAATAAGAATCATAAACTTTCTTGTATCTATCTAAAAATTTTATAAGAGAAAAGAAACATAAACAGAGAAGATAAGTGATGAGAAGACAAAAAGATAGAGACAGAAAGGAGAAAAAGTTCACTGAGATGATGAAGAGTATTAAAAGAAAACAGGAGGATAAGTAATAGAATTGAAATGGTGAGAAAAAAATGATTATAATTACCATTGGTCAAGACTTCATATGCTTCACAAATTTTTTGAAACCTTCTTTTAGCTTCGTCCTTATTATCCGTCCTCATGTCCGGATGCCATTTAAAACCAAATTGTCTAAATCTAAAAGCACGAATGAATTGTTATCAACCAAATTAAAGCAAATCTCACAATTCCAACGCTTTAAAAACAAACAAAACAAGTAACAATTACAAACTTACGCTTTTTTAATTTTAGATTTCGATGAATCTTTCTTGACACCGAGAACCTTATAATAGTCAATCATTGTGCTAAACTAAAGGAAAAACAGTCAAAACAAGCAAAACAATTAACAATTAAAATGGAAACAAATTAAATCAAAACAAGACCACATGAGTTACTTTTCCTCTTCTCTGGCGCCTCTTCAGGGAAAGAGTAAAACCAAAAAGAATTTAAATTCGAACCACCAGATGGAGACTGATCGTATAATACGATTCATATTCTAACCTGTGATCTTTGGCTCATTTACGATCCCGTTTTCACCGAATACGAGAAAAAAAATTTCTAATCGAAAATGGATTCAATTTGATTGATGACAATGAGAAAGGAGCTAAATCAGTTACCACAAGAACCCTTTTCTTTATGCCCCATTGTCCACTTCCAATGTACAACAATTTACTTTGGGCTAATTGGTTACCAAACAATTTGAATCAAATTGTCTTATTAGGAACAAGTTTCAATTCTCTGGTCAACTCTTTCATCTCTAACGACCAACAAGCCGAATACTCTTATTTAATTGGCATCACTGAAAGTAAATTAATCGATGAATTTAAATTGGATCCACCTCGAGATATTTACGAAGCTTTTAATGATTTAAGTGTCCATTTTTTCACTCAAATCAACGATGTTGATGAACATACGAATTTACTATCGATTGCTAATTGTGATCCAAAAAAGAAACCAATCTATTCAGATGATGTATTTTCCAAAGAAATGGTCGTAAATTAACTGTGATTGTCATTGAGAAACCATATGATTAGTTAATTGGTCTCATTAATTACAACTGTCAGTTGATTGTACTAGTAGTATCACTTATGCTAATACACTTACAATGATTTTCGCATCTTGTTCACACTGAATATTAGAACCTACAAGTCTTCCTGTTAATAGTTTAAGTGAAGGTGTTTAACTAGCAGCATTTTTTAAGCACTTTCGAAGTGCAATTTCTATCGCTTTTCTTCATGAGAGGTACAATAGTTTTGATTTGATGAATTAGTTTCTATTGATTATCTTTCAGAATTATCTGATTATCAACCTGGAATCTTTTAATAATTAACTGAATGGTTTCTTCTGGTTCCAAGCAAAAGATTAATTTGTAAAATAAGTGACGAATTCCCCAAGACGAGAAAGAATCAACATCGATTGAATCGGAAAAGAAAACGATTTGATTATATTTCTTTCTCAGATTTAACAATTGAACTAATCAAATATGAATGATATGATAAATGATTAAGAAAGTGTTATTTTCTTAACAATTAAATGGGTAATTATAATGATTAACTTATTCTACACTTCAGATCGTGTTGTTATTTCTTCTATTTTTTTCAATTTCTTTTTTAGCTTCTATTTCTTCTGATGGATTTACTCTTGTTAATCGGCAAAGGAAAAGTAGATGGAGAAAGTGTTCCAATCAATCATCATCTCTAAATTATTTACCAATTGACATGGATAATGAGACAATTCCTAATGATTATCAACAATTTACTGGAAAATTAAAGTCAAGACTAGAGAATTGTATTCACTTCCTGAATAAAAGTCGATTTACTGATCAAGTGGCTCAATGTTTATCAAGAAACAAACAAAAGTTTAACTTACCTGATGGAGAAACTGACACAATCAATTTAGTTAATCAACAAATCAAACAATAAAACTTTTGTAACCCATTTCGTTTATTGTAATTCTAAATTTGTTTAATTGTCTGGCAACATTTTCTTCAGCGAGTTGCAAAGGATAAATGAACGGGATAGAATGATAAATATCAACAAAATAAAGTGTAATTGAAATGAAGTAAGAAATCAAATCATTAAAATAACATTTGCCCAAAAAATAAAAATTGATTAAGGACAAAAGTTGACGATGCCTTTGGTGAATTTGATGATTACGATAAAACTCTCTCTATCTCTCTCTCTCTCTTTTCAATCGAGTGTCGAAAATGTCCCAAAAAGTCAATAGGCTTCATTAATGGTAATAAATATGAAACATCATTTACAGTTGACCGACGGGATTGGAAAGTGGCCATTTTCACATTGACATTTGGTGAAAAGGAAACAAATACTCAAACACAATTTAATCAATATTCATGTACGATGATAGTGGATAACTTTTCTTATGAATAAAAAATTAATATTTTAGATATCATCTGTTATCATGCTATAGTTGATTGTTGAGTTACAGGGTGGAGAGCTCCATACAGCTGAACTGGTTCGCTTATCGTATTTGGGATGGACAACGCGATTAGTGTTGAATATCTCGATCAAGTCAATCGTGTAATCATAACAGGGGAAAATCTCACGTATTTGTCTTTCACGAGCTCGACGTGATTTCGCAAATTGTTTATCCAAAGCCGCTATTAACGCATCACCTTTAGCCCAAGAGGGTATCAATTTTCTTGGTCGTTCTTCATCATCAGTATCATCATCAGACTTTATATCACTGATATCGTAATTTACTGGCATTTGTTTAGGTTTCGGTTTAGGTGGAGGTGTAATTTGGTAACTAAAATGCAAAGGTAAAAACAAAATTAGATCAATGAAACAATTAAACAGGTAAATCAAATTAATTTTTTGTTTCGCTTGTTGATGATTCGTTAACTACAATTAAATTTACCTTTCAACTTTTATTGGTTTCGCTTCTTTTGTCGCCGATTCTTTTTCGCTCTTCGCTGATTCTCCTTCTTTTTTCACTAACTCTTTTTCGTTCATTACTGATTCTCCTTCTTTGTCAACGGAAAATGTTCTATTCAATGGTAACGCAGGTTGAACTTCACTTGGTGTTGGTGGCAAAGGTTGTTTGAATGTACCAGGATGATCAACTTTTTGCTGTGTTGCTGAAGTGTTTTGGCCTTTCTGGAAATTACTATTATGTTGAGCGATCATCTTAAGAATTTTATCTTGTTCTATTCGAATACGTTCATTTTCAATCTTTTTTTGTTTATTTTGCTCCTCTTGCTTCAAAAGACGAGCTTTTCGCTCTTCCTCTTCTTGTTGTTTTCTCAAATCAAATTCTATTTGTTTCTTTTTAGCTGCTTCTTGGTTCCTTTGGAGTTCTCGTCTTCGAGCTTCTTCTTTTTCTTTTCTACGTTTTTCAATCTCTTCCAATTTAGATTGTTCCTTTAGACGTTTTTCTCTCAACTCTTCTTCCTCTTTTCTCTTCATTTGTTCAATTCTTCTTCTTTTCTCTTCGTTCTTTAATTTCGTCATCTGGGCTTTAATCTTGAGATTTTCTTGCTTATTTTGAATCACTTTCTCCTCTTTCTCTTTCATTTGGGCTAAATTAGCTTTTCTCTTCTCTTCTTCCTCTAATCTTCTCTTAGCGGCAGAAGCGGTTAATGTTTTTGTATCTGGGGTAGTACAAGTTTTAGGAATTGGTTTTTTCCCTTTAACTGAATCTGATCGACCCACTGAAGCAATTGTAGCCTGTGAACTGGCGATACTACTTCCACTTGTTGTTGTACCATTTGAAGATTTGGTAACAGAAGATGAAGCTTTAGTTAAAAGACTAATCTTTGTTTTTCCGATTTCCGGTGTAATCTTGTTGGCTGTTGCTCGAGTTATTCTTGATGATTTGTGAGGTATTGATGGTGTAAAATATTCAGTTTGTTTTCGTTTTTTCACTGTTTTGACCTTGTGACTTGAATTGGGAGACTTTTTTAATATCATTCTTTGATAAGTTTCATCTCCAATTGAATCAATACTTTCAAATGAATCATCTGTTGTCCACTCACTTTCTTGTTTAATTTCAGAAGATTTGGTTGGTGGTTGGTTTTCATTGTTACTTTCAACTGGAGAAATTTCCTCGTCTTTCTTGGCTCGAGCTCTGGTCACTCTCGGCTCACTTCCTTGTTTTGAAGTGGATAAACTTAGTATAACAGAATAAGAAAAACAGACAGTTAAAGAAACAGAAGAAAAGTAAAAGAATGAGACTCACCTCAATTCACGGGTAAATTTTTCAATTGTATTTTCAAGAGTAGCAACATGTTGTTTCCATAATTCACCAAGTGAATTTAAAGCTGAATCGACGAAATCACAGCCGAGTAAAGTAGCCCCTGTGGTCATTATAATATTGTAACTAAAAAGCCAATTAATTGATCAATTTCATTGTTGAACAAAACAAAACAAAAACAATTCAATCTAAAAAGCGGTCACTTGACAAGGAGAACCAAAAAGGCGCGAAAAAATATGAAAATAGGGACCATTCATACATTACGTTCATTTCCTTCTTTGGTTCATATAAACTTGTTACTTGGCAAAGGAAAAGTAAATGGAGAAAGTGTTCCAATCAATCATCATCTCTAAATTATTTACCAATTGACATGGATAATGAGACAATTCCTAATGATTACCAACAATTTACTGGAAAATTAAGCTCAGGACTAGAGTCGATTTACTGATTAAACGGCTCAATGTTTATCAAGAAACAAACAAAAGTTTAATTTACCTGATGGAGAAACTGACACAATCAATTGTTTGGCTGCTAATTGCTTTTTAAACCAGTTCAGTGAAATAGTATCTTATGGAATTGGTCATTTCTCATCAAAAAAAGATTCACTCTATCAACTTGCTTTGCTTTTAATTCTCAAGACTGATTGTATTCTAACCTGTGATCTTTGGCTCATTTACGATCCCGTTTTCACCGAATACGAGAAAAAATTTCTAATCGAAAATGGATTCAATTTGATTGATGTCAATGAAAAAGGAGCTAAATCAGTTACCACAAGAACCCTTTTCTTTATGCCCCATTGTCCACTTCCAATGTACAACAATTTACTTTGGGCTAATTGGTTACCAAACAATTTGAATCAAATTGTCTTATTAGGAACGAGTTTCAATTCTCTGGTCAACTCTTTCATCTCTAGCGACCAACAAGCCGAATACTCTTATTTAATTGGCATCACTGAAAGTAAATTAATCGATGAATTTAAATTGGACCCACCTCGAGATATTTACGAAGCTTTTAATGATTTAAGTGTACATTTTTTCACTCGAATCAACGATGATGATGAATATACGAATTTACTATCGATTGCTAATTGTGATCCAAAAAAGAAACCAATCTATTCAGATGATATATTCTCCAAAGAAATGTTCATAAATTAACTGTGATTGTCAAGTTGGTGATTATCTCGGCACCAAAGAGTAGAGAGCTTTTACTCTTTGCTTGGTACACCAATCGATCATCTTAATTTGATTCTCCGTGAGATACTTTATCTATTTATTCACTGTACTAATTAATCATTTGATTTACAGTTACAGCATTTCTCAGTACCTTTCGTCGTGTTATCAAGAAGTTTAGTCGAGTTCCTATTAGATTTGGTCAACCCGAATCACAATTAGTTTTCATTGAGTTTCATATATTACACGTTTCATTTTATTTGGTCAAGTTTTCAAGACAATTGGTCAAATATCTGAATTATATGCGAAAATTGACCAAAGTTCATGTTTACTAAAACTATTAATAGTATTAGGGTGCCCACTTGAAGATTCCCCCCGAAAAAATGGGTTGACCTGGAGAATTTTCGATCGCAGAATTGGACTCGTGGGGTGTTAGTCGATATAAATCCGGAAAAAGTCCGATCAAAAAAGTCCACAAAAAAATTGACGCGATTAAAACCAAAAAAAAGTTAAAGTCTCGATTTGACAAAAAATCATGAAAAATTACTGAATCACCATAAAGTTCAATGATAAAACTGAAATTCTGCGATCGAAAATTCTCCAGGTCAACCCATTTTTTCGGGGGGAATCTTCAAGTGGGCACCCTAATAATTGGAAATGAAAACAATCGAATTATGATTCAAAATCATTTTTTAATTGTCATGAAAATTTGATTCTTCCATTGACCGATTTCTTGTTTATCAGTTGATTCATTTCTTGATCGATAGAAACTAATTTCATCGATTAATAAATCCTCATTCCCTGATTGTAATGTCACAAATACTTCTTGTGGTCCAACCGAAAAGTTGCAAAAATTTTTACCATTTAATTTGTTTGAATATTGGTAAGATTGACTTGGATTAAGTTGATGTTTCTCTTGATCCTCATTACAAGTGAAATCTAATTGATTATCTCCAAGTCCATTGGTAATATGAATTCCTGAATTGAGACGGATTATACTGCTGATTAATCCTTCGCCAGGAAAATCCATGTAAATAATACCAATGTATTCAACCTGATACTTTAGAAGCCAATCCATGATGTAACGATTGATTCGTTTGGCAATTGTGCAAGGATAAGCTCCAGGCGATGTTCCCGAGAGAAAGTTAATCACAAAAGCGTCCGATTGATAGGCCATTAAACGAGCCCGTTCCAAGTGTTCTTGAACTTTAATCCACTTGCTCCCAATGGAGAAAACTGTTGGCACAATATAATCATCTTGGATCAATGTTCTATCCCATGGAACACCATGTAATTGTTTGGAAGGATAATTTCGTAGGATAACAATTTTACCTCGAACATGACCAAGAGGGGCAGTCGAATTACCTGTCCAAATGTAACTTCGAAATGTTGGTTTATTAAGATAATAATCAACGGTATCTGAAAATGATCGGGAATTATCACTTGGGACATATTCCTCTTTGATTCGAACCAATAAAACTTCCGAGGGAAAATCGCCCAAAAAACTGACCATTGATTGAAGCACTTTGTCCATATCTGATCTTTGGTAAATTGGTCCATGGTAAATCTCAAAAATATCGTTAACATGGCGACAGCGAATGTCAAAAGCACGAATACCAACTCTCAATTGAATATCGAGTGACAATACTTGAGTTTGAACAAATGGACCACCATAAAAAGCCATAGTGTCGTGGGTTCCAGGAACGGAGAGATGATTCAAGTAAATGGAATCATTTAAACTGGACATCCAATCCTTTTGGACCATATTGACCCTTCCATCGCGATTAAAGTAAAACTCAATCGGTTTAGTCTTTTGACTTATCACCAAATCGATAATGATGAAAATTAATGTAAATAGATGAACAATTGAAGTGGAAAATTGCATATTAAATAGAAACAATTAATTGAGGGTCTGAATTTAAGATTAGAAAGACAATGGTGATGATTAGAATAGTTAAATAAATGGAAACAATTGAATATCGAAGTGATTTTCATTTCAACAAATTTGAAAATGATTCGCGATTGATGGTTGAAAGTTTTCTCATTCAAACTTTCACTCATTATAATCGACTAGAGTTTGAACAATTTAAATCTGATTGAGATAAAAGAGAAGATAAAAGCTGATAAAACAGAATTAATTCTAATTACTTGAGGGTAACTAATTTATTTAAACGAATACAATTATCTCTCTCTCTCTTCTTAATTGTTTACCATTTCCTTCATCCAAATAGTTCACTAGTTATACTAATTGTTTGGACGGATTGATTTAAGTATTTTATGTTAAACTGATGGTTTCAAGTGTTACTGATTTGATTACAATTTAGTTGATTGTCACTTTCTCTTATTGGTTGGTAGTGAAAGTCTTTCTCAACATATTCCCGATCTTCATCATGAAAATGACTCAACTAGTGTGTGGCAAAATGAAGCAAATTAACTTATTAATTGTTCATCTGCAGAACAATAATAGAGACAATTAATGATGAATTCTCGACGAGAGGCTAAATAATCTCATCAGTATTTTCAAAGTATCGTTACTCCATTAACCTTATAATCATTTCAATAGAAATTGAAAAAGATTTCAATAGTTATCAATGATAACTTATCCTGTGTAGAAAATCAATTAGTCAAACAACAAAAAGACAAAATTTCGACGGTCAAATGACCTTGAAATCCCATGAACGACCTTGTCAAGTGATATTTCAATATGACAATCAAGTATTGTCCAAAGTATGATAACTTGAATTTCAGGTCTAAATGTCCAAAGACGAAAGGAAAATTCAAGAAAAACTTGATTGATTGAAACTTAGTGAATTCCCTGTACAATCAGTGTGATTTAATCATGATTGTGATATTTATGACTGCAAACGGGCAATTGGTTGTTAATTGTTTAAAACTATTTTAATAAGGTTACTGATTGACAATACTTAATTGGTTAATTTAGAGTTAATTGGTTTAGATGAACATTAATTGTTTGTTCACCTTTTTGATCAAAGTGATAAATTTTTAATCCTTGAAACTTTTTAATCAGATGATTCGTCTCAATCAAAATAATAACAGTAATTGTAACCAAGGAAACTAATGAATCTTTTTTGTAATCACAAAATTATTTTCAGTTAATCAGTTTTAATCTAATTGTTTCAATATTCATTTCAGTTTACCATGTTTTCATCCAATGGACCAACAATTAATCAAAGAACATCATCTTCACTGATTAACAATATTCAATCAATAAATAATCATGATAATAATATTTCATTGATTGGAACTGATGATGATCAACTGATTAATCTGAATCTCGAATCATTAAGTTTATCTCCTAAATCACGAAGTGAGACTCGACAAGGCCAAAGAAATGTTGAATCTTCAACTGAATTAACTAATGATTACGAAAATCAATCGAATCACCTATTTACTTCATCTTCAAATGAATCAGTGAGTATATTAGATGAGAGAAAAATCTAATTAAATATCGTTAATTTTTCTTCTATATTTTAGAATAAATTTGAAGGTCGAAAGCGACGTGGGTCACTTTTCGAAGATGACCAAACTGTTCAAGAAGTTCGAACATCATCATCATCATCTTCCCGGCTTTTCTCAATGAAAACTGCGGTAAATCGACCTCGACAATTAATAGAATCGGAAGAAAACGAAACGATTCCATTTATTCCCGATATCGATGAACTAGATGATCCAAACGGTAAAGGATCAACTGATGTTCCAAATAATTTTCTCGTTAATAAACTAATCAGTTTACAAGAACTTGAAACTGATATAATTAACCATCAAGCCTTTTCTAATCTCTGTTCAACCGATTCGACAATTTTATCATCTCGATTAATTGCTCAACCATTGGTCAAAGAAGACGATGTACCTTGGACATGGGACAGTTTGATTTCAGAAGTTTCATCTTATATTGAACCGAACAACGAATAACAATCAAAATATTATCTCAACAAATTGTAGAAATCGATAAAACTACAAATATTACCTTAGATATAAATCTTCCTGAATAATAAGTAAAGTTGATTATTCAATTTATTTATAAAACAAAAAGTTTCAATTGACTGATTTTCTGATCATCAAATCAATCAAATTGGTTTAAACGGAAGTTTAAAAGAAACAATAAAATTGTAACCACAAAACAAAAGTAATCTAATCAATAACTAAATCGAAAATCATATTCAAATTCAAAATGTTAAGAAGAATAATCTCAATCAATAGAAATCGTAATCAAACAAGACAATCTAAATTGTCTAAATTTAGTCAATAGATTGAGAAACTTTTTGTTTGATGAAACAATTAAAGATGTAAAGTTTATATACAATTTTTAATTCCTACCAATCATCTGAAGTCCGATGTGGTCTAGTGGCTAGGATATCTGGCTTTCACCCAGAAGGCCCGGGTTCGATTCCCGGCATCGGAGGAGGAATTAACTTTTGCATTTCATGAGTTGGAATCATTTTTTTATTTTTTGTTTTCTCGTTGATTACAATTGAGAAGTTGACAGTTAGATGATGTTTAATTGATGCTCGATTACAAAAGTGGATAGTTGATTCGAATACACTTGAAATTGTTGTAAATTACATGATAAATTGTATGAAATTATTGTCGTTCAGTTAATTCAATTGATTTGGGTTTCATTTTGTTTGTTTGTTTTTTCTCGTCGAAAAAAAAAGTTTAAATATTATATGTTAATGTCAAATTGATCGTAATCAACAAATTGGGATGGCAAAATTGGGTAGCAATTGATTTGTGTGATTTAAAAACTCATCTTGTTAAGGAGTTGTTGAGGTTTCGATTATTGGATCTTAATTGATTGTGTGTTTGTCTTTTGGTGTTTTTGATTTCACAATAATTAACTCGATTTTCAGATTCTGTATTTCTGATTAGATTACTCATAATTATATACTGATGAGGATTAGTGGTAACAAACATAGTAATTAACTGATAGACACTTAACCATGATTGTTAATTTGATAGATTATCTCTGGTGACCCACAAATCATGTTACCATGTTGGATTAAAATCATTAATCAATTTCTCCAAACATTCACTCTTATTTGTTTTAAATGTTCATTTTAAATTTTTGAGATAGAAAAAGAAAACTAAACAATTTAAATCTAGAGAATTGTAAAGTGAATGTCATAATTATCGTCATAAATCAGAGATTGGTAAATTTTTCTCAGGTAAACCTGGACAATTAACTCGATCACTATTTGACTGATTGAGAAGACTATGATTTAGATCCATCATGGTAACATAATTTGTGGACTGATCTAACAATCAACACCGGTTTCTCTCATTAAACTAACACCATTATCACTTGGTAATTTAAAAAGAGTCTTGGATTGATTACGAAGAAATCGGACAATTATAAAAGACAATAAAGTGATTAGTATTCCACCGGTTAACGTGAACCATTCTTGATTTGGACCCGGTTGTAGGAAGATACGAATTGTTGGACTATCCCAAACGCTTTCAGTCCAAGTGGAATAAGGTAAAGACCAATCGGGCTCATCTTCAATGAAAACAGGAGAAACGGCTTCGGATACGAATACCTGAGATTCAACACATGTACCGTTAGAACTTAATCCTTGGATGAAATGATAATTAAGCCACTGTTGGATGGAAAAGAGAAAAAGATTAATAAGTTTCTTTAAATTTACTATTGCTAAACAATTTACTTACTTGATTTTCTTTCTTTAACTTATCACATTGTTTTAAATCAACTTCGTGTAATATTCCGGTAAAAGTCGCGAGAATTTGAGCAATAAGACTTATCAAAAAGAAATTGCTGGTAACTTGACGAACCGAAACGTATAATGGTAAAGTATTTATTCCTGTATTGATTAAAGAAAAAAGAGATTAAATTAAATGAAAACTGTTCAAATTGTCTGTTAATTAGATTTTGCAAAAATAATTTACCGTCAAATTGAGATGAACTAATATTGAAACCATGTTTAGCGAAAAGGGGACAAGAAGCATCGATTACGAGACAGTAAAGGAGATCGGTGATTGTTTGTGGATCACTTTCGATTGTGGGATCCGTTTCATCGGTTAACATTTTGTAAATTGATTGAGACATTTGTGTAGAAATTGATGTTAAATGTCTGACTATTTGATCATCACTTTTAGAGTCTCTGTTAAATTTAATGTTCTTATAATCATCAGCGATACTATTGTAGTATTTATTTTCGTAGGTTCCATTGTGGTTGGAGATTACAACACCGGGGAGTTTGATATTTTCGCGGAGGAAACTTTGAAAGGACGCTGGTGGTAAAGGATAATCTGGTGGAGATCTGTTGAATGAAATAACTCTCGCCGATTGAAGATTAGCGATTAAATCATCGACGTTTCTTTCAGTTTCAGGATCATTCGTTGAAATTGGATCAGTGTGTAGATAAAGGTCTTCTGATGAGTGTGGTGCTAATTGTTCAAGCTCAATGAAATTAGCCAATTGATCAAGGGTTAGGGTTGTTATATTGAGCTTTTTGAAATCCACCGAGGCGAGAGGTTGAAGAGCTTTATTTTTTAAATCGTAAGCTGTACGACCAGAGCCAATGTAATCAAAAGATTCTCCGTTAAATAGAGAGATTAAAAGATTTCGATTTGATTTTCGATTAGATTCAATTCTAGCTCTTATTTTACCAAGTGTTTCAGCTATTGACAGAATAGTTACCAAACCGGTGATTGGTGAATCAGCTCCTGGTGTTTTGTCAAAGAAAATGGAATATGAATCAAGGCGTGAAGCTAAAACAATCAATGATTTATCGGGCACTGGTTGTGATGGTACAATTGGAATGAGAGGATTGAAAATATTGTAAGAACCCAATGGATCACAGTAATGAATCGCACTGTCGAATTGGAATCCATTGAAATTATTCCGACGCATACAAGTCTTCGAGTCTTTGGCTGCATTCATGCGAACAAACAATTCCGCTGAACAGAGAGGCCAAGAACGTTTGGAATTAGCTTTTGTAACACCGTATTTAGAAATACATTCTTCTATGTTAACAATATCATCTTCTTTCTCAATCAGCAAAGCAGGGAAACTAAAATCTCGATAAAATAATTCTGAGACTGGATTATTTGTAGGATTGTTCCACTCTTGTTTCTTACAATGATCATAATCAGAATAACTACGATTAAATAAACTAGAATATAATCCATATTCATCATTGGGGCAAGATTTATCCGGAGAGAAGACATTAAGGTTAGTGTTGTTTCGCTTGATGACAATTACTCCAGAGACTCGACCAGAATCACGAAAAGATTCCATCAATTTGGTTGATAACAAATCAACACTCACTACAGGTATATAAGGAGGTGTTGCTCCTTTCGAGGTGATGAATGAAACATCATCTTCATCAACGACAGTTGGTGTATCAGACGAATGTGAATTAACTAGATGAAGAACACCAATGGAGCCCGAGAAATCTGATTGACATCCAAACTGATGAGTAGCATTTAAACGGCGGAAACAAAAGTATTTACTCTCAATGGATCGATAAATTTTACCTAATGCAATCCTTTTACTGGTGGAAACTAAAGCCAATACAAGAAAGATAATGTTAAAGATTTGATAAAAGGGAAACAAAATAAAGGATCAAATTAAATGGAAGGTGTTTCCAAAACACATTGTGACTCATAGAGAAAAACAACTTACCCTGTGTTAAGGTGAAAAAGTAAATAAATAAAAGAAAACACTTGAACATGATGAAGGAGAAACGTTAATTGATTGTATCACAGTTTTCTTTCTAAATAAGAATCACCATAGTGTTGATAATTAAATTAATTAAGAGAATTAAATCTCTTTGATTATAATTGTTTGGAATTTTTTTCTCTCTTAACAGATGTTCGCTTAAGAGAACCACAAGATGTCGCTACTTGAAAATGTCTTTTCTTCCAACCGATAGATGGCAGAGTTGGTCAATAGAAATTCAATTAAATCAAATCACCGAAACATTTTAATTATTCAAGTAGAAAATTTATTAACAATATTAGATTATTGGTGGAATTTACAAGCTATTAACTAGTATTAAGATGTGAAAATATTTCAATAATAAATGAGTGGAAGATTGACGGCGAAATTCATGGTAAATGTTGTCTGAAAATTGATGATTGGACAAACGTATGGAGATGATGAGAAGAAAAAAAAAACTTTTGAACATTTTGGTCTTGCAAATTGATTAGCTTTTCAACGCTCGAATGTTTTAATTGTTTGGTCTTGGATCTCGACCTCGGCCTCTACCAAGTGGCCTTGATGTTTCAGGAGTAGGAGGTGGTACTGGTCTAGGCTTTGATTCTAAATTTTTCTGAGGCTTGTAAACTTTAAATGGATCTGAAACTACTGGTTGAGCGCCGGGTAATCTTGGCCTAACGTCGACTCGATGTGATGGACCTGCAATTGGTTCTGTTTCGGGTTCCATTTTGATATCTCTGTTTCTTTCCCGAATATCGGTTGAAGCGAAAACCACCGAATCAGCTGATCTATTAGCTGAGTGAACATCTCGATGTCTACTCGTTCCTCGACCAAGCGTTTCAGTCCAAACAACCGAATGTTGAACTTTAGTTGGTCGTCTTGGCTCATCGAAATCTTCACAATAATATCGCCTCTTGGTAGATGATTTCGGTGGTGGCTCAGTTTCCCATGTGAGCCAATCTTCTGATGTTTTAATTTCTTTCTTCTTCTCTTCGGGTGGCTTGTGTTTCTCTGTTAATTTAAAATCATACAGCTCACTTAATTTCTCAAACATGAGCCAACAATACTTCATGGCAACGGTTATGGCACAATAAGATGATTCGGTGCTAGAATGATATTCACATCGACCATCGTAGTTAAATTTACTACATTCTAGAATATCCAAAAGAAATGCTTTCACCTTATATCCTTTTCTACGGCACAGGAAGAAAAATAATTCCAATACATCAAGCACTTCGATATTATCGGCAAAATCGTTGTAACCTGCTTCCTTTCCAAGCGTTTTAAGGACACCTTTGTTTTGGAAAGTTTGATCAGCTTGACAGAATAGCAATTTAATCGGTTGTTCAGGAGTATCTTGAATCTCATCGATAATTGAATTCACCAGCATATCATGAATATCACAGATCACTCTGTCAAACTCTTCTTTTCTCTGCTCTGGAATATATTCTTGAGTAAGAGGATCCTTACAACAACCTTTGAAAAGGCCGAAATCACTTAGAGGTATATCGTGTTTCTTTGCATGTTCATGGCAAATTCGGGCCATGTTATTGGGAATAGGTCCTGGATCGATAAATTGGTTGAAAGCATAAAGTATTCCATCAGCGATTGTAAATTCAGCGATGCCAATTTCCAATGGATAGTAAATATCTTCGGTAATACAACCATCGACCACAATTTCCTTCCTAGTGGCACACATAACATTAGAAGCGATAATATAAAATTTGGTCTTCAAAATTTTCTCTATATCAGTTTCATCGATATATTTCATTAAAGCGGCAGTAATTTTTTTCTTTCTATTCTGATCTTCAGTAAGAGTTGAACTAGAGGTTGTCGAGGAACGAGATTCAGGCCTAGAAGTATCGGGATCTTCTTTGACTGGTCTTCTATTAGGTTCATTTCTGTGTCTCATGGAGGGTGAAAAATCAACCAACGGAGGTCGAGATCCTGATTTATATCTTTCGTGTTTATCAATGAAAGGTTGTCTCTCTTCAGGTGACATCTTTTTCCATAGATCACCAGCCTTCACATTAATCTGACTCATTGGAGGTACACGTCCGGATTTCCGATGCTCTTTCTCCTGAAGATGATGCATAAACCACCAAAAAGCCGATGATTTAATTTTCCCCATAATCGATTAACTTAAAATAGAACAAAAAAAACAATAAAATAAATAATCAAAATTAGATTGAGACTCGATTGAAATGATCATTACAACTAAATTAAAGCTTGAGTTCAATGTGATTTATGAAAAGGTGATGAAAGATAAAAAAAATACTCACGATGAATTGAATGACAATTAAAATGAATAAAAATTTAACCAAAAGGTCATCCGATTATCAATTACAATTGAAACAAAAGAAACAAATGAAAAGAACTGATTTAATTCGGTTAACAATTAAATTGTTACAATTTGTTAATCTTTAGCTTTAACTCTAACCAAATTCAAGAACTTGTGATCAGCTGGTTCACTTTAATTTTCTAAAAAAGAGATGGCGCTTTTGTCCACCAGAACGAAGTAAATTAAATTGTCATCACTTGATTGTCGCAATTAACTCAGTTTATTTAAAATTTTTATCGCAATTTGAATTAAAGTGAGTGTAATCAAAATAGTTGTTCTAATCACTTGATTAACCGTTTTCGAATCTTATCTTTTCAGATTGGAAGATTTTCTTTTTCTTTGTTGATATAAAATAATTTTCGATTGTTATTGTTTTTCAATTGATCTCATTTAAAATAGATTACAAATGGACCCGAATAATAAGTTGATGGATGAATTGTACCATGAGGATATAAATTATGTTGACCAATCAATGGAGATGGATGGTAAACCTGTTGATTGATGTGATGTTGGTGATAAGCTGATCCATGAGGATGAGATAATAAACCATAAGGAAGTATCATTTTCTGTGATAATTGATTAGTTGCCATTAATTGTTGTTGACCAGCAATTGAAGGGAAGGGTGAAAAATTTGGTGATGGTACTGGAGCTGAAGGTGGAATCAACGAGTGGCCAATTGGTGGATAAAGATGAGAATATGGTGGATAACCAGGGTGGAGATATGGAAGTGCCAATGGAGAGATGAGAGGTGGTGGTGGATGTTGATGAGGAAAAGGATATTGTAGATAAGAATGATTTGGAAAATTTGGAAAACTTTGTGAATTTGATTGTTCCGAATGTGAGCCAAATATATTCAGTGGGGATTTTCCTCTAATCGGAACTGGAACGGGAACTGGAAGTGGTATTGGAACTGGAATCACCTTTGGTCTGATAGAAAAACAGAAACAAAAATTCAATAGAAAAAAGTTTAAACTCATTGATATTGTTGGAAAAACAAATCAAGTGGAATTAATTAAATCAACTAACCTGAACATCGCCATTAGAGCTGCTGAAGCAATTAAACCAGCAATTCCAGCATCGGTTTTCAAAATTACATGGGATAAAATAATTATAGTCACTTGGATGAGAATCAATTGTTTCATTAATTTAACCATTTTCATCAAATTGTCTTTGTGTCAAATTGTTTAGATTGTGTCACTTGGTTAACGAAAAGTAATTTGGTTTAACTCTACCAATGGACCATATCTACACCTTAACAATCAACAATAAACTAAAACTAAATCACAATCAATCTTACAATTTCAATCACTTTCCATCATCAGTTAATTAAATTCATTTGTTTCCATCACTAAAAACAAAGTTAACCCTTTATGGTTCACTGAATCGTCAAATGTGAAACTAACTTTTTTTTTAATTTCTACTTGAAGTTAATCAATTAGGAAAGTAACTAAAAAACATAATTGAATTCAGGATGAATGGAAAGTTAATTAATTTATTTATATCATCGCTTAATCAACTCTGAAGATTTGATAATCATCACATTTCATTTTCATCTGAATCCAAAACCAATTACCTCAAATTACACAACTGATCAATTAAAGAAACATATAACTTTCCCTTTCGATTGAATTTTTTGTTAATTTAATTTTACAATTGATTTTTCATCGCAATCAATTTCAGAAGAAATTAAATTGATCAATAATTAAATTCACAATCAACTTGAAAGTGAAACCACTTTTGAAATTGAAGGAAACAATAACCGGTGAAAGGTTGAAATCGACAGAGAGATTGATTAACAATTAATCACAATTAATCGATTAATCAATTGAATCAATTTCTCCTTTTTTTAAACAGACTGTGAATTAATTGTCGTCTAAATTTCTTTGTTTCCTCTTTGTTTTCTCAATTCATTAATTCAATTGATTTTCACATCTCAGCTTTCTCTCTGTATCTCTCTGTGTGTGTCCAACAATCAGTTAATTATGAAGCCCAAGCCCAAGATGATCAATTCTGGAAAAGAGAATGAGATTACCGATTTATACTCTAGATTTAAGAAACTTCAACGACAATTAGAATTTCTTCAAGTTCAAGAAGAATATATCAAAGATGAACAGAAGAATTTGAAAAAGGAGTATCTTCATGCTCAAGAGGAGGTGAAACGAATCCAAAGTGTCCCCTTGGTGATTGGACAATTTATGGAAGCGATTGATGCTAATTATGGTATTGTTGGTTCTACAACTGGTTCTAATTACTATGTTCGTATATTCAGTACACTTGATCGGGAATTACTCAAACCAGCGGCTTCGGTTGCCCTTCACAAACACAGCAATGCCTTGGTTCTCATTTTACCGCCTGAAGGCGATTCAGCAATCAACATGTTATTACCAGAGGAAAAGCCCGATGTCAATTATACCGATGTTGGAGGTTTAGATGTTCAGAAACAAGAGATTCGAGAGACTGTTGAATTACCATTAACTCATTTCGAGTTATATAAACAGATTGGAATTGACCCTCCTCGTGGTGTACTTTTGTATGGACCTCCAGGTAATGTTTAGTTAAGAGAGAGAGAGAAAGAAACAATCAACCTAACCCATTATTGCCCAAAGAAAATACAATGTGTGATTTAATTATCTGTATGATTAGTTAATTTCTGTTTCTAATTTGGTTTCAATTGTCTTCTATTTTTATACCTTTTTGTTTTCGCCATCACCTGGTAGGTTGTGGTAAGACAATGTTGGCTAAAGCAGTTGCTCATCACACCACCGCTGCTTTTATCCGAGTTGTTGGCTCAGAATTTGTTCAGAAATATCTTGGTGAAGGTCCTCGAATGGTTCGTGATGTCTTTAGATTGGCAAGAGAAAACGCTCCAGCCATTATATTTATCGATGAGATCGATGCAATTGCAACCAGGAGGTTTGACGCTCAAACTGGTGCTGATCGGGAGGTTCAGAGAATCTTATTAGAACTATTGAATCAAATGGATGGATTTGATCAGACAATTAACGTAAAGGTGATTATGGCCACAAATCGAGCAGATACTCTTGATCCGGCTTTACTTCGTCCTGGTCGATTAGATAGAAAGATTGAATTCCCATTGCCCGATCGTCGGCAAAAACGACTTGTCTTTCAAACCGTAACTGCGAAAATGAATTTGAGTCCAGAGGTTGATCTTGAAGATTACGCAGCTCGACCCGATCGTATATCAGGTGCCGATATAAACTGTATATGCCAAGAAGCGGGGATGCATGCGATTCGTGAGAATCGTTATATTATCGTTCCTAAAGATTTCGAGAAAGGATTTAAAAATAACAGTAAAAAAGATGAAACCGAACAAGATTTTTACAAATAGATTAACAATCGATAATCAATCTTATATCCTAACACAAATTACACAAAGGAAAACAACATATCTTAAATAAACAAAAAGGAATAAAAAAATTCGTATAACAATTAACTTATTAATCAATTAAAGGACCAAAATGTTGAGTGAAAAATGTAAACAATCAAAGTGAAAAATAATCAACTCATATTACATATTTTCCCCTCGATCTTTAACTGATCAGATTTCATTTCACTTTAAATTAATTACTAGTGTAAAAAGATTGCCAAGTTATTAGAAGAAAATTAGTCCAATTAGTCCAATTAGGGAAAAATGTTTATCTTTTCAAAAATTGACAATCGGATTAAATTTTTTACGAAAAATTAAATAGAGTTAAGTGTAAATTGGCCAATAGATGTCGCTCATTTCAATGGATCGACTCTTTGATTTGGTCTCTCTTTTTGTCTCACTTTTAGTTGAAGTGTTTGAGGTTAATATTGTTTGTTAATTCACTTAGGTAATCAGGCTTAAATCATTAACGTTATTATTTCAGTTAAAGTATCCCACCTTTTGATCAGTTGATTGCGACTGTAATTACTGTGCAACAATTAAAAGTATTGGATTTTGTATTCTCTGTGTTTTTGTTAATTCTCTTGTTCCAATTTCTCTGTTTGTGTCTCTCTTTCTCTTCTCATATTAAAAAGGTAACAATGGTTGACTACTACAAGGTACTTGAAGTCCATAGAACTGCTACTGCAGTTGAGATTAAAAAGGCGTAAGTTAACACACAATTTGTAATTTAATTAGTGCACAATTATAATTGTTAATTATGCTTGTGTTCTACAAAAGTCACCAGTTAGAATAATTGGTACAAATTAAAAAAGCTACCGTTTCACTTTGACTTTTTTTTTCTATTCTTTTATCATGTTTGTTTAGAACAATCAATAAATTCTCTTTTTCTTTCTCTCTTTTTCTCTCTCCCTCTCTCTTTCTACATGTTCTTTTTTCTCTTCATCCTTGATATAATAACTGTAACAATTGTTGCTTTATGTTGATGCTTTTTTATATTTCATTTTCTCTCTTTTTCTGTGTTTTTGTATCTCTGTGTTGACTTACATTTCATTGGTTTCCAGGTATCGGAGACTTGCTCTGAAATGGCATCCAGATAAGAATCCAGAGAAAAAGGAAGAAGCTAAAAGAAGATTTCAGGAAATTTCTGAAGCATACGAAGTATTGTCTGATGGTAAATATAATCATTTTTTTCTCACCATTTCAATTCTATTACTTATCCTTCTGTCTTTTTGCTTTTAATACTCTTTTTATCTCTGTGGATTGCCCATTTTTTTCCCATTCTGTCTCTATCTTTATCTTTTTTTTTCTTCTCATCACTTCTCTTCTCTGTTTAGGTTTTACCTTTTTTTTCATTGCGCTTTTTTCTTCTCGATTTTTCTCTTTGTTTGACTCCTGCATCCTTGCTCTTTAACTTTTACTGACTCTTTTTTTTTCTATTTCTATCACTATCCATTTTAAAGACAAAAAGAAACAATTGTATGATACATATGGAAAAGATGGTTTATCCAATGGCGGTAGTCGTCACACTAAACATGACTTCTCAACTTTCAACAGTCCATTTATCTTCCGTGATCCTGAATCAGTATTCAGAGAATTCTTTGGTTCAGATCCATTTTCCTCCTTCTTTGGTGGCGGTGGTATGAATGGTTCTCATGGAAGATCCAATGGTCATGCCAATTCTGTTAACAATCATCATTCAGATCCATTCTTTGATCCTCTCAGAACATTCGATATTTTCAATGCTGGATTTGATTCCTCATTTGGTCCATTCGCTAATTCCAGTTCCCATAACTTGGCCGGTAAAACAGGAGTCAAAAGGACTCAAACCTCAACCCGTTTTGTAAACGGTAGAAAGATAGAAACTAAAAAGTAAGTTGCACCAATTTTCATATTATTCGTTCATTTTCTTAATTATTATGACTCATAAGTGCAAAAAAAAGAACCAATCAAAACACAATTAACTAAACAACTTGAAATCTAGTTTCTATCACTTTTATTGCCCTTTTCTTGCACTTCTCTGGTTCATGTTTCCTCATTCCTTGACCCCTGTGCCTTAGTTTCTCATCTCATCCACAAACCCTTTTCAGGATATTAACATAATACTTTAGGCTTGTCTAACAATCCCGGAAAAATTAGTTAACCTAAGCAAAAAGAAAAGTAACTAACCAGTAATAACACTAATAATCAAGTGAAGGCAATTCAGTTTTCAAGATTAATTTAATTCATGTAATACACACACACAACATGCAACCTAAACTAAAGCAGTAAAACAAAATTTGATAGAGTAAAGAAAGAGAGAAGAAAGAAAAAAAATCTTAAATAACTTGACTTTCAGGCCTTTCATGATAAAACCCTCCTCTTTAGAACGTATTGTATTTTAGTTTGATGCAGTTAATGAATTTTCATTATCGTTGGTGATTAAATGTTTACACATAAAACTAATTTTATTTATTAATCTTTCTGACAGAGTAATTGAGAACGGAGTCGAAACTGTTACTGTGATAGAGGACGGTATGCTCAAATCTCGCACTGTCAATGGTGAACCTCAAGCTGTAAAATATCAATCATAGAAAGGAGTATAAAAAAATTCCCGAATTATAATTCATTTATTAAATTCATCGTACGATCATCACCAACTCCATCATAATCAATATCATCATCGTCATCATCATCAGCATGATCATCATCTAACATAATCAACTTAAATCATAAGTATCAAAAAACACAACAACAAAAAACCAACACCACCACAATAATAACATCGACAGCTACCAATCGTACCTACGCATCTACAACCAACACTCCAACCAACACACATATTAAGAGATGAGATGCAAGAAAAAAAAACAAAGAATCAAAGACATTCAATGTTCTTGGAAGAACGAAAATCTATACCTGCCAATCCCTCTCCTCCTCCTCTTTTCTTCTTTATCCTCTTCTCATTTTCTTATTTCATCTCTCTCAAAATCTATCCTCTTCATCTTCTTCACTTGATTGTCAATCTTAAAATTAAAATTAGAGTTACTTATTCTCTCTCTCTCTTTCTCTCTATCTCACTAACTTGTATTAATATGTTAGCTGTTGTTGTACCTTCACAATTTTTTGTTTACATTAACAAGAAAACCATGTTACAACCACAAGTACAATTTAATTTTATGTATTTACTTAAACATGATTAATTAACCATGACACAGGATAAAAAAAAGAGAGAGAGAAAAAGATATCAAACAGGATAACAACATAATCCCCAAATAACCAGTTAATTTTTAATCCAGTGACATCATTGATTATCCATAATGATAATTATAATCAACTGAACGACTTATACACCAAGATGAGATTATTAAGGAACCAGGAAAGAAGAGCAACCAGATTAAAGATAATCACAATCAGAGTAACAATTAACGATACCACACATAATCATCTTGAATGACCTTGATGATAAAGGACCCAATCCAATCTCACCCACACCAATGATGCTGATATTTAATGGTAGAGACACACAATTATAATTGTGTTACAACTCAAACATAATCATTTCTGAACATCAACAAAAAAAAATCCATTGTAATTGTTTAAAATTTTTAATAGTGATGTAAAAAAATTACTCCAACTGTAGACATTTGTACAGTTGGGCTTACAATATACACTGTAATTTACTTAATCATTTTCTAGGGTTATTCAACTTTACCCAAATGATTAAGTGAAAATAGGAAGAGGAAGAAAAGGAATCAGAATGAATTGCAAACTTATATATTAGATTATTGTAGATGAAGATGATTATTATCTTCCTCTTCATGATCAACATCATGAACATCATGAAACAAACTTATAACCTAACTTAGTTTAATATACTAAATTGTAATTATGATTGACATTGGGCAAAAAAATCAACCAAGTGAATTGTTTTCAATCATATTTTGTTTTTTTTTGTTTTCATCTGATTTTCATATTCATTAGAATTATCCTCTTACCAGTCAACTAATTAACTCAAATTGATTGGCCATCAATCATTTAACCTTTTTTTTTACCAAGGCCTCAAATCTTATAAATAATAATTTAAATTGTTCACAACAAATCAATTGATTCCCTTTCCCTAAATAATTACCGTTATTCAACTTTTACTTCCTTAAACATCACAATCAAACAAAAAGTAATTTACCCTTAACCCTTTCACAATTTATACGATTGATTGTTGATGTTATTAGTTAATATTAGTACAATTTAACTGATGGCAAATGATAATTGATAACAATTAACAGTAATTAAAGAAATCGGTAGTTGGAGTAATTGTTTTTGTTTTCTTTCATATTTTTATTATTGTTTCATTTGGTGTTGATGAGAAAAAGTGATTTATTGATTTAGATTAGAATCAATAATTAGTTCATTAAGGCAATAAGAGTAGAAAAAGGAGAGAAAAAGTTGAACAATTAGTTACGACAATTAATGTTGATTACGTAGCGAGTTAAATGGTTAACATGATCAATAGATTCTAATAGTAACCCAAAGTTCATTGGTCTTTGGATTTGTTCAGTTTCCAATTGAATTGGTTTTCTTTTCAATGTTACTATTTATTGTATCATCAGCCAACCATTACCACCGAAAAAGTTAATTATACAATTAACATGCTAACAATTTACTTCCATTGATGATAATAGTTCCGGATTGACTCGGTCATGAGTAGCATCATGATAATCATCAATCTCTCTTCCTGCCTTCAGGTTTAATCTCCTCAGACAATTAGTGTAACAATTAAACTTACAAATGAATAAAATTGTATTTTCAACTGCGGAAGGAAAACAATTTACAATCACAATTAGTTAATTAGAAGGGAAAAAATTACCTTGGCGTGATTTAGATTTTGTTATATTTTGTAAATCTAATTTTCACATTTTTTAATTGTCTTGATTACATAATTAGTTAGTTTATGTTGTTGGGTTCATTAGTTAATTGTTTCATTGTTGTTTCTTTTACTTTGGCCTTACCTTATTTTTTTGTTGATTTAATTAATTGTTTCGCATCTTTATTGCAATTTAAATTTTCGGGTGATCCTCTTAGGGTCAATTCTTTCAGGAAGAGTAACCTAAACAATTAACAATCACCAACAATTAGTATTTGGAAACCTTCAAGACCGCCAATCATTTATATCCATGAAAAGTGTAACCTTAACAATCATTACCATCATCGTAATCATTAAATTAAATCATTAATTATTACTCACTAACTATTAGAAATCATTTCTATTACCAAATAAATCAGTTAAATTGGTTTAATTCACTTATAATAGTAAATATGATTCTATTTTGTTGCTACAATTTAATCACATTGATAATTAGTTATTTTCATTTTCAGAGACAATTGATTTATTTGTTGACATAATTAATTGTTAAAAATGGTGATTTTCTAGCGACACAATTAAAACCATTCGGTTTGGATTAAATTGTCTCTGCGTCAATTCATATTAAGAAAATGAGGTTTTTTATTAACTATTTAATCATAATCAAAAAAAAGAAAACAAAATCAATTTTTAATTAGTGGAAAAAGTTTAATGATTATTTGATGATTAAGTTTAATCTAAAATTGCACTAACCTTGTTTTCTTGTTAAACGAAAAATTGGATTAAATTTAAAGTAATAAATTGATTTCCACTTGATTAATTAGTTTGATAATTAATTCCAATTCTAATTATGATTAACAATTTATGGAATTTAACTGACATCTGGTGGAGAAAAAGTGAACTAATAAAATCTGTTGTTTTGTTTTTTCCTTATTTCCAAGTGAAAGTCAATTTTTATTAATTAATCTTTGATTCTGCAATTGGATTTATTTGTTTTAATCTAATTATGACACGTTATTAACTGTGTTTTCCCTCTGTCACGCGATCTTACTCATAATCTACTCCTGAATTGGTTTATCTTAATATCAAAAAGGGTGTGAATTGAACTTGATTTTTTCTTTTTTCTCTCTTTTGTTTCCTATTGTTTCCATTTTAATACAGGCTTATTACTGTTGTTGTTTTTTTATTCTCTCAATTTATTTACCTTGTGATTATTTGTTTCTTTTATTTTTTTTCTATTCCTTTTCGATCAGTTAATCTATTCATCATTGATTCATTAAACTCTTCTTTTACCTCTCCTTTGGGAGAGACTGGTAACTCGATAAAAAACTTAACTCTTTTGAGTTCTGGTGGGTCAACTGGAAACTGGAGTGACATTGCATCTTCAACCTATCAAAATATTACCAATTCAACGGTAAATAAAACAACTGGTTATTTGTCTGGTGTTAATCTCAACCATGGTAATACCAACTCAAGCTTAATGGTTACGCAACTTGGTAATGCCACTGGTCAGCAAAAGCTAATGTCTTCAGTTGCAACAACAACACTTAAATCAAACCTTTCAGCCCTAAATTCATCTCTGGTTAACCAATTGTCTAATCTCACACTAACTACAGAACCTTCCGTATCTTCTCATCAATCAATATCCACCACTCAAAAGGTTGCAAATATAATTGTTTCATCATCCCCTTCTTCAGTGATTGACAGTAATTCAACTCAAATTGTTAAAAACTTGACAGATTTACTTGGCCCCAAGGTTAATATTACCAATAGCCCTGTAGTCACAAATCTCACGACCCTTCAGGTCGATAAAAATATCACTAATTACGCCAATTTAACCTCAAGCTTGACCATGGAGCAACCAGACCTTTCAACCTCCACCAGTGATCTATCAATAATGTTTATTGGATTATTTTCCATTATGGTTTGTGCGGCAATAATTTTCTTAATAGTAATTCTGGTTCGTAAAAATAGACTGGACAAACTGCGACATCACCTGATGCCAGTATACAATTTTGATCCCTCTGAGGATGGAGAAGATTGGGAAACCGAATTACTTGAGGAACCTTTTGGCTCACAAAACTATGGAAACGAGAGCACCAAGATGACCTCCATTAAACTGGACTCAGGTCTAACCGGTGGACTTAACATTAAAGGAACTACTTATACCAATGGAGGTACAAGTGGAAATGGCGGCGGAGGTAAAGGTCGTCTAACCGCAGCATCAGGCCTTCTCTCAGATAACAATAATGGTAACCATTCATCTCGTTATCTTTACACCAATGAAAAGCCTGTTGTCTAAAAAGAAAACAACAGGAAAGGGAAATAAAGATCAACTTTCCGGGTCAGAAAAAAATGGCCACTCATTCATTGGAAAAATCATCACAATCATCTGGCTTCTAAACTTCTAAACTTCTTCATTCAAATTGATAATATTGGTGATAGGACAGAAAGAAAATTAAATCTCAACACTAATTAGACGATCGAATCTCAACACTAAAGAAACAAAACAAAATTAAACCAAAACATGGAAGAGATTTAACCAATTTACTGGTACAAAAAACTACAGAATCTCATTTATATTATCGATCATTTCTACAAGCTATTTATGGGCGAGAAACTCTGTTATTGTACGGATTCATTTGCAATCCATTTTCGAGGCGTATATTATTGATACATCTCTTCCTGTGTAGTTAAATTACTCATCTATCATCGTCATCATCATCAAACATCATGAAAACAACAAAAAAAATATAACAATCTAAAAACAAAAACAAAACAAAACTAACAAAAAAAAAATCTCTAACCTCAAAGGAATACATCACAAAACAAAACACTCATCCCAAAAATTACATATTCAATTACAGTGGATTAAATGTTTGCTTCGTTTGCTTAAAATTAATCTTATATAAATTTTCACACACTCCACACATTCAAACAATTAATTAATTTCATCACCCTGACCTTTTTTTTCGTTTCAAGTTTTACCTTGTATGTTATTACGATATTTAATTAAACACGTCAACGAATCAAATCTATTGAAACATCTACTCTAAATATCCAATATTCATTGTCAATAAGATAAAAAATTTACATTTTCAAGACAAATAACTTTCCAACAATCGGCCAATTGAATCAATCGCGACAATTTAATTTCAGTTGCCAATCAACCGACGCCACTGCCATCTGTCGGTGGAAAATGTGTCAACAAAAACTGCGTTTTCTGTTGAACAAAATGTAAACAATTGGATATTAACTATGAATTTAATTAGATTTTAACAATAATCTATGTTAATTGATTATCTTGATCTCCATTTTCCTTTATCAGTCATTTCCGTGATCCTTAAATTTGTTTATTTGAACGTAGATAAAGTTATATCTTGATTTGTTTTTATTTCATCTGTAAACTGTGACAACGCGTTTTCTTTGCTTTTGGTGTCATTTTGTCGGTTTTTTTTTCGTGTTTTAGTTTTTGTATTGTTTTTTTCAGCGATTTAATTCATTTTTAAAGTGTAAAACTTGTATATTACATACTCATGGACCGATATGATAATGATACTATGGATGAAGTTGATGTAGTCGCTGCTGAAACTGAATCCGAAAGCTCATTTACCACCGATGAGGAAGATGATGGTAATAATATTGAGAATGGTGTAGTCCAAAGTTTGGAAGATGAAAGTATTGCTGGTAATGAAGGTAATTCTAGAAGATCAACTGGATTCGATTATGATCCAAATTTACCTGCTCAACATAGTTACCTTGGTAATAATCTTCGAGAACTATCTGGTCGTGTTGTTCTTGATGATGAGGCTCTAATCACTTTACCATTACTTTCTCTCACTGGTGTCATCCTAATTCCGGGTCAAATATTGCCATTGCAATTGGAACATCCGTCGATGATTGCGATGATGTTAAATGCCATAGAAAAGGAAAGAACATTTGGTATTTTAGCTTCCAATTCGGATGTTGGTACCACGGTAGAGATTCGCAGTTACTCAAGGGAAGTTGAAGATGATGCCGATGAGAATGTGCTCAGAATTAAAGCTGAAGGACGTCAAAGGTTCAAATTGGTTGAAAAATGGAGACAAGATGATGGATTCATCATGGGAAAAGTGAGAATAATGTGTGACATTGAACTGTTGCACCCGTTTGAAAAAGATTTAGACTTTACCTCGAAAGGAAATCGATTTAACTCTAAATTGGTTCCAGCACTAACCGTTTGGCCTTCTTTTGTCTACCGGATGTATGATTCTCATTACATTATGCATAAAATAAATGATCAACTAAGAAATTGGGCCAACATATCTAAACCAAGTCCAGGTAATCCGATAGTTGACCATAAGATGAAAGAGGTTCAACAAAGTGTCCAAACAACCGAGAGCGAGGATAATGTTTCCGGTGCCATTCAAATAAGGAAAACCGTTGTCACCACAATAAGGAGAGACGATGACGACGAGATGGAAAGTATTTCCTCATCAAGTTCGGAAGATGATGGAGAGAAACAAGATTTCTCACAAACCCTTTCATCGCCTTACAAATACTCTTACTGGGTCGCCGCTAATCTGCCCTTACCCGATGACCAACGCGTTGAGCTTTTAAAAATACCGACAACAATTGGAAGACTACGCTATGAGTACGATCTACTTCAGAAATGTCTATTCCTCTGTTGTATTCAATGTGGATCTAAAATATGCTCTCGAGAAGATATTTTCTCAATGTCGGTTGAAGGTCCACTACAAAATTATGTCAACTCAAATGGTCACGTACATGAAACTCTGACCGTTCACAGAGTCTCTGGTCTTGCATTAGTCGGACGATCTTCAACTCAACAATCTTGGTTCCCTGGTTACTCATGGACAATTTGCGAATGTTCAAATTGCGGTCATCATATCGGATGGAAATTCATGTCCGTCAAATCAACTCGACCAGAATATTTCTGGGGAATCTCAAGAGCCAGTATAGTACCGAAAGTGAATTAGGAAAAGAAAAAGAAAAAGATTTGAGAACAAATGATTAACTATCGCTTAACTTTCACCGAATCACAAACTAACCATCATTTCGCTATCATGGATAACAACAATTAACCATTTCGCATCCTCTTAAAGTCATATACCTTTGTTTTAGAAGCTTTAATTTTCTTCAATTTTTACATAATTCTTTGTAAATTATTACAACCCGAAACTCGCAGCTTTGAGTAATCATTTCTCCTTCTTTTGTATTAACATTCATCACATCTTCATCTGTATCAATTGTCTTCACCATTATGTGTTAATTAACACTTTTAACCATGATTATCATCTCATGTATTGTGAAATTAATTCACAAAGATAACAACAATTTACAGTTTACAGTTTAAAGGTAGTCCAACTAATTTGAGCTTTTAATCCTGTGCAATGTTAATTGGTAATTAACTCTCACAATAAACTGCAACCATTGAATTGTTGAACTGATCAATTCCTGACAAATTAAACCGATTCAAGTTGGACAACAATCAAAGATAATTGTACATTGTGTATGGTCCTGATGATTATCCTTTAAACCTTTAGATTATTGTTTCAATTTTTCGTTGGACAATTAATCATAACTAATATGATTATCTCTTAATAAGATGATTAATTCAATTACAAAACCAAAATAATTTTCACCTAACAAACAAATTGTATCCACCATGTAAATCCAATGAATTAATCAATTACAAACAAAAGACACAAATTGTTTAACTCATTACTGTCCTATCGGGAACGATTAAACCAACTGATTAAACATTAAAATGTTAATCATTATGTACACAGATTTATGTATTTAAATTAAAAGCCAAAATCACTGACAAATTTAATTGTCTTCCGTAAAAGTTAATGGAAACATTTTCTTTCAAACAATTAGGACACTTTTCCTCTATAAAAGTTACACAATCAATGAATATTAAATTGGAATCAGAGGTTGATTAACAGTCACCAGGAAATCAACATTAACATGACTCAATTAACAATACATAGAGTTAATTGTGATTCTCCTCTTCTCTTCAAGAATACAATTTAAGATGTTTAAGAAACGGATGAATATCTTTCTTATAATAAGGTCTTGTCGCCAATGCCGAGGTTATATTTTCAGGCATCTCTTTCCAAAGGTAATAATCAACATTGTTTTCATTTAATTTGTTAACCATTTCGCTTAATTGTCCCTCATCAGCTTTAAGAACCACTTTGTGCATATTTTCAAGATCTTGAGTGTACAATTTGGTGTAATCATGTTCTTTATATTTAACCAGAGCAGCGACCGATGCATGACACCCTTGGGCTTTAATTGGAGATGAAATAAAACAGAATTGAAAACAAGATGATTAACAAAAAGAGTTACAATCAGAATAATTAACATGTAAGGTCAATGATCACAATAATTCAATGAAACTTGATTACAAAGACAGAGAAAGAAAAGAGAGAGAGAGAGAGATAATCAAAAATAATTTCAAATGATAAAAAGATGATTAAAGATAAAACAAATGATACAATGTAATCAATTGATTATTGGAAAACAAATCAACTCAACTTACCAATTAAAGCGCCCAAAGGCCAATTAAGATCACACCTCACGATGATATACTGAACCAGCGACATTTTGATGAATTGCCAAGGCCGATGAACGAGAATAAAATAAGCAAATTTAAATCACAAAAGGTTAACAATTTATCCACAACAATTTCTTAAAATAACCAAATTAAAATGAGTGAAAATTGCGAAGTGACAACAATCATCACGCGGACCGTGGTAAAAGACAAAAAGACGAAAAGAAGCAAAAAAAGGCAAAAAAGAGCAAAAAAGGGCCAAAATTCTCCACCGTCAATTAGAATTGAAGTGAAAGAGCCTCAGGACATTTTATTCTGAATTTTTGACGAAATATTGACAATAATAACACTTAAACAAAACAATAATCACCACAATCTCAAAATAATTCAATTTTTCTGATTTTTGATGCGCGAAGTTTGAACGTCAGTTTATGAATACTTTTTTATTCAATTTCAACTAAAAATCTAATTTTTTATCGATAATTTGACCACATATACTGACCTGAGTTCATCTTCAAATCGTAAAAATTAAATATAAGTAAAAAGAATTGAATTTAAAAAGTGTTTTTGTCTTTTAGCTCTTTTTGGCTTCTTTTTGCCTTTTTGCCTTTTTGCCTTTTTTTTGCCTTTTACTACGGTCCTCATCACGCAGAAACAACAACAACAGCTGATTGAAGAGCAACAACAAACCGAGTGAGTTTTTTTTCTCTCTCTCAGTTTCTCTCTAATTGTTGATGTTCCATGTTTTCTTGATTATTCTCAAACTCTTCTATTAATAGACTATCATGTTGTAATTATTGTGTTAACATTGAATTCAAGAACATAAACTTGATTCCCTCCTTCTAATCATCTTTTTCAATTAGTCTCTTCAATTTTTCTATTCTCTGGTTAGTGATTTTCTTTTTCTTTTCTTAAATTCTAATTTCGCTAACTGGTTCTTGGTTGGTGTTTTTTTCCTTATTTCTAATTAAGTGCCTTAATTGATGTTCCATTCAATCAATTGTGTCTAATGATCATTAATTTAACTCTTGCCTTACATTAATTACGAATGGTTGGTTGATCGGATTATACAAAAATCTTTCATTGAAGTTACATTAATTTTCATCATCGGTGTTTATCTTTGACTTTCTCTGTCTTGTGATCAATTTTACAGAAAAAAGCTAACATCATCTTTGGTCTTCTATTAACCATCACCATAATCATCTTAATCATCTTTATTGGTTAACAATTAGTGGTGGAAAAAAATCTGATGATGTCAACCTTTTTTACCTATTGAGAGAGTGTCTCATGTTTTTAGTGCCTTTAATTGTGAACTCAAGTGATCTCAATGTCTACAGAATAACAATCACCTCAAACTACTGAATTAGTTATCGATTCCAAATCAATTATATAATATTGAAGTTCATCTATATGATCATTTTCTCTCCCTTTCTCTCTTTAACTCTCTCTCTTTTCCCATTTTCTTCTTCTTTTTTTACCGAAATTCAAACAAACGTTCAGTTGAACTTTTCATTTGTTCTTCCGCTTAAAGAAACCTGATTGTATTGGAGTAATTATTTCAACCTAAATCAAGAGTGTTTATCGTTGAACACCAATCACGTCAACGAGCAAAACCTTATACCGAATGAAAAATAATCCACTTTGAGTTTTGTTTTGATTCCATAGACAAAAAGAGTAACATTCAAATCCTGAGGAAATTGTTCGTTTCTCTTTCATTTGATTTCTCAATTAGTGTCGTTTAATTGTGGTTCTTACCTGGGCACAATTGTTTATCATTATTGAGAATCAGTTGTTAATCTTTTGAACAACAAGCGAAAACCGGTCTCCATTTTTTTCTTATTAATAGCAACACTGATTCTCAGTTTCAATTGGAAAAGTTGACCTGTTTCTCTTGGTGTGAAGAAAGAGAAAGTTGTTGAAGAGAATAACAATTTTTTCTCTTCTTTTTCATCTTCAATCATCAACAATTTGATTCGTTTGAAACTGCTTAATGTATCACTGATATTCAGGAAGTAATTCAAATCAGTTTGACACTTAATTCAATCATTTGGTTGTCCCAATAATCCAAAGTATCATCATCTTCAAATCCCTTTTGTTTTTCTTTATCCATTGGATTTTCCTTTTGAGTGTATTCATCATGTTTCCATTGGATTAATTTGGATAATTACATAATTTCTTAATGATGTTACTACTAATTACATGTGATCAGTGGTCGACACTTTGAAAATCATCTGACTCACTTACGGTTTAACTATCAACCCTTAAATCAACAAAATTATCAATATGATTTCTATCAAAGTTTAATCTCATTTTCTACCTTCTCATCATCATCTCAATTGATTTTTGCAATTAAAGATGAAAAAGATTAACATAATCTAGTGAAAAATCAAAAAGTAAATTGTGATTGTAACTACATTCTAATAACAATTGATCACTCCAAAAAAAAACGTCCACAAACAATTAACCAACAACAACAATCAACGAAATCGTCAATCAAACATCAACTGTAAAAATGTTCAGAACTGTAGCAATCATTGCAAAAGTGTTTATTGCCTGTTGTACCAATGTTTTCCTCCTTGAGGCCATATCAAGGTAACAATTAACAAATCAACAAACATTAAGTGATCACAATTAAAGTGACTAATCATAAATCTTAAATTTTGTCAACAGAGAATCTCCTGGTTCAGCTAATCTAATTACTTTTTCACAATTTGCTCTGGTCGCTTTTCAAGGATTATTAGTCAATCACTTTAAAGGAAAACCAAGAATGATACCATTAACGTAAGAGTTTGGCAATTAAAGAATTACAATTAACGTTAATTCATCAAATACTAATTACTAATGATGATTTTTCGCTTCTCTCTCTCTCTCTCCCTCCCTTAGTGAATACGCTAAAATGGTGATATTATTTTTCTTCGTCAGTACTGGAAACAATTTCGCTCTCAATTATAACATCTCAGTACCTCTCCATGTAATATTTAAATCGGTAATTATTGTGAAAATGTTAACCATTTCATGTCAACAATTAACATGATACATTTTTAATCTCTAATTTCATTTAATTAACAGGGATCTCTGTTTGCTAATCTTATTCTTGGAATTATATTGCTCAGAAGAAGATATTCTTCAACTAAATACTTGTCAGTGTTTCTCATCACAATAGGAATTATTTTATGTACAATATCTTCATATGTAAGTTAATTAATTGTTGAATAGACAAATTGGTCCACTGATTAATGATTAATGAAACTTGTAATTTATTTTTCTACCAGAATGAACCTTTACATGGAAGTAAAAAGGAATCGGAAGATTTTCTATTCACTTGGCTCATTGGAATATCAATCATGACTGTCTCATTGTTCACTTCAGCTTTCATGGGAATTTATCAGGAAAAATTATATTCTAAATATGGAAAACATCCTCAGGAAGCTCTTTTCTATTGTGTGAGTTAATTAATCATCCAAAGAAAAACAATCCAATACTTACCTAGATCAAAATGACAGAGAATTTCCAATTTCATTAGTCACTTGTTGAGCTTTTCAATGAATTTCAATGAGCATATAGATGAGTATTGGTGATATTTAAATGGATTCTCAGCCTTGACAATTTTTTTTCTAAATTCTCATGGTGATTTTATCTCATTTGATTCGTATCCAAAATCATTTCATCACCAACTTTTCTCATCTCATTATCATTTGTCACCTACTGAACATTTTATGTCATTCTAATCATTAATTTTCTTTCTCTTCTTTATTATTATTCTAGCATCTTTTACCTCTTCCTGGTTTCCTTTTACTTTGGTCTGACCTGTCAAAGCAAATTGTTGCTTTTAATCAATCACCATTGGTGTCACTTGATTATTTACCATTTTGTGGTCACATTTATGTTCCCAAATTGTGGATCTATTTATTTCTCAATGCGTTGACCCAATACATTTGTGTCTCTTCAGTTTTTTCATTGACCTCGGAACACACCTCACTTACGGTCACTCTGGTTGTCACCCTGAGGAAATTTTTCTCTCTCCTTCTCTCTGTTGTATATTTTAAAAATTTGTTCACTTTCTACCATTGGGTTGGAGCGTTTTTGGTTTTCTTTGGTACTCTTATGTTCATGGACATTCACAGGACTGTTTACAACTATCTCACTGGTCAGAGACAATCAACCAAGGCCAAAAGATCATAATTTATTTTTAACACCAATTGTGAGTGATTAATAACCAGGGGAGGATTTTTGTTGACTTTCTATCAGCAAATGTAAAAATGGATTAGTTTTTACTTTTGGTTGTTATTGTTTACCAAAAGTAATTTTCTTTCATGACACAAATTGTATTTTCTGATGATACTTATGACGATTATTTTTGATATACAATTAGGATCGTCATTAAACAATATTTAATATTATATATTGTAAGTTACAATAAAATAATAAATAATAAAAAAAGATTCAAACATCAAATCACTTGTAGTAAAAAAAAATTCACTTGACACGGAAAAGATAATATTACCACCACAATTCAGTTATTTTAGTGTTTCTCCTTTGCTTATTTTGGCTTCGATGTAATCAACCTTTCTCTCCAGATTAGTTAATCGTTCATTAAGTTGATTTAATTTACCTCGAGATGACATATCAAAGGAATTCAGAAAATCAGCAATCTTGTTGATCGATCCACAGATAAGCCAAATATATTCACGATTGGCCCAATCTTTTTGTATTTGCCTTTGGATTCCTTCGCGTTCACCAAAATTAGACATTGTTGACCAATAATTATCACAAATTACTAACAATTAACAAAAATTATTCCTCGAGAATCAAATTTAAAAAGGTAAACAAAATTTTCCAATTGTCATTCACTTCATATGTTCACAGGAGTGCGAATGAAATGCCACCTGGAGAGCGAAGAAGAACTAAATTCTAACCATTGTGACGAATAAGTGAAAATTAATTGGACAATTAACTGGTTTTTTGATTGATTAAGTTTCGTCATTGGAATTGAGAATATGGTCATTCTTAATAAGTCGAGAAAAAAAATTGAATCGGAAGGGTTGTTTTCTATTTCGTTTTAATGATGAAAATGTTTCGTTTTTGTTAGATCGTCAAAAGAGAATTTGAATTTACTCAAAATTTAATTGTAAACTTGATTGTAAGAGGTTATTATTTATAAAATTCTTGTTCTGTCTCATCACTCTTGGTGTTGTTCTTGTAACCCTTTTCAAAATCTTTTGGTAAGATAACATAACGATTCTCTCTGACCGCGTGCATTCCGGCTTCTTGACAAATAGCGTTTATATCGGCACCTGATATACGATCGGGTCGAGCGACGTAATCTTCAAGGTCCACTTCATCGCTTAGGTTCATTCTTGCGGTTATGGTAGCAAAAACTAGACGCTTTTGCCGACGATCAGGTAACGGGAATTCAATCTTTCTATCTAATCGACCAGGACGAAGTAAAGCCGGATCAAGAGTATCTGCTCGATTTGTGGCCATAATTACTTTTACATTGGTGCTTTGGTCGAATCCATCCATTTGATTCAATAGTTCTAATAAGATTCTCTGAACTTCCCGATCAGCACCAGTTTGAGCGTCAAACCTCTTGGTTGCAATTGCATCGATCTCATCGATAAATATAATGGCTGGAGCGTTTTCTCTTGCCAATCTAAAGACATCACGAACCATTCGAGGACCTTCACCAAGATATTTCTGAACAAATTCTGAGCCAACAACTCGGATAAAAGCAGCGGTGGTGTGATGAGCAACTGCTTTAGCCAACATTGTCTTACCACAACCTACAAATTGGGAAGGAAAAAAAAGTTGAAAATCAAACTTTGTTTCAATAACATTTATACTCCATTGTTTTAAAATTTAATCTCGGTTACATACCTGGAGGGCCATACATTAGAACACCTCTCGGTGGATCAATACCGATTTGTTTGTATAACTCGAAATGAGTTAATGGTAACTCAACTGCTTCTCGGATTTCTTGTTTTTGAATATCTAAACCACCGATATCAGCATAACTGACATCAGGCTTTTCATCGGGTCTCAACATTGAAATTGAAGAATCAGCTTCAGGTGGTAAAACATCAACCAAGGCATTAGAATGTTTATGCAAGGCAACACTAGCCGAAGGTTTTAGCAATTCTCTATCAATGGTACTCAAAATACGAACATAATAATTAGATCCAGTGGTAGAACCAACAATACCAGTATTAACATCAACAGCTTCCAAAAATTGTCCAATTACCAATGGAACACTTTGGATCCGTTTCACCTCCTCTTGAGCATGAAGATACTCCTTTTTCAAATTCTTCTGTTCATCTTTGATATATTCTTCTTGAACTTGAAGAAATTCTAATTGTCGTTGAAGTTTCTTCAATCTGGTGTACAAATCATTAAGATCATCATTTTCATTAGCCTGAGCAGAAGAGATTTTAACACCAATTTGACTTATCAAATCCTCCTTAAAGAAACAAAACAAAAAGAGAAACAAAACAAATCAGATAAAGAAGACAAATCCAATTACACTTTAACCCACCAAAGGGTCAAGTCAACACTCACCTTTTTACTAATGAAAGGTTCAGTAATGGTCGCCATGATTAACAATCACAATTAATCAAAGAAAATTAATTAACAATTTTAAAAAACAATCGAGTCACGGTTAAGGTTTCAAGTTGCTTTCCACACGTTCCAGTTGCGACACCTACCGGAACAAATGAGCGATTCGAATTCTAATTTTTTTAAATTATTTTTCATTTTCTTAATTGTGATAAATTTTACAATTTACATTGCATTTTAATCCGATTTTTTCTCATTTATTCCGTCTTTTCAATTTCAGAAAATTGACTTTTTTCTTGTCCCAAAAATATTGAGTCAAAATCATTAAATCTCCAAGTTACCAATCAAATGATTAGATAAAACGATTTATTAATTGATGAATTTAGGATAATCTCAGTGAATCAATTAATTAGAATTGATAAAAAAAATTAATCACCTAATGAAGAGAAGTATTTATTGTATTAGAAAATCAAGCAGATTCCAAAGGTTTTGCTTGTATGATTTCTTTGCATTAAAAACTATTTGATTGTTGATCATTAAGGATACATAAAAAATGATTTATGTAAGCCAATCAGTCAAAATAATTTGTTCAATTGTTAACCAGAAAATGAGTTAATCATGGCACTAAAGGTTTTTCTGTATATTGATAAGAAGTTGAAAGAAAAAATATTGTTCCAGTCCCAAAACCAATAGAAATAAAGCAGCAAAAGTAAAATGTAAATGATTAATTGAAAAAAAACCAAAGAATTATTTTCAATCTAATTAATAAGCTAGAATTTAATTTGAGCTGGATGTGAGGGATATTGAGCTCCTTCACATTGGATGATTTGTTGGGCAGCATAAGAACCAGCCTTGATACAATTATCAACATTTGCCTTAAGAATCAATTGAGAAATGAAACCAGCGACAAAAGCATCACCCGCTCCATTGGTGTCGATGATTTTTCCCGATTCAAGTTTATCAACGGGATAAGTTGAAACTGAGTCAGAATCGCTTGTTGCGACAACTATTGGATCTGCACCACGAGTTATCACAACCATTCTTGATTTCTTAGGGTTAACCTTTTCCCCTTTAGCGATTAACATGGCAATTTCTGAAATTTCTTTAGCTTCCCAGCCATGAGCCAAGGCCAATGCTGAGGCTTCAGTATCATTACCGAAAAGTATATCAACATAGGGTAAAACACTCATCAGGTCATTTTTGAAAAATTCACAAACGAAAGGAGCACTTAAATTGAAACAGAATCGTTTCTCGTCTGAATTAGCTGCATGTTTAGCAACCTCTAAAATGGCAGGAACGCAAACAGTCAAATGGAAACCAGAAACGTAAAGAATTTTAGCCTTCTCGACAAATGACCAATTCTCCATGAGATGCTCCTTTTTCATATGATTTGCTGCTCCCAAATAAGCGACAAGTGACCTAGCTTTACCTTTATCAGTAACTAGAACACAACAGTAGCCAGTCTTTTCATTATCATCAATACGATAGATGCAATTGATTTTGTCTTTGATAGCTTCTTGCTGCATTCTATTACCAAATTCATCTTTACCAATACAACCCATGTAAGTACAAATATTAGGCTAGAAAAAAAAGGAATAACAAAATCATTAGATTAAATTAAACAATCTGATTATCTAGTGATAATCTCAAGACTTTCCGTTACAATTACAAAGGTCGATTCATAGTCAATCAACACGAGAAAAAAGACAATTTCAAAATATCTCTCCAACGAAAACTCTCTCAAATTAATACCAAATAATTACCTTAAATCCAAGTAGCCATTCAGTAATTCTCATGGTATTTTGAACAGCACCACCAGCAACATAATTGACTTGATATTTGGTAAGCATTTCTTTTTCCAAACCCTGATGCTTATCTTCATAAAGAATAGCATCGTCGGCTTTTAAACCATATTTTACCAGGAAATCGCCATCAACCTCTGAGATTAGATCAAGTAAAGGATTACCAAGGCCAAATATATCACCTTCACTGGAAAAAGTCAATCAAAAAAAAGAGAAAACAACCAAAAGAGAAGCAAAAAATTAGAGAAAAAGGCAAATAAAAAAATAGATCATAAGAACGGTAAAAATTTCCCTTAACAACAAGAAAGAAATTTAAATAAAAGAAAAGCAAACTTACTTTAATTCAACTGGATTAGACATTTTGTCTACTAATGTGTAATTATGATCGAAAGGGATAATGATGATTAAATAATTCACCCAAAACCACGGAACAATTAATGAAAATAAGAAACAAAAACGTAAATGTTAACAAAATAAGAAAAGAAAATGTTATCACATGTCACATGGAAGAAAAAAGACAGAGGAATAGACAGAGAAAAGGAAATTCTCTTTTGATCTCATTTCCCTTGAACCGGTTTTCTAATCAGTTAATTTCCTCTGTGAATTTATCTTTCGAAAATCAATTAAATTTATCTTTTTTTCTAATTAACTTTTTCTTCTAAATGTTCACCAATGTTGCTGATTACTTGAAAACTGATAATTTATTCTGTCACTAATTGAGAAGTGAAATTGTTCCCAATCAATCATCTTTGTTTTTCTAACAAAAAAGACAAACACAATTATTTACATGATCCAAATGGATCCAAGAGTTTCTTACATTTAAATTAACAAATTAATCAGTTGACCTTGTCAATTGACCTTTAATTTGATTAATTAATTGTCATCGTTTATCTGGTTAATTAATTTCAAATTAACTAACATTTTTTTTTGCAATTTTTTGCTGTTTTATTTTCAAATTGTTGCGCCTTTGGTCTATATGGTTTCCATTGGTTGTTACCTGTTTTGTTTTCATGTGTTGTCATCATAATCAGAATCGTTTCTAGAATCATTTTATTAATTGTTATTTTTTTCTCTCTTCGTTTTTTATTTATTAGTTTAATTTTTGTTCTTTAAACAAGATTGTTATTGATTTTGTTTCCTTCCTTTTGTGTTAATCTTCTAGAAAATGAATCAACAACCATTTTATACTAATTCTGGTCCAATGCCAAACATGGGACCTAATAGTTATGCAACCCCAATGGGGGGTTACCCTATGAACTATGGTGGTGGATTTCCCGGTGATCAGTCATTTCTTAATCAACAATTAGGTAATCATATGGCTCAAATTTTCCAAGACCAGGTTGCCCAATATTCAGATAATTTGGTCTCTAAGAGTAAAACTTGGGTTGGTAACAATGTGAGTAAATTTCCAACATTTTCAATTTTATTCTCTTTAAATCTTGTTACATATTTAAATGACATTTCTCTTTTTGTAACAACCAACCAACTTCCCTTTCCAGTTTTACATGCTACTTAATTTCTTTATTCTCTTTAAAATTACATCTAATGATTGTCTTATTTATTTCAACAGCTTAAGTATTACTTTGCCGTTGATACTGGATATGTTTTAAAGAAGATACTTTTAATATTTTTCCCTTTCACTCATAAGGTAAGTTGTTTTCATCTAATCAGCCGGTACCAACCTTTTTCTTAACTAATTCAATTAACTATTGCTCCTTGTTACCTTTAAATAAAGTAATAATAATATAAAATATCTTTTCCTTTTAATAAAAAATAGGATTGGTCACTTAAATATTGTAATGATGAACCAATTTCTCCTCGAGATGATATAAATGCACCCGATCTGTACATTCCTTGGATGGCTTTTGTAACGTACATTTTGGTTGTTGGTTATCTTTTGGGTGTTAATGATCGCTTCTCACCGGAGCAACTTGGAATCCAAGCGAGTTCAGCCTTGGCCTGGTTAATCTTTGAAGTTTTGGCTACCATGATTATATTATACTCTTTCAATTTAACGTCAGCATTTGGATTTTTCCATGTTCTTTCCTTATCCGGTTATAAATTTGTTCCCATGATAGCAGCTCTTATATTAGCTTTATTCTTCTCCTCATTAGGCTATTATATTGCCCTTGCTTATGGAAGCTTAACCCTTTGTTATTTTCTTCTGCGAAATATTCATATGGCAATTGAAACCTCCCCAGTAATTCATGGAAGTGGCCGACAAAGTACACTTAAAGTTGTCTTCTTTTGTCTCATCCAGCCACTTCTAATGTATCAATTAACCCGAAATTTTGTTGCTTGAGTAAATCATTAACCAACAACAAATGAACAATTTACTTTGTACATATAATTATGAACAAATCAACAATAATTATTTAAAGTGACGCACTAAATTAGAAAACAGAAACATCAACAATCAACGATCTAAATCTTGTTGTTGTTGTTGTTTTCTTTTTCTTCTTGATTGCTTAAATTATTTCAAGAACGTCTCTCATTTCGTAACTAATTAACTTGATTAAGAGGAAATAATTTCATATATTAATTTCCATTATCAAAGTTTCACTTATATAACATCTAACACTTTCTATTTCAGTAAAACAAAAACTATGTTTAAATTATTTTTATCCATAATATTGTTACAATTAACTCATCACAATTATGGTCGAAGTGAGTATTTATATTTTCAAAATCATATTCCTTTTCTAATATTCAAACGAGTAATTTACTTTTCCATTTATCTTTCAGCTATTTTTCCCATCAACGAGAAAAATGAGAATGACCAATGTATTAGTCATAATGGTGTCCAAGGAAAATGTATTCTAATCACTTCGTGTCCTGCTTTATCAAAGTGTCTTCATCAACATGATCATCATCCAACAATTTGTTCATGGGATCGTCATTATCCAATTGTTTGTTGTCCATCTTTTAATCCAAGGATTGATCCATCTAATAGAACCACTAATGAACCAACAACAACGATAATCAAACATGAATCATCAGGAAAATTAAAACAAAAGGTTAATTGTGGTATTAAACCATTTATACCTTCACTTTATGTCGTTGGTGGGAATGAAGTTAAATCAGCTCTTGATTGGCCTTGGATGGCTGCTTTATTTACTAAGCCACAAACTGTTGGATCATCAGCTTCATCAAACAATTACAATCATTTCTGTGGCGGAACAATTATCTCTGAAAATTGTATTTTAACTGCTGCTCATTGTGTCCATTCATTTACCGGCAAAAGAATATCAGAACTTTATGTTGGAATTGGTTCAAATGAATTGGAGAAAACAATCAAATTACCGATTAAGAAAATTATTCTCCATCCAAATTATGTTTCAACTAAAAGTTATTACGATATAGCTTTACTAATCACTTCTAAAACAATTACTTTCACCGATACGATTACACCGATTTGTTTACCTGGATCTTCATTCATCAATTTAACCAATAATGTTAATAGTTCATCTGATTTAAATAATATTGAAGTCGCTGGATGGGGAAGACTATCATATCATGGTCGAAGTAGCCACAAATTAAGATCAGCTAGATTAGAGATTGTACCTAATCAACAATGTAATCAATCGTATGTTAATCTTAATAGTTCATCTATTCCCGAAGGAATTAAAAGTGATCAACTTTGTGCCGGAACTTCAGAGGGTGAAAGAGATTCATGTCAAGGAGATTCTGGTGGACCATTAACCATGAGAGCTCCATCGGAAGATGAATTTAATCTCGATGTTCATTATCAAATTGGTTTAATTTCCTTTGGTCGTGGTTGTGCTGTTAAAGAATATCCTGGAGTTTATACAAGAATCACTGATTACGTTCCTTGGATCGATAAACAATTAAAACCTAAAACTGGAAGAATTGTCTTTGAATGAAACGATTATACAATCTCCCCATTAATATAAACAGGTATTGACAATCAAGATTTAGTTCTGTTGTGATTTGGTCACAATTTCTCATGTGATTCAATAAAAAGACAAACATTTAATCAACTAAATCAAACACAGCTGATTCTTTGTTTTCTAAATTTTTGTTGACAAGGCGAGAAATAAAAATAAACAACTAGAATTGATTGTTGGTTAATAATTATAACATTTCATTGGATTAAAGGATCAGATAGATTAACGAAAAAAAAGTAAAGGGTAAACTAAGAAAACAGAAACTATTATGTTACAGAAATTAAATATAATTTCATTTGAGTAGATTTGATAATAGAACAATTTACTTAACTAAACTAAACCCATCGTTGGATCTTCTATCACTTCTTTTAAATTGGAAAGGAATTGAGCTGCGATTCCTTCATCGATCACTCGAGCATCGAATGAAAGAGTAAAATGCATCAATTGAACTATCCTTTCATCTTCTGTGACTCCTGGTTTAATTGCTCCGACGGCGAGAATCGCTGATTGGGGAGGGTTAATTACGGCGACAAATTGAGTGATTCCGAACATCCCAAGATTGGAAATACTAAAACTGCCTCCTTGGTACTCTTCGGGTTTTAATTTACCAACTCGAGCTCTTTCAGCCAAATCTCTTACTTTGGTACTTATTTCGAAAACCGATAAATTGTTGGCATCTTTAATTATCGGAGTAATTAGACCAGTTGGTGTAGCCACAGCAATGGAAATATCAACCGAGGGTAATAATTTAACTGTTCCACTTGATTCGTCCCACATACCATTTACCTGGGGAACCTTTTTCAATGTTATTGCACAGGTTTTGATTATCATATCGTTAAGAGAAACAGGGAGACCATCTTTTTTCATTGAAACTCTTAATTGTGACAATTTATCGACACAACATTGACTAGTCATATATCCATGAGGTATATTTGATTTAGAAAGAGTTAATCGTTTGGCAATCGTTCGTCTCATCCCAGAGGTTTCAATGTCTTGCCATTTAGCTGGACTCGGTCTGGGGAAACTTTTGTACACCTTAACTGGTTCACCTTTATCATCACCAAGTCCACTTAATAATTCATCAGTTGTTCGAGGCTTTAATTGTTTGGAGGAAATGTAAGACAATACATCTGATTTAAGAAGGACATTCCTTGGGCCCGAAGCATTAATTGTTAAACCATCTAAACCATAGAGAGATAAAAGATTACGAACACTTGGACCAGCCTTAAAACCTGAAGGAATTACTGATGAAAATGATCGTAAGGGTAAGAAAAAATTCATCTCAACAGAACAAACAATTAAAAATAGAAATCTAATTAAATAGAATAATTAAAAATTCATTTTTCCAAAAAATTGAAGAAAAACAAATCAACTATTTTCAAAGAGTTTGCTCGAAAAATAACCAGCTGAGTTGCTATTCTCACGAAAAATCTTCGAAATTAAAATTCATTCATCTTTCCAACTGATCATCTGAACTTAAAATCGACAAAAGAATTAGATTATGGTAATTGTTGGGTTCGAATATTTTTATTGTATACATTTTGGAAGATTATTATTCTGTTACATGTTTGAACTCTCGATCTAAAATCAGACTGATTGAATAATTTTCCAAACAAAGTCCAATTTAATTGGTGGTTAATTAAGTTCTAACCATAGTAACCATAACCTCCTCCGCCCCGATAAAGGCCATAGAGCTTAGGATTAGGTCCATATCCGCCATAATATGGATAATAACCATAGTAGGGATAATAGTAAGGGTAAGATCGATAATAATAAGGCCGATAATAACGGTAAATTAACCCTTCACTTGATTCCGATGAGATTAACAAGAGAAGCACAATTAAGCTGATCGCTGAATTAACCTGCAACCAATTAATGAAGAGAAAATCAATAAATACCAATTTCTTTTTCCATAAACAGTTGATGAAATTATTGTATAACAATTAAATTAAACTCACCCGAAGATCCATTGATTGCTCTTAATTGTGAACACAATTGAAACCAAAAGAACAATAATAATGAAAACAAAAAATAATCAACAATAGAAAAACTTTTGTTGTACAAATTTAGAAATTAATCATTTCATTTATTGAACAAAATTACAATTAATCTAAATTGTCGTTGATCAGGTCATATTTATTTAAACTTTTCTCCCTCTACTCTCAAAATTTAATCCACACAGAGTGAGATTAACGTTAATCTCCAAGGTTGTTAAATCCAGGTGAGCTTAATTCCGTTCCAACAGTTGAACCATTAACATAATCAGGTGGAAAATTAAAATTAAACCTTTTCTATGATTAGTTTATTTAGTTTGATTATCAACTTACTTACTAACTGTTAGCTAATTGTAAATAACTGATATATGAATTTGTCAAGTGAAAGGTCAACTTATTAAATACAATCAAGTTAATTTTGTCTTCGCTTGCTTGATTATGAAAGAGCAGGAATCAAATTACCTTGACCATTACCTTAATGGACACTTGAACAATATCACAATTAACTAATAATGAGAAAAATTAATTTATTTTTCTTTAATAATAATAACTGATGAATCAATTTCCATAATTATAATTACTATTAATACGTCTTCCTAGGAGGCTTAATTGTCTTCCTTAATCCTTGACTATTTCCAATTGTGAGTTAATTGTTCCTGTTTTCCAGGAATAGATTTCAAACAATTAAGTGAAGACTTTTTGTTTAATTGACTGAGACATTGAAATTTAAAAGTTACAATTAACTTACAATCAGTTGATTTCTTTTCAGAGTAACGGTAATTGAACCAAAAGTTTTTCAAAAAAATTAATTAATTGCTGGAAAATCATTCACAGCAATTTAGTTAAATTGTTTTCTCATAACAATGTCAAGGTTAAAATGATTTTTCAAACAATTAATTTCATCACAATTTGCTTTTCTCTCCATCATCTAATCATTACATCATTTACATTAATTGTAATCAGAAATAATTAATCACTGAAAACAATTTGCTTCAAAATTTGATATATTTTTTACACAATTTAAATTACAAAATTAGCCTTAATTGGCACTTCATTACAATCAATTTGTTTTAATTGTTGATAAACAAATTAATCATTCACATTTACTGAAGATCAAAATCAAACAATGATTATATTAACTCCAACCAACAATTAACAATACATTTTCAATAGAAATCAATAAATATTGAATTAAGACAAATCAAAATAAGTCCAATGGTCAAGTGGTCATTTTCAGACAATCTCAATGTCCTGTTTCATAAACAATTAACAATCAATAATCTATTGTTAATTAACTGAATTTCACTTTCTTTTTATTTTCTCCAATTAAAGTTTGTTCGTAAGTGTTTTTGATACACTCGATTATTTTTAATTTTCCATTGATTACCAATCGATGATTAATCTTATTGTACCTTAATGAATTTGGCGATTGATCTGATTCGTTTGTAAAGGAATCGCTTAGCGATCACATGAGCGGCAACAATGGCCCACAACATGGCCGAAGCTTTGAAAGCGGTTCTAATTCCAGTTAGAACTGTTTCCCGATAAATACCAAAGTGTTCGAGTGGGGCAGCGATGGGAAGAAGGTAACGTTCGGCGGCAAGGAAGGCCAAACATCGAGCTAATTCGAGGAAACTGGCAAACCATCTGAAAGAAGACAAAAGAAAAGAACATTTTTGAATAAAAGATCAGAACAGAGAGAGAGAGAGAGAGAGAGAGAGAGAGAGAGAGAGAGAGAGAGAGAGAGAGAGATCGAAAGTTCAATAAAAGAACAACGAAATTCAATTGTTCTTTTCGCACTCGAATACACTTACCTTCCTTCCAATAGGAATCCAACTGTGGTTATCGATGTAAGAAGCGAAATGATACCACAAGTGATCGTAAATTGTGTCAAACTGTGTTTTCGAAGATTAAGTTCATTGTAAAACAATAAGACGAGGCCAAAATGAGCGATAACGTAAATCTTTTGAAGAAGTGGAATCTGTGGATCCCAATATTTGACAGGATGTTTAATCTATGATAAAGTAAATAAAGACAGGAAGGTAATTAGTTAATTGTTTAAGATTGGGAGAAATGATTTCATCGATTGATAAACAACCAGCGTGATAACAATTAAGCGAAAATAATGATGAAGATCATGTGAGTACATGAAGGATGCTTGAGATTCAAGTACATGATGGTTATTGATTTTTTTGTCTATTCTCAAGAATCAATCATCTTAATTCATGACCATTAATCAAATTCTTGATTGTCACTTGATTGTTTATCTTTACTCTTTCACAATTGTCAAGGTTATATTTGTTTTGATTGTTGGCTACTATTTTAAGCCTAATTGTTGGTTAATTTGTTACCTCAGGAAGATCTGAAATGAGTCCCAGTCTCGGTTTTCCTGGTTCCCATCCTGGTCCCATGAACGGAACCATAATCTTGTGTTTGAATGACTTCATTTCGCCCATTTTTTTGAACATAAAGTACCACGAATGAAATTGTACATAGAATGGATTGTAACTTTCGACGGGATGAACAAGTCCATAGGCCACTGGCTCCTTTTCGTCTTCCTCTTGGAAAGTACCGAAAATCCGATCCCAAATGATCAAAACCCCAGCGTAATTTTTATCGATATATTTTGGATTTCGAGCTAAAAAATATCGTAACAATTTAAATATTTGATTAAAAATCGATTGATTTATTATATTTAACCAATTTTCGTCTTAATGTTTGATTGTTTACTTTTTAAAATAAACAATTTTGTATCACCAAAGGAAAATGAATACAATGTAATCATTTTTTTCCTAGGCGTTAATTGTTGATACCTTTTCAAGTCATAACAGTTTGTCATTGGAAATTGAAGGTTAAACAATTAAGGTAATTACTCACCATGATGTACTCTATGGTGACTTGGTGTGTTCAGAATATACTCAAGTGGGCCAAGTTTACCGATCACCTCAGTGTGAACCCAGAACATGAACAATTCACCCAACTGAAGATGGGCCAAAAATATCGGAGGTGGAATAAATAATGCCAATGGAACATAAGTGAACTTTAATAGATTACATGAAATAGAAAGTAATTAGTTAATTGAGTTGGTAAATTGTACAATTAACTTACCCAAGCAGTGAATGGTTGTAATACTGCCTGACGAAGAGCAGCAACCAAGGTGAAATCTTCACCACTGTGGTGATTCTGGTGAATTGCCCAGATAAATGCGATTTCTAAACGTATAATCAATCAAATTAAGTAAATAAACAATTTAATTATTAGTCAAATAATCAAGTAATCATGTCAAGGAACACACAGTATTTTAAAGACAGAAAAAAAACAGATCCAAAAGCAAAGGTTAATCAATGGGTTCGATTAAATTTTTCGGTTGATTGTTAATCAACTAATGGAACTAAAATTATACTTAACAATTTGATTGTGACAATCATCAGATTAACGGCAATCAATTGAAAGATTATTTAAATAATAGTTACTTCAGTTGATTAACTAAAAATGGACTCGAAATTAATAGTAAATGAGGACATAAAGGGTAAGTAATTTCAATTAGAATTCCTTATTTCACTTTGTCTTCATGAATTTCAAATTTCGAATTTTTTTCAATAACTTTTCTTCAACTAATCAGCTGATCTTTTACTTACCATGAGCTATTCTATGAGCCCAATAGAAACCTAAATCTATGGCAATAAAACATATATACCAAGTCCACACCGAGTCCCATGGAAGTGTCATCAGTCTGAATCTCTCATGAATGAAACAATAAACGATAATCTCAATGCTTCTGACTTTGATTCTGAAAATGAGAAAATAGGGAAAACAATTAATTCGATACAATTTAGTTCCATACCTTGGACGGACAAATCGTGAGGCCAAACAATCAACCTGATAAAATGAATTAACAATCAACTTGATTGATTGTAATGACCTTCTTTGTATGTTTTGTTTGTTTGATTTGTTGATTGAATGAATTGAGTAAAATTAACTGAATGGAAAACTTTTTGTAACTTTCACTTTTCTAATCAACTAATTGTGTCTCTTTAATTTAATTAATGTATGTTAATGATACTCGATTTGTTTGATTGAGATTTTGATTTAGTTAATTGTTGATAATATTAATTAGTGAAAAATTTTTACACTATTAAACTGCAATAAGATTGATTTGAAACAACAAATGATTAACTATTAAAATTAAATCCAATTCTTTCAGGCTATTGACCTGATTTTTAATTTTAATTGCAATAAACAAAATATTATTTCCAATCAATAAGTGAAAACTATTTAATTACAATCAACAATATTTCTCAAAAAATTAGCCAAAAATATCACATTGACAATTTAAACTGAATCAATTTGTCACTTGTAATCAATTTAGTCCAAAAAATACAAACCATAAACATAAACCATTAAGAATCAATGAAATTCAAGAAAATCAAAATTAACTTTAATCATCATGTTAGGAAGTGAAAATAATCAAATCAACTAATTGAAATTAAATCAATTCCTAAAAAAATGGTGAATTAAAAGATTACCAAGTTACCTGTCGATTTACCTGGTTATTTGTTTCAATTGTATTTCGATTGATTTTAATTGTTAAAAGTCTGCGATCAATTACAATTTGATGATTAACATCAACATGATACAACAATCATGTTAATTATATTTTCAGTTTCTTACAATTTAAATAATTTTCTTGATTCTCAAGCCGTTGACCTGATTCCTATTCAGCTTAACCCAAGTTTCCTTAAATATTATATCATTAATTTCATCTTCATTCAGGATACCGGTTATTTTCATTCATCTTTCTCTCTCCTTTTCTTACCTTTATCATCATCATCATCATCATTTCATCATTATCATTATCATCATCATCTCTCATTTATGTACTGGTCAGTTTGGACTCTTCCCCATTCAACTGTTGGTAGCAATTGTCTGAACTGTCCAGCAGCAGCAGCAGCGAGATAATAATAATAATGATGAAGCGAAAATCATAATCACGATAATAAAGATGAGGACAAAAATTAGAACCTAAATCAAACAGCTAATTGTAGATTTGATTTTCATTGTCTACACAAATTACAACTAAATTAACTAACTCAATTTACGATTACGATAATTGTGAAAACTTTATTTGTATATTTTGGGCTGAAAAGTTTTATTTCTTACATTTTATTGTTAAATTGCTATTCCAATATTGTGATTGTGTTTAAATTTGATTTAGATTATTAATAGTTAATAGGTAATAATAAGAATAATTTAACAGAATCAAATTAAAATTCATCACCACAATCAAGATGATTAAATTGTTGTCATTGTTATTCAAAGGCGTATCTCACAAGTCTAAATACACATGAAACTTAAATCGCTAAATTTAAATTGCTATTGTTTCAATAGTTGAGAGCCAATGATTTAATCAAATACTAAATTGTCCTAAATTTTCACTAATTAACTATCAACAATCAAAGGAAAAAAAAGTCTAAAGTAAAGGTTAGTGTCAAGTATCCTGTTGTGAGGGTATAACTTTTACCGATAACAATCAAGGTGGACACACGAATGGATTAATTATCGATTGACCAGTGCAACAATTAAAGGACAGATTAACTGATTGTTGATTGATAAATGTTGATTTTTCTGTTTTCTTCAACTCTTATCAATTAAAAATTGAAGGCAAAAGATACAAACACAATAGTAACAATTAACTTTTCCCCTTCTAACTTAAATCAGCCAACAACATCTATTATTGATTATGATGTTGTCAATCAATTGATTGTGATGATTGTTTGGTTAACACAATGGATATTGGTGAAACTATTATCATCTTAATCATAATCATTTTCATCATTTGTTAAAATCAACAACAATCATCATGATCCTTTGCTTGTATATCCCAATAACAATCAACACTAACAAACCAGAAAACAAATCAAAAATTTAAGAGCACTCAAAGTAATACAATCAATCACATAATAAATTGTAAACATAATCATCAAGTATCCAGTTAATTTAAATAACAATTGAAGTTAATCATATAATAGGAAAGTAAATTGACCAATGTGATATTCAAACTTTTCATCAATGAAGTTTCAAACAATCAACAAATCAATTGTCATATGTGAGCTCGTCTGTTTTTTTTTCATGGTCGATTGAATTTCTTGATTTTTCTCTTGATTGTTGAGTTAATTGTTCATTAATTTACCTGAGACATTCTTGAAAAATTCCTGAGCTTAGTGATGCTATGGAATCGTTGGTTCTCAGAATACCTTTTCCGGTGAATAAGCGAACAGCGTTTTCCAAGACTGACATAATCACGAAGAACGGGAACATCTAAGAAATACAAGAGAAAACAAGCAATCAATTAATTGTCTCCCATGTGATTATCATTGTTGGAATTGAAATTCATGATACAATCGATGATCTTGATTAGAGATTAATCTCACCTTAATCAGGTAGAGAGATAAACAAAATTAGGTTAACCAGTTACACTCACACAAAAACGAAAGCTTAATTTTGCTCTGGGCTTAAATTGTCTTCCTAATAGTTTTCACTTTCTCATTTCCGGATATTTCAACAACAACAACAACAATTAACATTAATAATAATATTAATTTCTCATCATTTAATCATCTCAATATGAATCGAGTGAGAAATGTGACAATTAACAAAATAATGTCAACAGAAAATGTTGATTGATAAAATTTCAACTTCTATTGGAAATCAAATTAGATTTAGCTTCAAATTCAATCAAACCTAAACAAGGTAAATCAAAACAGCACTTGAATATTAAACTCACAACAATTAATCAGTAAATTGAATGATTGAAAACAAAAAACAAATTCGAGCAAAAAAGTCGATTCCTCGTTTTCGATTACTATTGTTTATTGGAAATCTTTTAGAACTCTTCTAATCAATTGATTGCTAATCACTCACCTCTACGACATAACGAGGGACCATGTCCAGTCTTGGGTACATCGTTTCCCAAGGTGTGGCCAAATAGAAAAGAAATCGAACTTTATTGAAAAAATATCCAATTCCATCGGAAACCATTCCATCGTAATAGAAAGACGAATACAAGGTTTCATTAGGGTTGGAAAACGACATCGACTCGAGGGTTGATGTGTCAACCATTTTCACCGACAATTAACTTCCAATTCACAGATACACGAATAACACAATTCCGATGGATAACAAATCGAAAAAATTAAAAAAAAATGAAGATCACCAGAGTAAATTGCTGACCAATGGATATCGAAAGAAATTGGGAAAATTAAAAATTCGCACAACCAAAATATCGGATGAAAAGGAGTAAATGATTTTCTGTTTGAAATGGGAAATGTTGTTTGCCGATTATGATGATGATGATGATGATAGTTTAGGAATCGAGGAAGATGAAAAAGATGATGATTAAGGTGGAAAAAAGAAAGAGAAAGATGATCAGGCCACTTCAATGAGGACAAACTCAATTACCTGGCATAAATATAGTCGGTTTACTTACCTGGTTATTTGCAAGTCCAAGCTGAATAGCGTCTTGGTCAGTCCAGTTATTTTTTATCGTTTATCTTCCAACTTTCGTAAAGTTTTTTTCTTCTTTTCATCATCATCATCATCAACTCTCCTTTTCATCATCATCGAGTAGAAAACACCACCTCCTACTTCCCCCTTTTCATCATCTTCTCTTTCTTTTCTCTCATCTTACTTTCTCTCTCCTTGTATACAAACTAATCATCAGAATCTTATCCCTTCAGGTAACCATCCCATTGAAAGTGAAATTAGATGTTGATTAAGATATTTTTCTGAAAAAAAGCGGAAACCAAATGATAATCAAGGTATTGGATTAACGATTATCTCCTATTGAGATTAGAGATGAACTTTGGATTTCCAAAAGAAATTGAAATTTTAAAGGATAACATTCAATTCATTTTTCTGCAATTTATTTACAAGATTTACTTTCTTCTTAATTAGTCTGTTAACTGTCGTAATTAACCCAAATAATTCAATTAATTGTTTCCATTGATTCGATTTTCAATTTTTAATTGTTCCCTCCAAATCTTTTTACCGGTAAACATATGGGAGCTTTTGTTCAATCGGCTCACATGTAACATTCACTTTCTTTATTTTTTTCCAACAATTTAAGTTGATTAATTTTACTTTATTGTTTAGTATTTTAATCATTTTAAGAGGATTATGATCAACAATTAATTACATTTCTAAAAATCATCCACAATATTGGATTTGCTATAAATTGGGTAAGCTCTTTGTTTTCCATTCTAATCTTTTATTTTTGTCTATAAAACTTGTAATTCTTATTGTGATTGTGATTGTAATTGTAATTTATTTCTTTTTCTATTTATTTTCTTTATTTTTTACAGATTTAATTGTGATTGTTAATTACTGTTGATCAGCATATCAATCTTGATCTAAGATTGAATCAAAATGTTTGGAGGTGTTAATGTTGATTGTCAAAGATTGTAAATATATGTGTTGAAGTCAATTGATTTATTTTGGCTTTCTTTTTGTTTTGATTCATTATTTTTCTGTTTAATTAGTTTAAATGATTAACCGGACAATGAAACAGGAAGATGAATCATTAACTGTTATATTGGTCAGTAAAAGTGACGATATTCCTGATTTAAAAATATCTCAAGGTGATACAATGATAATTGGACGTAATCCGATAGCCAAGATTAAGAATATCAAATGTCCCCGTCAGTTGTATCAAATTGAGCTACGAGCTGAAATCTCCGATTGGTTTGTTAAACTGACCAATCTTAAAACAAAAGAAACCAGTATTGTGAAAGAAGGTGAAACTATAACTGGACCTGGTTTTGAGTATCAAGTTAAATTTGAGAAAGTGTCATGTCAATCAGAAACAATCTCATCAACAATTAACAATAATGATTCCCCTCCTGGAGAGATAAGCTTGATTCGGAAATCTTTTGATGAAGAAGAGTCTGAATCATTAAACCAAACACCAATAAAGAAGCTCAAAGTTGACGATAAGTCACAAACACCAACACCAACATCATTGTCATCGCTTTCATTATCCCTACCTGAGGTAAAAAATATGGACCAAAATTCAAGATCATCTTATTGGGAAGAGGTTGGTGAAGGATCTGTCCAAATTTACCACTACCTTGGCGGTGGTAAACCCTCATCAAAAATTATCGCCTTTGATTTTGATGGAACCCTGGTCAATGTTAAAAGTGGCTCTAAATTTCCCAAAGATGGTAACGATTGGAAACTATGGGATAAAAATCTTCCCAATTTAATATCAAAATACGTTGATGGCTCAGATAATTGTCATAGATTTGTCATCTTTAGTAATCAAAAGGGTGTCTCAGCTGGACTCATGCCTTTGGCTAATGTACAGCAACGGATTGAATCTTGTTTGGCCGCTATTGGTGTACCTTGTATCGCTTTTTGTGCTCTACAGGATAACATTTATCGTAAACCAAGGCCTGGGCTTTGGTATTTACTTCAAAATTGTTACAATGATCTAATTAATATCGATTATGAAGAAAGTTTCTATGTCGGCGATGCTGCTGGTAGGAAAACTGCTCTAAACAAAGATCACAGTAAGTACCTGAATTCTGGCTCTTTTTTTGATTTTATTAGTTAATTGTTATTTCTATTCTTCTCATAGGCTGTGCTGATATACTTTTTGCAATTAACAATGGAATTCCGTTTGCCACACCCGAACAATTTAGAGTTGGTAAAAAAGCCAAGAAGATGATACCGGATCCAAGCTCATCTATTTACAACTTACCGGCCTTCAATCCAAGATCACTAAGATCACTGAAAACACCATTCGCCGCTGAGCTTAACCCAACAGGAAAGGAAATGACTAAATTTACTGATTGTGATCAACTTATGACCAGAATTAATCAATCGCCGTCTCATTGTATCGTTTTTATTGGTTTACCTGGAGCCGGTAAATCAACTTTTTTTAATGAACTTTTATCAACCAAAGGCTATTTTCGGATTAATCGAGATGAATTAGGAACCATGGACAAATGTACAAGAGAATTTGAGAAATATGTAAAATCATCGACGTCCAATCAAACAAAACTGGTCATTGATAATCTCAATGTAGATTTAGTGAGTCGAGGCTCTTGGTTAAGTTTGTGTAAAGTTCATAACTTAACACCGATTGCATTTCAATTTAACATTAGTCGTGAACATGCTATTCACAATAACAATTATCGCCGATTGTTAAATCAAATGAGTCCAAATAGTACTAGTCAATCAGTTCCCGAATGGTTGATTAGTAAACACTCAAAAAATCTCGTTCAACCAACAATTAAGGAAGGATTTTCTTCACTGTTCAAAATTAACTTTTCTCCCAATTTTGGTGATCGTGATGATCGAGAAATTGAATTGTATTACATGTATCTAAATGAAAAATGATCCAAATTATTTCCAGGACAATAGACCAAGTCAACATTTCGTCCATTAAATATTGATTATTTTCCAATTGAACTAAATTGCCTAGTTTCAACTCTCACACCACCAAGAAACTATTTGTACTCAGAACACATGAAATTAACGAGGCCTCGACAGGTACGAAAGTGTCATGAAAACGGAACTTTAATCACTTTCGAAATGTCCAACATCGTAGTATAGGGAAGTTTAAGTTCGCAGTTAAATTGTCAATCATTTAGATTATCTTATGGCGATGAAATTAAATTAGGATCAGTGAAAAGTTTGATTGTTCAGGGTAAATCTATTCCAATGAATGATTGACTCAACCAATTTAAAGTCAATGTCATTTAAAATTAGCTGGAATTATCAATTTATGTTATTGATATTAATTATTTGGCAAACAATTTGAATTATTGACTTAACTTTGCCTTTTACAGTTGATTAAATGTTGGGGATGATCAGTTGATTAAGTTGAACTTAATCAATTTGAATGTCAATCGATTAAATTACAATAACAACTTGTTTCCAATTGATATTGATTCCAATCCATAATCAGATAAAATTGTTATATTTAATTGTGATTAATTTTTCAAGGCAAATGAACAATTCAAATCAATGTCATTGACTAAAACTGTTTATAATTAGTTTACACAATTATCAATATTAATTATTTGGCAAGTAACTTAAATTGTTGTTGTTGTTGTTTCTTGGCTGTTAATCAGTTGATCATCAACTGATAATAATCACCAATCGAACTGTAATTAGATCAAAAATGTCTTAAGTGTAAATGATTCTTGTCAATTGTTTGGATGAACATCAGATATTTTGTATCAATGTGATTAAGTTAATTGTCGTGATAAACAATCGTCACAATCGAGATTTTCATTTTTCAAATTAACCATTAACCATTAACCATCAAAGATTAATTCAATTCAAACAAATCTGTTGACGATTAAACCATTGGATTAGATTAAGATGATTGAAAAGATGAATAAGTTGATGGAGATTAAGATTCGGTGTTAAAACTTCAGCAATTATTTTTAGAAGCTCATGTTATCCTCCTGGTTTACTCTCTCTCTCTCTCTCTCTCTCTCTCTCTCTCTCTCTCTCTCTCTCTCTCTCTCTCTCTCTCTCTCTTTCTTTCTTTCTTCTTTTTCTTTAGAACAAAATATTTTTATCTCCATCTTCGTGGTCGTCGTCTTCTAGATTTTCGCCTCTTTTTCTTTCTGTTGAACTCAAAATGGATGCCAAGTTTTTCGCCCCAATGTTGGTTTAATAATAACGAAAATTGAAGTCTCCATCTTGGAATTAACCTTCTCTTTCTTTCTTTCTTTCTTTCTTCGACAATAATCAGCATTTTTCGTTACTAATTCATCTCGGAATTGTTATTTTCTTGGCTAGTTCCTTGTTCTTCTGTAACTTTCAGGTCAATCGTTGAAAAACTTAAGTTCACTTGGTTGATAAACTTGTTGAGATTAAGAAAATTTAATTGCTTCATTTACATCGTTTTATTGTTAATTAATTTGATTGAAAGAAAAACAGAAATTTTTATAAAACTTAGAACCAAAATATTGATCGCTAATCACAATTAAAGTCCAATCATAATTCCAGCTCATTGTGGAGGCTTTCGATTCCCTTCACTTGATTTCTTACAGCATTCCTATTGTGGTGACAATTAAATCATTCGATCAGTTAAATCAGCGAATTAATTAAACAATTAACTTACCTTAAATTTAACCAAGTTTTCTTTTCCAAGAGCTTGGTCATGACACTTGAGAACCTACGGAAATAATCAACAAAATAATTGATAGAAAACAATCAATGGTCAACAATCAAATTTACCTCTTCAAATTTAGCGACATTTCCGTCAATATCAGCGCAAATTTTGGCCACTTGGTCAGCAGATTTCATCGGCAATTGATCACCACATTTATTCACCGCAGCTAAGACATCCTTGGGTATGGCTTGTTCCTGATTACAGCCGAGTAATAATTAGTTAATCATCACTAATTCAGTTAAATTACTCAAATATACTCACTCTACAAGTATCTAATTCCTTTTGGATCTTTTCAAATGAACCATTTTTAATTTCTTCCAACATTTTCTGACAATTAAATGTTAATATATTCTTGGGACTTGGTTCGGACTTGATTGTTGAAATAACAGTTAACATCACGAGAATTGATAAAACTTGTTTAATCATCTTGTTGATTAGTTGATTGATAATCGATGAACAAAATAAAAAATTTGAATTGTATGTTTAATGGTTAACAATTTATATTTATGACAATTAAATTAAATCCTCTGATCCCTTTTTATATCACTGAATGACAATTAAAATTAATTATCGTTCCATGATTACTCTTACTAGCTGTTAATTGTTCATGGTGACAATCAAACCAATCTGATTAAATATAAAATCATTTGTAAAGTTATAATTAATCAAAATAAAGTTTACAATTTTAATCATTTGAATTGAAAACTTGACAATTTGATTAAATATTATCATTATGATCTGTAACTAATTGGATTGATTGTTTTGTGAGTTTCACTTTGTCCAATCAATTTGATTAACGACAATCAAATTTAATTTTGTAAAGAAAAAAATTTAATTTTTCATTATCATGATAATAATTAATATTGAAAATCAACAACAATCAAGTAAATCGTAAAGTCTATTAGCTTATTATTAACCATAATTTCAACTGTCAATACAATTTCGTGAATCTTAATAAATTAAACTTTTTGCAATTAACAATGGAATTCCGTTTGCCACACCCGAACAATTTAGAGTTGGTAAAAAAGCCAAGAAGATGATACCGGATCCAAGCTCATCTATTTACAACTTACCGGCCTTCAATCCAAGATCACTAAGATCACTGAAAACACCATTCGCCGCTGAGCTTAACCCAACAGGAAAGGAAATGACTAAATTTACTGATTGTGATCAACTTATGACCAGAATTAATCAATCGCCGTCTCATTGTATCGTTTTTATTGGTTTACCTGGAGCCGGTAAATCAACTTTTTTTAATGAACTTTTATCAACCAAAGGCTATTTTCGGATTAATCGAGATGAATTAGGAACCATGGACAAATGTACAAGAGAATTTGAGAAATATGTAAAATCATCGACGTCCAATCAAACAAAACTGGTCATTGATAATCTCAATGTAGATTTAGTGAGTCGAGGCTCTTGGTTAAGTTTGTGTAAAGTTCATAACTTAACACCGATTGCATTTCAATTTAACATTAGTCGTGAACATGCTATTCACAATAACAATTATCGCCGATTGTTAAATCAAATGAGTCCAAATAGTACTAGTCAATCAGTTCCCGAATGGTTGATTAGTAAACACTCAAAAAATCTCGTTCAACCAACAATTAAGGAAGGATTTTCTTCACTGTTCAAAATTAACTTTTCTCCCAATTTTGGTGATCGTGATGATCGAGAAATTGAATTGTATTACATGTATCTCAATGAAAAATGATCCAAATTATTTCCAGGACAATAGACCAAGTCAACATTTCGTCCATTAAATATTGATTATTTTCTAATTGAACTACATTGCCTAGTTCCAACTCTCACAGCACCAAGAAACTATTTCTACTCAGAACACATGAAGTTAACGAGACCTCGACAGGTACGAAAGTGTCATGAAAACGGAACTTAAATCACTTTCGAAATGTCCAACATCGTAGTATAGCGAAGGGTAATTTCGCAGTTAAATTGTCAATCATTTAGATTATCTTATGGCGATGAAACTAAATTAAGATCAGTGAAAAGTTTGATTGTTCAGAGTAAATCTATTCCAATGAATGATTGACTCAATAATAGTAATTACGATAAAATCAGTGGTCTTGGAATTGTTATTTTCTCAACTTCGAGAGCCATTGAAAAAGTTATGAAAAACTTTCGACTTCAATTTGAACATCTAAACGCCCTAAGGGTATGAAAACTTCATTAACTGATCAAATAAGATTCACCTTAGCCCTTGACCTTAGAGACCTTGAGAACTCGATCGAAAATATCGATAAAAAAGTTATGAATTAAGAAAAATGAGCCAAAAGAAAAAGTTTGTAAATCAGTAAAGTGGAAAAGCGAATCACGAGTTTATTGATTGAACGGTTATTGTTGTGATTTTGGCAACGATCAAGATGATGACGATTTGAGAAGATGAAGATGAAGATAAATAAGATGAGGAAGAAAGAGAGAGAGAAAGTATTAGGAAGATGAAGATTAGATCATCTTAACCATTTTCTCTTTCTTTTTTTACTTGGGTTGCCTCATTTTCCGCCATCATCTTAATCTTCATCCTCTTCTCTCCCTCTCTATGAGTGTTTTTCATCTTCCACGAGTTTGCTCATCCAAATTGTTCCATAAATAAACTTCAACTGATTCGAATTTGATTGTTACCATCTTTAGAGGCCAAAAAAGAATCAACGAGAAGAAAAAGAAAAAGAAAAAGAAGAAAACATTTTTACATAGAATAGAATTTACAGTTTTTTCTACCAAAAAAAGGAATAGAAAAACTCGTTGTTTCCTTTAACTCTGTGATTTTTTCTTCCATCTTGTTAACCTTACCTTAATTTTCACTCTTAATTAAGAATAAGTGATAAATTGTTTTTCTAATTGTGCAAAAATTATCGTAAATCAACCGGTTAATTGAGTTAATCTTTTCTTTCTCTACATGAGGACTATTATCATGGCTTCCAAATGATCGCCATCTTATTTTGGTAAGTCTTTTGGTCTACTTGTTGATTATTTTCTCGGTTTAGATTGTTAATTGTTTATTAATTTCATCTTTTTCTGTCATTTTTTGTCACCATCTCTCTCTCTCTCTCTCTCTCTCTTTTCCTTTCTATTAATCCTAAAAAAGATTATCTTATGATGAATCATAAGGCCAACAAAAAATTTTCTTCTCTTCTGTGATTTCATCTTTTTTTTCGTTTCTATTTCGCCAACAACATTTTCTTGTCTGTTACCAATATAAATTCAACACCATCTTCATCATCTCATCAGTAAAATTCACATCGGTGGTATTTTTAGCTTTAAATTCTGGTAGTTTCTCAGAAAATTCTAGTAACTCATCTCGCCATTTTCCTCTGTGTATCTTCTTGATTCTTGATTAAGGTAAAGTGAGAGAGAGAAAAGGGTCGTATTCTCACATAGGTGTTTTCTTTTGTTCTTCTTCTTTAGAATTAAATTCTATTCTATCAGCCTGTAAATTGAAGTGTTTTAATCATGGCCACTGCTTGGGATAAATTGGAACAATTGTTAACCTGTGCAATATGTTTGGATCGATTTCGAAACCCAAAGATGCTTCCATGTCAACACAGTTTCTGCCAAGAACCTTGTATGGAAGGTCTTCAAGATTATGCCCGACGGCAGATTAAATGCCCTGAATGTCGAGCTGAACATCGGATACCTTTTCAAGGAATTCAATCCTATCCCACCAATGTTACTCTTCAACGGTTCCTTGAGTTACACCAAAGTATAACCGGTGAAGAGCCTGAACCTGTTCCCTCCATGATGGAAAGGTGTGGTGTCTGTTCAGAGAAATCAACAGTTACTCGATGTAATCATTGTGATAAAAAGGTTTGCCCCGAGTGTAAAGAAGCTCATATTGATATTCTTAAACGTGAAATCTCACGTATTTGTCATCAAGTTCGTCGAGCTCTCAATAGATTACAAGATGCTCTCTCACAAACCGAACGCTCAATGGAAAGGTTAAATGTTAACTCGGTTCACATTCGTGATGAAATTGAAGAGATTGTCCGACGATTTGTTCGTGATTTAAAAGCTCAAGAGGATAAAATGTTAAAAGATTTGGAAACTTATTCACAAGTAGAATCGAAAAATTTAACCAAATTAAAGGAAGATCTTGCCATTGAGTATGATTTTCTTAAAGATAATTGTGACCTGGTTGAGAAAAATATCGTCGACCCAGAGAAAACCTGGAATGATGTTGAACTTTGTGAGGTGAAATTTATTTTTGTTAAAACTCTCGATTTTCTAAGAAATTTTGATGCCGATGCTGCCGATTATACTCGAGGTATGAAGTTCTTGCCAAGCTCAGAGTTGGACTCACTTCGCCGTAATTTGGTTAATTTTGGTGAACTTAAACTGTCAACTCTCGAAGAATCTAACGCTAATGTACATGCCTCATCTCCTGGTTTAATGTCCACCACTGGGGTCGGTTCATCTTCTTTGTCGGTCCCCCAACAAAGTATGCTCATGAGAAGTCAGAGTGACCATCGATTGGCAACACAATTTGCCCGTCGTGACTCGCGAATGACTGATTTAACTCAAAGTCGACTCAATACTCCAGGTTATTCTGATTCCGAGAAAGATCCTCGTGATCCTAATAGAGCCACATCTCCCAGCGGTTATTCATCTCGATCTCGACGAGATGATACAAGTCGACTTGGAAGTAGGTATGGAGATGATAGTCGAGATCCAACATCTCGTCGATTCCTTCGAGATTCTAGTGATACTTATCGTCCTGGTGGATATTCTCGTACAGATGAAGATTCTTTCTCCACTGGGCCTCAGTTCAAATCTCGTTTCATGAGAGAACGAGGTGGTGAATTGGGTTTCGATGATTTCGATTATGATCCATCAACTTACATGCCTCGAAGTGTACGATTTGAGGAACCCTCATCAACCACCCCAACAGCAACTTCATCTGCTCCACTAGTCAAAGTTTTCGACACACCAGAAGCACCAAGAGGTTGTCTCAGTGGGATTGTTAAAATTTCCGATACTGCTCATTATATGGAGCGTTCACATGAGAATGAGGTTCGAGCTAAGGTTGAAAAAGAAAAGAAAGAAGAGGAATCACGAAGTCTTCCCCCACCAACATCAGTATCCTCGTACCAACCACCCTCAAGACCCAGGCCACCCTCTCGTCAGGTATCCGAAGATGAGATTGAAAAGCAAAAGAAAATGAATCAAGCGGCATCCGCAGCATCAAATGTCACCCCCAGTAGAGCCAACAATTCATCCGCGTTAGGTAATAGCAATTTAACCACAACAACAGCCAATAGTTTATCAAGTAATTTAGCTCCATCCAGCATTGGATTAACCTCTTCATCAACACCAAATTCATTAGATAATTACGGTTCCAGTTTATCGTCCACCACAGTGCCATCCTCTGACACTATCCGACCTGTTGCTCGACGAGTCGGTTCAACTAGAGATGATGATGATTTAAGCACAGGTCGATCTTATCGTGATAACAATACTTCCTCGACTACAACAACAACACCATCCTCTCGACGTGGAGTTGGCTCAAGTGAGCTAACCTCAAGTTCATTGGTTGATGATAATGACGATGATCTTGATAGTTCTAATTTATCCCGAATTGGACGCAGACGACGTGGATCATTATCTGGAGAAGATTCAAAAGATTCGTTGTCAAGTCGCTCATCACAACCAACGCAAGCATCTTCTGCATCATCAACAGCATCCTCATCACCTTCAACAACTGGCACTTCAAGGCAAGTACAAGGGGAGGAGATGGTATCATCACTGTCAAAGGAGGATAGGATCATGTCAGAAGGTGAATTGGTTAATAATAATATTAATAGGAATCATAGTAATTGCAATTCAGTTAATAGTAATAATACAAATAGTTACAGGCAAAATTCAATTTCTCAATCGTCAACCGGATCATCTTTACCTCATTCAACTTCATCATCAGCATCTCTCGTTGGATCGCCTTATTCAAATAGTTCAATCAATTCCTCGTTAGTTCATAGTAACAGCTCAAATTCAACTTCATCTTATTCACAACCACCAAACAGTTCAATCTATTCATCGACTAATAATAATTCACTTGATGAAACAACAACAGCAACTTCAAATGATACGAGTTTGTATACTTCATCCAATCGAACCCGAGCTCCATCACCTTATGTCTCCCGACGAGCATCAGATTTTCAGATTGAAAAATCGTCTTCCATTAACTATTCATCTTTCCTCCGTTCCCGAAGTCCATCTATGGATCGTGATCTTAAATCAGTAGAGGTGACAAGTCGACCACTTTTAAGTCGAACTAGTTCATTAGAGGAAACCGGTCGAACCCTGGGAACTGTTGGTAGTATTACTGATAACAGTATCGACGGTGGTATTGGTAGTACTGTTGGTAGTCTTCGGGGAATAAATAGTTTGACCAGTAGTGGAACTGGTCGTTATTCATCATCTTCACCTTTATCTTCTTATACCTCATCATCTCCTTCTTCAACTCGTTTCACCTCTCGAATGCCTCTTCGCCTCGCTCGCAGTTCAACCGTAAGCTCACTCGCCTCAGCAACCTCAACATCCTCTTCGACTTCAACAACTCCCAGGTATTCAGATGATACCTATCGTTCCTATCGAAGTCGACCCTCATCACCAATTCGGTACAATTCATCATCTTCATCACTTTCATCCCTAACATCGTCAACATCCGCACGGCGACCTTACTCTTCAATCGGAGGAGATACCACAAGTAAACAAGATTCTTCTTGATCACCATCACCATCAACAAATCCAATTCCTCTTTGACAGTGACATTCATCATCCCAAAACATAAACACACACGCACACAAATAACATAATATCTTCATCACCGTTATAATAAAACTCCTTGAGAATTTGAGAAATTCAATTAATCAACAAATTACTCTTTCTCTTTGATTAACTTTAGGTCAGTACGGGCGCCGTTGGCAAAGAACCTACCGATAGCCGAAGAAGAAGAAGATAGAGATCGTGACTTAACAAGAAGACGAGGACCAAAATCATCATCATTAGTTACCAATAATCCAGCCTCATCATTAGGTATGATTAAAATTAATTTGCCTCTTTCTCTCTCCCAATCAATGAACAAAAAAACATCAATACAATCATAAACCATTGAGAAGTAAATTAAACATTTTCCTCTAAATGAAAAGTTTTCATGAAAAATCAACACGCTTACAATTAAAGATATTTTAATTGTCAAGAAATTAAATACTACAATTTTATATTATATGTTTTTCTGCATGGTAATTGTATTGATAATTAATAATATAAACTTTACAATTTGTATACATAATTAAATGTTGTCGTCTTTTGTCATTGCCACTTGATTATCAATGATAATCAATCAAAAGGAAAAGCCTTTCCCTTTAATCCTGCAAGTAGATTAACTGATTATCCTTTTAATCTAGTCCTGAATTCAAACAATTTTCCACCCCAAAGAAACACAATTAAGGAACCAAATAAATTCTGGAGATTGTAAATAAAAAAATTCTCTTTACATTCATGATGATGATTCTGGGTAACGATGAGCCGATAATCTTCATATTGATCATATTTATATTCCAGTTCATGATCATTTAACTAATTCGAATTCTAATTAAATTTTACTTCTCCCTGACATGATTAACAATCCAATTGACATTAGTTGATTTAATTTAGCTCTTCATTCACAAGCTTTTGATATGAATTATTAATGTAACAAATGGCTGTTAAATCATGAGAATGTACAATTAATAATATCAATGTATTAATAGTAATTGTGTGATCTCTGTTGATGAAAAGACTCCAAGTCACTTCCGTGTTGTTAATCCAAATGAATGTTCACCCTAAATTTACACGGGTAGTTAAGTTAATTGAAAATGGTCGCCAATTTTTAATTGCCAAATAGTCTCATCAAAATTAGGCCAAAGAAATTAAGTGATCCGTATTGAAGGCTCATCAAAATGTCTTGTGATGATGTTACCATGTTTTCATGAAATTGACAAAGTTAATCAGTTCAGTTTCACTTAATTACAATCAATTTTGTTGCTTGCAAATTTTTTTTCTCGTAAATTGGACAGAAAAATAATTAAACTAAAATTATTGATGCTTTTTTTTAAACGTTTGATTGATGAATTTTGCTTGCTCATGTTGATTGTCTTCTAATTGTTGCTTTTGTTTCGTATTATTGTCGTAATTGTAATTTTCGCATCACTAGCTACTTTCTCCTCCTTCGTTATGTTGATATTACCATTAATTGTTTTGTTTGAGTTGATTGTGAAGTTTAGCTAACCAAAGCTAACCCTTTTACTAACAGGCTCATCGACTTTCGGGACATTCAATCGCAACAGAAGTGAGAATCGAAACGACGACAATGAATATAACTCGAGAGGAGCATCGACCAGCGTTGGACGAAAAGATGATGTAGATGATCAAGACGAAGATGAGGATGAAGAGGAAGACGACGTAGAAGGAGAAGAAGAAGAGATTGAAGAAGAGGAGGAAGATGAGGAGGAGGAGGAAGAGGAAGAAGATGGAGACAATGAGGAACCAGAGGAGGAAGAAGCTGTCGAGGAAGAAGAAGAAGAAGAAGAAGAAGAAGATGGAGAAGATGAAGATGATGACGAAGAGGAAGAGGAAGAGGAAGAAGAAGATAATGATGCTGATTCAGGAGCTTGTGATGCTGAATCATCTCGAACAAATTATCAAACTTATTCTCAAAGAATGGGTCGCCCTACGGCTTCTTACACTCCTGAGACTCCTCGTCATCGATATTCAAGCGCAATGACAACCCCATCATCACCTTTATCAGCAACACCGTCAGTATATCAGAATAAAAACACGACCACTGCCTATCAATCATCGACAGCTCCAAACTCCTCTTTCTCTCCATCATCCACATTACCAGGCTCTCTCCATACGAATCATCAAAAACATCCTACTTCTCATTCAACTTCTGACCAAACTGACAAAGGTCGAGAAAATGGGATACCTTGTTCGGTTTCTGACCTGCTTAACCGTAGCGCTCAAGTCCGTCGAGACAGTACTGAACTGAGGCATCGATTTTTTGAATTAGATAAACCCAATAATTTACCTTCTCAGGTTTCAAGTGACTCTCGTAAGAGTAGCTTAGCTTGTTCGAGCCCCACTCATCGTGGTTCACCTAGATGGCCTCAAGGGTCAAGTACAGAAAAGTCTAGTTCAACTTTAAGAAACTTACCTTTGACTAAAAGGTTAGGTAGTAGTTCACTTGATTCAACAAAATCGTCAGCATCATCGTCATCACCATCATCAAATCGTCCATCTAAGACCAGTTTTCATGCTCGTTCATTACCAAAAGACAGACTTGATCGCACAGTTTCACCGCGAAACCTCAAACGCCATGATAAACATAGTGATCACTCTCGATCACGACAAAATCCTTCCTCATCTTCCTCTCCTTCCTATGCCCTTCCCTCTTCATCAAACGATCAGCATGAATCATTCAGGTTCCATAATACTAATCAAGAAAAAAGGTCAGTTTATGCGAGTGCACGTCCAAAGTCAAATGAATCTGCAAGTGGCTTTGACAATCGTACGACAACAACAACATCGAAATCGAAAAAATCTAATCCATCCTTGCTTAATTTAGATCGATCAAATTATCATTCAACTGCTTATCAGTCTAATCCAGCCTCCGATCGGCACATCTCATCAGCGCTAACCAGCAATCCATCAGCTGTTTATGCTTCAACCTCCGCCGCTGTTGCTTCAAATGCTTTATCATCAGGCTTAAATTATCATGATTTATCTAATTCCAGGCTAAGTCGAAGTAAAAGTTCCCATTTACTTGGAGGTTGGTGATTATGCTTTGCTTTCTAATCGAATCTAATTACCTAACAACTTCCTCCTCGATTAATCATAATCAAAAATGATACTAAAAAAAAGAATCACCAACCACAATTACCAAAGCAATTTAACATTCAAAATCCACAAATCGTAACCATTGAAATCCAATCTTGATTTGAATGAGAAAAGTAATTTGATAAACAACAATTTGTATTAAAACAATCAAAACCAAGAACAGTATTTCGTCTTGTTTCACAATTAAAAGGCGATTCTTAAATACACTTTAAATTGTTTCCCAAATTAACTCAAAATCTGTAACATTTCAATTCCAAATGTTGATCAAACTCTTAATTGTCTTCTATTAGTTAATATTAAGTAACCAATAATTAGAGGTGAAGATAATCACTTATAAAGAAAAGACCATGAAACTAATCCTGACTTTTGAATTTATCGCAAACATGAAAGAAATTAACTAATCCAGTTACCTTAAATCACGATTAATACAACTTTCTCTTTCTTTATTTCTCTTTCTTTCTCTCTCTCTTTCTTTGTTCTCTGTCTCATCCATTTCCTGTTCCTCATTTCCACCAAAATCACAATCAATTAAATCCTCAATCAAGAATCGACTTCAAGTACTTAGTACAATTGAAAGAAAAGCAATTCTAATAATATTATCCTAGAGTTTATGATTGTTGTATTACTAATTTCCTGTTACAATTACATTGAAGCTTTTTAATTGCGCTTAATTGTTTCAATTCAAATTGCTGTACCTTTTTAACACAATCAACGCAAACAAATCAACAAGAAATAAACATTTAAGCCAAACACCAAAAGACGATGTTGATTATTTATTTTAGGAATTGAGATACAATAAAATCCCCAAGAATCAATAATCTGATTCTCAATCATTTCTCCAATCGAGCCCATTAATCATCTATCTAAATAATTAACACCTTTTAATTGTTTTGGCTTTTTCATTTCTGTAAATTTCATCTTAATCTTTGTTTCCTTTTGTTTCCGTTTCCCTTTAAACCTTATTTGTCTATTATCTTCTCTCTCTTTCTCTCTTTCTCTCTCATTATATGTTGACCTTAAATAGTGTATTCTTCAGGTCATGACGGAAGTGATGATGATGATGATACTTCGACCCCATCAGTGCCCACCTATCGAAGTCGTTATGCCGAAGCAAATTATGGTAAAGAAGGTCGTTATCAGTATCGAACTCGAGCTCAACCTAAAGACAGAGAGAGAAGTCCAACTCTGGAAGATAATTCTGGTGAGGAAATTTTTCTCTTCATTTCTATTGTAACAATTAACTAAATTGTTTCTGCTCGTTTGTTAGGTCCAAGAGACAATAGTACTGGAGCAAATGCTTGGTCACAATATTTGCGAAACAAATATGGTTCAAGTCGTAATTCATCTGCAAGTTCAACTGGTTCCGCCTCGCGTGGTACCGCTGGTGGAAAAGCGGGCTTGAGTAAAAGTAAAAGTTCCCATGCTGTTTATTCACGAAACATATCGGACAGTTCAGATGACGACGGAGGTCCAACAACTACTTTGGGTGGACCGAAAGTTATGTCGAGAAAGGGAAGTCTAGATGCAAGCGATTCTATCCCTGGGAGTGTTGGTGCGAGCGGGACCAGCGGTGGAGGTGAAGGTGGTCGTCGGCCATCTTATGGTTATAATCTTCCCCGATCAACTTACCTTCAAAAGCGTAAGATGATGTTCAAAATTGGTACTCGAGGAACGGAACCGGGATGTTTCACTTGGCCTCGAGGTATCGCTTGTGGTCCTGATAATAGTATTGTAATCGCTGATTCGTCCAACCATCGGGTTCAAGTGTTTGATTCAACTGGTCGTTTTCTCCATGAATTTGGTTCTTACGGATCAGGCGAAGGGGAATTTGATTGTCTTGCTGGAGTTGCCGTCAACCGAATTGGACAGTATATCGTTTCCGACAGGTACAATCATCGAGTTCAAATATTCGATCCATCGGGTAGATTTTTACGATCTTTTGGTTGTGAAGGTCGAGTCGATGGTCGATTCAGTTACCCGTGGGGCATCACCACGGATTCACTTGGATTCATTTACGTTTGTGACAAGGAAAATCATCGAGTCCAAGTCTTCCAGTCCGACGGAACCTTCGTCGGTAAATTTGGAGCGATAGGCAATCGACCAGGTCTCCTTGAACATCCCCACTACATCGCAGTGTCCAACACCAATCGTGTGATTGTCAGTGATTCAAATAATCATCGAATTCAAATATTCGATGTCAATGGTCGCTCTTTGTCAACCTTCGGATGCGAAGGTACCGAAGAAGGTCAATTTAAGTTTCCACGAGGTATCGCCGTTGATGATCAGGGTTATATTATCGTCGGTGATTCTGGCAATAATAGAATTCAAATATTCAATCCTGATGGTACTTTCTTAAAGGTAAACGTGTCTTAATCTTTGATTGTTAAAATTTCTAACTAATTGTTTCACTAATTGTTTCAGGCTTTCGGTAGTTGGGGCTCAAGCGAAGGTGAATTCAAGGGACTCGAAGGTGTCGCAGTTTCGACTACTGGAAACATTTTGGTTTGTGATCGGGAAAATCATCGAATTCAAGTTTTTTAATCTAAATTTGGCTCAATCAACTACAATTAACTTTTCTAATTGTTTCGATTCAACAAAATACAGTCCAAAAAGCTAAAGGAAACACGATAACTTTACCAAAATTTTGGCCTGATGGTTAAATTGTTGTCAATCAATTACTAATTACGACAGGATTACATTCACCGATGTCGCAATTTACTAATTTATAATCATAAGATTAATTATATTGTATGTTGAATAATCAACAAATCCTTAAATTATTATCTTTTACAATCTTTAGTTTTAATTGTTCCCTCACCTATTGAGCTCTAATTAAGTAAATTGTAAAACCCTCATCATTTCATCACAACAATTAACTAGTCACCTAGATTCCTGATACGATCTGAATTTGTTATTTAGCTAAATTTACCATTCGATAAACTCTCAGCAATCAAATTTAACCCAATTGTTATAATCTAATTCTAACTACGCTTCTTAATTGTTGACCTTTAATTTTCTTGATTCGCCTCATTCCTTTTCTTCATCTTCTTCTTAATCATGATTTCGTAAACGAAAGTGCAAAGTCTAGATTATTAATTAATATTCAACTTTAACAATCAGTTAATTGTTTCTTCTTCTTCAAACAATCAATCTCATCAATTCTCTAAATTTACATTTAATTGATTTAAAATCTATCTTTTTTTTTCATCTCAATTATTGTTAATTAAAATTTCATCAAATGATTTAATTGTACCAACGAATTAAAACTTTACGAATAAAAGGAAAATTTAAATTGCAATTAACTTAATCATATAAAATAATTTCTTTTCAACTCATTTCTAGCAATTAAATTGTTACGATTGTTTCTGCAAGGTTATAATACCTTTGTACTTAATTCAATGATTAACCTTCACCAGGAATTAAGAAATGATCACGATTAACAATCATCGAGTAAATTATCACAATTAAATTTTAATTGTTACACAATGAACATCACAATTAACTCATGGATTATGTTGATTTGTTGTTGAATTAATTTTCGACGAATATTGTTTTCTTAATCAATTTAATTTCCATTAATTAATCATCCAAAATTGATTCTATTCCTTTTATAAATTGTTGATTATTTAATCATCTGTTGATTTGATGTTGTGCGTAATTACTGGGTAATTAAATTCACGTCTAATTGTTGTAAAATAATCATCGATGTTGTTTCTTATCGAGTTGATTTTTAATTTACAATCAGAGAAACAAAAAAGAGATGTGAGTAAAGTTGATTGTGTAAGAGAAATGATTAACAATTAATCATTGAAGATTCTCAATTATTGACATGTTATATTGCATCAGCAATTATCTAAATATAGATGATACAATAGTTGATTAAATTAAATAACAAATCGAATGAGAAATCATCCAATGGTCAATCAAAATCTTTTCCAATGTGTAACTTGACCAAAATCAAAATGGACAAAGTGACTTGTGAGTTAATTGTTTGATGAAAAGGACACTTTTAAATTACAATTAGCGTTTGAATGAAAAAGTAGAGTTGATGATAGAGTTGATTAGCTTTGTATATGTTGTGGATTATAATGATCACGGTGGTGAGGGTAAAGTTCATGAGGGATAAATGATCATAATTATTACAAATGAACATGATTGAGATTAGAATTGTCTTGGTATCAAATTGTAATACCAATGGATGATCTCTGTCAGGGTAATCCTTTGAATCCAAGGGATTTACTTTCATCTAATTGCCTTTGATTATTTTCAATGGGGTTAAAGGGATGACGATTCCTCCATAATCCAACAATAAATGAAAGAGAAAAGTAAAAGACCAGGTTTGGTTATTTGACAGATCACCTTGTAGACGAAGATGTTAAAATCCATGGAGGCATAAATACCAATCAATTCAAATCCCCATTCCATCAGGAACATAACAATAAACACTATCAACAGGAGACGATGATTCTTATAAATGGCCACCCCACCGACACAAAGAACCAGAAAATTGAGAATCTCAGTGAAGATGAAGAAATTTCTTGTCGCTTTGAAAAATTCTCTCTTGTAAATCTCATCAGTATCATAGTTTCGTATATCGGCCTGATAAGCGATGGTACTAAAATAGGTCCAAACCACTTCGTAAACCAGAGTAATAACAAAATGGAGCATCAAAAGGTACCGAAGTTGCTTCAATCGGCGTTTACTAACATTCGGTGACTTTATCTTATCATAAATCGAGCCCATTGTCAGATTATGGAACAATTGATTTCAATCAAGGAATCAGGTTGATTATCGTAATTTGAAAATACTTAAATTCACAATGGTCACACAGAAAGAAACAGTTAAAAACGATGAAAGAGTAACAATGAAAATCCGTTGACCAATCAATTCCTATGGAGTAACAACAAAGAGAACAAGTGAAAACATTGACCAGAGAAAATTGTTGAGAACAAACAAATCAATTCGGACACAATAAACACGTTTCGTTTTAAAAGATGAAATTGATCCTTGATGCAGGTTAGAGGAAAAAGAATAGAAAATAAAAACAAAAAAATGGAATTAATTAATTGTATCAATAGAAGAGAAGAGAGAACAAAATCAGAAAGAAACGATTACAATTGAGTCTTGTTGCTTGTGGAACAAAAAATAAACTAAAAGTCACATTGACTATTAGCGCTCTTCTGGTAAGAGCAGAAGAGAACTTGAATTTTTTTCTATTCTAAATCACTTTTACTTTTACTTTCTCTTTAAATTTTACCTTTTTTCTTTCTTCTCTTTCCTTCTCTCTCTCTTTTCACCTCCTCTTTTCTCTTCTCTCTCTTTTCCACATCTGTCTTCATCTCCATCACCATCCAAGGGAAACTAGTTTTGTGAATTTCTCATTGATGCTCATTGTTGGGGAATTTTCCCCACAATTGATTTACCAGATTGAAACCGAAATTTTCATCGTAATCATCATCATCTCATTTATCTTCTCTCTCTCTCTCTCTCTCTCTCTCTCTTTCAGAAAATTCTGGTCCGTCTTCCAAACGTAAATGATAAGTTGGATTGACCTCATCTCATGTTTACCTTTTTGTTTTCATCTTTTTTCCCTCTTCACTTGTCCAACTACTTTTTCAGGTCGACCAACTTTAATGGCGAATTCAAAGTTAATTGTTTTTCCAACGCTAATCATGTAAAACAGCTAAAGATGAAGGCGATGATTAATTTCTGCAGCGAACAATTTAATTCGTCGTGTTATATATTGTGACTGTTTCTCTCCTTCTTTTCTTCAAACATCTCGATTCACCTTCTCTCTCTCTCTCTCTCTCTCTCTCTCTCTCTCTCTCTCTCTCTCTCTCTGGTTTAATTACTATTCACAACAATTAGCAATTTACATCCACTTGAAGTCTCTCTTTCTTTTATACACAATGATTAAAATCTTGTTGATTGTTGATGATAATTAGAATCTGAAGGAAGAGGGAAAAGAGTGCGATTAACTATGGCAATGAGATACAAAGAATCAACGTTACATGGGTAATTACCTTGAGATTATCACAGAAATGATTAAACTAATTTCCGTTTCTTGTTTTAATCCTCAGATTCTGGACATGATAACATCCAAACGAAAACAAATTAACCTTTCAATTTCCTTAGGCCTTTGGTCGTTGAATATCTTTCGGTTCGAATCCATGGAGTAAACAAAAAGTCACTTATCTTCCTCATTAATCAATAGTAATTGAAATAGTCTATTCACCACAATTGATTCTAATTCAGTTTGATGAATTAACAATTTATTTTCTATTCAATCTTCGTCTCAATAAGCTGACGTCTCTTTTTTGCAATTGACATCCTAATGTTAGTCTTTCTCTCTCAGTTCATTTTATCCTTATAATGTGACAGAATTGATGTTTACCATGTTGACATAATCACTACAATCAAAATATGTTATAATCACAATAGTTGTTTATCTTGGCAATTTTTTCCCAATTCTGTCTATCTGTTTACTCCTTCATTACATCAAATCATATGTGAGGCAAAAAGACACATTATCCGCTTAGAGATTCAATATCTCTCAATGGAAACCTTGGATTAGAGAGTAGAACTCTCATCAATCTTTTCCAATAACAGAATCAATTGCAATTACAAACATGGTGGACCTTGAATTAGAATGAAAAAAAGAGTAAAACATAAATATATAACTCTGATTGAGGAAAAAGAATCAAGATAAACCGAAAACTGTGACCATTGGGAAGAGATTGAAGGTCCATAAATGATCCCGTCAATACTTTTCAAATGATTACAAGAAAATCTTCAATTCTTACCTCATGTTAAGAACTTTATCTCTCTTACAATCATTACTTCATTGGTGTAAATCCTTTTGATTGTCAACAATTAACACAACGAGAAAAGTAAACAATCACCAACTCTCAATAAAGATAATCATTTTTAAAGATTAAAAGATCAAACAATTGACCAGAAAATAAGACAAGAGATTGACACTTTTTCGCTGCAAATTTGAACATCTAAATGTTGACATTAAAAAGAATTACTTGTATTAAATATTCACAAGATCGATGATTGAATGAAGAGATTAATTAGCTTAATGAACTTTAACAACGAAAATAAAGACAAAAAAAGAAAGAGACTAAAAGAGAAGCGGAAAATTAACTTAACCGGACCGGTTGTTTTCTTACATCAGGTAAACTTTGTTTTGATTATTCGGTTTGTTTTGTTTTTCTATTCTCTTGTTTTTTTTCTATTTACTTTTGTTTAATTGTTCCAAACAATTTAAATTCTCTGTTGATTAACATCTTATTTACCTAACGAGCACCCGGCTGTTGGTGAACTATCATCTAAAAGTGATTCTAATTGTAATATAATCAATTCCAATTTGTATCATGTTACCCAAACTCTTCATTCAAGAAGCTTTTTGTTAACAATTCTGTTGATGGTTATTTCTTTCATTTATTATATTTAAATTGTTGTTAAATATGTTTTCTAATCTTGATTTGATTGTTCTTCATTTTATCAACTTTAAATCTTAATTGATTGTGTGAGTTTTCAGAAATCTAAAAGAAATCGGGTTAGTTATTTACTCCGATTGCAAATTTTAACCTACGTAACTGAAAGGTAAGTAAATTCACCTGATTATTTGAATATATTTACTTTTGATTGGTCATCTGTTTGGTGGCTTAATTGTTACCATTTCATCAGATACCAACTAATTGATAATTGTAGATAATTTAAATGAGAATCTGAAAACGAATATAAAAATTACAAGGTTAACTTGTTGATTGTTTTTCTTTTCATTTAATTTTTTGTAGCAACACTTTGGGCTCACACTAATATGCAGAGTCGCTGGTTATACTGGTTACACTGGTTAACCTTGATTACTGGCTTAATTGTTGGTGTGCTATTTGCTGTTTCCTGGGAGATTTACAATCTATTATTAAATGTTGGTGATGATTACCACCGATCTTATAATGTTTGGTCAGCTAACGATGCTAAAATCAACGGCGATCATTTAAATTATGTCAACATGGATTCACTTGAAAGTTACTTTGCCAGTGATGATGAGATGATGATGATTCCTGATGAAAACATGAAAACCCAAATGAATTCAATTAAATTAACATGTTTAATTCAAGTGAAAAAATCCAACATCCTGTCAACTCTTAATCAAACTTGGGCTTCTCGATGTAATCAATCATTTTTTTACTTTTCATCATCTGATTTACCTGACAATTCAACTCTACCCAATGTTGATAATATCGCCTTAATTTCAGGCTCATCAAGTAGATTATTTTTCAAATCAAAACTCTCATCATGGAAATTATTTTGCTCCGTTTTGTTGAAAACTAATTTCATCAAATCACAATATTCATCAGCTGATTGGTTTTTAATTGCTCCAAGTAACGTTTTATTTATCATTGAAAATCTCCGTCGCTATTTGATCTCATTCAATTCATCTAATCAATTCTATCTTGGTCTTCCATATAACAATCATGCTCCAATTAATTACAATTCCTTTGATTCTGGAATTGTCCTGAGTAGAGCTGCTTTTAACTCTTTGATGGAAGTAATCAAATTAACGAACAATTGTAATAGTAATTATCTCTCCAGTAAAAGACTATCACTCGATCGCCGTATGGATGTAGCCATTGGTCAGATTCTCAATACCCATGGAGTCGAGCCACTGGACACTCGTGATAAGCTTGGACGCGCTCGATTTTTAGGACTTTCATTGGATCGGCACATTTTCGCCGATGATCTCGACTTTGACCATCCCTTTTGGCAGCATAATGTTTATCATTTTCCAAATGGACCTAATTGTTGTAGCGATCATTTAATATCCATCCCTGATTCGAGTATGAGACAAATAAGATTCTATTATTATCTAATGTACCAAGTACGAGTTAATGGACGTTTGAATCCTCTCACAGGTCGAATATAATTAAATCATTTCTTCCTTTAAAATAAACAATTAATAACGAAAATCAGAAATCGGAATAATTATTATTCTCAGTTAATTGTCAACCACCAATAACATTGAGTTATAAATTTAATTCATTGATTGTGATCAAAGAGCAACAAATCTGTGATTGTGAGTTACAGGAAAAAGAAATCATGTAATTATGTTGATTGTAAACAGTTTAATTACCAATTAAATATTTTTCGTAAAAAAATGAAATCACCTTCTATTGTTGGTTTTTAATTGAGATTAACTAATTAATTGAAAGCCGAGATTAGAATCAATTTAACTCGTTCACAATTGAACAGGGAAATGTGATAATTTGGCCAATCGAACTGAATTAATTTTCCATGGAGTTAAATCAACAACGAAAAAAAAAATTAATTAGTGTTTTTCTTTCAAATAATTTATACATTTAATTGTTAATCATTTTTGTAAAACGTTAGGATTTAGTTTTCTTTCATCAAAAAACTAAATCAATTCAGTTTTGTCCCGAGATTTAAATGGTACAACTGAATTATTTTTTCATAGCGTTAATTAGTTGTTTGTATTTGTGTGTTTGACTTAATTAAATCGTTAAACATTGTATAATAATCAGAATATTAATAATTAATAATAACATTTAGAAAAAAAGAGGAGGATCTTTTTTTTTAAAGAATCAATTGTTTCCCTCTGAAAGTCAATGTTATCTGTTCAGATAATGAATGACAATCAATGAGTAAAACAATTTAGGAATAGAGACTTGGGTCTTTTTGGTTAATTTAGTTTTCCTTTCATGTAGGTTTCATTAATCATTTTGGAACCAATAATAATTATGATGATTAAATTTTTCTTTCAATGGTTAGGCCTTTTCGAAGACAGAAAAGTGAATCTTTTCTGTTGTAAATTTATGCGTGTTTCTTGTTTCCTTTAATTGAAGTTTTTCTCGTTCTTCGGGTGGGATTTTCGAGATGTGTAGTTAATTAAATTGTACCAATTAGTGTGAAATTTGTTTTTAAAACAGGTAGAGAGTCAATTATCATTAGAGAGATGAGGCAGTTTAAAACAATTTTTAGGTTTTTGTGAAAACGTTGGAATAATTTTTCTTGTTAGTGTTTGTGATGAATTTAAAGTGAAGACAGAAAATTGGAGAGAAAACATCACAACAATTAGTGTTGATTGTTTTTTGGTTAATCATTTGGTGGATAATTTTCAGTGGTGTTGATGAAAAACGATAAACATTTATCAATGTGGACCCGCTATGATGTGTGTGTATGTGAGAGTTGAGTTGAGTGTGTTGGTTCAATTTTCATTGTTGTTGTGTTGATGAAGATGATGATAATGATAATGATGGAAAACAAAAACTCGGCAGATAATTTAGTGATAATCATAATAAGTTATGATAATAACAATAAATGTGTTAAAACCGTGGTGATAATTGTTAATTGTGATAATTTGTCGACACAATTATGATTATAATTAGTGCTGTTGGTTGTGTTTTTTTTTCAGTTTTAATCAAACATGGATCAAGTATTAGTTGTTGTTTGAAGATTGATTGATTTCCAAGAAAACTATCAAGTTTTTTTTCACAATTAGAATCAATCATTATTCCAAACGGTCTTTGATTTATATATAAGTCATTTGACAGAAATTAACAAATCATTTGGACTTAATTTGCATCTATGGAATCATTTTGTTGATTTATGGTGACTTCTTGTTGTGAATTAACGGTGAGAATAATTAATAATAACAGTAAGATATAACTTCTATGATAATGATTAGTTGACGTTAGAAATTGTTGATAATTGGTTGAGTTAATTGAATAGAAATCAAACAACGAAGAGTAAAAATATCAACGAATACAATTTGAGTTTTTCAATAAGTTGCAATTGAATTTTTATCACTTTATCCTTTCAATTTTGCTGGAATAATAATTGACTGATTGTAATGATTATGCTTCTTTTGTTTGTTTGTTTTTTTTGCATTGGTGTTTTTCTCGGTGTCGTTTGGTTAGCATTCATCTAACTTAACGCCTTGTCTTCAACATCTCCAACTAGTGAGCTTTTTGAGGAAGATGCTGAAGATGCTTGAATAAGGCGACTGGAAGCAGAAGAAATGTCAGATGAAATTGAGAAAACTCCATCTTGTTGTGGATGTTGATGTTTTTGTCCTTTGTTGGCCTGATTGTTGGAAGGAAGAATTGACATATTAAGGTGACAATCACATGAACAAGCAATTGGAGACACAAGTGGCTGTTCATCGCCGCTATTCAATTCAGCCAGTTCAGGGGGTGAAAGAGGAGTTATCTGATCTTCTGCCGGTGTATTACAACCTGATGGATCATTTGAATTAAATGAGCCCAGTTTACCAATAAGACAATCACATTTATCACATTCCATACTCCACTTGTATCTTTCAACGGTACTCTCAAGATTTTCTTTGATAAAAGCGTATGGGTTAAAATTATCTCCAAATGGTGTCCATTGGTCTTCAAAATCCAACGGGGTGATTGGGGTTAACGGTGAAACTGCTTGTGATGATGTTTCGTTGACTGGGGTGAACGCATCGGCAGTTGAATGGGCAAAGTTAATACCAAGGCTTTCGACACCAACACCAATACCTGGTATGTTATTGTTAGTACTAACTATCGAGTCTCGAGATGAATTATCAAAGGTAGATCGTCGTCGGCGGTGATAATTTTTTGGACTATGTAGCCCTTTTTCACAGAATTCAAGCCAAATGGCTGGATTACTTTTACGTGGACTTTTCACTCTGGAACAGTTATTAGCATAATTGGCAGAAATAAAAGTATCCCCTGGAAGTGAGAGACGAATCTTTTCCACATTTGGATCTGGTGAAGGAGTGGAAAGAAAGGCTTCGAGTGGTGCAATATTGATAGGAGTTGTACTTCTTGGCCTATCAACAGGTATCGTATTAATATCATGTCGTCGTCGAGCTGAAGCTCGAGAAAAGTTTTCCTGAGACAATTTTTCCTCTGTATCAGGAGTAATAATTAATTCGGTTGGACCATCATAATCATCGTAATCAATTGAATCATGGTTGAGCAAAGTGGCAGCTTCGAAATCGTTTTCACTTGTCTCTGAAGATTGACGTTTAAGATAAATTGCTTTCTTACTACAAACCTCTGTAAGAGAAACAAAAACATCGATAAAAATGATAAAATTAATTATGATTATTCTGTTATTGATGATTGAGAGTAAAAGAGAAAGGAAATTGAATCTTGAGAATGTGATTGATAAAAGATTTACAAGAGAGATTAGGTGAACATAATTATATTATCGTTAGTCAATAAATTGTCAAGATCAATTAGATTTCATAAAGAACAATCAACTAACCGGCATTTAACGTAGTACTAGATTCCTCTAAGTCCGATCCAGAAGAATAACCCTTTTCTGAACTGTTGTGCTCGATCGTGGCCACAACAGTAGTTTCCGTTCCTCTGTTGGTGGTTGACTCAATCTCTTTGGTTTTGAAACTTCGAGGTAAACTTTGACATTCGTCGTCGATTGTTTCAGAACGTGTTCGTAATTTTCTGATTAAATTAGGTTTAGGTAGTTGATTAGCAGTATTTGTATTGATCACTGGTTCAACAGAAATCTCTGTTTCGTAGGAAGAGTCAATTGTTTTCTCATTTGATGCTGTTTGATTATCTGGAATAGTTGAAGATAATTTACTTCTTATTTCATCAAATTGTAAATCAAGAGGTAAATCTATTTGTAGATTCTCATTTAAATCACTCATCCTCTGTTCAATTTCTCGCTCGATTATGTTGATTATATCTTGTTGAGATTCACAAGGTTCATTGAGATCCTGAGGTATTGTTAACTCTTCATGTAGTTTACCAACAGCAACAAAATTATCAACAATACCATCAACATTTGGTCTAGAAGTTGAGGAAATTGTTGAATCACATTTAATTTTAGTTGATGATGATAATGTAGCGTTGATACTACTAGAATTATTATTATTTTCATTATTGGTGCTGCTTTTTTTACTAGCACTTGAAATGGTATCATTTTCTTGACTAAGCATAGCAACTGTTGATGAATTTAATGATAATGATGGTTGATGACTAGATGATTGTTGTTGTGCTTGTAGTGTGGATCCATTGTTTGTCCCCACAGTGGAGGTTGAGTTCTTTCGGCCAACCTTTAAAAATGAAAAAAATCCTTTCTTATTTTTACCGCTTGAATTACCGGTCGTTGTGGGAGTATTTGTAGCTGTTGGTGTGGTTATTGTATCCGGTTGGTCACAATTTGGACTTTTTTGGGAACATTCAGATCCAATGGGTGATTTAGATCGAGATCTACTTCGTCCAAGGAAAAATATATCAGTCCAAGAACCTTTTCTTCGTGAATCTGGACTTGGTGATTTTTCTCCGCCCGATTCATCTCCACTGGGAACCATAAGATTACTACCACCAGAGGGTCGAGCTGATGAACCATCATAAGTACCACTTGTACCTGGAACCATTGGACTACTGTAACCTGTCGGTGTTACCTCTCCACTGGCTGGTTCCTCGTCCACACAAACCTGACTATATGTAACGGTTGTTGGTGTTGATGATGACCAGCAGCCACTTAATTGTTGACCAGAAGATGATGGTGGTGATAATAAACCATAGTTACTAGTGTTGGGCAAAGTTGATTGTATCACTGATATTCCGTTAATAGTTGTACTAATAGGTTGATTATCATTTGCATGGTAAGAATTGTAATGTCCATTGGTTTGCTCTTGCCTATGAGGTATGGTCACTTTATGTGGTGAAGGTTGGGTCAAAACATCTCGACTGTCAAAACTTAATATATGATCAAACTCTTCCGAGTCAGGAGATAAATCTTGTAAAGTATTATCATCTCCAATGTCACCCTCTGGACTGATCTGCTCATCAGATGGTAGATCTTCAAAAGATGCTAATGGAGCGGGTCCGGCACGACGTTGATCAGAAGGATAACTGTAACCCAACTTGGGTCTACCGGAAGGAGTGAAATCCATAGTTTATTTTCTTAAATTTATGGAGAGAGACAAAAAATCACTACGAATTCACCTCAACAATATTGACCGTTAGCCAAGAACCAACCACGTTAAGTAAACAATAACGTAAATGAAGAGCGACTCGTTTTAATGAATCCAAGTAAACAACAACAGGTACAATCAGATGAAGATATAACAGTAATCCTTATTTGGTTAATTGTGACAACTTTCAACAGATATAAATGGTGATCAATAACGAAACCAAGAAAGCAAAAATTTACGATGATATTTGTGTTGGAAAAATCATTTTTGGGTTATCAAAATCAACGGGAAATCTGAAACAAAGAGGAAAAACAAGAAGAAAAGAAATTAAAAGTTAAATTATTAATTGACGACAAAATGATAGGATCAATCAAATCAACAACAAAGGGAAAGTAAAGGTGATAAACATTCAAGTGTAAAATGTAACAAAAATCACATAACGATAAGAATTGAAACTATTGGTTTATCAATATTTTCCCTATTAGATTGGGGCTAGTGAAATTATTATGATTACGTTGGTGAGTTGATGGTGAAGTGTAAGGAATAAGGATTGGGTTAGTAGATCAAATGGTCGACACTTACAAGCTTTTTCATCTCGTTTGTTAGGAAAAGTGAGATTTTTTTCTTATATACACATAGATTATTATTATTGTTGACGAAGCAAAAGAATAAGAGAAAAAGAAAGTGTAGAAAATGAGAAGTAATGACAACTGTGAGAGGGAGAGAGGGACAGATAGAAAGAAAGAAAGAAAAAGTGAGATAAAAAAGACAGAAAGGTAAATATTGAAGATTGAATGAGAAAGAGAAATTGAGAGTGAGGGTGTTTCAGGATTGTAAGAGAATGAAAAAAGCACTCGATAAATATGCACAAACAGCGGAGGAGGGAAAAAGGTGAAAATCTTACCTTATATTACGAAGAATAAACGTAATTAGAGACGAATGAGATAACAGTAAATTGTATTACAATTGCAAAAATTGGTTAAATTGGTTGAAGATAAGTATTCTATCTTCACCATCATCATGTCTGATAAATTTTCTTTGAGTTAATTTTGTTGAAATGAATCAATTTCTTTAGAATAGAAATGCAATAATCCTTGCGGCTTCTACGCTTTTGGCTTTCCTCACCTTCCCGGTGGTTAATTCATTGAGAAACATTTACAGGGGACACAATCTAAATAGAAAAGAGAGAGAGAGAAAAAAAAAGAGAAATGGATCGATTAGAAGAGAGGGAGAAGAAAATGAAACAAAACAAACATCTCAGGTAGAAAGAGAAGAAGAAGACCAAAAATTCTGGAATTTTGAGAAGAAGCAGAAAGAGAAGAAAATAATATCAGAATAATAGAGAAAAGGAAGAAAACAAGGACAAAACATAACAAGGTTTCTGAAGGAAGAAGCAAAAGATGAAAAAAGAGAGAACAGAATAAAGAGAGAAAAAAAAGGAGAAAAAAGAACAATTTTTACCATAGAATTTCACCAAAAGAATCTTTTCACCAAACATCTTTTCTAAAGCTGAAATTAAACCAAAAGAAACCAGACGAATATTCAATGCTAACTAACCACCACCTCGAAAATAATAATCATACCAATTAAATTTAATTCTACAATTAAAACGATCAGAAAAATGAAAACAAACTGTAAACAATCAGTTGACTTGAAGAGAGAAACAGAAGAGAAAAACTTGAAAAAAGGCGCACCTGTTGCAGTTGAATAGTCGCAACGATAGATGGCGACACGAGTTTTTCTTTTTTTTTCTAATCTCTAATGTTAATGTTTCTCTATAAAGATCTGAGAAGATTCTTGTCACTTCTAAGTGTTGGCCCAATTCGTGTTACTAATTTTCTTTATTTTCTGTTTTTCGATTTCTATTTTCCTTGTGGTCTTAATCTTCATAATTACTTTAACAAATATCTGTTAATATAAGTGAGTATCTTAATTGTGGGGAGAATAGTGGAAATTGAAAAGATAGTGAAAAACAAATTATGGGAGAAGTGGATCCAGAGACGCTATTAGAATGGCTGTCGATGGGACAAGGGGACGAGAGAGAAATGCAACTAATTGCCTTGGAACAATTATGTATGCTTCTTCTTATGTCGGATAATGTTGACCGATGTTTTGAAAGGTAATATTCCCATTTTTATCATAATCTGATTGTGTTTAATTCTTTTATTTGCTTTTTTAATGGTGCTCCTTTTTCTCATTGTTCATTCTTTTTTTTTGTTTCTTTTTTCTCTCCATCTCATCTTTAGCTGCCCTCCAAGAACCTTTTTGCCAGCATTGTGTCACATATTCTTAGATGAATGTGCTCCAGACAATATACTTGAAGTTACGGCAAGAGCAATCACATATTACCTTGATGTTTCAGCTGAATGTACAAGAAGGATTGTTGCTGTTGATGGCACCGTTAAGGCCATATGTAACCATCTCACTGTATCTGATATCAATTCTCGAGCCTCTAAAGATTTAGCAGAACAATGTGTAAAAGTAAGTGTTTGCCATCATCACAATTTTCTTTCCTTCTTTCCTTCTTTCTTTCTTTCTTTCTTTCTCTCTCTCTCTCTTTTCTTTATCTTTCTATTTATCTATCTTTCTTTTTTTCTCTTTCTCTCTCCTTTTCTCTCTCTCTCTCTCTTGGCTTTCTTTCTTATCCTCTTGGCTTCTATTTGCTATCTGAAAGATATTGTTCTCTTTTTCTCTCTTTCTTTCTCGAGTCACACGCATTTTAGTTTAATCAAAATTTCCTATCGTTAGAAAAATTTGAGATCATATGAAAACCTTGGCGAAAGAAGTCAAAAGAAACAGAGAGATTATAAAAAGAAATAGAGTTAAAAGAAAATGGACCCTTTACTTTCTTGGCTCTGATCTTTTTCCCTGACACTTAAACATTTTCATTGACATTTAAATTTCTTGTAATTAATTTGTTCTCTTTTTATCCTTGTCTCATTTTTTTTCTTTTCTCTTTTCTAGGTCTTAGAATTAATCTGCACCCGAGAGGCTGGTGCAGTATTTGAAGCTGGTGGACTGAACGCAGTTTTAACCTTTATTCGAGACGATGGATCTTTCGTTCATGAAGATACCCTTCACTCTGCCATGGCAGTTGTTTCTCGCCTTTGTGGTAAAATGGAACCACAAGATGCATCACTTCAGTCTTGTGTCGAATCTTTATCAAACCTGTTGAAACATGAAGACAATCATGTTGCTGATGGAGCCCTGAGGTGTTTCGCCTCTTTAGCTGACAGATATACTCGCAGGGGAATCGATCCTGCACCTTTAGCTGAGCATGGGCTAGTTGATCAACTTTTATCAAAATTATCTTCTGTTAATGACATAAGTCACCTAAATACATCACTTCTTGCCACCGGGCAAACTTTAAATGCATCAGGAGCAAGTGAAAGCAAATCATCACAAACAATATCAACTGTGATTAGTTTATTATCAACATTATGTCGAGGATCACCCTCTATAACATCAAATCTTTTGAGATCTAATTTATCTGTCGCAATTGAATCATCTCTTCATGGTGATGAAAGATGTGTCCTAGATACAATGAGGCTGATTGATCTACTTCTAGTACTTATTTTTGAGGGACGAAATTCATTGCCCAAATCAACCGTTTCTTCAGCACCTTCACGTCTCAACTTTCGTCGATTAGATAGTGCAGGTGAAAGAACACACCGTCAACTTATCGATTGTATCAGAAGTAAAGATACCGATGCACTTATAGACTCAATTGATTCTGGTAACATTGAGGTTAACTTTATGGATGATGTAGGTCAAACTTTACTCAATTGGGCTTCAGCCTTTGGAACCCAACAAATGGTTGAATTTCTTTGTGAACGAGGAGCTGATGTAAATAAGGGTCAACGCTCTTCATCCCTTCATTACGCTGCCTGTTTCGGTAGACCTGGAGTTGTTAAAGTGTTGCTTCGTCATGGAGCTAATCCTGATTTAAGAGATGAAGATGGTAAAACACCATTGGACAAAGCTCGTGAACGTAATGATGAAGGTCATCGTGAGGTAACTGCAGTCCTTCAATCTCCAGGAGAGTGGATGTGTCCTGTTGGTTCAACCAATAAATGTGATAATAAGGGTAATGATTGTTGTTCAACATCAGGATGTGAACCTAAAGGTGATCCAGCAATGGCACCGATTTACCTTGAACGTCTTTTACCAATTTTTTGTCAAACATTCCAATCAACAATGGTCAGGGCTGTGCGTAAATCTAGTTTAAATTTAGTCAAAAAAATGGTCCATTACATACAATCGGAGCAAATTGTTTGTCTTAATGAAAAGTTTCCTACTCTACCTCCACTCATGGTTGAAGTTATCTCCAATGTGTTGGACAGTGAAGATGACGATGAAGGATATTTACTGGTTCTCCAAATGATACAAGATTTAATGGCCAAAGGATCGGACATCTTTTTGGAACATTTTGCCAGATTAGGTGTATTTACTAAAGTGCAAACGCTCGCGGGTTTAAATGTTATGATGAGCACTGATAAAATGATTTCATGTGATTCAAATGTACAAAGAATTAAGGAAAGTGAAGATGATGATGAAAGCTGTATAGACGATGCGAAGGAAATATCATCTGGTCGTCCTTACCATTGGAAAGATTGGAGTTTAGTTCGAGGTCGAGATTGTCTTTATCTATGGTCAGATTCAGCAGCTCTTGAACTATCTAATGGTAGTAATGGTTGGTTTAGATTCATTTTGGATGGTAAATTGGCTACTATGTATTCAAGTGGGTCACCTGAAGGTGGAACTGATTCTTCTGAGAATCGAGGTGAATTTCTTGAGAAATTACAAAAAGCTCGAAGTCAAGTGAGAAGCAATATTGCAAGTCAAGGTATTCTATCGTCGCCCTCATCTCCAAATTTAATTGTTGGTAATTGGTCTCTCATGTGTCGTTCAGAAGGTGAAATAATTATTCATAATTCAGATGGTGATCAACAATCAACCATTTTAAAGGAAGATTTAAATGGTTTCATTTTTGAATCAAACAAGGGAACTAAACACTCGTTTATCGCTGAAACCAGTTTAGGACCAGAATTTGTTTCTGGTTGGACCAATCGAAAAGGAAAGAAACAAAGATCCAAAATTGAAGCAATGAAACAAAAAGTTAAAGATCAGGCCAGAGAAGTTTATGAAACTTACTTCAAAAGTGCTCAACAAACACCAAGGTCAACTGTTGCTAAATTAGCAAAAATTGTGGCTCAAATTGAGCGAGCTTGTGAAAAGCAAACATTTCTCAATAGAGATTCACGGGATTGGGAGAATATATTAAGTTCAGCTTTAAGTGATTTAGCTGAATTATTGTGTGAAGAAAGAGCCATTTCTGCTTATGAGTTTCATACAAGTGGATTAATTCAAGCTTTGCTTAAATTGTTGGCTAAAGATCCATCCAAGGGAACTTGGAGATCATCAGAAAAATACGTTAAAGACCGTTTGGAAATATTTAAAAAACAATTGGGTAAAGAGGAATTGGCCTCTGCTTTGGTTCCAAAATTGGTTGCCGTTCTAGAGTCTATTGAGAAACTTCCTGTGTATATATATGATTCACCAGGGTCTGGGTATGGTTTACAAATATTAACTAAACGATTAAGATTTAGATTAGAGAGAGCTTCGGGTGAGACCGCTTTAATTGATAGAACTGGACGTTGCCTTAAGTGTGAACCCTTAACAACCGTTAATCAATTGGAGAAGTATCTTCTTAAGATGGTAGCCAAACAATGGTATGACTATGATAGGTCAACGTTTACATTTGTTAAAAAATTGAAGGAATGTAAAAATGGCCTCAAATTTACGCACCAAAGAGATTTTGATGAAAATGGTATCGTTCATTGGGTTGGTACTAATGGTAAAACAACATCAGATTGGGTTAATCCAGCTTCTGTTGGATTAGTTGTGATAACCTCTTCGGAAGGTCGTAGTTTACCTTTCGGTCGACTTGAAGATATCCTTTCAAGAGATTCAACAGCCCTTAATTGTCATACCAATGATGATAAAAGAGCCTGGTTTGCAATTGACCTTGGCTTATGGGTAATACCGTCCTGTTACACACTCAGACATGCTCGAGGGTATGGTCGATCTGCCCCAAGAAATTGGTTACTTCAAGCATCGAAAGATGGTATTAACTGGACCACCTTATACTCTCATATTGATGATTGTTGCCTCAATGAACCTGGTTCAACTGCCTCATGGCCACTTAGTGTCCCACCAGATGAGAAACAAGGTTGGCGTCACATTAGATTACAACAAACTGGTAAAAATGCAAGTGGGCAAACCCATTATCTTTCTATATCTGGTTTTGAAATCTACGGAACGGTGACCGGAGTTTGTGATGACCTGGGTAAAGCAGCTAAAGAAGCTGAAGCTAATTTAAGAAAACAACGTCGTCAAATCCGTCAACAGTTACGCTTTATGTCCATTGATGCTCGTGTGGTACGTGGACCTGATTGGAAATGGAGAGATCAAGATGGTAATCCTCCTGGTGAGGGAACCATTACTGGTGACATTCACAATGGTTGGATTGATGTTGCCTGGGACAGCGGTGGATCTAATTCATATCGAGTCGGTGCTGAAGGTAAATATGATATCAAACTTGCACCATCCAATGATCCTGAACTCTCAAAGAGGAATCTCTCATTGGCCATGGCTTCAACATCAAATTGCCTTTTCTCATCTTCTAATCATCCACAAGCAACACCAGTCAGTATGGCTTCAGTTCTTGGTATTCCAGGTATCTCTCGAACCTCTCGAATAGCTGAAACCTCAACAACCAACACTCATTCAGCTCGAGGAAGTGTTTCCGCTTCCGTTTTAACTAGTCGTAAAAGTAGTTCGACATCATCTTTGGTTGAACCGTCCTCAAATGTCAACAAAATGACCGTTTCATGTACAGAACAAGCAGCCTCCGTTGATAGTCTTGTGGTTAAAAAGGCTGCACAAGCAGTGGCTGAAAGTGTATTAACACGAGCAAGGGCGGACACCGCACTTGCAGAACAGAGTAATGACACAATATTCAGTGTGGGATTATCACCAACCCAAGAAGAAACTGAGGAATCAATTGCGGAAAGTGAACGACCCACTTCACCTACACCCTCAATGGAAGATCAAAGGTCTTCCTGCATTGTAGGAGCTGTTGGAGGTGGAACATCATCAGTAACCGTATCAATCAACAAAATACCAACCGAATCAATTAATAACAATAATTCTGGCGGAAGTAGTTCTTCACGATCCTCCAATAATTACCCTAGTACCATGAGTGTATCAGTACCTAATCTATCAATCAATTCAAATGTAAATGATTCAACAGTTAACCTTTTGGAAAGCTTTTCAGCGGTGGCAAGACGCCGAGGAAATAGTACCACCTCATCATCAACCTCATCATCGTCATCAGCATCTGCTGCTGCAACAAATACAAGCAATTCATTACTATCAAGTAATTCCAATAATGTTTGTAGCCTCGTTAGATTGGCTTTGTCGTCCAATTTTCCTGGTAAGAAACAAGTTTACTTCATTTTGTCAATTGCTCTTTTTTTATCTCTCTATCTTTTTATGAATCATTGCTCTCCTTTTTTCTTAACCCTTTTTTCATTTTTTCTTCCTTCTCTATTCACGTCTATCACTCTGATCTCTCTCAATATCCATGATTTCCTAGAAAAAGCAAAGATGAATCTACTAATTTACTAATTTTTCTCATTTCCCTTTCGTTTTATTAACATGCAGAAATTTTCAATGATCTTCTCGAGGAAATCTCTAACAGCGCAGATTCACCACCCACCGATGATGCCTGTACAAGTTTACTTCAAGGTAAATGTCCTTGTGAACCCAACCTTTTTTCCATGTTTCGCTTGAAATTTATTTCGAGTCTCGAATTAGCCTAATCTTGTACTTTTTTTCTCGCCTACGCTTCTCATACCTCATGAATAAAATTTCAATGATCATGAGATGCTAAAAATTGTTTCTCGTTTATATTTCTACTCTTTCCTTCCTTCTCTCTATTCTTTCTTTTTCTCATGTAATAATGTAATTTATTTTCTCTCTCGCCTCTTCCAGCCCGCGGTCTTTTGAGCACTGCTCAAAGTTACCCAAGCCTCACATCACCCACGTCTCTTACCTCTACAACCCTTACATCAAGCCATTCAATTAATGCTCCTATTGCAGCAGCATCATCACACTCTGCAGCACATGGAGGAGCTGTTGGCGGAAGCAGCAGCTCCGGTGGCAATAGTGCTGTTGGGGGTGACAATGTTAGTGGCTCAAGTAGTGGTAGTAATCAAAATCATTCACAAATTCATCATTCATCGGGTTTGGGTCATCATGGATTAACAATGAGTTTAACATCAACCTCAAGTGAAAGTGAACAAGATTATCTAGACACTTGTCAAGCAACAACCTTACTAGCTGATCTTGAAGATGAAGAAGAACTTCCTGATCCAGAGGATGAAAATGAAGACAATGAAAATGATTATGATGAATATGAGGAGCTTATGGAAGAAGAAACCTTTGAATTTAGATCACCCAAGAGACGCAATTGGGATGATGAGTATGTCCTGAAAAGACAATTTAGTGCATTAATTCCAGCTTTCGATCCACGTCCAGGAAGAACTAATATAAGTCAAATCATCGATTTAGATGTTCCTACCCCAGGAGCATCAACTTCAACAACTGATTCTATTAAAATAACAAATCCCGAACCAAAGGTTTTATTGTCCATTCGAGGTCCCAATCTAAATGGATCAGGTGAACTTGAGATTGATCTGGTTAATCCTAATTGGACAATATTTTCAGCCGTGCAATTGTTAAATCAAGCTTCAGTGGGAGGCTCGAGGCAAGAAAAGTTGAGAAGAGTCTGGGAACCAACCTATGTATTAACTTACCGTGAAGCGGGACCTCACGAAATGAACGAGACACTTAAAATTCAAAGTGCATCAATTAAAATGGTTCTCACCAATAATCACAATAGAATCAGTGTTACTAGTCCAGTTAAAATAAGTCCAGATAACAGTTTAGGATCTTCGGTGGACGCTGTCCTTCAACTTCTTCACCTTTTACATTGTGTCTCCCGAGATTCAAAGGACAATATAAAATTGTATGGTGACATACTTTCGGTCAACTCCTATGGATTTAATTTACCAAATGAAGAGTTTATTAGTAAAAAGATAACCAATAAATTAGTTCAACAAATTCAAGATCCTCTTGTCCTTGGCTCAGGATCTCAGCCTGATTGGTGTGACAATCTTATGTATTCTTATCCCATGTTATTCCCCTTCGAAACTAGAAAAATATACTTCAATTGCACTGCTTTTGGTACTTCTCGATCCATCGTTTGGTTACAAAATCAACGAGATTCAGTTCTTGATCGATCTCGTGGTCCATCACCTCGACGAGAAGATATTCATGAATTTAGAATTGGAAGGTTACGTCATGAAAGAGTGAAAGTTCCTCGAAGTGATGATTTACTCTCTTGGGCGATGGAAGTGATGAAAATTCATGCAGATAGAAAAAGTATATTGGAGGTTGAATTTAGAGACGAAGAGGGAACTGGACTTGGACCAACCCTCGAGTTCTATGCACTGGTTGCTGCTGAACTTCAACGTCGTGATCTGGGCATGTGGCTATGTGATGATGAACTGGTTACCAACAATAAAATGAAAGATTCATCAGCTGAAAAAGATGAAGGATCGACCAAACCTCCAGGATTTTATATTCATTCATCAAGTGGTCTATTCCCTGCTCCTTATCCCCAAAATCACCCAAAACTTGCAAAAGTTAACGAGTTTTACCATTTCTTTGGAATATTTTGTGCAAAAGCCCTCCAAGATGCTCGACTAGTTGACCTACCATTGTCCACTCCTTTCCTGAAATTAATTTGTAGCAGTAACACTGCCAACGAAACCAAAGTTGTCGAGGATGAAGGTGAAGCTGTAAATATGGTTCATCATTCAAATTTCAATAGTTGCCTCTCATCACCTTTATCAGAGGATGATTTACTTCTCTCCGAGAGAGAAGAAATCTCCCGACAGGTACGCCTAAAGAGGGAAAAATTCGAGAGACGAGGACACTCATGGATGTCACGAGTTCTCAATGAGAAAGATTTTGCCTCCATTAATCCACACCAAGCTGCTTTCCTACAACAGCTTAATGAGCTTTCCATGATGAAACAAAAGATACTCTCAGATAAATCATTATCCATTGAGGATAGACAAAATCAAATAAGAAATCTATCCCTGCCCATGAATCAAGCCCAAATACCAATCAGAATCGATGAATTGGATTTAACATTCCAATACTTACCTCCCTCCCAAGTCTATGGTTTCTCAGCTGTTGACCTTAAACCCAATGGAGAGTTTGAAGAGGTTACAATTGACAATGTTGAAGAATATTATGAATCCATGTTGGATTTTTGTCTTCATTCGGGTATTAAAAAACAAATGGAAGCTTTTAAAGGTATAAACAAAATGTCATCTATTTAGGTCAATCTATCAAGAAAGAAAATGTTAAACAATGTTTATTTCCTTTCTTTTTTTTCTATTTACAATTATCACAAGTTTTGCAAGTATTAATTGTATTCTTTTGTTTTATACTTTTATTAAGATGGATTTAACAAGGTATTCCCAATGTCTAAATTGGGATCATTTACATCAGATGAGGTTCGTCTCATGTTATGTGGTGAACAAGCTCCATCTTGGACTCGAGAGGATATACTTGCTTATACTGAACCGAAATTGGGTTATACAAGAGAAAGGTAAACTTTTCATTCTTTCTTTTTCTTTTTGACTAAAGAGAGAGAATCAGTTTCAATCTTTTCAGGCAAAATAATAACCTCAAAACCTGCTGAGCTTAAATATATCTTTCTATCTCATTATTGTATATATGTTATTTACTTTTTGTTTTATTTGTTGGTTTTGATTTTTTTTCTTTTGCTACTTACTGTATCTATTAGTTGCTTTTTAATGATGATTACTAATGATTTACTTTGTTTTTTTTCTCCCTTTTTTCACTATCCCTTGCTACTCTTTCTATTTTTAATTCACCCTCATCTTGGGACCTCCTTCTCTCTCTCTCTCTCTCTTTATGATGAAATAATATAACAATCATATTATCTCTTGGCTTCTTCTCACTGGATTACTTCAATGGCTTTGCAAATTATCCTTCATATTTTTATCCGTAATACACATTAATCCACAGTTTGGGATTTCAACGGTTTGTCTCTGTTTTGATGGCCATGTCTGGAAATGAAAGAAAAGCTTTCCTACAATTTGCCACTGGATGTTCATCATTACCACCCGGTGGATTATCCAATCTTCACCCTCGATTAACGGTCGTCCGTAAAGTGGATGCCACCGATGGTAGTTATCCCTCCGTTAATACCTGTGCTCATTATTTAAAAATGCCTGACTATTCAAGTGAAGAGATCATGAGGGAGCGACTATTAGCTGCAACAAAAGAGAAAGGATTCCATTTGAATTGAACACAAATCAAACAATACACAATTGTGTTGTGAATTGATTGATTGATTGATCAACTTTAATAGCACACAAATAAAATGGAAACAAAAAGATGATACAAAATACCACCACCACCAACATGAAAACTCGCAAACAAAGCAAAGGTCTATCTATATAAATATAATTAAACAAAAACAAAAGCCTATGTTTAAAAGCTTATCTCAAAACTCAAACAAAAATATCAAAAGTTGTATAGTTCATAAAGAAAACAAAATTTACGGTAAACCTTCAACAATTTCATCACATCATGGGTATAAAACCACCAACCAACCAGCCACACACACAACACACACAAGCACATCTCCAACCACAGCCACATTACTGATGCTAAATGAATAATGCAGAATCATATTCTAATTATGATAAATGGCTTCAAATCAAATCTTTAAATATAACAACAAACAAAATCTTATATTGACCAAAATTGAAACAAAAAAAAACAATTAAAATCAACAAAGTTTAAAACATACACACAAACAAAAACCTCTGATTATCTCAAAAAAAATGGAAAAAAAAGTTAATCAATTGTAATTGATGATCAGAAATGAACCTGAACCCAAACCAGATACCAGAAAATTTGACGTTGACTTTGAATCGTTTACTTATTTAGTTATCAAATCACATGTTCATCTCTAACAAAAGCGATTAACAAAATGTAATAATGTCATTTTAATTCATCTTCATCACCCATCATCTCATCAACAACAATTAATCCCCATTTTCCCTTTAAATCATAATTGTCATCCGAAAACCTTATCAACTAAATAAAAGAAACAATTAAACCTGCGGAAAAAAAAGATATATGTTAATATAAACTAATCTATTTTAACGAAATTAGTTTCGTGATTGTAACTTGAAAAATTTGTTCTTTCCTTTTGTATTTGTCGTTAATTATCATTCTTTGTTTCATTAATCAGGCAAAATCGAGATAATTAAGCAAAGAAAAAAAAAATTGAGAAAATTAATTGTAATCTAACCAAAGAAAACATTTAACAGTTAATTTTGAACATTTAATGGAGTAGAATGTGAATCAATTAAAATAAATCATGTTTATTAATGGTCAATGTTGTTACAATTTTATTTTCGAGTTGATTGATTTGTTTAATTAATAAACTTAAACAACTAATCAGAATCAAATCTTTATTTGCATTTTCTTGTTTTTAGTTATATTTTCAAACGCTAGATCACAGCACCAGTTGTGCTCGTGAGTTTATTGATCAAGATTTTAATTGTTGGTGGAAATATTTTCATTAATTAGTTAGACCAATCAAGTAAATCAGTTTAATTCAGTTTAACTCGTGGTTTTAAACTCAATTGAACCATTCTTACAATTTAACATTGGTTTGGCCTCTCAATTGTTTCCAATTTATGTTTTCGTTCAAATTGTTCACCTTTTGTTTACCTTTCGTTTTTTAATTGTTGTTTTTATTTTTACTGTTTTGTAATAATTAATATTTTTTTAGATTTTGACTGCTGTACAGCATTGATCTTGTGAAAATGCCCTGAGGCAATCAACAGGTTGATAAGAATAAAAAACATTAAATCTACACTTGCTTAGTTTGATTTTCCGTAGAAACAAATTCTTGATTACTGATTCTCTATTAAATTATGACGATTCTTAATCCAGTTATCGAAATTGATCATTAATCAATTGATTGTCTTCTTTGGGTCATTTTGTCTTCCTGAGGCTTAATTTTACTTCAACTGTTTCTGTAAAACTTATTTCGTTACGTTTTTGATCAATAGATTTCGTTAGCGTTCATGATTAGCTGATTGTTGGTAGTTAATTGTTGAGATGATTATTATTCAATATTTATTAGTTGTTTATTTGACTTTAACCATTTAATTTGGTTAGAAGGTATTAAGAAATTCATAAAACTTTATGTTAATTGTTCTTAAATTGTTTTTTTTATTTGGACTTTTAATTTTCCAATAAACTGAACAATTATCTCACTAATTGGGTTTATTGATTTCTTGATAACTAAACAAATTAAACGACCAATTCAATTAATACAATTATCCTTTGGATGGTCATTTAATTGGATTGTAATTGATTAACTAATTTTAGATAATTACACTTAAACTCCTACTCGATTTACTATTTTTTATTTATTCTACTAATTAACTTTGAATAATAATAATTAAGATTAAGATAATTACAACCATGATGATTTGATGAACTCATCAGCATTGAAGATAATTAGATCAACAATTGGATAATCATCACATTAACCTGCATTCATAATCAATTAAAATGAATTAAACTAATCAAACGTAAATCAAAATTTTCAATTACTTGATTGTGAGAACTAGAAAATTTGTAATTCATTGATTTTTAATCAACTTTTTCTTATAATTAATTTGATTTGAAACGTGGATAACATTTAATTACAGTTGACTGATCAAAAATTAACTTTATTTCTGTGTAGGTTTAATTAATATTGAGACAAATTTGCAACAATTTATCATTTAACTAAGAAAAAAAAAATAATCACTATTATGATGATTAAACCAAACAAGGTAATTGAGATGATCAGTTAATTGTTGATTAGTTGGTGTAAGAGAGTAGATTTTAAATAATTTGGTTGATTAATTTCATAGAAGGAAAAATAAAATGAAAAATTAACAAAAAATATAAAATTATACATAAAAATTGATTCATTGAATCAACGGATAAGAGGAAGAGGCAGTTGATTAGTTAAAATAATTAATAAAAAACAAGGAAAAAAGGTAAACAATTAAAGTGAGATTACTCCGATTTGGCCTAATAACGGAACACCGATTAGAATTAACGTGAAAATCAATACAATTGATGATGATTTAATTGGTAAATTGAACAATTTAGCCATCATGTCAAGAGATGAAGTGTAAGCGAGTAATGAATTAAGTTCAGATTCATCGGTGTGTTGATAACCAAAGGGACGAGCTTTCAATTCGTGTCCAAGGTTACGTAACATACAACAAGATCCCGTTAATCTGACTGCTTGGATCATTGGGATTAGTAAGATGATAATCCAGAGAATCGCGGATAAAATGAGTAAAGTGTAATTAACGTAATTGTTGTACCGAGAAACCAATTGAAATGAGTAGAGGCAAATTTTACAAATGAAAACAATTGAAACCAACGAGACACAAATCGCTTGATTGTTATTCAAATAAGAAACAAATTTCCTTGATTCCTCAGCACGTTGATAAAACTCCTGTTGAAATAATTGATTTAGAAAAACAAAAACAAAGTTAACAATTAAAGGTAAACAATAATAAGAAACAGTCAAACAGAATCAATAAATTGTTGTCACTTTGATAAAAGAAAAGTTTGTTTTTTTTCTTCAATCCATTCTTGTTAAATCAACACAATTAACTAATTATTTCCCGTGAGAATCAAATCAAATTGATAGTTCATATCATCAAGATGATCATTAATTATTACTTATAATCTAATAATAAAGATTCACTGAATAGAATATAAAAATATTCAATTGTCAATAATGAAAGTGATAAATTTAAATTCAATCAAGTGAAATTGATTATCAGATGGAAAAGGAAAACAAATTAAATTCAATTGTCAAGTGACAATTTAAATTCAAGTTTCTTGATCCATTCTATTAATAGATTAGGACAGTTAGATGATAAAATTAGAGATGAATGGTCAACAATTTAGATGAATGAAACACTTTCACACTTTGATATCGTGATTGTAGAAGCAAAAAGTTGGACAATTAAGGAATCAAATTAAATTTACCTGGAAGCTAATTCGTTTCTCTCGAACTCCTTGACAAAGTGAATTAATAAATGAGATATTTAATTGACAATGAACAGCATAAGATGAGACAACGGCTGAACAAATGATATCGAAGACAATTAAACAGGTAACAGTGATGTAGATTATAATTGTGTGAACATGATTAACATTGAACAATTTATGATTCAACAGATAATCAGTGATGATTGAATTGGAAGATGTTGATGAATTGTTGTTCATTTCACCATGAAAAGGTGATAAAGTGGACGAGGAATTAATTGATAGATTAACACCAAACGAATTGGGTAGACAATTAAAATTAACCAGAGTTACGTTGAAATGGATTATGTGTAATATGATTGAACAGATTATCCAAAGGGTTGATAGTAAAAGGAAACTACGAAGTGTTGATATTAAATGTCGACTCTCAAGAAACCAATTAGCAGTTCGACTTAATTGTAAAAATCCTCGTTCCATTAGATTCTCAAGACGTTCACATTCAGGAGTTCGTAGTAAATATAATAGGAAAAGGTAAGATGCAAAATGAAGTAGATCAGGTATGATGAAGTGTGAGATTAATTTGTTATTACAGGTATTTGAATTGTTGATTAATTCAATTCCATTTCCATGATGATTATTATTGTTATCATTGATTGTTGATGTTGCCTCAGTTAGGACTTTAATTACTTTAATGGGCTCGGATTGATTGAGAGTTGAATTGTAATCAATTCCATGGGTAAATGAATTTGTGTCCATCAGATGATTTAAATTGTTACCCTGATTGTTGGTGTTGATTGTGCTGTTGTTTGATATGATCAAAGGTAAAAGGTGAGGTAGACCATCACCTCGATAACAGGTACAATATGATAAAAAGTATGCTGAGAATATGAGTAATAATATAAGTAGAGTGTAGATAAAGTTGATTAAGTTGATTGACCAATTGATTAATAACTGGACGAAGGAGATTAATGTTGTAAAAGATTTAGCTGATTCCGTTGAGATGTTGGTTGATGAGGTTGATGGATCAATTGATTGACCTGTGGTGGAGTTGGGTGATGCTGGAGAGGATGATGATGACGATGGTGGTGGCGATTGGTGGGATAAAAGTGGCCTCCATCCGAGAAATGATGTTAACCGGAAGTAAGGTGACAGTACTTTATGTTTACAGTATATTAAAACAGCTGATACAGAGTTATCATGACTAAGGGTCAGTGAATCCATGTTGACAATTGAGGATGGACGATGGTCAGAAACAGAGTTTGATGTTGTTAGGTGACTTTTCATTGAAGATGCTTTTGATTTGCTCATAATTAAATTGTAATCACAACTTTCATCTCATCAAAAATTACCAATTAACAATAAAATCACTTTGAGTGGTGTAAATGAAGCAAACAGAAAGTCAATCAATTTAGTTAATCACTTGTTAATCATAAATTGTTGTGGTTAATAAAATATTAAACTTCAAAAGTCAACTATTGAAACAAAAAGTGATCACAATTAAAGTGAAACCTTTTGTCGTTGGTAAATTGTTACAATCAATCTCAAAATCGTTATAAGATTAATTTAAATGATTAGTTTGTACAATTATCTCAATTGATTGATATGAACAAATAAAATTGTTTTTTTCATTGATTGTGAGCAATTAGATTGTTAATCAACAGGAAAAAAAGTTAACAAGGTGATTGGGATCAATTAATACGTTGAAAGCGTTAAAATTAATCAATTTATAAATTGGTATGATGAAATTATTGATAATCAACAGAGAATTTAAATTGTAATCAACAATTTACTCAACTATCATCTCTCAGAAAGCTGATCAACTTCAACTGATTGGTGATAATTGTTACCATAGTCTAATTGAATGGAAGGCGTAACAAAATTGAGTCACTAAATTAAATCCATTGTTTAATTAATTGTTCCCTTGTAATTAGAAATCAATGGCAAGTTCATTGAAAGAAAGAAAATTTTACTCAATCAATTGACCATTTCAAGTTGATTTTCTTTAGGAGGATGGTCGCCGAATTTTAGTTTTGAGTTAAGAGTTGAAACTTTTGTATTAGATAAAAATGAAGTCCAAATATATTTATTTTTTGATCTGATCAGTGTTTCGAAATCGAGTTCGAAGTTAAACTCAGGTCACTTTTCTCAGCAACGATGAGTTTTTAGATCATGAAATTTTATTTTATCGACAACTTTTCATGCCCTTACAGAAAATTAATTTGTTTTGGTAAAAATATCCGTGCTGGCCACAATTCGTTCTATTTAAATAAATGGACGGCGATTAGTCCCAGTGTCGAGAATGATCTGAAACTTATTTTGAGGCTATCCTAGTATGGGTTAACATCGTGATTGAGCACTTTTTCATTTGATCAACAGTTTACCGGAATGAGAAAGGGCTTTGATCTTCAAGGGCTAATATCTCCGAAACTAAAATACTTGGAGATGTCTAAATAAGTCAAATCACCGTCATTTAACCAAGGCTATCAGAAGCAATAGTTTTTGCCTTAAAATAGGTCACTTTATATAATAGTTTGACAATGTTTGATGAAATAATATTTCATTCGAGCAAGCATAAAACATTTGGGTGTTTATAACTTGAGTGTAGTATAACTTAATTAACTTTAGTCTCAGTGACCATCACTTTAAGGCCAAAAACTATTGTCTGATAGCCTTGTTAAATGACGGTGATTTGACTTATTTAGACATCTCCAAGTATTTTAGTTTCGAGATATTAGCCTTGAAGATCAAAGGCCACTTTCTCATTCCGGTAAAACTGTTGATCAAATGAAAAAGTGCTCGATCCACAATGTTAACCCATACTAGATAGCCTCAAAATAAGTTTCAGATCATTCTGACTTGGGACTAATCGTCCATTTATTTAAATAGAACGAATGGTGGAGCACTTTGGATATTTTTACCAAAACAAATTTAATTTTCTGTAAGGGCATGAAGTTGTGATAAAATAAAATTTCATGATCTAAAACTCATCGTTGCTGGAAAGTGACCAGTTTTAAATTGAACTCGATTTTCTCGAAAACTACTGATCAGATCAGAAAAAAATAAATATATTTGGACTTCATATTTATGGCCCTACAAATACAAAAAGTTTCAACTCTTAACTCAAAACTAAAATTCGGCGACCATCCTCCTTTAGCTTAAAAGTGTTTAAATTGTTTTCGATGCAGAGTCATTTGATTACAATTTAAATTGCAAAATCAACAGCAATTAACGATCGGAGCCTTTGGTACGTGGTTACCAATAGATTTGACTCATTAAGTAACAAAATAAAGTTTCTTACAAAACTTTAACCAAAGAGTAAAAGTTTAGTTGATGAATTGGTAGTTACAATTTTGCGCCCCGAGGCGATGGTTTCCCGTTTCTACCAGGTGAATTTGCCGATTTCGACCTAGTCTCAGGTTTCAGAGATATTAAAGTTTGTGGTTAGACCTTGAGAAGCTTTTAACTGTATTATCTGAATTTAAATTGTTAACAATCAGAGGAAAACAAATCACAAAAGGTAAAATAATCAAAACTAACCTGCAATTGTTTGTAGGTATAAATTACCTAAAACTTTTCCCTTGTTGATTTACAATCTAATTGGACGATTACAATTAAGGTTATTTTATTGTTAATTGATGAGATGAAAGTTGTGATTACAATTTAATTATGAGCAAATCAAAAGCATCTTCAATGAAAAGTCACCTAACAACATCAAACTTTGTTTCTGACCATCGTCCATCCTCAATTGTAAACATGGATTCACCGTCATTCATAGTAAAAACAATCATGGTAACAATTTAAATCATCTCATGAACACTAATTCATTTACAGATCGAATGGATTAAAATTCAACTCTCAATGAATCTGAACTTTGACTCTCCTTACCAACGAAACCTTGACGTTTATGAATCTTCAACCCCAACGATTGTTTCAAATTGTTGTTGATTGAAGCAATTAGACCAACATCATCAGCATAAATGAAACAAATGGTTGGACCATCATCACTATTAATAAAACACTGATGATAATAATTAACCTGAAAGAAAGGTTTTCTTTTTCCTTCCATTGTTCTGATTGTTTATTGTGCCAATTTCTTAAATTCAAATTTGGCGCGCAAAAAGAAGCAGAAAATTTTCTCTTTCTTTTTGACACTTGTTCAACTTTCTCAGTTCAGAAGTAATTTTAATCTTTCAGACTCATTTCAATTTCATTTCTGACCAAAAGTCAACTGTTTTTCCATTTCGATCTACTGAAAGTCGAACTCACTCAAGTTCCATGTCAAAAATCGATCGCGATCGATTAAAGAATCGGATCGGACGATCGCTACTCTTTGATCTGCAGACTCTTTCTCTCTACTCTTTGTTTTCTTCTCATTCTACTTGTTGATCTTCACGTTACCTGTTCTGTTTTTCTCCCGTCAGAGTGAATGTTATTTACTTTTTTCTTTATTTGTGATATTTTTTCTTCTGTTTTTCGTTTATTCTCCTCGTGGTCCTGATCTTCGTAATTTTCTACAAGTAAGTGTCCAAATTGTGGAGAAAACTGTGTGTGTCCTTTAACCTTAACCAATTTTTGTTTTCTTTTCGGAAATGGAAAAGAAAATGGTTGTTCTATTGTTCATCTTTTCTTCTCCTTTGTTGTTGTTTCATATTCTTTTTCAGGTTTTTTTCTCTCTCTCTCTCAATTCAATGTTCTTTTTTATATCACTTGTGCTCCTTGTCTTTCATAGATCTTCATCTCTGGTTAAATTGGTGTTTAGAATCCAATTAATGTTCGAATAGAGTTTTTGTTTACATTCGATTCTATCGGTATTCTATCTTCCTTATTTGTTTAGTTTCTGTTTTTGTTTCTTCTTGCTGGACACTCTGTAGACTCTCTAACGGTCTGTTGAGTCTCTCTTTCTTTTTATTCTTGTTACTTGTTTGAGTGAGAAAAGATTTTATTAATTTGAATCACGTAAGTTAAGTCACTAATCAACAAGTAGCATGTTGATGATTAGTATATTAAAATATTATCATTCAATGGAGCGGAAAGAGATGATTTTATATATTTCATCCTTGATCATGATTACTTTTATCGATGACAATGATTAATCATGAATATGTTCAGTTATCACTCCTTGTTAGCGTCATGATTAAGATATTGATGATAACGAGTTAAATTGTTTAAAAGAGTTTACGTTAACTTAGTAGATGATTAATTTGATTGTGTTGAAGTAAAAAGTAAAGAAGTAGTGAAGTAAAATCAGTCAACTCGTCAAGTTGATAGTAATTATTATTAAGTAACAATTAGATTTAATTGCTACAAACTATTTGTTGATTGTTGATTGGGGTTGAAAGTGTCCATGTGTTTAGTATTGTATTGTAGTCTCGAGTCTCAAGTTTCACCCTTAAACCATTCACCTTGAAATAATTGGTTAATTGTTGTGACAATTGATTAAGATTCATCAATATTTATTATCACAATCATAATTATAATAATAAGGATGATTATGATTATGATGATTATGATGATTGTGATGATTGTGATGATAATCTAAATTTAATAGCGTTTCGAAAATAAACACTTTTAATTGTTGTAAATTGCTGGGCGAGTTGGAAGATTGTTGAATGATTGGAAACTCATTCTAATAAGGTCAAGTTTAGATGATTGTTTTTAGAACAATAAGTTTTGAATAATATTGAAGTATTCGAGAAAAAGTTCTAACTTCATATTGAATTTTATTTCTATTCTCCTTTGATTCTCCTTTGATTCTTCTTTAGCTTCAGTCGATACTTCATCAATAATAGAGAATAAGAAATCAACTAAAGAATATTGGGAGAAAAGAATGATGGCCGAAATGAATGGAGAATCGCCAAATGTTGACCAATTATTGATTGACACTTCGTTCGAATTGAATAAGATGACAATAAATGTTTCGAGTCCCAATAATGGTTCTAATGGTCTTAAACGATTGCCATCTAATCCCACCTCTCCGGCCATTCAAAAACTGACCAATTCATCTCAACCATCACCCAATGGAAGTGTTGGTCAACTCAAATCACCGATAAATGATCAACCATTAGTGAAATCAAATGGTCATCCAAATGGTCAGTATCACAATTCATCAACAAAACTTGGATCTGATGGTGAAAGTGGTGAACCCTCACCCGATTGTAGCTTATCCCTGGTGGAAAACGATTCTCTTGAAGGTAATTAAATTTAATATTTTTTTTTCATTATTTTCTCTAATTATCTTGAACACGTTTGAACTTGATTCAAATGAACCTCGACTATTTATCAGTTATCTTTGATTCACCTTGACGTTTCAACGAACCAGAAAAACTGTAAAAGCAACAACAAAAAGTTTCTTTATTTCAATTTTGATAGGAATTCTTTTCCCTCTAAGATTATATTATCATATAACATCTAATAGCAAAAGCAATAGAAAAGTAATAGTAATAATTGTAATATAGAACATGTTATTATCATTTGATTTTAGATGATAACGATTATTATCATAATGTTAAAATGCGAAAGAGAGAGAGAGAGAGAGAGAGAGAGAGAGAGATATGATAATAAAGAAAAACGTTATTTGTACGTGTTAACAAAAGTATTTACATGCATCATGTTAATGGGAATTGAGGTAAACCCTCCGGTTAGTTGAGCATTGTTGGTTGGTTGATTGTTTAGATGTGAACAAAAAAAGAAATATATTTTTTCATGTACCTGAATATTTACCTGGAATCAACATGAAATATAAAAATAAACCATCACAAATATACATGATAATTATTAGATTTAAGATTTAATTAGATTTCATATTTACAACTTTTACTTTATCAAGACTGAATTTTAGTTAAACATTTAATTGTTTCTCATCTACTGACAAGTTCATCAGGAATATTATTAAATTATGAATTGTGATAGATAATAGATGAATTTATCATTATTCAGACAGGAAGTTGTTATTGTGAAGATGATTAAAGACTCCGCAATTAAACAATTTGAAGAAGAACAAAAGAAATGCTGATGAAGTTTTCAATGCAATCAGTTTAGCTGCCGAAGTAATTAGTGAACAAGATTGTTTTTAATTATTATGATTTAAATTTCGTAAAACGAAAAATATCTCGCCATTTGTACCACGAAGTAAGTGTTCAGAATTGATGTTTATAGTAGAGAAAAGTTTCTATCAATTAAAAGATATAATAGTCAACTGGACAAACCGAAAACTGTTCAAATTCGAGAGTTTCTATAAATATCGTAAGAAAAAAAAGTTAATATGAAGATGGAAAATTTTATGATGATATGAATGTCCATGTTAAGGACGCAATAGAATTGAGCATAAACGTGATTAACCTCGACAATTGAATCAGATAATATTACTGATCCTGATTCAATAGAGGAATTTATTAACCATGAAAATGAATGTGCCCAATCAAAGTCCGTTATTGGTACTAATCAAATAGATGAAGTATTGATTGATTCTCTTGAGGACAGTGGATCGTGTCAAATTTTTTCCACTTCCCCCTCATCATCATCATCATCATCGCCATCATCATCAACTATTAATGCAGGTGATTTATTATTATCACCACCACAACAACCACCACAACAACCACCAACATCAACCACCAGTGATTATAAATTAGTTGATAGTGGTGTGAATCTATCTGACAATTTATTATTGATTGTTGATTGTTCCAATAATAATAACAGTGATTTAAATTCAAATCTGATGACCAATAATTTGATTTCATCGCCATCTCCACATAATAATAACATTGCCAATAAAGATAAAAGTTTCCCAGGTAAAAAGAAAGAGGATGAAATAGTTAATCTTAATGAAAATCATTATAATCATGATCATCATCACGTTTCCAACAATAATTCAATTGATAATGGTGACGATGTCAAGACTCAGAACGGGATCGATTTAAATGAAAATTCTGGTGTTAAAATTACTTCCCAATCAAAAGGTAAATAAGAAATATTTAATTATCTTTTTTTTCATTTCCATTTTTTTTCTCTCTAGAAAATTCTTATCCTGATTTTCACTCAAATCAATTGTAATTAATTTCTGTTTATCAATATTTTGTATCGGTTTGTTTTTCTATTTCTATGTTCAGGTAATTCTAGTAGCTCCTTTGGTGATGGTGTTGTTAGACCAACAATTATTGGCCAATTGGCTAAACCCTCTGATGATGAGATAATAGAATCATCAATGATAATAAATGCTAGTGAATGTATTGAAGCAAAATCACCTCTATCATTATCTTCATCTCCATCATCATCATCATCATCTTCTTCTTCTTCACCACGAGATGTTAATAGTAAACTGTCAGTCTCTAATGAACCTGCTTCCATGATGGTTAATTATGATGAGAATGAACATTTATCTCATAATTCATCACCATTATTAATACAAGATGAAACAATGAACATGAAAAAACATCCAGTACATGTAACTTCATCATCATCTTCCTCTTCACAATTAAACTTTACGCTCCTTCCCGGCCAATTCAACGAGAAACATTGATACGATCTCAATGAAAATAAGAAAACAAAGAGAAATGAATTAAGAGAGAGTGAGAAAATTAATGAAACAAAACAATCTCAGGTAGAAATGAATTCGAAAAGTTCTGATATGTGAGAACAAGTCCAAAGAATACCTAATAGAATAGAAAAGAACAAAAAGAAAAGGTAAGGTAAGTATATTCACAATAGAGTTAACAGAATAATTAAAACGATCAGAGAATTGATAAGCAAAGAGCTAACAATTAATTCACTTGAAAACAATAAGAAAATCTGAAAACTTTTAATAAAAAGAAACGTTGCTAGTTGAACAGTCGAAAGGTAGATGGCGACACAAGTTATTCTTTTTTCTTTCATAACTGAGATTCTATTCAAATTGTTTCTTCTTCTCATTCTAATTGTTGATCTTCTTCACGTTACTTGTCCCCGTCAGAGTGAATGTTATTTACTTTTTTCTTTATTTGTGATATTTTTTCTTCTGTTTTTCGTTTATTCTCCTCGTGGTCCTAATCTTCGTAATTTTCTACAAGTAAGTGTCCAAATTGTGGAGAAAACTGTGTGTGTCCTCTAACCTTTACCAATTTTTGTTTTCTTTTCGGAAATGGAAAAGAAAATGGTTGTTCTATTGTTCATCTTTTCTTCTCCTTTGTTGTTGTTTCATATTCTTTTTCAGGTTTTTTTCTTTCTCTCTCTCTCTCTCAATTCAATGTTCTTTTTTATATCACTTGTGCTCCTTGTCTTTCATAGATCTTCATCTCTGGTAAAATGTTTAGAATCCGGTTGGTGTTTTAAAAACATTTTATCAACATTCAACTCTATCGGTATTTTCCTTTTTGTGTATGTTTGTTTCTTCTTGCTGGACACTCTGTAGACTCGCTAACGGTCAGAAAAGCCCTGATAAGGTAACACCAGTCAAGGTGATGGCTGCGCCTTAGAAGCGGCGTAACCACCTGGCGGGGACCCTTCGAGTCTACTTGATTCTCTCTCTTTCTCTCTCATTCAAAGTCCATATATTAATATTTAATGATTAAGTTTGAGGTTGATTTAACTGTTAACTCGTTCTCGTTGAGTTATTAGTAGTAGTTGAAAGTAGTGATTAACTTTTGGCGTTTTTTTTATTATTAATTTGAATCACGTAAATTGAGTCACTAATCAACAAGTAGCATGTTGATGATTAGTATATTAAAATATTATCATTCAATGGAGCGGAAAGAGATGATTTTATATATTTCATCCTTGATCATGATTACTTTTATCGATGACAATGATTAATCATGAATATGTTCAGTTATCACTCCTTGTTAGCGTCATGATTAAGATATTGATGATAACGAGTTAAATTGTTTAAAAGAGTTTACGTTAACTTAGTAGATGATTAATTTGATTGTGTTGAAGTAAAGAAGTAGCGAAGTAAAATCAGTCAACTCGTCAAGTTGATAGTAATTATTATTAAGTAACAATTAGATTTAATTGCTACAAACTATTTGTTGATTGTTGATTGGGGTTGAAAGTGTCCATGTGTTTAGTATTGTATTGTAGTCTCGAGTCTCAAGTTTCACCCTTAAACCATTCACCTTGAAATAATTGGTTAATTGTTGTGACAATTGATTAAGATTCATCAATATTTATTATCACAATCATAATTATAATAATAAGGATGATTATGATGATTGTGATGATAATAATGATAATCTAAATTTAATAGCGTTTCGAAAATAAACACTTTTAATTGTTGTAAATTGCTGGGCGAGTTGGAAGATTGTTGAATGATTGGAAACTCATTCTAATAAGGTCAAGTTTAGATGACTGTTTTTAGAACAATAAGTTTTGAATAATATTGAAGTATTCGAGAAAAAGTTCTAACTTCATATTGAATTTTATTTCTATTTCTATTTTATTTTTATTTTTATTTTTATTTTTATTTCTATTCTCCTTTGATTCTCCTTTGATTCTCCTTTGATTCTCCTTTAGCTTCAGTCGACACTTCATCAATAATAGAGAATAAGAAATCAACTAAAGAATATTGGGAGAAAAGAATGATGGCCGAAATGAATGGAGAATCGCCAAATGTTGACCAATTATTGATTGACACTTCGTTCGAATTGAATAAGATGACAATAAATGTTTCGAGTCCCAATAATGGTTCTAATGGTCTTAAGCGATTGCCATCTAATCCCACCTCTCCGGCCATTCAAAAACTGACCAATTCATCTCAACCATCACCCAATGGAAGTATTGGTCAACTCAAATCACCAATAAATGATCAACCATTAGTGAAATCAAATGGTCAGTATCACAATTCATCAACGAAACTTGGATCTGATGGTGAAAGTGGTGAACCCTCACCCGATTGTAGCTTATCCCTGGTGGAAAACGATTCTCTTGAAGGTAATTAAATTTAATATTTTTTTTCATTATTTTCTCTAATTATCTTGAACACGTTTGAACTTGATTCAAATGAACCTCGACTATTTATCAGTTATCTTTGATTCACCTTGACGTTTCAACGAACCAGAAAAACTGTAAAAGCAACAACAAAAAGTTTCTTTATTTCAATTTTGATAGGAATTCTTTTCCCTCTAAGATTATATTATCATATAACATCTAATAGCAAAAGCAATAGAAAAGTAATAGTAATAATTGTAATATAGAACATGTTATTATCATTTGATTTTAGATGATAACGATTATTATCATAATGTTAAAATGCGAAAGAGAGAGAGAGAGAGAGAGAGAGATATGATAATAAAGAAAAACGTTATTTGTACGTGTTAACAAAAGTATTTACATGCATCATGTTAATGGGAATTGAGGTAAACCCTCCGGTTAGTTGAGCATTGTTGGTTGGTTGATTGTTTAGATGTGAACAAAAAAAGAAATATATTTTTTCATGTACCTGAATATTTACCTGGAATCAACATGAAATATAAAAATAAACCATCACAAATACTTTATATATGATACTTTTTATCCTCATTATTTTTAACATGTAATCCCATTATCATGAGTTGCAATGGCTCATACTCATTCTGATAAGATAGAGAGGAGAGACAAAGATTGAACTAAAGAGAGAGAGAGAGAGAGAGAGAGAGAGAGAGTGTTAAAACCGTGAAATCGTTCAGAACTTTTTTCTCCTCTTATGAACCCCCTGTATATCTGAATTAAAAATTTTTAAGACTGTGAATGGAAAATTATTTGCACAGTTGACTGCAGTAATTTGTTAATAATGTTGATACTTGATTGTTGTATTTTGTACAAGTTTGTTTGCTGATTGCGGAAAAGGTCAATAACTTAACACAACAGCCACAACAACAATAATGTTAATAATTCTGATTATAATAGTTCCGGGTTGATTAATAACATAATTTTCTGGATTAATTTTATTACTCAGGTGATTTCATGTATGTTTTTGTTTTATATGGTAATTTAATGGTTAAGAAAAATATTTAATTTAATCAGCTCGATTAATTTGATTCCAATTGTCGATTAAAAGTTAACGGGATTTTTTTTTTCTCAGTTACCATAGTTATTGATCGTTGTGAATTTTAATTTGGTATGAAAATTGGGTTATCATTATTTATGAGAATGACTGATGAAATTAAAAAAGGGATGATGATTAAGCTAATCAACACGATGATTATCATCACTAAGTCTTGATTTTATCATTATTGACCCAATTAAGGGTGAAATAGAAATTAAATAATTGTAACAACTCGTATTTATTTATAACTTATTAGAGTTGAGATTGTATTAGATTTCCTATTAAACTTTTACTCTAAGACTCAATTTAATTTTTAAATTGTTTCTCAAATTGTTTCTCATCTACTGACAAGTTCACCATGAGTATTATTCAATTGTGATAGGAAATTGATGAATTTATCATTATACAGACAGGAAGTTGTTATTGTGAAAATGATTAAAGACTCTGCAATTAAACACTTTGAAAAAAAGGAGAAAGATGAATAGACAATTTTAATATAGTCAACACCCTGTGTCTTGACAAAATGATAACTTAAGTAGAGAGAGAGAGAGAGATGATGATGATGATATGGAAGATGAATGAGAAATGGAGGTAGATATGATGACAATGAATGAAAATGAAACAAAAGGAAAGAAAATGTCAAAAGCAATTATTGAGTAAACATGATGAATGAAAAGATTAGAGAAAAGTTTACTTTAAGATGTGATAATAGTGATGAAGATGAGAAATGTATTGATGATGATGATAATGATGATATAAAACTGTCCAAGTGTGACGCAATTGATGCGAAAATAAATGTCTTTAACATTGAAAAAAAAGTTCTGAACGTTAACAAGGTACTAATTTGTTTCCATCACCATTATCATCATGAACTCTCCCATTGTCTAATAATAATCATGTGAGCTGACCTCTGGTCAGTTTGATTGTCTATCATGATGATGATGATGCACCTTTTCCCAAGGTGTAATTTTGAAGTTTCTGTAACGTGTTACCTTGAGATCTTAAAGTTTGTTGGTCAGAACATACGAATGATATTAAATCAACAGATTCTCACAGTCGTTTATTAGTTAATTTGATTCAGTTTAACTCGTTTGATTAGTAATTTTTTTTCCGTACTATTAATTTAGTATTAATTACGATTACATCTTCCATTATTGTGTCAACATAAACAACAATCAAATCTAATTTATTCATCTCTTTCTCTTTTTCTCTCACAGGAGGAAGTAGTGATGATTCATCAACTTGTGATCGTCGATCGTCACCTGATTATGTTAACTGTAATCACGATGATGTTGGTGGTGTCGTTGATGAAGATGATGGTTTCCGTGACTGCGAGTCAAGTCCAGACGTTTGTGTATCAGGTTGTCGTCCAGTTGATGGGTCATCTTCAATGTCACCTGAAACGATGGCCACTTTAGTGACCACAAGCGTTAACAATTTGAATAATCATCGGCGAAATCCATCCTCATCTTCATCGGTTATTGGCAAGAATCCAAATTCTTCTTTATCATCATCATCAGTATCATCTTCTCCTGTTCCACCTCCACCATCATCTTCAGCATTCTCAAAAGAAACATCAACACCAAAATCATCATTATTATCTGAATCTAACCCTCAATTAACCTCGACAATTGAATCAGATAATATTACTGATCCTGATTCAATAGAGGAATTTATTAAACATGAAAATGAATGTGCCCAATCAAAGTCCGTTATTGGTACTAATCAAATAGATGAAGTATTGATTGATTCTCTTGAGGACAGTGGATCGTGTCAAATTTTTTCCACTTCCCCCTCATCATCATCATCATCATCGCCATCATCATCAACTATTAATGCAGGTGATTTATTATTATCACCACCACAACAACCACCACAACAACCACCAACATCAACCACCAGTGATTATAAATTAGTTGATAGTGGTGTGAATCTATCTGACAATTTATTATTGATTGTTGATTGTTCCAATAACAATAATAATAACAGTGATTTAAAGTCAAATCTGATGACCAATAATTTGATTTCATCGCCATCTCCACATAATAATAACATTGCCAATAAAGATAAAAGTTTCCCAGGTAAAAAGAAAGAGGATGAAATAGTTAATCTTAATGAAAATCATCATAATCATGATCATCATCATGTTTCCAACAATGATTCAATTGATAATGGTGACGATGTCAAGACTCAGAACGGGATCGATTTAAATGAAAATTCTGGTGTTAAAATTACTTCCCAATCAAAAGGTAAATAAGAAATATTTAATTATCTTTTTTTTCATTTCCATTTTTTTTCTCTCTAGAAAATTCTTATCCTGATTTTCACTCAAATCAATTGTAATTAATTTCTGTTTATCAATATTTTGTATCGGTTTGTTTTTCTATTTCTATGTTCAGGTAATTCTAGTAGCTCCTTTGGTGATGGTGTTGTTAGACCAACAATTATTGGTCAATTGGCTAAACCCTCTGATGATGAGATAATAGAATCATCAATGATAATAAATGCTAGTGAATGTATTGAAGCAAAATCACCTCTATCATTATCTTCATCTCCATCATCATCATCATCATCTTCTTCTTCTTCTTCACCACGAGATGTTAATAGTAAACTGTCAGTCTCCAATGAACCTGCTTCCATGATGGTTAATTATGATGAGAATGAACATTTATCTCATAATTCATCACCATTATTAATACAAAATGAAACAATGAACATGAAAAAACAATCATTACACGTAACTTCATCATCACCAATTTGTGATAATAATACAATTAAATCATGTTCACCACGACCATTGGCTGGTATTGTTGGTAAACAAACAGGTAAAATTGTTAAACGAGAATCATCATTACCAATTACTTCATCATCTTCCTCTTCATCATCTACAATTAAATCAACTGCTGAATCAATGATTGCTGAAGAGATTCGCCAATTAAAGGAGCGAGAAGAGGAACTGGCTCAAATGAGAGCCTCGATGTCCAAACATCAAGGGTCAACATTAACATCTTCAACAACTTCTCTTCACAATCCTTACCCTCACCAGCAACATTTCAATGGAGCTAATCATCTTCATCAACAACATCACCCACACCATAATCAACACTCTCAAAATTTGGGTAAATCAACACCATCCCATTGTTCATCGATTGATGGTAAATCATCACCAGCGTTATCTGACCTTTCCTCATGTTCAGTTGGAACCATTTCCAATGATTCAATTGATCCAGTTCCATCAAAGCCAATTAGCTTGGAAATATTATCAAGTAAAGTGTCCGGATTAATTGGAGAATCTCCAATTGAACGAGAGATCCGTATTGCACGGGAACGGGAAGCTGAATTAAAAGCTCAAGTTCAATTAACTCGATGTTTATCTAATTCAATTGTCTCATCAACCAATGATTGTCAACAACAATTACCAACAACAACAACAACAACAGTAACAAAAGGATCTAATGTTGATATCATCACCAACAATAATACCAATGGTGCTGGTAATGATAATGGTTCACTGATGATAGGTAAATCATTGTCAACAACAACAGATGAAACAATTGTTACCTCAACGGAAACCAAATTACCCGTTTTCAAGCAAAACTCATGTGGTGCTGCAAACGCTGCCGATATACAGAAACTTTTGGCAACGACTCGCATCCAGCAGGAAATTGAGGAGCAAACTCAACGTGAGTTGGCGCTAAAAGCGACCGGATCAATAAAAACTATCTCACAAGAAAGGACTGATCTTAAGGTCACCAAACTGACCGATATTGATAAGGCTGGGTCAAATTACTCATCCATTACTCAAATCAATGGTATCAGTCCACCAACAACAGCAACAACAACAGTATCATCATCATCATCAACGTGAGTTTTTTTTCAATTTAAAATAAATTTAATCTCAATTCAATTGCTATTCATTCATCTCATTTCAAAGGAATCTCTTTCATTACCTTTTTCCCATCATGATGATGATCAATTATTGATGATAATAAACATGGTACCATCATTAATCTCAAATTAATCTTGCTAAAAATATCTTTCAATCATCTACTTTTTTTACCTAATTTAACAATACACAAACTATTGAATCCATCATATTAATTCATTGTGTTGATTTAATTTAATTTTCTGGGTTAAAATATTTAGTCTGACACTTTGATGGTGTTTGAATAACTTTCAAAACTAATTGACTTTCACAGATTAATGTCAACCATTTAATTATCCAGCTAATTTCATATATATACATGTATATTTATTACATTTAAATTAATATTTACCTTTTCATTATCCAGTAATTTTGTTATTATTATCAAATTAGTAAATTAAATTAGCGTTTAATTTAGTTAAATGATAATTTCATCTATTTAATAGTAGACTGATCTAAGTGAATTGAAATTGAGTGAGAAATTTAAATTAGTTAATTTCTCACGAATTGATAAGCATCATCATATATCGTTATCATTGCAATTGATGATAATAATCATTGACAATTAATTGTAAATTGAGTATCTATATGATTAATGGGCAAATAGGAACTGATATTGAAAATATCAATTGCGTAAATTGCTGATGATCATGATGATCATGATGATGTTGATAAATTTTCATAATGATAATGTTCATTTGAGTAGGAAGAATGATGAATTGTTCCCATTCTGAAAGCATGATGAATAATCAGTTAGCAGTAGTATCAAGTGTCAGGTTTGGTCATCTTCATCTTCATCTTCATCTTCATCCTCATCATCAACATCATCACCGTAACGATTAATGATCTCAGTCCTTTTTTTTGAAAATGTTATTAGGCTAAATTACATCATAACAATAAAAATATCTTGACTTGAAAATGGATTAACCTGGATTAAGTTTGTTTATTATACTAAATCATTTAAATGTTGATAAACTAATTGCTAATCTCAAGTCCGAGAAACTTTTTTTTTTCATCATTTTCTCATAAACTTGTAGCAATCATTTCCAATAAATTACAGTAAATTGTTTGTCCACAATTTACTATCTTTCTTGTCAATCTAATTGTCATGTTTATTTAATCATTGACAATTAAAGTTGACCCTTTTCAACAAGAGTTAATTAGTTTAATTGTTAAAGAGAAAACAAAAAGATTGAAATTTGATTGAATTTTGTTATAAACTATAAATTGAAAAGCAATTTAATCTAATCCTGATTTAAAAAGGTTCATGGTTACAATTTGTTGATGAAAAATCTCAACCATCAGATTGTTGATCAAGTTATTGTGAATGGTAAAACAATCAATCAAACAAGATTCCAAGACAATTGAAATTGATTCATTTTCTAATTAACTTGATGATTATAATGAGAAAAACAAAGCAAACCAATTTTCCCATAACAGTTATAACTCAATGAAAGTTAATCACAACTAATTGTTAAACATTTTATTTCTTAATTAAAGGTTACCAAACAACATTAAGGCAACAGTAAACATTGAACCTCAAACTGCCAAAAACATTGAAACTTCATTTGGAGGATTTAATACTAACGGATTAACAGGGAATAATATTTCAAACAATCAACATGGTTCCAATGGATTAGCATCATTATCATCATTAGTTAATGGTACCAATAATCATCATCAGCAGCAACCAAATAATAATCATGTTAATATTAACAACGTTAATGCCAGCAATCAAAATAATCATGTAAACATTATTCAAACTAATAATATAAACAAGCCAATTACATCATCGATCCCATCGTCATCAACAACAACACTGTCATCCTCATCTTTATCAACAGCATCTTTATCTTCATCATCCTCTTTGTCATCTTCATCATCTTCTTCAACCATAACACCAACATCAGGAACAATAACAACTCTGAAACGAACTGGTTTCCAACCTTTCATGAAAAAAGGTTTAACCAAAAGCATTTCAATGCATAAGTTTATCTCCTCCAAAGGTAAAACAGCAACATCAACAGGTAATCCAACATGTTCACCTTTCTATCAGATGGGTTCATGTACTGATCTTTATGGAGGTGAACTACGACCTCCGATAATGATAAAAGGTGATAAAGGTTTTCGTCGAGGTTCAATTTCAGCGGAATCAAAGATTCAGGAAGAGCTTAAAGAGATGAAAGCTCGAGAAGAGGAATTAAGGTAAATATCAACAATTTAAATCCTTTTCCAAATTGCAAATTGACAATTTACCTTGATTAATATACAATTAATATGTTACATTTTGAAACTTAATCATCAGGATGATTGAACAATTCTGTTGGTGAAGGATTAGATTGATTGAGATGGTAAACAAAGTTGAGTAATTAATTTTGTCTAGAATAAACCAGGAAGAGTCTCAATCAATAATCTTAATTTAATTACATGTCGTTCACTGTGATGGTTAATTAACATTGATTAACTTACTCGTTAATTGATTGATTAACTTTTCAATATCCAGCGATTATTATTCACAGACTTTATTGTTGTTTGATATCAATCAGATTAAAAAGTTAAATTGTATTTTAATCAATATGAATTTGTGAAGAAAAATGATTTTTAATGAAAATTATTTTTCTATTATGTGTTAATCATTTACTTGATTGTTTTTAATCATCATCAAGTTGATTGATACCTTTTAGTTGAATGATTGATGATATTAAATAACTGATTGGAAATAAATTAAAAACCTAAATCATTCAGTTAATCATTTGGAAATGTATTAAGTTTTTACTTTATTGGAAAATCATTGATAATTAACAATTAGCCTTTTCTATTTTCTCTAATATAATTAATATAAATCCATCAATACAATTGTGTTTACGTTGAAATCACAATTAGAAACGTAATTTGATTAATTGATCATTCTCACCTTAACCTAATCCCAACAATTAAATGTTGGTGGTCAATCTAATTTTTAATCATATAAAATTAAGTTTCTTTACTTTGACAATTACTATTGATGATGATAATTAGTTTAATTCAGTTAACCCTAATATATATAATTTAAATATAATATTAATATATGATATTAATTGTGAAAATAATACTAATCATGAACAATTTAGCTAACGGCAATCACGATTTGTATTTAAATTTAATAAGTATATTTGATTAAATCAATCAAATCTGCTTATGAATGGTCAACAATTTATTGATTGTGAATAATAAATTATACATTTTATCTTAATCACAATCACCTACAATAATTAATTTAGCTAATTAAAGATTTGAATGTTAATTGTTTGCCTTAAAAAATTTCCACTATTGATCATAAACTCATTCAATTGATAATTTAACACCATTAGATTCAGATTGCTAATCATGATTGAATGTGTCCTGTCACTTTAATTATTTAAATACAACAATTTAAATTGATGATATTGTTCAGAATTATTTAATTAAATCAACTTTCAATTCAGTTCAAATCTTTAATTGCTTTTGTGTGTTTGTATCTGAATGAGAAAGTATCTCAGGAAATCAATTGAATTGTAAATCATTTATCATCATTAGGATATCCAATAGGTTAAATTTTTCATCTAATTGTTGTTGATTAAATTAATTTACATCAAAATTGATTGAATAACAATAATGTAGATGAGAAAAAAAAACTTTTAATCACAAATTATACACTTGATTAACTGATTGAACAATTTGAAAGTTTTTCAACCAAATACCAATAAAAAATCGCATACAATTAAAATTAATTGTTACCCAGTACTTAATTATATCAATAAATTAATAGTAAAGTTATAGTTGAAAAGTTAATCAGATTGAGTAACAAAAAATTAATATTAATTGAAAAGTTAATTTGGTTGTTTATTAAAAGTTAACGGACTTTCAAGGTTCAACAATTACAATTATAATTAACAGATTAGCTTTTAATCAACGGATAATGACAATCGAAACTTGTTTAATTAACTAATTTAATTTTTATTATGTGAACATTATTAAAAATTAACAATTGATTTGCCAATACTTTGGGCATATTATTAATATGAGATGATAATAAGATAACAGAAAAGTAAATTAAAAAGTTAATTAACTAAAAACCCAAACAATTAGAAAATTATTCTGTTAAGAATAGATTAAAAGTTAATTGTCACTTTGATTAACTTTCACTTATCATAATGATTAAACATTCAGGAAGATTGATAATTAACTTGGTATGAAAATGATCAACATTAAATTAGATTTGATTAAAATTTGTGTAGGCCCAAGGGTTTGGTTAACAATTTAGTTAAACAATATAACAAATTTGGTTTAACGATCAAGTTAAATAGTTGCAACAATTAACCAAAAAAACTCATCTATTAATACATAATATTAATTGTAAATAGCAAATTGTGAATGATAATAATAATAAACTTGATTCACATCCAACAGTGAAACTAATATGATTGTTGATGAAAGTGAAACCAATGATGTTAATACATTTAAATTGCAATTAATTTACCGATGATACATTTTTATGAATATGATTACAATTACAATTAATAATTATCATGAGCCCTATTCATTAATGAATAAAATTGTTTGATTGTTGGTGTTTCATTTGTTATATTTTCTGTTGTCTATTATCAACATTAAATTAATAATAATCTTGATGGTTTCATGAAGTGAAAGTTTTTGGGTTTGGTTTTCAAGCTAATTGTGATTACGCCTAATTAAATTGTTGTTGTATTATTTTGCTGTTAATCATATGAATTAGATTAGTTTACCTGTTATGTTATTATCATCTTTCAGTGTCTTCATCTATTATATTGAACAACCTCACCCGAGGCGAGTCTTGTCATTTCATATTGTTATCAAATTTGATTGTTAATCATTGATTTGATCGTGATGATTTACATTTTCATTCATGTTATTATCAATATGTTACTCCTTGAAACTTTTATTACAATTACATGATGATTTCAATTGATATTGACCAACTAACTGACCCACAACTATTTACTTATATCGTTATCATGATTTAGCTTTAATTTTTGTTTTCTTCTGCTAATTGTATTTACAGTCGTGAACAAATTAGTTTCGACCGATATTTTAATCACTCGCACAGGTAGTGAGCTAATAAATAAATTGATTAACTTGATAATCTTTATCATCATCAATGCTAACACTTTGTTAATTTACTCATTGATTAAAATTAACTTACGAGTCTTGATTGTTTAATCAGTTGATTTTAGCTCACTACCTGTGCGAGTGATTAACCAAAACCACTCGAAACTAATTTTTCACGACTAAATATAACTTTTTTTTTATTGTATACAAAGAAATGATAATGGTTGATATTAATTGTTTTCTTGTAGACGCCAACGAGCCAGGTTGATGGGCTTATCTCAACCTAATTTGAATCTCCTTGGTCGAGATGCTGGTGATGATGATGATAATAATGATGCTGATGATGGTCATCATGGTAATGATGATTATCATGATATTAATAATGGTGATTCTGGTTCTGCTGGTCGGAATGGTTCATTGTATGAAACTGTTGCGGGATTAAAACGGACAATCAGTAACCCAAATATTATTTCACATGATGATGATAAAAAAGTAAGTAATTCAATCATCTTAATCATAATTATTGATCAATATTGTTAAACACTTTGATGATTTTTGCTCATTTGGTTTTCACTTCAATCCAATTGATCATCAATAGTTCATTTGAATATTGTAAAACTGAATTTATTTTGATTATTATTATAATGTTTTGCTCTTGATTCATTATAATTTCAACCCTTTTCTTGTAACAATTAACGATCATTATTATAATCCTACGATCTGATTTATTGATGATCAAATTGATTAATTACTTTAATGATGATGATGATTTGATATCACAATCATGAAACTGTTTTAAGTTACAACTAATTATTGTTGATATTTTTTTCCTTCTAATTAAATTAGGTGTGCCAACAATTTGGAAATAGTTTAAAGCCTCGGAAGAATCCGTTAATTGCTCAATGGGAGAAGAAAATAATTAAAGATAATCCGAATCCGGAGCCAAGGTTTTAATTCACATTTAATTTGCAATCAAGAGCCAAAATCGACAGGATAATCAATTGATGGGATAAAACGATGAACAATTTAAAGAAAAAATTACAAATAATCAATCGATTATTTGATTAAATTAAAAAAAAAATCTTCAACATACTTAAATTGTAATTTATCATGATGATAACTGCTGATGATTTACCTGGAATTGGATTGGAGGAGGATTAATCATCATCATCATCATCGTCTTGATCAATGATAATTAACTTTATTTTTGCCTCCCTTGTTTTAGTTTTTTATCAATTTAGTAAGAAAAACAAATTACAAGGAGGTAAACAATATAAATGATATGATTAATTTGGATAATCATTTTATATAATTGATCATATTGGTTAATTATATAAATTGCAAGGCAATTGATCACTTATCTAAATCAGTTTGAAGGATTGGTAGATCTTCAATCATTTACTAATTGTTATAATCCTCATTAATGTAATCAATCTAATATATTTACACACAACCCATTCCCCCCTCTCTCAGCCTTAATTGTCAGCTAATTGTCCTTGATTGTGTGAATGTGTATGAGTTTTATATATGTGATATAATCAAAGTAACCGATATCTTTAGTTATCCAAGTTTTGTAACCTTTATCATTTAATTATCTAGTTACTTGGTCAACATAATTTACCCAAAATTTTGACTGACCAACATTAATTTTGTATTTTCCTCTGGAAACAACAGGTCCGAATCAGTTAATTGTGCCTTTGATTTATAATAATTTACTACGAAAATTTAATAATATATTTTAAACCTTAAATATACACAAACACATACACAAAGAGATACACAAGGAAATGGACAACAATCAATTTGGAATCAATTTGGAAAATTTAATTCTGAGAAGGAAAAAACAATTCAATTGGAGATTAATTCTTAGTCCCTTTCCCTTTTAAATTTTGAATTTAATTAATCCCTTATTTTTGGTTCCCTCAATTTTTTACTCTTTATTTTGTGATTAAGCTTTTGTTTAATCGTAACAATTAAACTTAACAATCCAAGTTGTTAAATGTTATCATAAGATTTACCTGATTAATGTTAACTTTTATCATCAGGTGTCTCTCTTTGTATCTCTAGTTTTGAGTCTTTGATCATGATGATGATGAAAAACTGAACTGAATTTACTGTTACTATTAGATGATGATTAACTGATTGCGCAGTTACACAGAGATAAATCAACGATAATATTAAACCATTTTCTCAGATTAGGTAAGCCAAAGGTTCAGTTGATTATGTAACATTGATGTGATAAGTTGAGATATTGAACAATTTACAATCAGAAGCAAAGTGAAACTGGACAAAACAATGACCACCAATCATCATGATAACAATCAAAGTGATAAACAACATGAAAGTGATTAAAGTTAATTAACTTTCAGCTTGAATGATTATAAATTGTTGTTCAATGAGAAACTTTTGTTTTAAAGTCAAAATTTTATGTTTATCAAGTTGAATTGTTTTTTTTTGTGATTGTTACTTTTAGTGGTCAAGCAAATTAACTAAAGGTTAAGTGAAAAGTTGATGGTCAGTTTTGTTTAATTGTTCTCACCAATCATGACCGGAACTACTACAACTAGTACAGGGAAAACTTTGGTCACCATGACCTGTAGCGGAGGGTCAGCGGGAACCTCAGCTTCGGCTGATACTCATTCAAATTGTACCTTTGCAGGAACCGCGATCTCAACCACACCGGAGCCCAAGTCCAGTGGGTCGCTACCCTCTGGGTCACGGTCAGAGATTCACTATCCAACGGTTCTTCATAACTCATCGGCCATTTATATAACCAAAAAGAAACGGAAATTAGTCCGTTTTTTCACCGTGGTTGCCTACATGTTTGCTGTCTCTTTGGTGGCCATTGTGCTCTCACTTTACTATGTTTTCCTTTGGAATCCTTACCTGGTCTCCTTACCTGGAGGTGGAAATGGTAATTCACAAAACGGAGGAGGAAGTGGTAGTAGTGTTGTCGGTGCTAATGGACTTAATGATACAAATGTCAAAACTTTATCTCCCTCATCATCACCATTATCATCATCTTCACATCTGAAAACCTCTGACCATTACAGTAGACTGACCAATAATCATAATAATAACAATAACTTACCATCAGTAAATAAACATAATAACAATCATATTAATAATCATCACCATCCTAATAGTAATGATAATAACAGTGGTAATAATAATCCATCAATTATTACAGTTAGTTTATTGTCAACTTTACCTTCACAGTTAACTAGTGATGAGGAATCATCATCATCATCCTCATCTTCCTTATTAACATCTTCATTTCCGTCTTCATCTTTAACTTCAGCTTTTTCTTTGACTTCATCTCCATCCTCATCTTTTCCGCCTTCGCCATCACCTTCCGCCTCGATTTCTTCAGCATCTTTTGACTCCACAATAGATTTTGAATCTTCTTCTTCTTCTTCATCATCATCATCCTCATTAACATCTTCTTTATCTTCCTCATCAACATCATCTTCTGTAGCTTCTCCTTTTCCACCTTTACTTGATTTTCCATCCTCACCTTCAGCCTCTTTCCCACCGCCACTTCAAGAGTTTTCTTCCTCCGCTGTGCCATCAGCTTTTCCCTCCGACTTTGTTTCATCATTTCCATCAAATTCACCTTCAGATTCATCCTCATCTTCATCAACAGTAGACTGGATCATGGATGTTACAAACACACCAAACATTTCACTCAACTGAATTAAACCAACAAGATAAACAATTAATTTTTGTTCATCTGAATCTTATTTTTCAACTTTGAACATTATCATCAACAATCACCCACCAACCAAAGCCTAAAAAACACCATTAGTAACTTGTTTATCTTCAAGAGTAAAAAACAAACAAACCATTCACTTCCTTGCCTTTTCATCCTTCATCATCATCACCACTGAATGTCTGTGTAAAAGTTTCCACTGGTGATGCGAAATGATAAATGATTACACCGAGAGAGGAACAAAAAAAATCACCAAAAGATATAATTAGCATCTCATACATCATGAAAATCTCATTGAAATCTATGGAAACCTCATGATGATTAAAACTTTGATTTGGATTTTCAATGAGAAGCAAAACAAAATCAAAGGAAAAGAAACCGAGAAAAAAACATTTACAATTACTTTTCCATTGAGATACCATGATAATCATCATGTTGTTAACTCTTACAAATGAATGTAACAATTAGAATCATGACCCACCGGTGGGATTGGATTAAAGTGAATATAAAAAAAAGACAAAATTTCAGTGAAATTCATGCAAGAATAACAACAAGTTCAACTTGTAAATTATCATCAACATGAAATTAACATTATCCTCTGGTATTAACATCGAAAGAGAGAGAGAGGAAACGAAAAAGCCATCGAGGGAGTGGGAATCGAGGGTGGAAGAGGGATGATTGTGATAAACTATTATAAGATCAGCGGGAGGCGGAAGATGAATTAGATATAAAACCAGAATCGATATGAGAAATGATTGGAACCTTAATGAATCTGAAACTTTGGTTATCCAGAAAGGGTAAAAGTCGATGGGGAGTAAATGTTGATTGTTGGGTTGATCTTAATTGAACAACAAGACCAACACCATGGAAATTAACCCAAATCATTAAACTGTATCACAATGAAGATGATAATTTTATTTAAAAGCTTGATTATGATAAAATTAACAATAAAAGTAACTTTCAATTAACATGGAAAATAAATCTGAATGAATTTTAATTCTTCCGGGATTTCAACTCATCCTTTTATCTTTATTTTCTTGTCATCATCCTCATCATCATCAGACTGAACTTTCATCTTGTTCATCATCAAAATGATAATAACCTATTGACTTGATTATAATAATAGGATTTTTTTTTTCACTCCAGGATAATGATGAAAATTGATTGAAAAGTTGATGAAATGAAAACACTTGTTAGTCATGATAAAAGTTCATGCTCAATGAAGTTATCATGTGAATCTATGTGAGTTTAACTGAATGATGATAAATATGATGAAGAAGATGAGGTTTTTTTTTATAACAGAAAAACATTGAATTAATCTGATGAAAAGAATTGAAAATGATTACAAATTCGAGGAGGTTGAGTTATCACATCTTCCTCTTTTATTTTTCACCCAATTCTTATTATTGAATTCTCTGAATGAATTGTATTTGTTGCATTGGAATTTAAAAGTTTCTCTTGTTGTTTTTGTAACCATTCTGATGGTGGCGGTGATGAGATGATGATGATCAGGATAAGGATGATGATGAATAATGATAAGTGTTGAAATTGTATTATTATTATTAGATAATAACAATTACTCATGGGAAGATGAAGTAAGTAAACTTGAGAATCCGTTGGAACTTTTTTCTTTGGAATAAAAAAAAAAGCAGAGACAGAAAAATAAACAAAGATGAACTAAAATGATATAATTTGTATTATTATCAATATAAACATCGGAAGTTTGAAGAGGTGGTGATGGATGGTGAAAGATCATCATGGGTGTGGAAGATGAGGAAGATGAGTGAAAGAGGAAAAGTGAAAGTTGTTGTGTAAACAAAGATCAACTTTAAATTCAGAGAAGATTTGAAAAGAAAACATGAAAATCATGAATTTCTGTGGAAAGAATTACTTTTCATCTCTTTCTTGTCTCTTTCTTTTTTTTTCCATTCCGATGAATTGAATTGAAGAGTAAAGTATTACATCGAAGCGGAAACAAAATAATACCCACCCCACCACAAGGAACATGAAATAACAACAAACCTCAAGGTACATAAAAGATAAGATTTGAAAACGAACAGAAAAAAAGTTCATCATTTTCAATTCTATCTGTTTACTCAGAGCATTAATATTATTGTTTCTGTTATCCTCATCATCTTGTTGAAGATGATGATGATCATCATCATCATTAAATGGTAAGAAAACAAGTTACATTGGTAATTTCCTATCAGATTAATCAGTTCATATTATCTCTTTCATGAAATTCTCGCTCTGAGATGCTGAAAGTAGGAAAAAACTTTCTTTTTACTTGATCATTATGATAAAATGTTGTTCTCATTGCCCAGGGATTGTTATTACCACACCCTCCATGGTTTTACATTATCCCTGTACTCATGTTTCGACTCGTTATCAGATTAGTTTTGTTGTTCCCATTTGGAAACAGTTATCATTTTGTGAGAATCTCATGAAATTTTTTTATCAGAATTTCATTCTAAATAATTTCCTGGAAAATTAAGGAAAACGAGAATAAGTTGAAACTGATGTGATTCAGTTTCAATCACATGAATAGTTATCACAATATTAGACATTATCATCATCATGTTATATTTAAGTCTAAAATCTGAAAACCTTCATATCTCATGAACATTTCAATGCTTCAGGGTGATCCATTCATCTCTATCACTCTTCTCTACTCACGGTAAATGAACATCATCATCATCAGAATCGAAATCATCTTCATCCTTAAACTGATTACATTCAGATTTCTTCCCCTACATGATATCTTCAATTCCTATTGGGAATTGAAGATTTATCTAATTTCGTTTGTTCAGTTCCCTGTATTTGCTATTTTTTTATACTAACAATGGGTTAAGAAATTACCATGATCATTTAGCTCATGGGTGAATACATGATGATAATGATGATGAGAAGATAAAATTTCACAAATCTCAGGATTTCATTTCGTTTGATTGACAAAATCGTTACAACGATAATCTGAATATCGAATTCAGAATTGATCAAGAAAAATTTTCCAATTGTCTTATGTGTAAGCCCTAATTCACCATGAAAATTTCATGATCAGATTCATGACTCATGTTTTAAGATAATTAATTAAATTATTAATTAGTAAATCGGTTGACATGTTATTATTACTGTCTGTGTTTCTGTTGTTGTGCCTCTTTGATTCATTGACAAAGTACAAAGAGTGACCCAGAAAAATTTTGAGAAAAGTTCAATGATAATATAACACTGACTCCGAATGATTATTGATCACTCATGGAAAATGAATACCCTGTACTCATTATAATAGAAGAAAAAAATTATCTGGAACATATTTCCAGCATTCAGAACTCTGAACTTCATTGATAATTTTTTTTCTTCTTCAACTCATTAATGAGAGCAGAAAAAATGATAAATATGTTTCATCTTCATCTTTATGATGTTTTTATATTTATTTTGAATTCTTCCCACCGGCTCTTTGAATTGCATGGGTATAAATACTAATGTATGGATTATCATGGAAATGATTTAAATATTTCACAATAATATTATGAAATTCATCAATCAAATTGAAATCAGTTGAATATTGATCATGTTGTGATGAAATTTTCTTCTTTCAATATTTCAATTGGTTCATGAAACTGATATTTCATGGGAGGAGAGAAAGGAAAAGTGTTGACAATTTATGAATTATCTTGACAGTGGAACTGAAACTCCATGAGCATTTATCCAATTACATATCTGAACAAGTTAATTACTTTTATCAATTCAAAGTAAAAGTTTCATCATCAAGAAAATTGTAACTTTTTGAGTTCCATTAGTTATGAATCAATCACCACCAAGTATCATGCAAATTTTTTTCATATGAGTTTAGGCTTTTCCATTGAGATAGTTGATGGATTTTCAAAATTCATGCTTTTTTTCATCAATTAAGTTCTGATGCTAATCATGAGAATCCATTTAAAGTATCAGTTACAAAAACACCACGAAAATTCATTTCATCTCAAATGTAACTTTCATATGACTCACAACTGAATACAAGTCAAAAGTAGAGAGAGAGAGAGAGACCATGAAAAATGATTATGAAGATAGAATAGAATGTTAATAATCTTCTGAATTTCTATCAGAATTTCCAGAATATCAGGGAGAAAAACTCTCTCTCTCTCTCTCTCTCTCTCTCTCTCTCTCTCTCTCTCTCTCTCTCTCTCTCTCTCTCTCTCTCTCTCTCTATCTTCTTGTCGATGTATCATTAATCATCTGAAACCCTACAAGTTAATTCAATTGGTTAACATTGAATAACGAACCAATTCTCATTCCAATTCATGAGTTGAGCTTTTTCTTTCTCATGATGATATAATTTGATGATGAAAAAAAGAGTAAAGAAAAAAATTCAAACCAAAATTTTGATTCTTTAATAAAATTGAACCTCTTCAGGGTAAAAGACTCAAGTGTTACACCATATTAATAAGTTGATAATGAAACACCATGAAAAGGAGAGAGAGAGACCCATTGAACTTTTGATAACCTCAGACAAAAAAATTCAGTTACAATTTAAAGTTTACCACCGTGGGTATTGTGTTGCTCATGGTGGGAGGATTAATGATGAACACAAGGAGGAGAGAAAGAAGAAGAGAAAAAAAGTTCAATTGAGTTTTCCAATTGAACTTTTTTTTTATTCCAGGCAAACATCATGAAACCTTTAGAACTCAAGTTACCTTTGCTTTATGTATACGGTGGGAAAATCGAGGAGGCGGGTGGATGTTTTTTTCTTGGTAAACTTTGTGTAACTTTTTTCATCACCAACAGTCTGGAGATGAAATTTTGTTTCACCGTTACAATGATAATTCAAGAGGAAGATGAACTTTTCATTATCTCACCACAACCACAACCATCAACACCACCATTCACCTTTCCACTCTTTCTATTTATAAAAATTATATCTGGAGACTGATTTCAATTGAATTTCCTGAATCGTAATAAAAATATAAATATGAACATGAACAATATCAATAATATGGAATCGATGGAATGAGTGAAGAAGAGCAAAAGAAGTTTATGAAAATTGAAAGAAAAAGTTTGAAAAATAGTTGATTGCATTTTCTTGAGAACTCATTTCGCATTTAAATTCAGATAGATTCTTTCAATTTTGTAATTGGATGAAGAGGTAGAACATCATCTTCTTCTTCATCATCTTGGTCAATTTCATCTTCTTCCCTTTGATTGACCATACAAACCAATTCTCTCACTTAACTTGATCATCTCAGGGTAATTCGATGCTATCAAACATGATATCCATTCGTTACTAGAGTATTATTATTAATCTATTACCACCAACTTTTATCATCTTTTGTCATCATTCCCACTAATATCATCCTTATCTTCAGGAACTCTCTCTCTCTCTCTCTCTCTCTCTCTCTCTCTCTCTCTCTCTCTCTATTAGCATTTCTCGTATTCTATATTTTCTCTGTCATCTACATACCAAAAGTTTCCTTGATCGTGGTTCCAATTACATCAATTTCTTCAAATAGATTGACGTATCGTTGAGGAAGAGAGAGAGAGAGAGATTCTCGGAAGTAAATTGTTAGATGATGAAGGTGAAAGAAGAAAGAAAAAGATGCAAAAAAATAAAGAAGAAGATAAAGAAATCGAAAAAGATCAATATTTTATCATCTTTCTTATCGTCATCAACTTAGTTTCTTTTTTATCTTCGTATCACTGATTTCTCATCATCTTTCAATCTCCATTTTCTCATGTGCCTTATCTGATTATCTACTCATCATCCTAACCCCATACACTTTTACAACTCTAACTCATCATCATCATCATCATCATAATGAAGATGATATCAGATAGACAGATAATCTGAAGAAAGACAGAGGATGAGGTGGAAGACAATGAAAGAGAGCCAAGAATGATGTCAGTAAATTATATCAAATGCTGAGACCTTTTCATTATATTATCATTATCATTATTATTACTTTTTATCATC